CTAACGAAGGCGATTGCCCACGTCGCGACAGCACTTGGTCGGACCAAGAACATTTGTACAAGGTTTTATTTGAATAGCTTGTGGGTATTTATCCAATTAGTAGCTACGAATGAACAAGATCTGCCGCTCAGTCTTCGTTCATTGTATCACCTTTGTCTGCTACTTAATCACGATCTGGGGCCTTTTGATCTAGGTTTAGAAATGTCTGGCTGTTATGTGCAACGATCTTCTTCTTCCACGTGGCTCAGGGAATCGCGATGTCAAGATCTCATCTGTACTGGCACACAAACCTGGACAGCACATGAGGCAAAATTGAGCTGTATCATCTCATCTTCACATTTTTCTTCCCGTGCAACAGTACCTGCATATGCCATCTCTTTCCTTCTACTACTATTCACATAGGATCTCAAAAATCTCGAAATGTCATGCTCCAAAGCAGGCCATCCCACGCGACATTAAGTCAAGGTGACCAACCTCCTGACTGAATCGCTCGACCGAATTCTCGAACATTGGGCGATCCTAGGCTGTCATGTAGGAAAATCTATCACCCTTATGATTCCCTACCCAGTCTTAGCCGTGTAGCCCACACCGACGCCAACCTATCATCCGAACGCATATACATAAACGATGAACTCGAAAGCCCACGCAACCTGTCCACCGCGTCTGCAAACAGAGGCATCCTCGGACATTTTTGTTGAAGAAGAGAATGAGAACAAACCAGTGGATCGCGCATGTATGAATCATTGACGACGCTAAAGGCTGACGCTGGGAGATAGCTTCTCTGATGCAACGCTCGTATCATTCACGCCTGGCTCGACTTTTTTGACTACGGTGTTGGGCTCCCCTTAAAATGAAGGCTCCAAAATCTGGCCACACGTTGAATGCGCCGAGTGGTGTAGTGGCGATGAGCTGGCATTTGATATTGGATCCGGGGTTCTCGGAGCAGAGCTTGAGATTCGAACTGGCCAAGTTTCCTGTGTGCAGCAGCAGAGTTTCACTTGAGGTTCGGAAATCATGGCTCGACAAGAACGAAGGGGGAGAGAGGGCGGTTGTGACTCTTGATGCGCAGAGAATGCTCGGACGGTTGGAAGAATCGGCTATGGGCGCTGAGTTGATAGAGCGAACCGAAGCACCAGACTACGCCGCAGGGAGACAGCTTGGAACTTTAAGTCTCAGTTGATATCTTTGATAGGGTTGGACGTGTCTAAGTTCTTCCATGCAAACACTGCCCAATTCTTTGTCGTCATACGGGTCATGTATCCAGACGGACCTTCAGAATAGATGTAGGCTTCCTATCATCACTGCTGTGCTGTTGAGAGATAGATGTGTTGCTGCCACAAAATCAGGGACATCGAACCTCAGGCATCCCACAGGCAATGCGACCTCCAACTCTCACGTCCGAGGTACGAGTATTATCCAAAATTCTTCTCGGGTCCGGCCAATTAACCATTTTCTCCTCCGTAATGCCCCAACCGTCCAACCTCTCCTGATCCCAAAACACGTAGCCCCATCTCCTCAGCCGAAAGTCAGTATTCTGTATACCATGACTGCTCGCCCACAGCCAGCCAATGGTGGGAACCCGCTCGCTGATGAATTTGCCGTACCTGCCTTTCCATTGCCAAGTCCCCCAACTGACATCTCTCTCATAAGCATCCAAAGCAGCTCGCATAGAAACATCCACCCGTCCGGCCATCTCCCCCTCAGCGATGCGGCTTTCACGTTCATTCTCAGAAGCTGCTGTCATTACTTTATAAAGCTGCTGCGGTCCTAGAGCGACAAGTTGGTCATAATACCACGATATTGAACGGTAGTAATCTCTAGCATACATCTGTAGACAAGCCACTTCTTCCACTTCATGGATAGGGAAGAGCCCGAAGAAGTTGCGTGCTATCTCTTTTTCGCTGAATGCGGAATCTGGAAGCTCAATGCCGGGTATGCTGAGTTCACGAATGATAGCCTCTTGGCTCGGACCGATGCTCGGACCGAAGAAATTGCTATAAATTTCATACCGCCAGAGTGCCCTGTAGAGTCTATGCAACTCGGATCGAGAGGGTAGAAGAGGGTCATCGTCCGATGATTGAGTGAAAGGATTTCTAGAAAATGTAGCCTTGCAGTATCTGGCAATCAAGCTTGTGAACTTTCTCTGCAGGCTCAGTATAGCGAGAGAGTCTTGTAGCGCAAGACGCCGTCGACTGCCATCCATACGCCCCTGGGCGTATCTCTCTAGGTATTCCGTGACGATCTCAACCCGATGCGTGATGTGGTAGCCGAGCTGCGGTGCATGGATGGCAGTCCATGGGTCCAAAAGACCAATGTCATTCTTCTGGAGGGTGCGAGTTGTGATGGCGTGGAGGATCTCTTCTCGAGCTCCGAGGTAAGCCTGATGGTACTTTGGAGAAGCGTGTACAATGCTGCTGAGAGATGCGACCTCTGGCATGTGACAAAGGATCATGACTCTGATCTCTGAGGGAAGGATTTCAAGGGCTGATGCCCGAGATTGGTATGCTTGCTCTAAACCGTTTGCAGTAGACTCCATATTCAAGGATGTATGAGTTGACCTTGTAGACTGATAAAAGGGACGCGGCGTTTGTAGATGGCGTAAGAACGTACTTGAAGTCTTCCAGCATTTTTGAGGAAGATAGGTAATAGCTCATAGAACTGACACCACCTACTACAAGTTGTACAAGAGATGAGATGCAATCCTACGGAAGAAGTCAGCACGATATTTGTGATGCCTTGAACATGGGAGGTGCATGTCTTGGCGCATGGCGTCCGTGCCCCCAGGGCGCTGCCGCTAGGAGTAGATCCAGCGCACCCTCCTTGTCTTCAGTCCCATCATCAACTAACACTTTGTTATTTCACGAAGGCACTACAATATCTTAGGTTGTTGCATTTTCTGCATGCTGACAGTGTACGTATAACAATGGATTATTGTACAATACCCAACTGTCCAATCTACGATCCCCTAGAGATACCTGTCATGGTTTCAGCTCTCAACACTACGGTTCCCAAATGGGCTTAGTACTTGCAATACTAAAGCCTATAAGCACTTATTCAGTCCATGATATTCAGTCCATGACAATACCCTACATCTGCTTTGAATTCCAGTATGACCCTCCCTTTGCATCGTATCCTGAAAAGTAGGCATGGTCTACCGGAATTTTCCTGGTCATTCGTAGACCCTGACTGTAATAATGACGATCTTGACGCATTTCTACGACCATGGCTGTTCTTTGGTCTCGTGAGAGAAAGGTTGGGCTTGCTGCTACCGAGATACAAAGCACCTTTCTATCTCTTGCAGCCGCTGATAAGGGTTCTCGTGTTTAACACCTATCTTGAATAGGACACCAAGGTATGGCTGTCAAGGAAATTCTATGTCGAGTCGTTTGTTCAGGTTGGACAATCAGACTCGGGACATTCTAAGAAAGCGCCCTGGCCAAGGAAATGATGAAATGGTTATGGACCCTGTTCAAGAACCCACCGTCTATGCTCACATCTTTGGGGGAGGCCGAAGGATACCAATGGAGGGTTACAGATGGGATCCAGTCAGCTGCTTGGGCCAATCATCGATTACAATTTCGGGTGGCAGGCGTGATGGTTTTCTGCACAGACTCAACAATGAATTGACCTAGGATGTAACCAGCTCAGGAACAGTCATATCGTATCCTAGAATCGTCTTTGCGCCGTGGACCGCAAGATTCAGTGGCGAATTTTGGATCCGAATCGAGCAAAATGTTTGGTCACATGCCACTTGCACTGGTGATAGGGGTTTCCTACGCAAAGATGCAATGACGGGTCTATAAAACCTGAAAACACCGTCAATGACAGTGGCAGAATTGATAGCTTAGCAGTCATCTTTCAGAACGCCAGGGCCCTAGTGATCTGGGGGCCACTCAACGAACGCAACAGTACGCACGATCTTCTCGTGCTGGCGAACGGGAAAGCTGATCTGGCCTTGCAAGCCCGCCCAATCACACAAGTCTTTTAATTGCCATGAGCTCCTGCCTTCCGCGCAAGGAAGCTTTCCTTGCGGTTAGAAGTTGTGCCGAACAGATCGACGACCTCATTGGAACCTCAAGGAGCAATTCCGACTGAAGATAGAGAGCACTGAGTATTGGCCATCGTTGGCAGAAGGGAATAGGGTTCGAGGTATTGAGATGGCTCGGGAACCATTTTTTTGACTGATGGTTCTGGTGCTAGGTGTAGCTATATGGTTGATGAAGAGCACTATGCGTTCCAAGCTGCAACTATCTGTGAAGAGAAGTCCTGGTATGCAGGGTAGGTTTTTTGTGCAGGCTCGGTGGCTGATGCTTCAACGGCACAATGAGCTGAATACCTCTGTGTTTAAAAAACATGGGTATGTGGTCGTTATGTGTAATAAGCTTGTTCCTTGCTATCTCCGAGCTCTATCATGTAGTAGTAAGCTAAGTTTGGCCCGGCATGCGCAAAGGCTTGGCAAGTTGTCTACGTGGCAAGTGCAACTGCCGTGACACTCTACTCTCAAAATGATTAATGGAAGGGCTGCAATCAAGGCTTGCGTGGTGTAGGTGAGTCTTACGAGCCAGACTGAGTTCTTGGGATTGTGCGTTGTTGGAAGCAACAAAAATGACGACGTTGTCTACTAGATGAAGAGAATTGGGAAGGTGTGCTGCATGCATTTCTTGAGTTCCAAAAATACAGATACGATAGAAGGAAAGAACGACTTATGGTGGCCATGAAACCAAATATCTGTGTCTCATCTTCGTTCGGCCACATTGTAGACTCGCTAGATAGGTAATGATCATGGCATACCTTCAGAGATTGACTGCTTGAAGAGAAGATACTGCAGGTTCCCGTACTTATCTGCAGTCGCCCTAGTCCTTTGTTGTTGGCGTGAGGTTCAAAAACTCACCTCAGTCAACACTCACATTTACACACCACATCAACAAGCACTTCCCATGTGTGCATCCCCTTCCACTGCATCCACATTGAGCGGAGATTTCGAGCACATCACCACAACTATGAAGAACCAGCGAGCCAACCTCGCAGATCCAGTACTACTAGAAAAGATTGACAAGTTCTTTGAGCTTGGAATCGGAGAATACGTCGCGCTGCCCCAGGTAAGATTCCATCCCACTCTGCATTCTTTTATGGCTACTAAGCTGGTCAGTTACTTGTTGTGGGAGATCAGTCCAGGTAATATCACGTCTGAGGAGGGGTACAGCTTATCTGCTGACTGTCTTCAGTGGGAAAAGCTCAGTACTTGAAGGACTGACTGGCCTACCCTATCCGCGGGATAGCGGACTTTGCACACGGTTCGCGACGCAGATTACGTTTAGAAGAACTCCAGCAGCGAAGATCGCGGTCTCAATTATTCCAGCTGAGAATGCGTCGTCTGAATACGCGGAGAAGCTTCGGTTGTGGCGCAAGGACGACCTCGTCTCACTAGAACTCCAGACTTTCGCAGACATCCTGAAAGAGGTAGGATCCACTGTTCTCGTCTTGCGGTGGTCCACTACCCTTGATAATTCTCACTGACCGGCATCGTCCCGCAGGTTCAGGAGCTCATGGGGCTAGGACAGGCCGACAGTGGCGGCAACAAGAAGACCTTCGCCGATGACGTTCTTAGGATAGAAATATGCGGGCCTGATCAGGAGCACTTAAGCGTGATCGATGTCCCCGGAATATTCAAGAAATCGACACCAGGAGTGACAACGAAAGCTGATATGGTCATGGTCCGCAACATGTGAGTCTACTTTTTGGGGTAATCCCTTTCTTATGCGTGCCGCAATCTGAGTTGTGAGACATGTTTTTGGGTGTTGTGTCTCTTCGAACCTGCCTCATAGCTCGGTGTCCGTCTTGGAAAAGGCATGCTGACTCGGAAAATTTGAAGGGTTACTACTTACATGCGAAATCCTCGCTCTGTTATCCTCGCGGTCATCCCGGCTAATGTGGACATCGCTACTCAGGAGATCCTTGAGATGGCTGAGGAACTGGACGTCAAAGGCGAGCGAACTCTCGGGGTCCTTACCAAGCCAGATCTCGTCGATAAGGGTGCGGAGCCTGCAGTCATCGCCATCATCGAGGGGAGGAGTCACACTCTCAACCTCGGGTGGTGTATCGTGCGCAACCCTGGCCAACAAGCATTGGCCAATAGTCTGTCCGATGCAGCAGCCAACAACCGACATGCGACAGAGAAGGCGTTTTTTAAGAGCGAACAGCCGTGGTCAGATGTCTCTAAAGACCGCGTGGGTATTGAAGCACTCCGAATTCGCTTGGTCGAGATACTTGCGGAAATGATAAAACGAGAGTTCCCGAGGGTACGTGTCGCTTCATTGCACCAAAAACATGGGGAACCTACCTGTATCTGGTCTGCTGTATATGGCAAGGTGTATGTTACTAACGCGCTATGACAGGTAAAAGCCGAGATTAGTGCAAAGTTGAAGCTTTGCAAGCACCAGCTAGATGCGTTGGGCCCCAGTCGAGCAAGCCGCGATGAGCAGTATAAATTTCTTCTCGAACTCGCCACACAATTTCAAACCATCACCTCCCTTGCTTTGAAAGCTCATTACGGAGGGGACGACATTTTTGACACTACTCCTACGTTGAGGTTAGCCACAGCAATTGTCAGCCGAAATGCCACCTTTTCGGACGATGTATGGCAGAGAGGGCACGCAATGGCTTTTCACAAAGACAAAGATGCGAAGGAAAACAACCCTTCCCAATCTCCAGCCCCGTTCGGCAGTCCCTCCCCCTTCGCCAGCCAGGTACCAACCACCTTCAGCAGTACCACCGCAAAGAGCACCAATCCTATGGCTAAAGCCCCAACGAGCACGCCTCATGGGTTTGGTCACGACTTTAAGAGTGTCCGGTATGAGAAAAATCATGCTGAATTAGAGGACATTATGCAGGATGATAGCCTGATTCCTCTGCCCAAGGTTCTTTGGCATCAAGCAATGGCTGGAGAATGTGTACAAGAGCTCCCGCGGATTTGAACTGGGCACATTCGACGCATCCCTGTTGCCCATCATTTGGAAGAAACAATCTGCCAACTGGGAAGCTCTAGCCCTCGGATACGTAGATGACATCGTATCACTAGTGCATTCGTTCACTGTGGACCTGTTGGCCAAGATCTGCAGGGACCCACGAGCAGGTCAAGGTCTGCATTCGGTACTACTGGACCAGCTTACTGACCGGTACAAGAAGAGCATTGACCACACAAAGTTCTTGCTGGCTGTTGAACGATCCGGCACCCCAATGACCATGAATCATTACTTCGCCGACAATCTCGAGAAGAGGTAGGCAGATAACCCCCAATTTTTGTCACATCGTCGGATGCAGAACCCTTCTTTTGCTCCTACAGCACCCTTGATTTTGAAACAAACTCCATCATGTTTTGGGAGGTTACCCCCTGTATTTGCCTGAGCCTACTCACACAGTTCCCCTTTGTTTGATTTGCTATTCTGGACTAATGACTTGTCAGCCGCTCCGCCCGTATGAAAGCTACCATGGAAAAGATGGCAACCTGTACGTACATTCCGGAGTTATTCTTCCCAATTTTGCATCAAAACCTGAGTCGCAAGAAACTTGTTGGTAGCAGAACCCTCCTTCTATTCTGGAGACCTGTTATAAATGATGTGTCTTGCCTCGAAAGAGCAATGCTGACTCCGAAATGTGTGTAGGGGACCCGAACCAGGGAAAGGTGGTCAAGCTCGACGCAATCCTCAATCAAGGCGTCACTACCGGTAGCAATCTCAAGCACACAGTCGACGATCTTCACGATATCCTCCACTCATACTACAAGGTTGCCCGGAAACGTTTCGTGGACATTGTCTGTATGCAAGCCGCGGATTATTTTCTTGTAACCGGCCATGACGCGCCAATCAAGGGTACGTATTTTCGGAGTTCATGTTTCCTCTTCTGGACCAGATCTTGAGCCTTGAGACATGTCTTGAGAGTGTCTACCCTGTAGACGTGTTCCAAGGCTCACCATACCCCCTCGGATAGGCAATGCTGACTCTGGAACACAATCCAGTCTTTTCCCCAAAGTTTGTGAGTGAATTGACCAATGAGCAGCTGGAAGCGATCGCGGGAGAGGATTTGGTGTCCAAGAGAAAGCGGGAAGATTTGAAGCGGAAGATCGAAAATCTGGAGAGTGGGAAGAAAATTGCCTTGTCCTAGAGACGGATGTCGGGGTCGGCATGTCACTCGAAGCAACGAGGTCAGGTTAGCATTTGTGGTTGCGAGGCGTCTTTGGAGGTAGGCCATGTTCAGACAGTTACAACGTTCGGGGTATGAACCATTCGAACGCTCAACCGCACGATTTTACAACAGTTTTCTTGGTCAGCGTGCTCAGTGTTGACGAAGTGACCCTCAATCCAGGTCACGTTCTTGGTACCAAGTCATGTATACACCAGTGAGGTCTCCTCGTTCATCATTGCTTTCCTCGTCTCACCCACAGTCTATGGTACCAGTCTCATGCAAAGGCGTACTGGGTCTGCGCTCATCCATCCGTCCCACGGTGTTTGGGAGCAGCCCTTCATATCTGATTGGTTGAGTGACCTGCACGCACATCCTGCCAGAATACCAGGCTGAGGACGTTTTTGACCACCGCCCAAACGATACGAGCAAGTGAGTCCTGTTACCTTTGAAAGTACGGAGCATCTTCTTCTTCTGTGTCTTCTGCCTCGTCTTCTGCCTCCCTTCCCGTCTTCCCTTCTGTCTCCTTTTCTGGTTTCTCTTTTCGAGCAACATACTCCTCTTGACCGATCTCCTCATTTGAGATAGTTTCATTTCTTGTATTAATGGCTTTTTGTAAAGCGACCTGCTCTTCAGGTATGCTCTCCCCTTCCAGATTGACCTCCTCCTGCGAAACGATTCCATGCGCAGAGACCTCTCTCCTAACCCTTGAAGTTGTAGACCGCGTTTTCACTCCGCCAATAACCGATTGGGTAATCACGGTCCCTTTAACTGCATATCCACCATCCCGTCCCTCGATCCAGACGTCCCAGGTTGCGGTCCTCCCTATTTGAATCCCGCCTTCTCTTTTTCTAACGCATATTTTCATCTCCTCCTCTGCATAAAGAGGTGCCAAATTTCTATACTCGACATGCGTTATTTTCCCAGGTGTTTTCTCAAACGAGAACCTGCCACGATCCGCGAGAGTCTGGAGATGAATTCGCAAAACCTCGATCATCAGCACCACCGTTAAAGGCCCTTGCACCAGCAGGTTTCGATACCCTTCTACCTCACGGCAGAATTGCTTGTCAAGGTGAATGGCATGTGCATTGAACGTTAGCGCTGAGAACCGGAATAGTAGTTCTCGAGTTGGAACTATTGTGTGAGAAAAATCAGGCGTCTCTGTCGGCTTCAAGACTTTGCTCGAAGATTGACTGACAACCGGAGTGCTTTCTGGGCGATTATCACGCATGAAAACTATTGACCGCTGCTCGCTAATACGTAGCTCCCTGTTCGGCTGGCCCTTGAGTGCTCCAGGAAAGAGACCAGCAAATATCACTCTTTCAATCCTAACGAAAGCCTTCTCCTCCCCTTCCTTTCCCCTGATTTGCACGTCCGCAATCGACTCATTGCAATGAAACGGCTGTCCATCCATCTGGATATCCTGTACAAAAGCCATACTGCCACCTGCCCACAGTCTTCGTGTAAAGGGAGGCCCAGGAGAATGCCAAGAGTCAGTGCCATCTGGAAGGAGAAGATAGGGAGGCGGCACGATTGGAAAGTAGACGAGATGGTGGGTGGGATCCAGAGACGTATCACGCGCGCTTTCGTCTTGTCGTTTCCGTCCTCGATGCATGGAAAGTGTTGGAACCTCGCTGGAAGGAAGAAAGGTAGCCAGGGTCTGTCTGAGAGCTTTGGTTGGTGTCGGCGTTATGTAGTCTCTTGCGTATGGAAGATGGCGTGAGATCATTTTCTCGCGGAGATTGGAGAAGTCGGAGGAGTACCGGGGAGAGGGAAGCCGGTGGAGAAGGAGGTAGACATGGCATCTTTTGGGTGTGTGGAAGGGACGAGCACGCCGGAGGACGATTTTGGCCGCCATTGAAGAGCGCGAGCTCGAAAGTAACGGGTAATGGATCGAGGAAGCTTCGATGCTCTGGCGGGCGGAGAAGGAGCTCCCAGAACTCGGCGAAAAGAAACGCCGATGGCCGTGGGTTTTGACGTACAACCCAGTGGAAAGCGACACGTCTACAGAAGCTCAGTCACCATGGCCGACGAGCTTCTCCAGCAAGCTCAAGAGCTCTTGGAAGGACAGATTGTAGGTCGCTGCCCAGCGTCTTGACTCTCATCGGAATTGACCGCGTGTCCAGGATTTCGAAGGCCAAAAGCAAACCGAGCTCATTTCCAGCGTCCTTCTAGCTGTCTCCGCTGTATGTTTCCACGTTTCGCTCTGTTCTCGTCCTGTGCAGGAACTGACATCAACCTGCTATAGCTCTTCGCATTCATACTCGGCTTCGCCCTGCAGAACATCTACGTTACTCTCTGGACTGGCCTTGGGGGTGCCGCATTAGCATTCCTCGTGGTGGTACCGCCCTATCCTTTCTACAACAAGTCGCCCGAGAGATGGTTACCAAGCGGTAGTGGGATGGCAGGGTCGGGGATCGAGATCGATGGGAAGAAGATAAATTAGGGCGGCAGGAGAGACGGGAAAAGGCCACATAGCATGCAAGGCGTCAGGGGCACAGCTTCAGAGCCACAGAATCTCTCTGGGATGCTTTGGCATGCATAAGTGGTTCATCAGAACCGTGATCTAGCTGAGGAAGGTCTGTCATTGCTCATAAGAGCGGCAGCCGTTGCCTTCACATTTCAATATCTATGCATTGCTTCGTCCCATCATTCCTGATCCATGCAGCTTCGGGCCCCGAGGCTCTATGGCATGCTTGAGCGCTATGCTGTCTCGCATATTGTTGTGGCCGCACACGATCTCCTCATCGGCCGTATTTCTGGAATTCCCAGTCTCGGTTGTCCAAGGGGCAGACTTGTCGTGTCTTCAGCCAGCGTGAGATGCAGTGGAAGTGGAAGGCATGCTGTAGAAGAAAAGGCGTCAGCTTAAGCCAAACCGGACGGATAGGACCAGACTAACATTGCAGATTCCCCACGCAACTGTGCACTCTTCGCTCGTAGCTGAAGCTTGGTTGGCCTGACATTCGATACCTTCACGAATCTATTAGTAATCTGCTGTACGCATGATCTGGAGCAAGCACTCACATAAATCCATGATATGGTTTCTGCATATGGCACAGTTGTCGACGACAATATCCCAAGCCCACAGAGATACAGCGTTCCACTAGACATGATCAGCTACATTTCTTTGTCCGGACCTGAAGACGGTATCACCTTCTTGACCTCAAATCTCTTCTTGCCATCGGAGCCAGTGTCTGCTCCAGACTTTGCTGATCTGACGACACCCTTTGGCTTTGCTGGAGCTGAAGAACCAGCATCAGGCATCTCGACGTCCGCCATGGCGACTTATACGGTTCAGGGTAGCTTGAGTGGAGAGATTGTTGTAAAGCGCGACGTCTGTGTCCCAAGGAAGGCGAAAGGTGGAAGGTGGAAGTGGCGGTGAATTTGAAGCAATTCCGTGCTGGATGTAGAATTCAGTAAGGGCCCCGATGTGTTAAGGAAGTGGTGTGGGCAAGGTGTCAAGCAGAAGGCTCCAGCAAAGAGGCGATTAGGTGATGTCCTTCGCTTAGATTACCTTCACCATTATTGTGAATAGACCTCACTAGCTGAGATTTAGTCGCTTGCTTTGTGATGGGAGTGCAAGTGTTAGGTGTTAGAGCAAAAGGTGGTTTAGGTGACTCTTGAGCTTGATATGTTCGCAATGGGACAAGCGCCGCCAAGCCCCCGCAAATCAACCCAGCCCATCATCTTCAACACTCTCTTCGCTTCGACACCTTCACAACTCGCCATCATGGACCGCATACAACGCTACATAAACCCCTCAACCTCCCTCTACCGTACACCAATACACCCGCGAACATACATCAAACCTCCAGACTCTCCTTTCTCCTGATCCACCTCTCGCTAACAAAGCTGCCCTCACCAAGATAGTTCAGCTGCGGTTTGAGACATTCTAAGGCTTCTGGCCTATCGTTCTTATACGACCGAGTGACAATTCACTTTGTATTGCCAATTCAGCTGCTCGTACATCACATACATTGCTCATTTTTACAATTTTATTCCCAACACGGCTGCATATTTCTAAGCCACCACCACCCAAGCAATGCCTCCTCAACAGGCAGAAACCCCCCCAGAAGAATTCTCGAGGATCTCGACGTCCTCCTCGAAAGTCGGCTAATTCCACAACATCCCATATCTCCTCAAACCAAAACGATGCCGGTTTCTCAGCAGACCCAGGTTGTCATGTGGGACCTGATCAGCCAACGCGCATCCTTCGCCGAGGCGACCACGACGTTACGTCGGATGTCAGTGTCGTCGGCAACCTAGAGCTTCCAAATCCGACCACCCCTCCCCGGCCAAGGTCGATGTATGACGGGATTTCGAACGGGCAATACCAAGGCAACCAATCGGCTCCTGACATGAATCAACGAAGAAAGAAAAGTCGGAAGTCGCAAGGAGGAGGAATCACAAGAGCATCAGGAGTTCGAAGTTCAGACCTGAATCAAGCTCCAATCCCAGCGTCTCCTCAACAACCTCTCACACCGAGCCGCCCAAATGAGACCCCTGTGAAAGCATACGCAGGGCCCACGTTTCATGCGTCCCCAGCGGCTTCCTCATTACCCATCCCAAAATTCTTCTCCAGATCGGTTCCCAATGTGGACAAGAGTAGGATGGAGCAAGAAACAGTTGACACGACGTCCGAGAGCGACAATTCCCCCTTTCTGCAGAACAGCCACCCGACCCATGACCTTCGAGCCCGGGAAGATTCACAAGATTCACCCCTTGACATTTTCTTCCAAGCTGATAGGAACGCTAAGACCAAAGCTCAGGTTAGAAGCCCGGCAGGCTCGAATAGCTTGCGGTCAGAATCACAGAATGATGTTCGACATCATTCGCGCCAACCCACCGACAGTTCCCTCGGTGGAATGTTTCCTTTGGAGATGGATGGGGCAGCATCGGAAACCTCGGATAGTACGAATAATAACGAGCAAATCACCCCTGCTCCCAAGGCCATGTCGGAGGCCGATTACAGAGATGATCAGCGCAAAGCTCAAACCCTCGAGCTCAAGAAGTTGCTCTTCCCTCCCAAGCCTCAACGCCCAGCACCGTCTACGCCTCGCTCAGGTACTCCTTCCCAAGGTCTTAGTTCTCCTTCACCCGGAACTACTCCTCGCTGGAGACTCTCCAGGGCTGGTCCCAGATGCAACGAGTCGAGACCAGCAACGGCACGCTGCTTTGCTGGCTTTGGCTCAAAAGCAAATTTTAGGAAAAGGCAACAATAACGTGTCTGCAGCTCAGCGACCGCCTTCTTCCAAGCTTTGGAAAGAGATTTCAGTACCTAGCTCGCCAGGGGTATCCGAGCTTCCAACCACTCCAACGCAAACCCGTGTACAGAAGACATCTACCAACATCAATGGCCATGCACAGCAACAGCAAAATGACTCTGCCTCTCCCTATTCTCCCTTTCCCTCGGCCTTCACCCCACCAGCTAAGTCTCCTGGCGGATTTCAAAGTACTCCCTCTCGACATTCCAAAGATGCAAAATCAATTGAAGAAGATCTTCGGCGAATCTTGAAGCTTGATGTTCTTGGCGGTGATTCCGTTACTGGTGTTCAATCTTGACGAACTTTTTCACGAAAGGATATCTATTGTGTTTTGCGGATGCTTTTCGAAATACAAGTGCACATGACATACTAAAGAGATACCAATGGCGCATTGGCGGGCGATGAGCTTTTCTTTTCTTATGTTGCAAGCGTTTACAAGATCGCCCTAAGGTGTTCAGTGACGGACAACTTCCAGTGACGGCCGTACCGATTCGTTGTCCGATGGTGCCTCAATATCTACTTTTCTTTGGATCTTATCGAACTCATACCCCCAGTGTATTTTCAGCAGCAGGGCTTTGATGGAGCTCTATCGATGGTGACGGCGCATGGCATGGGACCTGGAATGGGGGTTTACCACCGGCTCCACCGTGTCGCCCGGGGGTACTGGACCGACGAAAGACGTTTTCAGGATAGGACGGCAAGACCAACAGGCATGATCACTTTCTTTTTGCAGTAAGCGAACGAAGGCGGGGACTTCCCTCGCTACTAAGGTGGCTTACTGTACACCAACGACCGCACTTCTGCACCAATGATCACCTCATTTCAATGTTTCCGGCAAAGATCAGATCAGTCAGCGATCGAAAGACGTTCTTACATCAAAGAGCGCCGTCTGTGCACCTCTGCACCACGTTTTCCTTTGTATCACTGTTGAGACCACGGCAGTATGGAAGAAGGATCGCAGATGGAGAATCTATGTGGCGGAATGTGGCCTCGGGGTCAACGAAGGCAAGGGGTCTGAGACCAGGTCATACAAGAGGGAGTCTTTTCCAAGCTACTCTTCAGACGATCTAGCTAGCTATCTCTGAATGAGTAGGAAACCAGAATTGAAATGCCAATATAAATACACTGTGCAAAGTTTTCCTCATCTCCTGACTGTATTGTGCACATGAAACGCATGGCGTACCGAAAATGCGTCTAGATATATAGGTCCACCACATTTGCAGGGTGAATATACTGGAAACAGTGAGCTAAACTGGTGGGTAGTGTCCGGCCTAGATCTGGTATTCACAGGTCCTGAGACTTTGTGCGTTTCAACGTGACTATCTATTGATCTAGGATCCTTTGAGTACGCATCTTGCCAGCCCTTCCATGATAAAAAGAGTACCGTCTCATCTGCCACCAATATCAACCAATCAACCACCGCTGGAGTGGTCTTTTTTGGGGGTAAGGCAAAAAATTTTTTTAAAAAAACTTCATCTTGGTCGGGCCACTCCTGCTGGTTTTGGTAAGCTGCATACCATTCTTGGAGAATACAGCTTACGAGGGCAAGAGAAAGTGTGGCTCGCAATTTGCAACCATCGTTGACTCGTTACTAAATGCGGTGCACGCCGCGTGTCGGTTCGACCTTGGCTGGAACGTCACATGACATGACCAAGGCATGTTCTGCCATGATCTGCATCGAGGGAGCTTCATCTTTTCTTCTACGCCTATGTGTAAAATGCTCGGATCTCTTTGCACTTGAATCGCAAGCCTGATAAGGAAGATTAACGCAGTAGTCTTGCCAGAACATCGTTTCTCCAAGTGGGAGGGAATAGAGGGACTGAAACAGTGCGTAAGATCATCATCGACGTCGTTCAGAAATAAGGCTCCCAGCATTTCTTTCCACTCCGAGTGTTTAGGAGTCCTTTCGGAAAACTGCGCCTCGATATGATGGGTAAATCCGGTGGCAGTGTTGGTACTAGCAGAGGCGTTCATGAGGCCGAGTTCCTTGCTGGGGTATTCCTCCCCACTCCGACGGATGTATGACAGACGACGGTCCCGTTCAAGACTATAAAAGTCGGCGAAGCTGACGTCTTCATCTGAGACTTCGGCTTTGTAAAGATGCCTCTGGGCTTTGGTGCTGGTTTTGAGACGTTTGCAAGGGGTTCTTTCCCGCTGTCCCTTGTGTATGCATGACCTTGAAACTCAGGATCTTCCGCCTCGAGGTGTTGGAAGATGTCTTTGGCGCTCTCGGGCTTCTTTGCCTGTTGCTATTGCGACTCCTGGATAGTGCCATTGATCGTCTCGCCAGCACATTACGGCTTCCATGTATCTGAGGACATAAGCGTGCGCAAGGTTGCTTGCCTATGTCAGATTACTCTCTGTTGGCTGCTGTCCAAACCCAGAGAAAAAATGCCGCCTTGTCCTGATTGCAATTGTCAAGTTCTTGCATGACAGCATAACGTACGAACGTGAACGTTTTGCTAGCGACAAGCCCTTGTGCAAGCGGTACGATCTGATCAGAGGCCTGGATGAGTGCTGCTACAACTTTCTCGATTCCTCTCTTATTTCCTGGCTTTTCCTTTCCCCAGTCTCATGGGTAGTTCCCTTCAATTAGCAACCACAAGCAGCGGCACTCTCCACAAGCCCTGTCAAAAGACAGGCATTGTAATTGCTGATATCAATGTTGTCAAGGGTAGGCCCGTCCGGGCTATCAAACCCAAAAGGTTTCGGTCACTGACTATATGCGACTGGGCTGGACTCATGTCCGTTATTGGCCTCCAAAGTTATTAGGACAGAATTTTGTATTGCCGTCACTTGGTAGACGAGTCGCTTGTAGCGGCTTCCAAAGAGCAATTTCGGCTGCACTGATTTGGACCTCATTGGCGGTACGACGCTTTTTGTCTCATGAATTGAAAATCACGTTCTTCATTTCTACTACCACTGAGTACTCTACAGGACAACCGAGGCATGCACTGTTTCAACTCGTGACGAGATCTAGACGCCGAACCATGTACATGCGCTATCTCTCCGTGACCATTCCATCCTGGGCTTCAGCCATCTTAGCCACGCCATTACAGGGCCCAGACGGTCAGACCATCGAATTGTCTAAAGCTCCCAACCTCACGACCCTGGATCTGTTGCTCCCTTCGAATGCATCTATCCAAGACCTCAACGCTTCGAGCGGGAACGGTTTAGACATTCGATGCGACGGCGCGAGGTATGGCTTCAACCCGTCGCTGTCTGATTGCGAAGGTGCTCGATCATACATTCCCCCTGACTCAGAACAATATGTCTTTGGAGAAAGACATACTGGATTGCCGACGAGTACTTTTCCACTTCCGTACATTATCATGGGAGGTACGTCAACAATGGCAGAGAATGTTCCACTATAATCACTCTCTAACGGGCTGTGCGTACCAGACAAAGCCGAATGTTTCTTCCAAGCCATGTTAATCGGAGGGAGTGCCACAGCTCGCGCAAGTCTAAGTCAAATCCGTAACGCAGCATCTGCTCTTTTCTTGACATGTGCGTCAAACGATCCCTCACAAGGTGGCATTGTCAGTAATATAGGTAAGAATCGACCAATGTAGCTTTCTGAAGTGAAGATTGCTTTCACAGGACACTCTCACATCGTGCTTGACACTCATTTTTACCCAGGTGGTGACAACAATATCGCCGTGGTAATGGGCGTTTTCGAGCCAAAGGTACAATGTCGAGGCAACTTTGATACTTCACTCTCCTGCAGAGATATCTTGGCCGATATGCCAGCAACAACGGAGTTGGAGGTATTCGGTCCCCACGATGCTCCATTTGTCAAAGAGATGCTTCCCCTGGAAGTCGCCTCAGGTAAGGCGCCACCTGAGTGTTGGACCGGCTCTCGCCCAAGCTGACAACAACGACCCCAGCGGACAACCAGTGCATACTGAGACTGTTCTCTACCGGCAGGTCTGACGTGGTTGCTTGGTATAGGATCTGGGAGGCTGTGGAAGCTACATTCGCTATGTGCGGGAGGTTTTTGGAAGGGGGTGTTATAGGGGACTTGGTTGGTTCTCTTAAATTATGATGAGAGGTGGAGGAGAAAATTGTAGGCTAACCCGTCATCTAGGCCAGCAGGGCAATGTTTTTCTCACATTGGGAGCTAGATCTCCCACTGTATCGACAGGCAATTGGTCCGATGACGCTACAGCGTAGGCTGCTATGAGGAACGCGGAGCAATTATCAGTTTGTATGCGCATACTGCCATGTCCTTCGCTATAGCATCTTAACGGTCAGTGTCCCGCTCCAGTAGCGCTACCGTTTGAAATGAAGACGCGGTGCGGAGACACCCTTTCAGAGGAAATGCAGATTGGTGAAAGAGGCTTTGAGTCTGCATAAGCATAAACATAGATCAATTAGTAACCCCGTGCACCGATCTTCTCACAAAATCATATCTTATGGGTGGTCAAGAGATCAGCGAGTACACTCGCAGCTCTCGACCACTTGGGCATCGTCTTCGATCCATATCCTGTGTAGACTTAATTCTACCGCACGTCTCCAAAAACTCTACGTCATTTTCTGTCTCGTCCGCTGGAGGCAGGCTGGCTATCAACTTGCTGCAGATTTGAGGATCCGCGGCTCAGGAGGTTCTCCCTGCGTCATACAGGTCCTTTGTAGAGATAGGTGCATTTGCAGAGCGCCTTGGAACCGGCACAATTGTGAGGCGTAATGGTGGCCTCGACCCTTTGCGTCGTGCTTTTCATGGCGGATTGGAGACACTCGTGTGCATCCTCCACGTAAAAATCGAAGAGGAATAATCTCTTTCGGACAGGATTCTACTATTGAGCTTCACTCTGACACTACCCTGACACTACCATACTTGGACATTAATAACAGAAGGTTGGTATTCAGACCGCAAGCTTTGGGTATATCTGAATGAGTAGTACTATTGGTATGATGGGCAGTGCAAAGATCTGTCATTGTTTTCGGCGCTTGTTGGAAAATGATCATGAACTCAACGCCTACCAAAGCTTGCGTGAAGAAGCAGCTGAAGCATTCCAACCTGAAGCAGATTGGACGGACCCAGGCGCGTTGCAAAAGCTGGTTCGCATAAATAGTACTATCCGTGAGAGCCTGCGCCATAGTCCGCTGGCAGTTCGGGGGGTACTGAGAGAGGTAATGCCGAAAGACGGTCTTACGTTGCCGGACAGCAAGAATTTTGCTCGTGGCACTTGGAGTGGTGTACCTGTGCAAGCTTTGCAGGTGGATGATAGATTTTACGAGAGACCGGAGGAGTATGATCCTTTTCGGTTTGCGAAGACGGCAGGGGACACGGAGAGGCTGGAAGCCATTCAAATTAGTGGTATCTTTTTGTCGTTTAGCTATGGTCGTACTGCCTGGTTGGTGATCCTGTTATTCCCTGTTCTGATCCTTGTGGCCAGCGCTGCCGTTGAGTAGTCCTGGTCGCTGGTTTGCTATTCACCTGCTAAAACTATTAGTCGCTTATGTCTCACACTCGACCATGACATCCAGCCAATGGAGAAGCGCCCCGGGAATACTAACCTCGCTGATGCTGATCTCACCTCGTTCTGTAATCGAGTTAGAGTGCGTAGGAGAAAGCAAACTACATCGTCGTAGATGACCTTCCTGACGAGAATCGCCTGTAATAGCGCCGGAGATGCGGAAGGTGCTGGTGCCGATAAGACCTGAAGCATAGGTCGCTACATATGTTCCTACTTACAATTCCCTCGGGGGGAATCATGATTCAATAAAATTGCATGCGGTCTGTTGCCTTTCAGGCTTTGGGCTTATGAAGGAGTTGACGGCTGGACCGCGTTCGGAGGCTCATAGTCCTGTCACGAAACGAGAACTTGCATCACTTAGCTAGATACAGACAAAGATATATGCATCTTACCCAAACATCTCGCACGTAAAACTGTTTTTCTTCTGCACGGTAGGACTTCTCTTAGCATTGTCAGCCTTTGCTCTTCATCATCTGTAGACTTGCAACTTCAAGTCGAAGCTTGGCAGATCTCCGCACTTTGGTGGTTGAGTTGCCAGAAGAAGCCCGCGTGTCGAAAACGCAGCGCTTGTTGCAATTTTCGTTTTCAAAAAAGAGTTTGATTTCCTTCGCAATGAGTCGCAGGTGAGAAAAGGCATTCAAAGAAGGGATGCGCAAACAACGCTTGCTCCGCCAATCCTATCATCTCGTCTATTCCAGATGCAAGGGATCTGTCTTGAAAATCCCGCGCACCAAGGTCGAGCACGCAACAGCCTTGCAATGTTTAGTCTTCATCTTGACTGTACAGCTACTCGGTGAGTACTTGGTTCTATACACCTCAAATAGCATGCTGATCTAGATTTGTTGCTCCCACCGCGCAATAGCTGGTCACAAAGGGATCGGCATCAATTAATCGAGCCACTCCGTCCTGATCACCTTGTGCATCGGAAATGGCATCTGTGGCTTGCTGCGTAGCACGTGTACCCGTTGCTGTCCAGCAGCTGCTGTATGACAGGTGACCGGAGAATCGCAGTTCCTAAGTAGTCCAAGACGTCCTGTCTGTCGAACGTTACAAAGTTCTGCTCCAGAGACATGTTCAAGGCGGTCAAAAACGTCGTCCTGTCGTACGACCAGGTGACTGAGGCCGGCAAACCAAGCGCTTACGTGCGGCAGGATATTGGTCTGGATTCATGGCTCAAGGTATCTTCGAACCTGCGTATTCTCGGCTCTCGCCAATTTCGCAAACATCAAACACGCCCTCTTCAGAGATGGCACTCCTTGCAAGTGCCCTTTTCAAGAGACGAGGAGGTTCTAGGACATCTTCATATGTTAACACCCACGTTCCCCAATGTATGCCAAGCGCTTGTTTGCATCTGGTATCGGTAAATATATTGACGCTGTCGAACGGGTTCGCATGCATTGATGACATGATGCAGCGAGGGTCGTAGGCTCCAATAGGAATCAAACCCAAATCAAACGGTCCTCTGAAATCCCCAATCTCCTTGAAACTATAATGATTTGGAGTCAGCAGTGCTTCTTAAGGGCAAAAGCCCGAGCATTGACATCGCTCGAAGAGGTATCAAGAGCTTTTATATTGCGGATCATGTCTCGCAACTCAAATAGTGGTCGGAATGGATTCTCTGCACAGAAAATATACATACGCAGGGCAATGAGGCAAATTGTACTTTTCGTCGTAATCGTCTTCTCCGGCGGGAAGTTCGGGGACGGTGCGGTATCCGGTGTCACCACCAAACCAAATCTTTTTCCCTCCACTCGCCACACACCATGAAGCCCATAAGGTATGTGACTTGTTAAATGGTGTCCTCCCGCTGGTATGTTGGCAAGGCAGGCACTCTATCGTTGCCTCAATGTCCTCGCTCTTTCCTACGCTCACTGTGCCGTCTACATCTTCATGCTCCAGCTTCTCGCTCTTTGGCTGCTTTGACAATGTAAATTGGCGTGACTGCCACCAGTCGAGCTCCGTGGCGTTGTGGACTCCCGCCTTTTCAAACCACTTCTTATTGCCTAAGGGCGCGAAAAAGTGGACATTTGGATGCCTCTGCTTGATCTCTAGGATGGTTGGATGCGAAAGGTGATCGTAGTGACTGTGTGAGATGACGACAAGATCTATGAACGGGATGTCTTCGATCTGGCACGGCAATTTCGTGTACCTCTTCGGCCCTATGAAGGTGAGCGGCGAGCATCTTGCTGTAAAGACTGGGTCGAAAAGAACACGCAGTCCGCTAGGGAATTCGACGTAGTAGCACGCATGACCAAGCCATGTCGCACGTAACGCTGGTGTCTCTCGCGTGGGTAGAAAGATTGGCGTGCGGACGGGCACAGTGGGAGGTGTTGTGTCGGGACTCTTCATCTTGCCTCGGAACTTTCGCCTATACACAGTAAGCACTAATAAGCAAGAGAGAATATAAATATGAGGCTGACACACCAAAGCAGCGCCCGCAGTATCTGAGGAACAGTCTGCTCAATGTATGAGTCCCAAGGGTTCAAGAAACCTTTCCCATTCTTCAGATGGTGCCTCAGCTGTTCCGTGTCCTTGGGAACAGCGCCGATGGACCGCATTGGAGACGAGATGGTCGCGTAAAGGGCGGCCGAGGTTGATTGTGACTCCATCTTGCTGCTGGTGTGGAGTTGAAGTCTCTGGACGTGCTGACATGTTCTTCGACACGAGGGTAGCTCTTTTGGGATGATGATGATATTGAGGAGATAGCGACAAGTTGGCATATGTACTGAAGGCACAGCAGGATGCAAGGAGACCTGTTATGTATCTCGCAGACTTCGATTATTGTTCAATTGGAGCAGAACGGCGGGAGTAACAGCAAAGAGTGATTGTTTACCTGAGATGGCTGGCGTCGTCTAAGCGAAATCGCCGTGGCTGCCCGTTCAGTCACGGATTTAGCGGGTGTAATAAGGACAGAGTATTCGTAGCGCCTATCGCCGCCTCTCCGTTCACGTGATCGGAGCCGTTCCGCTTTTATGGATTGAATTAAATAGATGCTTGGAAGCTGATTCAGCTCCGCCTCCATTTTGTTAGCGTATTCATAGAAATTGTAGAGAACGTACTTGCCATCTTGAATAGCCACTGTCGTCTGCTACCTCAGTTGGACATTCGTGATACCGAAGCTAGTGGGTTATACGCTTTTCCTGGTTTTTGCCGTGCCACCATTCAGAAAGGATCCCTCTGTACGCCGCGTGCCAACTCTTGTCATCCCATTGGCGACCTGAGCCGTAGCTGCGGATGCCTGTTCCAGTGTATGACGGCGTATCGATGGGAGCGGAACCTTGCTATCTATGGTGACACCGTGATCCCTCGTGACAGGTATATTTATACAAAGGGCGATGCCGTAGCCTCTTACCTGCTGCTTTGCGCTCTTCTTGACTACCGCGTAAAGCCGTGGCTGTATAGACGAATTGCGCGGTTTTGAGAGGGTGGGATGTCGAGGTCCCAGTCCACCGTCTGCAGGGCTCTGAAACTAAAGCATGCAATCGATGTTGTGGCTGTGATGATTTGCGGTGGGCATTTAGCGAGCACTGAGGTCTATTTGCGGCGAATTGGGTTTGACGAGATTTGGAGATTTGACTATGGAGATGGTAGTTACATGAATACTACGTCGGGTAATATATCAAATCCTCCCCTTTCTTGACCTTGCTTTTTATGACCTTGCTTCAAAATATGGGTGGGCTGTGGTGGCTACGTTCTCTATTTTTTGATGGGTAATGTTTTTTTTTTTTTTATTAATTTAACGCCTACTGAGGTTGGATTCACCTCTCTCGCTCTTCTCGTTTTAGTATCGCATCATATTCGAATACTACTCGTTTCTTAGAGTATGATATAATGTTCCACACCTTCGTAAGTATGAACCATGACCTCAAGCTCAATCGGAGTGACCTGGCTGCGCTCTAAGTACCACCTTGCGCTTTGAAACATGACACGCATCTAAAAGGTATGCATTCAGCGCGGCAGTCGCGATCATGAAGCCAGTGGCCTATGGCTGTGCCAATGATGGCGCCGGTGACGGGGGCGAAGTAGAAGAACCCTGGAGTGAGACTAAGGCTTCTCTTCTCACTTACAAGGCAGTGGCGTCGGAGGAAATGGACGTACCGAGATTGTAAGGCGCGAATCTGTAGATCGAAGTCAGCCAAATTATAACAATTGCGTTGACGCCAATTGCCCAGGCAAAATAAAGGAAGTGGTGGATGGTACACAGGAGGACGGGAAGCTTGGAGATGGCAATAAAAGGACGCATTAGAGCTTGATAGAAAGTCTTTCTGGAACGGCGGCCTCGCCATTGCTCAAAGCCCACCAGTCTAAGCAGACGCGATTTGGGCACTGGTTGCTGATCTCGTGCGAGCTTACGGTTGTAAAGAGTCTTTCGTCCATCAGGCTGACAACGAAGAGCCAGCAAAGAGCCGAGAGACCGGTGTTTACCCAAAACGCGTTGGGCCATGCTTCTTTGTTGATTATGAATGCTGTGATCAGAAGGCCAAGATAGGACGTTGCAATCATGCCACCGGGCTACATGTTTGACTCGCGCCTAGGAAGAGATCAGCATATTGACCACGACAACGTCAGAACGGGCCTGAAGACTGCAACGTACGGGTGCTCGTGGAAGAAGAACACGTCGCGGACGAACATCAAGCCGCCCTAGATTGGAGGAATCCGTGCGTGCATTCCCGATAGGGGTTTCGAAGAGTGCTCACCACTTGGGCAACGATAGAGAGAAATCCGTTCAAAAGGGGCGCTGCCAAGTAAATAATTCCAGCTCGTTGCAGCCTCACACCGAGCGGAAGTGCCCAGGGATATCGATGTGAAGAAGAACAATGTTGGCAGTTGGCCAAAGTAGGCGGTCAGAAGCACGGTAAACTGTCCTCCCGCTCCAAGGCAGAAAACTAAAAGGTCTCCGACCGGGTTACGTTGGATCGAATCCTGAGGCTTCGCCCATTGCCTATGCTTCATCAACAAGCCTTTCAATGGTCTTTTCCAGCGCGACGCACACAGCCTGTGGAAGCAAAGCAGCGACACCGATGCTCGATCCAAAATCTGGTATGAAAGCAACCACAGTGATAACCAAAAGAGTGACGTAACCTGTATAAAAGCGATATATTCTTCCCAAGTAGGGGCTGTTTGGAAAAGTGCTAATACATTACGTTACAAGGTCCTGTGTTTGGCAAAACCCTTTCAATCTAGCCGTTCTCCGATGATCTTACCTCGGGCAAGGTTAGGTGATACTAAGAGTCTAAGAGATGCCTCAGACAACTCCACAATCCTCCTCACTTGCGCACCTTTATCCGAATCCCCTTACTATCCGCCCTGGGATACGGCACGAACCGATCAGAAGCCATGTCGGTATCGCTCCGATCCGTCTCGAACAACTCCCACCAGCCATCCTCCCCATGATCCTCCTTGCTGCCGAACCGGCGCCAAATCTCCGAGAGCAACAGAAAGAGCTCGGTGTACGCCAGCTGCATCCCTAGACACTGCCTGGAACCCTGCGAGAACGTGATCAGGTAGCGCTTGAGCTGCGGATTCTCGATGAAGCGCTCCGGGCGGAACTGCATGGGGTCGGCAAAGACGTCCGGGTTGTGATGGATGAGGGGCGCAGCCATGCCGACTGGGGTCTGGAGCGCTGGTCAGGACGTACGTGTATTAAGCTTGGCGGGTATAGGAGTTGGAAGTGGAGGGATGATACTCACGCCGGGAGGGATGTGCCACTTTCTCTTGCCGTCGTCAAAAGTCATGACTTCGTTTGGGCTGATGCGCGTTTGGCGTTGGCTGGTGCCTAGTGCGATGCGGAGACCCTCCGTGATGACAGCGCTGAGGTATGGCAGCTGCTCGATATCCTTGATTGACAATGGCGCGGAGACACTAGGGAGGGCAGCCTTAAGCTCGGTTCTCAATTTTGCGAGGACCCTGGGGGTGGACAGGAGATGGACAGTCATGATCTAGGACTAAAATCAGCACTCACAAGATAAAGAGGGCCGTTCTCCCGTGGGGCGCACACTCAGAATCCAAGACGTGGTTTCTGTGCCTGCGATCGAGAAGTTCTGAGCCTCCTGGAGCAAACGGAGCGGTTGTTTATCCTGCTCTGATAATTTGCTATCTAAGATTTCGTCGAACACCGTTTTGTTGTCCTTCCCTTCGTGGTGGGACTTTGAGACTCTGTCAATGTTGCTTAACAGTTGCTGCAAACGATTTAGTTTTGTCACCTGAGTAATCAAGTCACTGCGATTACCATTCTGAACCGAATAAAGGTACCGAATCCGGGGTTTATTTTCAATACGAGCCACCGAGGCAGCCTGGCGAAGAGGCCCATAAACCACTTGAACTGAACCGCAAGAGGCCCAAGGTCATGGAAGCCGTCAATCTGTATTCTTCTCAGCCATTGAAATCGAATCCACATCGTCTGCGACTCACCATTTCGAAGAAGACCTTGTTAAACTGTGGTGCTTGCACCCAATTCAAACTGAAGCCATATGCATATTCGGAAATCACATCATTAGTAAACGCCCCAAACATGGGCAGCAGACTGATCTCCCGGCCATCATCCTGGAACTCCATCAACCGAACCAACAACTTGTCCAAATTCGTCCTCATAATGGGCTCCAGCCGCCTCACCGACTCCTTCGAGAACATCTTCGACATCGCAGCCCGCCGCGTGCGGTGCAAATCATGATCGGCCGTGGCGCCCGCGGCCTGCGAGAAGCCAAACACCTGTATCATGCGCGGGTACTTGTCCCTGCGACGTCCGCCGGCGGGCATCAGCTCCGGAAGGAAAGAAGGGTCGTTGATGTGCAGTTCGTCGGGGGAGACGCGCACGATGTGGCCGTATTTGGCGTGCATGTCACGGATGCGGAAGATGTATTGGCCGCCGCGGAAGAAATCATGGTAGAACTCGCACCAGAGGGTCATTGCTGCGAGACGCGGGCCGGGGAATTTGGCGAGTGGATGCAGAGTGAGGCGGTAGGTGTAGAGGAGGATGACATAGAGGACGAAGGAGGCAGCGACGACCGTCAATGGCCAGGCGATGAGAAGATCGAGGGCAGGCATGGTGTTGCAGATTCAGTAACGGTAGGGCCGAGAGGCTTGGGATCCGCTCTCCTTGCGTGGATGAGCAACGCAGGTAAAGAAAAGGAAGGAGAAGCCAATTCAAGGTGAAGACTCTGCTGGATGTGATGCTGTGTGAGTGGCGTTATGTGAAGAAAGTCTATACATATTGATTGATAATGCGTATTCGATGTTCGGCTCCGATTTGGAGTCGGCCATGATAGTAAATATTTCGGTGGATTAATGTCGCTCCGACTTTCAACACAGCGCTTCCGAATAACAAGATCGTCTTCGTTATCTTGCATAAGGCTCGAACAATTTTCGTACATTTTCGGCTTTCGGTCTTTGTGCGCGATTGCATTCGACGCCTAATGGCATAACTCAACTGGCTTGGTCTGCGCATCATTTGGAGTCTGCGTCAATTAGAGGTCTTGTGGGTGCCCTGCTCTTCTACTATTGGCGAATTGTCTTTCGTGTCGATCAATGCTCGGTACCGAAAGCACGGTGCGAAAGGCAGGAAGAGACGAACGGTTGCTTCAAGCATGCTGTAGCTGAAGGTCTAGCATACGTGCACCTTCCATGCCTATTACGCCGACATTCCACCTTGTTGGGGACAAGGACCGTATGCTGGTGAAGGTCGCCGAAGAGCGAGGGGGGTAATCTTCCATCCGATGCTCGGGAGCTCTGATGCAGCTGAGTTGGGTCTGTAAATTGATGAGATGCATTGTGGTGCGCTACTTTGCTGCGGTGTAGTTCAGACATGGAGGTTCTATAGGCGCCCTTGAGGGGCACTGGTGTGGCAGATTGATCTTCTCCGTTGTCTGGGTAAGCATTATCTGGCCGACGTCTCTGGAAGGGATCAAATAAGCAATATTGAGAGTGCATTTTCTGATGACAGGCTACACCTTACATATTTGAAATCACCAAGCGTAAGCTCAATTTTGGAAACACATATCTCAGGACGACAATTTTGACACCAGCTTTGAGTTTATGACCACGCATCGGTCGCAGCTTTTATTGAAGACTGAAGGGCATGAAACCAGCAGCTTCAGCCGATATGTTGAATACTGGCTTTGCCACCGCAATCCTACACTAAAGCCTTCGCCTTCAGCTTGACCATCAACGCCTTGGGCTCAAAGACGAGGTAAGCCTTCTGATCCATCCAGTTCCCATCACTAGGATCAGCCATCTCAAGATCAAAGTTCCAGACCATCTTTGAGAGAATCATTCGTGCCTCTGCGAGGAAGACCCTGCCATCGAGAATTAGTTCATTAAGAGCGCGAGAATGAAAGGAAAAGGGTTTGCGCTGCAAGACGTCTCTTCGCAGACTTACTTCCCACCCATACAATTCCGCCCACCCACCGAAAACGGCTGGAAAGCCTGTTTATCATCCTTATCGAAACGTTTCCGGTATCTCGAATCGGTTTCGGGCAGGAATCTTTCAGGATGGAAAACGCGAGGCTCTACCCAGTTGTTGGGATCGTTCTGGATGTTTTGCAAATTTACGCCGATGATATTCTAGGCGCAGGTCAGCGGCTATATGTCTTCTACGGATACAGCTAGAAAATCGATGCAAGACAGAGGAGGCACTGACCCCTCCCGGAATCCAATGGCCATCAATCGTTTGGCCTTCTGGAGGGATAACTCTCGGAAGATTGATCGGCGTGGGATGATGGATGCGTAGGGTTTCATTGATAACAGCCGTGAGATATGGTAGATTCATAGTGGAAAGAACTGTGATGCCGGCCTCTGACTCAAAGCTCTCCCGGACCTCTTTTGTAAGTTGCTTCAAAGTCTCGGGGTAGCGCATCAAAAGATAAGTGGACGTGGCCAATGCCACAGTAGTCAATTGGCACCCAGCAATGACGACGGCAAGTGCGTTTGTGTTCAGCTCTTTCCTTGTAATACCCTTCTGCTGCGTCTCGTCCAGCCTCCCAACAACAGGCGTGATGAAATCCGATCTCGACGGACCCAAATCCCCCATATCCAATCGACGCGAGATCTTGTCCGTTGCGACTTGCCAGCTGCGCGCCCTGTTCTTCGCCGTCAACCGAAGGAATATCCATCCGAAAATCTTGTCGATGGGATGGAAGCGGCTCAGGCTGTTTCTCACCGAGCCAAACTTTGCGCCGAGGAAGAAGCCCAGTATCCAGGAGTGCTCATTGTCGCCCTCTAAACCATAGAAGGATTCCCCAAACGTAAGATCTGCGATGATGTCCAGAGTCACGTATCCGTAAAACTTTGCCATGTCAACTTTGCCTTTCGGGGCTTTTGCCAATCTCCCTGTGAAGTCTTGTCATCAAGAGATTGGCATAAGAGTCGATGATTGGGGTTTGGTCCTTCAATGCTCTGTCAGAAAAGGCGTTAATAAAGGTTTTTCGAATCCGTTGGTGCGTTTCCCCTGCAGCGGTGAAGAGGGATTCAGCTCCGTTCATGGGTGGTGTCTGGCTAAATGGATCCTTTGGCAAAAGTGGCTTCGACGTGTATATGTCCTTCCACGCGCCAGAAGATGTAGTGGCGATCTCGTCTGGAGCGATGCGAATAATCGTCCCGTATTGCGCATGTAGTTTGCCAGTGAATCGCCATGTGTTCCCCGTTATTGTAGAGTAGATGAGGGGCAAGCGTGAAATTGCTGTCATCTTTGGTCCTGGGTACTTGGACAACGGGTGGAAGTAGATGTTGTAGATGGCGGAGACGACATAGTACTAAAGATGCAACTCAGCTTTGTCTGCGGTGGTCAATATATTGCGTAGATACCTACAAGGACCAAGATGGCACCGGTAGTGCTCATAAATTGGCTGGCCGAAATCGCCAACGGAGAAGACATATTAGAGAGTGTCAACATTTTGTCAAATCTGGCTCGTATTGAGCATCATCGCTAGAGCATAGAGATCAGAGAAAACGAACCGTTGTGCAAATGCTACACTACACACTCCAACTAATCGCTTTGGTCGGTGATGATTCGCGAAACAACGTCGCAGTCTTAATCTTCAACCAAGTCACACATGCGCTTGTGTTCAAGCTATTACCGAGCCTCTCTAATATGATCCAATTTGACCCACTCCTGTAGAAGCGCAGTCCAAAAAAGGGGTCCTTTGAAATGTTTGGAGACCACTCTCACTAGGTATTGTAATCCAGGCGAACAGTCAAAAAGATGAAGTAAGTCGCAGAGAATTGATACTTCTCGCGAGGTATTGATTGTAATTCCACCATGGAAGGGGCATTCGGATCTTACCAACGTCCCAAGCCAACCTCCGAAGGACATGCATTATGCGCTAAACCCACCGAACCCTGATGCAGGGTGCACGAAAACTTTTGCACCGAAAACGAAGCCGAAGGTACCATTGTCTTTGTGCTTCCGAAGGTTCTGCAGACTTAATCTGTACCGACAATCATGCCAGACGCAGGTCCAAAGCCCGACGAACCACCGAAATCGGTGCAAAGGGTCTTGGTACTGTACTAACGCTTCGGAAGAAGCAGTACATAAGTGTAGATAGCTGCGAATCGATGGCCGCCCAGTCTCCACCAACCGGCACAACAACATCCCAATACTTTCAATTTTGTTTCAACAACCCGTTAACGCTGGCGATGTCGGCCAACCCAAACGGCCACCCAATGGCCTCAGTAGCGGTATTCTGTCCGCAAAGCAAGGCTCCTGGGGAGAGCTATCTCAACGAAGTACACTCCTTCCTCCGCCACAGCGAGTACCTCGAACCATTTGTGCAACGAATGCTTGACCTTAAAGACGTCTGGACTATCCTCGCCAACGAACGACAGGACATTGCCGATCTGGGCCAAGGGCCCCGATACATTCAGAATCTATCAGAATGGTTCGCCACAGGAAAGTCATCCCAAATCGCCAACTGCATGTCCGGGATCCTATCGCTTCCGCTGCTTGTCGTCATCCAGATATGCCAATATTTTCAGTATCTGGAGCTCCATGGGATGTCACACTCCCAATTTATGGCGCAGCTCCGAACAGGGGGCGGCATCCAGGGGTATTGCGGAGGCCTACTACCAGCCATTGCAATTGCTTGTTCTAAAACCGAAGCTGAGGTTGTAGAGAACGCGGCAAGAGCAGCGCGAATCGCGCTCGCAATTGGGGCTTACGGTGAACTCGGAGACGATGAATCCGTGCCCGGAGCAACGACCATTGTTGTTCGCACGAAACGAGTCGGCCAGGGAGATGAATTGATCGAAAAATTTCCCGGGGTGAGCTCCTCGAATGCCCGCTTGTCTCCTAGCTCTCATCACAAAGCAGGCTTTCTGACAAGTGCGCGCAGTCATACATATCGGCAGTCACAGATCCGAAAACAATCAGCATCGTCGGCCCAGTGCCAGTCCTCCTCAAGCTACAATCTTACGCACGAGAGCAGGGTCTGCTCGTGCAAGAAATGTTTATCCGAGGCAAAGTGCACAACCCCGAGAACTTTGAACTTGCCTATGAACTTTGTCAGCTGTGCGACAGGACCGAGATCCTTCGGCTTCCTGACGCCAGCAACTTGCAGGCTTGCGTGAGGTCCAACAAGACGGGCGATCTGATCACAAGAGGGTCGCTCACACACGAAACAGTCAACGTAATCCTCGCGTCACGGTGCGAATGGTATACACTCCTCACAGAGTTGGCCAAGGACCTTGATTTGTCCGGACGTCGAAGTCACACGTTTGCGACATTTGGAATTGGGGACTGCATTCCGCTATCCCCATTCCATAAGCTTCAGCTCCAGATCACAAAGGTGGATGTGCAGTCTCTCATAGCCGAAACCATGCATAAAGTTCGAACAAACAGATTGGAAGGTGGTTATTCTTACCCGACAGATGCTGTTGCCATCACGGGTGCCTCATGTCGACTACCAGGAGCTAACAGCATGGAGGAGCTCTGGGATCTCATTTCCAGCGGTAGTTCACAACATACAGAAGTCCCCACGGACAGATTCGATCTGCATGGGAGCTTCCGCGCATCTCAAGACCGCAAATTTACTGATAAGCGCAAATTCTACGGCAACTTTGTTGACCAAGTAGAGAAGTTTGACCATACGTTCTTTCGCACCAACCCCAAAGAAGCATTGAATATGGATCCCCAACAACGCGTACTCCTCGAACTTGCCTATCAAGCCATGGAATCAAGCGGCTACCTGGGCTCACATCGGCGCGAATCAGGAGATTCTGTTGGTTGTTTCATAGGCGCCAGCTTCGCGGAATATCTCGACAACACAAACGCTCATCCACCAACAGCATACACGTCGACGGGAACAATCAGAGCTTTCCTGTGTGGTAGAATTAGCTACTACTTTGGCTGGAGCGGTCCCTCTGAAGTGTTGGATACGGCTTGCTCGTCGTCTCTCGTTGCCATTAATCGAGCCTGTAAGGCTATTCAAATAGGCGAATGTACCATGGCTCTTGCAGGAGGCGTTAATATTATGAGCGGGATAAACAACTTCCTGGATCTGGCCAAAGCCGGATTCTTGAGCCCTACAGGCCAATGTAAACCATTTGATCAAGCTGCAGATGGCTACTGTCGTTCCGAAGGTGGAGGGCTGGTCGTCCTAAAGCTTCTCAACCAAGCATTGGCAGATGGCGATCAGATTCTCGGTGTCATCCCCGGCATAGCGACTAATCAGGGTGGACTGTCTTCCTCCATCACAATTCCGCATTCTCCCGCACAAAAGAAATTATATCAGACCGTCTTGCGCCAAGCCGGCATGAAACCAGACCAAGTCTCCTATGTCGAGGCTCACGGGACAGGTACACAAGCCGGAGATCCGTTAGAGATAGCTAGTATCCGCGAGGTGTTTGGGGGACAAGACAGAACCGACCTGCTGAACGTTGGCTCTCTCAAAGGCAACATCGGCCATGCAGAGACCGCAGCAGGTGTAGCCAGTCTGCTCAAGATTCTCGCCATGATCAACAAGGCCAGCATCCCACCCCAGGCCAGCCACAAATCTCTGAATCCTAAGATCCCTGATTTAGGAGTGGACAAAATGAGCATTGCCTCAAAACTTACTCGATGGGAGGCCGACTTATTGGCGGCCTGTGTGAACAGTTACGGAGCAGCAGGAAGTAATTGCGCCATGATCTGTTGCGAAGGGCCTCCACAAAAGACAGAAGTCTCCAAGCAGTTCACCACAGCTGAAGCCGAATCAACATACCCATTAATCGTAAGCGCAGCGTCTCAAGAAAGTCTGTACGCAAATGTCGAAAGTCTGGGTCAATACCTCCAAAAGATAACGCCAAAGCCCAATTTGGGCGATGTGGCATTTACACTCAGCAAGCGACGCAAGCTTCACCGTCAAATCTTCGTCACCTGCACGTCCGACATCAACGATCTGGTACAAAGTCTCAAAAAGGAGGCTCAAATCTCTTTCGAGGTGCCACAAACGCCAAAGCGGGTTGTCCTAGCTTTTGGAGGGCAAACCAAGAAAACCGTGAACATGGAGAAAAGCCTGTACGAGTCTCACCCACGTCTGAAGGACTACGTCGATGAATGCGACAAGATCGTTACAGACCTGGGGTTTCCCACACTCCTGCCCTCGATATTCCAATCAGAGCCGCTGACAGATGTGGTAACGCTGCAATGCGGCACCTTCGCCATGCAATACGCATGCGCCAAGTGCTGGATCGACGCTGGTCTCCAGGTAGAGGCTATTGTTGGCCACAGCTTTGGCGAGCTGACGGCCATGGTAGTCTCAGGTGTCCTCTCACTTCGGGATGGCCTCAAGCTCATCGCTTCTCGGGCATCGTTGATGGTAACCAAATGGGGTCCAGACAGGGGGACCATGCTTGTGATCCACAGCAGCCGCGACACTGTGCAAGGCGTGATCACCACTATCAACGCCGGTTCAACAGAGCCAGAACTCGAATTTGCATGCTACAATGCTCCATCAATTCAGGTCGTGGTCGGCAGTTCTCTCGCCATTGATCGAACCGAAAGCCTGTTAAACGCGGACCCGCGCTTCTCCGGCATCCGAAGCCAGCGGCTTGATGTGACCCATGGATTCCACTCAAAGTTCACACAAGGCATTCTCGATGATCTCGACCAGGTCTCGATATCACTGACCTACTCTAAGCCGGAAATTCACCTGGAAACCTGTACTGCAGAGCCGAGTAACCACATGTCAGCGACAAGACCTTCTCAACACGCGCGAGAACCCGTACATTTCTCAGACGCTGTTCGGAGAATTGAAGAACGTCTTGGTCCCTGCATCTGGCTGGAGGCTGGGATGGACTCACCGATCATCCCAATGATCAAAAGAGCCTTGACCGCGCCAGATGATCATTCTCTACAAGCTATCAAGATGTCAGATTCTCAGGCGCCTATGACGTTGTTGTCCAACGTGACAATGAACTTCTGGCGCGAAGGGATTCCAGTATTGTACTGGAACTTCCTCCCGTCAAGAAGGAATGCCTTCAAGCAAATCTGGCTCCCACCGTATCAATTCCAGCCAACAGCCCACTGGCTCAAGAACATCGATCGGGCCGTTGAGGCACAGAAGAATGCCGTGGTCGAGAAGACGACAATTGTAGAGAAGATCCAAGAACCAGAAGCGCCATTGAGACTGGTGAACGTTGCGAAAGGTGCGAGCAAGAACGAGCGCTCCAGAGAATTCGACATTGGCTTGGGAACAAAACGTTTCACCAAGATTGTATCTGGCCATGCAGTTCGACAGAGACCACTATGTCCGGCGTCAATGTACATGGAGTGCGCAGCAATGGGCGTGCAGCTGCTCCAAGGATTTACGGAAGCCGGCACTCTTAGCTTCCTCGACGTGTCCTTTCAGGCAGCTCTGGGTGTCGACCTGGCTCGAGAAGCTTCCTTGACACTCGAAAAGTGCAACGACTCGCAAGCATGGAACTTCGTGATCAAAAGTTCTTCAAAACGCGACTCAAAGTCGAAATGCTCAACGCATGCAAAGGGCAGAATTGTGCTGAACCCGCAGCCTGATTTCAGAACATATGAGAGACTCATCGCTGACAGAATCTATGAGCTGGAGAGTAAGCCGAACACCGAGAAGCTAATGTCCAACCGGGCCTATGGATTATTCTCCCAGGTGGTCCACTACGCCGACTTCCTCCACGGTATTTCGCACATCACACTAGACAAGGCCGAGGCAATAGCCAACATCGACCTTCCTGACGAAGCCCAGTTTGGTCTTGACGAGAGCACAGTAACTCAATACTGCGACACCATAGCTATAGACACATTTATCCAGGTCGTGGGCCTCCTCATCAACAGCAGCGCCCTGGTGACCAGCGAAGACGTCTTCGTCGCCACAGGAGTCGAACGCGTCTCGATGTCCTCAGCCTGCGACTTCCACAATCGCAAATCCTGGACTGTCTACACGAAGTACACAAGCACGGGTGAGGGCAAAGCAGCAGGGGATGTCTTCGTCATGACACGCGAAGGGGCCCTGGCGATGATAATCACAGGGGCACAATTCACCAAGCTCTTAATCTCGAAGCTCGAGAGGTTTTTAGATTCTGCCAACGCAAAGCCGTCCCAAGGGACTGCCGTGGGAAAGATTTGTCTCCCACACGGACCGGTCAAGTCCCCCGTAACGTCATCCACGGCAACATCCGTTGAAGGAACCGAGACCCCGACGGACATTGACAACAGCAGCACGGCAACATCAGTCGAAAGCAATGATGGACTCGCAACACCGGAGGCAGTCGATGATGGCGCTGAAATGAGCCTGCGGAAAATCATCGCTACCTATACAGGGCTTTCTCCAGCAGAGATAGCGCACGATGCCAGCATGGCGGACCTAGGCGTGGACTCTCTGGCCGCCGTTGAGCTGGCAGAAGAACTCCAGGCACAATTTGGCAAGGAGGTCGTAGCCGAAGATCTCCTTGAAAGCAGCTACGGAACCCTCTCGGAACTCCTTGTTCCTTTCTCCTCGACCAAGAAAGCGATTTTGCATCCTTCCGATGACTCAGGGCCTCAGGCTGCAATTCCTATTCAATTTTCAACCTCACCATCGTCCTCGTCCAACGTCAACGGTAGCCCACAGAACACGCAAGGCCACCAAGTCGCTTTGAAATTACTTTCCGATACCTCAGGAGCCCCCATCGCCTCCATCAACGGCAAAGCCACCCTTCAAGAACTCGGTATCGATTCACTCTCCGCCGTTGAGCTCAAGGGCGATCTCGAGGACGCATTCGAAATTGAAATCGAAGACGACAGGTTTACCCTGGATTCGACCGTGAAGGATATCCTGGACTTCCTCGGAGTAGGAGGCGCACCCCAGGAGGCATCTTCTTCGCTAGCAACGGTCACAAAGCCAACAAACCAAGTAGGCCGAGATGAATCAAGCGGCTTTGATAAGAGTTTTTCTGCCGTGAAGAGTCAGGGCAAAGTGGTCGAACTAGGGAGCCCTATGGAAGCGCTGGTCCAGTGCGAGTCGTTTTTCGAGAAAGCGGCTGCCAAATGTGGGTTCCTAAATTACTGGACTGAAGTAGCTCCAAAGCAAGACGAACTCCTGCTGGCTTACATCTGCGAGGCCTTTCAAGCTCTAGGTTCAGACATTGGTCAGATTCCACAAGGCCAGCAAGTTCCCTCGATTACCCATCAGCCGAAACATAAGAAGGTGATGAATCGACTGCTCGAAATCCTCGAGAAGCATGACGTCTTGACCAGGGAGGGGTCAGACCTCATCCGCGGTAGCAGAAGGACACCATCCGCGCCATCTCAAGAACTCCATAATCAATTCCTTGCACAATTCCCCCCGTACGCTGGCGAAGCTCGACTCATGGCCCTGACAGGCCCAAAGCTAGCCGACTGTCTTGCCGGCAAGACCGACCCCATAACCCTTATGTTCCGCGGTGCCGCAGCCCAGAAAGTTATGGAAGACTACTACTGCGCCTCGCCGATGCTGTCCACCCTAACGGAACAACTAGTGACCTTCCTTCGCACCGTGGTGACCTCCAGTAGCACTGCATCCAGCGACACGCCCATCCGAATCCTCGAAGTAGGCGCCGGCTTCGGCGGCACAACGACGCGACTCGCGGAAGTGTTACAATCGAGCAGGGTACCCGTCTCCTACAAATTCACCGACATCTCGCCCTCGCTCGTAAAAGGCGCCAAAGCCAAATTTGCAAGGTACCCCTGGATGGAATTCCAGTCCTTGAATCTGGAAAGCGATATGCCCGCCTCGCTCAAAGATACATACGACATTGTCATCGGCACCAACTGCGTGCACGCGACGACGAACAAGACCAAAACAATCAGCAGGCTGAAGAGCCTTTTGAACGCGCAAGGCTTCATGGTGCTCTCAGAAGTGACGCAGCTGGTCGACTGGTACGACATCGTCTTCGGGCTGCTGGATGGCTGGTGGCTCGCCAACGACGGGTCAACCTACCCCCTGCAGCCGCCAGAGTCATGGGTACGGTCCTTCGAACAGGCCGGCTTCAGCAGGATATCGTTTTCGCAGGGCCCGAGTCCAGAATCCAACACGCAGCGACTGCTGGTGGCATCCAATGACCCAAAGGTGACTGCACCCCTCCGTGGCGAAGAGAGACAGCCCAGCGTGCAGACGGTTGTGTATAAAGAGGTCGAAGACACTCAGATCGAGGCAGACATCTACCTGCCCGCCCAGGCTTCTGCAAAAGCCATGCCTGTCGGTACACACTCATCTCCCAACCAGCGCCACACTGCCCCCTGATATCATCCCTGCTGACTCATATCTCCGCTTCCTAGCACTCATGATCCACGGCGGCGGGCACATGACGCTTTCCAGAAAAGCAATCCGACCCTTCCAGACCGCCTGCCTCCTCCGCCACAACGTGCTACCCGTCAGCATCGACTACCGGCTCTGTCCAGAGATAAACCTCATCGACGGGCCTATCACGGATGTACGCGACGCGTATGGGTGGCTGCAGACGGGCTTGCAAGCTGTGGTGAAAAGCAGAGGGATCCTGGTGGATGAGAAGAGGATCGTGGTGATAGGGTGGTCGACTGGTGGGCATTTGGCCATGACGACGGCGTGGAAGAGCAAAGAGGCAGGGTTGAGGCCTCCAGTGGCAATCTTGAGCTTCTATGGTCCTACCGACTTTGAGTCTGGAGGCAAGTTGATCGATCTACACGTTCTATCTCTCTTTTGCTTTGCGTTGTCAAATGATGCCTTCCTTCCACCTCCGTCTCCCCCACTCCAACAAAGCGTAGCCCCGCTAACTCCTAGTCTCCGCCCCCCGCAGATCTCGATGTCCGGCGGGCCGAAATGTACCCGGAGCGGCGGCTGTCAATGGACAACATCATCTCCTCTCTGCCTACGAAACCAGTAAGCACCTATTGCTCTCCAATAAACAACTATCCACCAATACTGTTCCCCCTTACCACAATTATCCCCCTCCCGCTCTCCTCTCTCCCTCGACTTCCCACAAAGCGCCCCCAAACCCACCCCCAGAACCCCCCTTCCCTTCCTGTCCCCCCCCCCCTCCCATCTTCCCTCACACCCACCAACCCCCCAAAACCCAAACTAACACCCTCCTCCCTTCCCCCTACAGATAACATCCTACACCACACACCCCCACCCCCACCTCCACCTCCACCTCCACCGACAGCAGCCACCTCGGCTGGCTACGCCCAGGCGACCCACGCTCCGAGCTCGTCCTCTCCCTCTTCAAAGAAGGCAACGGCCTGCCCCTCCTCCTCAACGGCATCCGCTCCCCCCCCGACCGCACCACCCCCCCGCCCGCCGCCGTCTCCCCGCTCTCCCACCTCCGCCGCGGCACCTACGCCACGCCGACGTTCCTGATCCACGGGACCGGGGACGAGATCGTGCCGTTCGGCACCGCGGTCGCTTTCGCGCGGGCGATGCGGGAGGCGGGGGTGAGGGGGGGGCTGGGGGCCGTGGAGGGGGCGCGGCATGTCCACGATCTGGGGGTCCGGGAGGGGGGGTGGGGTGGCGGGAGGGGGTGGGGGTTGGGTATGAGTTTTTGTTTGGGGAGTTGGGGGGGTGTGAGTGGGGAGGGGGGGAGGGGGGGGGAGGGGAGGATGTGGGGCTTTTGGTTTGTGGGTGAGAGTGTGGGTTGGTTTGGATTGGGTTGGTGTTTCTTTGGTTTTGTTTCTCCCTTTTTCTTTCCATCTTTGATACGTTGTTGTGTTTGTGCGTTCTCTTAGAAAAAAAATTGTGGGCGGGAGAGACATTCTCATAGCGTCTATAGGTTTGAAATCTCATCTGGTCTAATCAGGATAGGAAACAACACTTCTATACCAGCGCATCCTCCTCCCTTCCTTTCTCGTTTCCTACATGCGTAAAGCTTTACTCAATCGAATGAGCATTCGTCAAAAGCCAACTCGATGATCGGGGCTACATGCAGACTAATAGACTTGGGGCTGTACGCGGAATAGGTAGGTAAGGGCCGTACGCCCAAAGCCAGCCAAAAAAAAAAAGGCAAGAACGAAAAAGTCCTCCCTAACCACACCTTTCCTTCTCCCCACGCCGTCGCTAAAAATCCATAGCCTCCCTCAGCACCCTCCTCAAATCCCCCAATCGCTCCATTATGCACTCCACCCTCTTCCCCCTCCCCGCCTCCTCCCTCATCAAACACTTCACGAACCCCCCACTAACACTCGACTCCAACACCCCCCTCCCGCCCCCTTTCCTCCCCCCGATCCTATACTCCTGCGGCACGCCCAACGCCAACTCAACCTTGCCAAGCACATGCATGCTGATCTGCAACACCAGTTCGACCTGAAACGCGCCGAATCTATCCAACGAGACGCCTCCGACCCGCATGCCTGGGAAGACGGGGGGAGACGGAATCGACGTGCCGGGTGGCGGGTGGGAGGAAGGCGAGTAGGTAGTCAAGGATGTGGGCGTGCATGATGCTGTGGAGGTGGATGATGCGCATGTAGCAGGTGAGGAGCTGAAGGACGGTCGTCATATCGATTGTGGGAGGCGGCTTGGAGTCGTCAGAGCTGCCAGCGGAAAGTCTGCGGTGGGGACGTCGCACCGCTTCGTCCATGGCAGGGTCGTCCTGATCCAGAACTGAAGCTGAGGGTGAGGTGCCGCTGTCGCTAGAATTGCAGGTAGAGTCGTTATGATTTATTAAAGGAGTAGAAGGAGGAGGGCGAGAGGGTAGTGAGGAGGGAGCGGTGGGTTCGGAAAATGAAGTCAGCAGCGTCAAGAAGGTGTTGGAACTCTTCAAGACGCTGCCTACCAATTGGTCTTGGAAGGCAGTCGCCGTGGCGCTGGACGTAGGCTGATGATTCTTAGGATCGTTGGCCGCCAATTGCGCATACAAATCCATTGCTAATTCAGAAAGCTCCTGCATGCGCCGGTGTTGGAATTCCGTCACCGAGAGATTCTCTTTGTTAGGTCTGATCGCGGCTTCCTTTCCAGGCAAGTCTTTAGAGGGTGCGGACTGAGCTGTTGAGCTCATCCCAAAGCTGGCGGAAACCCGCCCCCTTTCTCCATGCCAGTCCTGAGCTCGATCCGGTCGAGAATTCAGAGCCTCTGTGGGGTTGAACGGTGCTGTACGGGCGCTTTGACTGGGCAAGTCAAGATCCATTGCCTCATCTGACGCTCCGAATAGCTGTGAATTGGTCGAGTATGTTTGTGCAGGAGTTTCATATGCATTGACAGCCGCATCTCTGATCTTTTCTTCGTTACTCATTGGCGAAGCACTTGGTATTTGGATGTCCATGGGCTGCGCTTGATAGCTATGGAAGGCCCAGCTGTACTTGGGACCATAAGGGTCGAAACCCGAAGCTTCTCCGGCATCATTGTTGTAAAAGGACGGCAATGTTTCGTCAGGCCAAGGCAAAGTTGCAGTCGAGGATGCGGAAAACGCGGGAAAGTCGAAGTTGTCTCCACCCAAAATGCTCGAGGTGTCGTGCAGGGACGAAGGGCTCAGTGCATGTGCGAGGGTCGTACCTTCGGTCTCTCCTTCGCTCTCCTGGTCTGCAGTATTCTCTCCGAACAACCGACCACTGCCCCGCCCTCCAGGTCCACGGCGGTTCTGCCCTCCATCTGCATGGTTGTCGGAAAAGCCACTATGGCCGCGTGTATTGAGAGCAGGCCTCGAGGCCATCCCACCTTCTTTTTGGATTCCGCCGCCATTCCCTCTCCGCTGCTGGGGAGAGGCAGCATGGGATGTGGAAGGTCTACCAGCACGCTTTGGTGTGCCAAAGCTACAGGTAGCGCCTGCTTTGAAGCAGCGCACACATGGGGCTTGATGGGAGTCTTGGCTCTGATCCTCACGCAGACATCTGAGTTTCTGGCCGCGACAGCGATCGCACGCTCCACGCTTGCTTCCGCGAGGGTTCGAGAATGGAGATTCAGTAGCGGCAGCGTCAGACGGCATTGAAAGTGGTCTGTCTCGAGGCCACCGGCCGCCTCCCACAGGCTTGCTCAAGAATAATTCCTGTCTTGATGATCAGATGAGGGGGGGTGCTAGATAAAGTCGACTTCACTCAACTCAAACTTTGAGATTCGGACAGCCTGATCAAGTCGAGATCCATCCCACAAATCCAAAGCCAAGCCCAACGCAAGCTCTGCTTTTGTAGTCTGACCGCGCTGCATCCTGATTTATGGCAGGAATTGTTCTTTTGACTTTTGGGCTACGGAGGCTGAGCCAAGTGATTTATCCCAAATGCTCTGCGTGGCTAACCACAAGTCCGAACCACCAAGCTCGCAGGATATGCGATGCAGGATTTGAGGTGCCCAGAGAATCAGCAGCGAGCTTGGGCGTATAAGTAAACACGGATGAATTGTCGTAAATTTCGTGCATGCATCTGCATCCGCTTCCCCTTGCTTGAACATCCACAACGGACCAATGAAAGTACCAGATCAGAGCTTAATCGACTCAAAGCGTATGGTGACAACGCTCAGACCCAACACCTAGAGAATCAAGCTCGCTGCACATTCTAGACATCAAAGCACCTTCAATGCCCTCATCGCTGTCTGGCCGCTCGCGCCTACCCTTTGTATGTACTGTCATGTCTCGCAAGCAAGCTCGTGCTTCCCGCCTACATTGGTGGTGATAAGACTAGATATTCACAAAGAGCCGCTGTCAGCACCTCGTGAGATATCTCTAGATGTGGAAAGGAAGAAAAGCCATTGTTAGCATCTTATGAGGTTGTTCTAGACTTGGAAAAGATTGACAGGGAATGGAAAGAATTGCATGGTCTAGCGGTCGATTCAAGATGCAACAGCTTGCCTTTACTCTGCTGTGTCCATGATGATCGGCCCGTTGAAAAGTTTGAGAAGTGTGAAGAAAATGGTCATGCAGGAAGATGGCATGTTGATATTGATCAACAAGAGTAAATTCAGGGTCCAGTCTGTCACGCTACGAGCTTAAGGTATGACAATGAAAGCTACGAGCATGAAAGGAGCACCTTATGTACCTTCAATCAAGAGATCGCCCTGCGCTTGCGTCGTGTGTACCTGAGATGTTTGCATCGGATTTCCTACAGACTAGCCTGCATTAGCGCTTTTTGCGAAACTCGGCGCCGATTAAGGAATATGGTGCATGCACTTCGAACTGGGTTCCCACTTCCCGACTACCTTATGCTGTTGTCCGGGCGTGAGGTGAGGAAGTCAATAGTTTCCAACAGCCGTACCGGTTACCTACTTAAGTACCTTAAGTACCTTAGGACCCTCTCCAACCTCCGCCGTTCATTCAGCTGGATTGCGGGGTTGATACCGGCGTGAACCCTGAATTCCACGAGAAAATTGCGCGCCAGGAGGGTTGTCATAGTATTTGGATCTCCTTTTTGGACGACGTGCATAATCAGTTCATCAGAGGGGCCGACCCATGATGTATTATTTTCTAGCTGCAGCTCGGAACCTTGTTGATGCATTCCTGATTGCAGAGGCGGCTCCTGTAAGCTATCTGACCTTTGTCACTACCTACCTAGCGATGCGATGTGAATTCCCGCCAGCTTCAAGAGAACGGAAAGAAGCAGCAGATCTCTGACCATTGGCAGACCAATGAGCAATGAGGCAATGAATTGACATCAAATTCAGCGAATCCGTAGCCGGAGAAAGGCTACAGCCTTCAAAAAACCTCCGACCAGGGGAAGGTTGGGATTCTAGCCATTGAGCGACTTCATGCCAGCCGGGTGGTATCTGTCACCCGCCACCTCGCAAGTTGCAAGCACGTGGTCAATCTCCGCCATTTCCTCCTCGGTCAGCTCCACCTCGCTTGCTTTCCCATTCTCGATGGCGTGGTCGACAGTCCTAGCTCCTGGGATGGGAATGATTGTGGGCATCCCTTTGTTTTCCGACAGATTCACGACCCAGGCAAGGGCGAGCTGGGCTGAAGTACATTTCTTCTTTTGGGCCATAACCTCAAGTTGCTTGACAAGTTTCATGTTGTTTTCGAAGTTCGGTGGTTGGAAGCGTGGTAGCGTCCTTCGATGGTCCTTCTCGGGGATATCGTCGAAGGATTTGATTTGGCCGCTCAACATCCCACGACCAATTGGGCTGTAGCTGTCGATAGAATATCAGCTACGAACAGTGTGATCATTCGGTTAACTCACGCAATAATTGGAATATTCAGCTCGGCGCATGCCTGGGCGATTCCGTTGGACAAGGGTTCCGTAGAAAAGAGGGAGATTTCGACCTCCACCGCCACGATTTTCGTGATTTTAGCCGCCGCACGAATGGTATTGGCACTCACCTCGGACAGAGCGACCCCACCGATCTTGCCCTCCTTCACTAGCTCCCCGAGTGTAGCTAACGTAGCCTCAAGCGGAACATTCGGGTCTCGACGTGCACATTCAAACATGTCGATCTTGCCTTTCCCGCCCAGCATCTCCACACAACGCTCCACGCTCTGTCTCACAAATTCTGGGCTACCATTGGGGACGAAGTTGGGTTGGAGTGCGCCCTTAACATTCAGTACCACTTTGTCGGCGTCCTCGGGATACTTGGCGTAGTACTTGTTCAACAGGGTAAGAGAGTTGACATCAGGCGACGGCCCATAGAATTCGCCGGCGTCCCAGAGGTTGCAGTTCGCGGATAGAGCTGCGCGCATTGCGGCGAAGGATTGCTCTTCGGGTTGCATAGCGGAGCGCGGGGTCAGTCCTGCGAAGAGAGATTAGTGTGATTGAAATGACTGAAAGTGCCGGGGACGCTGACCGAGAAGGCCGTAGCCGACGCTGCCGACTTTGCGGCCGACGACTTCAGCAGACATTGCTGCGGAGATCGACTAGGAGATGGGGGACTCGGAACAGGCGATTGTCTAAAGGGAGGACGTAGGTGAAGGTAGGTTTGAGTGAGCAGAGTGAGTTCAGTTGACAGGAGACGACGGCGATCGGCAATAGTATCTAAAGCTCAAAAGAAAGGAGGATAGGTAATGAGTAAGAAAGATCTAGTGCGTCATGGGTCGAGTCTCTTGAGCAAGGTGGAAAGAGAGGATGAGGAGGATGAGAGGGAGGGAGGGAGGGAGGGAGGGAGGGGAGGGAGCGAGCAAGAGCGACACAAGGACCGGACATGATATTCTGAAGGTGATTTAGGCTAACAACAGCATGACGATCTTTTCTAGTCAGGGAGAGCAACTCCGGCTTGTTGTGAGTCGAACCACTTTACCACTTTACTCTATTCATACTCGAATTGGAAGACTGTCCCAAGTCTCAGCTTCTCTAATCTCGAAGATCACAGTGTCTTCTTCTTTCATCCTTGCTGCCATTGGTGTATGAGATAATATCTGAGTGTGCGCTATTCGGGCCTTAGACTAACGTACCGAGAATCCCACTAGCGGGGGCACATTTCGCTGTTAGCGTATGCACAAAGGTCCGGAATCCTTGGCGCTGAGGAAATCGCGCACATACCCCCACCAAGAACAGTAGTGAATAGCTTCATCAATCATAACAATTGAAATCTCCATATACCTCGCTTAGCGATATCGGGATATTTCTTTCTCCGCCCACAATACCTACAGGCCTTCCCTCCCTCATTCGCTTGATCGATTGTGTGCTATCTACGTCAACTGGGATCTATATAAATCATCAGCAGAAACACTAAGAAATGGCTAAGCAAGGTATATAGCGACTTCAGTTGTTACGAAGGTAGTAATAATGAAAGTATGATAATGAAGAAGATGAAGCTATTCACTACTGTTCTTGGTGGGGTGTGTGCGATTTTCTCAGCGCCAAGGATTCCAGATCTTTGTGCATACGCTAATAGCGATTTCAGTGTTTGTATGAAACCAACAACAGTCCAACAACATACACCTCACCGGACTTCTTCCATCGTTCATAATCTGGGCTCCAAGCTTAGCAGATGCATCTGCGACATTTTGACTTGCTGCAACCAGATTGGAATTGAGCTCGCGGTATTCGAAATAATGCCGACACCTTGATTGTGGTCCCGCATCAAGTCACACTGTTTTGGCAATCGGCTGCAGTCCTTGCCGCAAGTACCTGAGTATGTATGACTGCCTGAATTATTGTAGGCTATGTCGAGAGATATGAGAGTGCGCCACACGGTGAATCATTGGATCCAATTACAGCCGAAGGTCTTGGAGCAATTGGAGGTACAAGAAGTTCGCGAGTCAAAGTGGGAGCGAGTTCTCTCCTCCGAATTGGCCGATGACTGTCATACCACCACTCACTATCTTTAGCATCGGGTTAAAGTGGCCTGCCGATACTAAGGCACTGAAATCTACCGAAGTCCGAATGTGTCCTCTTTCCACCTCCGAATCGGAACATTGAACCTGTCACATACCCTTTTTGCAGCTCCTATGTTGCATTTGGCCTCCATTGAAGCCGAAATTACCCAATCAGTTCATGGAACACGGAAGAGATCGAGACTCCATTTCAGCTTCTAATGACTTGCTACTCTTATGACGTCGCCGCACTAACCCATCAGGGTCTCATGCACCCTTTTGCCAGCTCATATCTGGATTTCATTGAAATATAAGCTACCTATATTCCTATGAACCGTGGACGTAGACGAGACCGAGCCTAGACTCAGCCTTCTAATGACTTGCTATACTTATGATGCCGCACACCTTACCTATCAGGATCTCACACACCCTTTTTATAGCTCATCCTCGGACTCCATTGCTCGGATTCCATTGCTCGGACTTCAATGGAAGGCTGGGTTGCCCAAAAAAGTCTGAATCTTGAGCGTGGATGAGACCGAGGCTCAACTTAGCCTTTGAATGACTTGCCACTCTAATGATCTACCACTCACCAAGGAACATTCTCTAGTAGAATGGCCTAGAGTCTTGCCGTCATCAAATCCTTTGCCGATTATGTCCAGGAGATAGCCAGGGAGTTTCGCCTGTGGCGTGTCCGGATCGAGATCATAACTGACATGGGGAAAAAAGAAAGCTGGAGATTTAAAGAACAGTGTCCCTCTCACGCCTCACTAGAGAGGACTAAGTTTCACAATCAAGTCTTGCGAAGCCATGAATTTCCCATCGTCAATCTTTACTCTTCTCTTCGTCATTACAACAGTGTGTGCTCAGACAGGTCCAGAAGTAGCCTCCTACTTCAGGAACCACCTGTCGGACACATCTGAGGTTTACCTTCCCTCTGAGAGCAATTATACGCTAGAGACTACCCAGAGATGGAACGCCTTTAGCGCGCCAACATATATTGTTTCTGTGAAACCAACTACCGATCTTGATGTCCAAAAAATTGTCCGTCTATTCGACTCAAGCAAGCCATTCGGGACAAATGATACAAACAGATGCCGCTAACAATTTTTGGGAACAGATCGAATATGCTTATCATCAAAACATATCATTTCTCGGCACGGGCGGCGGGCACGGCTACTCAGCAACTCTGGATACGGTCGAGAACGGAATCGAGATCGACCTTGGCCATTTCAATACCGTCTTCATCGACAAAGACGCCAATACCATGACAGTCGGCGGATCCGTTCACTTTGCCAACATTACAGGGCTGTTGTACGACGCTGGAAAAGAGTTTCGTACGTAAATCACCATTGATTTTATTCTTCTCATTATCACCGTGCAGGCGTTATGCTCTAACAGGTTTGTTCACAGAGGTTGGCTCATGCTCCTGCGTCGGCTTAGTCGGAGCTTCACTTGGCGGCGGTGTTGGACCCTACGGAGGTTTGCACGGTTTACAGCTCGACGCTCTTCAATCGGTCAGAATGGTAACAGGTACTGGCTCCCTAGTCAATGTTTCAGCGACAAGCCATCCCGATCTGTGGTGGGGCATGCGAGGAGCGGGCTTCAATTTCGGCATCGTCACATCAGCCACGTTCCAAGTCTACAATTTCACAAACAATGGCCAAGCCATGAGCGCAGATTTTAGGTTCCATGCCAGTCAGAACGCGTCCCTCTACGAGTTCGCGCGGTCTTATACTGGCAAATTACCGGACGCCTTCTCAATAGACATAGCAATCGCCTACAACGAGGTATTTGGAGGCGTAAGTCATCAACCAACCACCTCCTACAGCCGAAAAGTGCCCGTTGACTTTACCTCCAGACATATCTTTTCGCCAACTTCATCTACGCTGGCCCATTGGAAGAGGGCATGGCGCTCATCCAGCCAATAATAAAACTCGGGCCTTTCGACCAAAACATCACCATGATCCCGTGGAAAGACATCGAGACCTCGTCCAAATTCGGCATCGACGCCCTCGCCTGCATCAAAGGAAATTTCCACAGCGTCTGGGGCCTGAATCTCTACCAAATCGACGTACCAACCCTCATCGACGCAGTCAGCTACATGGACACCGTCTACGCGCAGTACCCCGACTTCCGCGAAGCATTCCTCGCAATCGACATGTACGCCTCTCGGGTCATCGAGTCTGTCCCCGACGACGCAACCGCCTATCCATACCGCAACGCTGTCGCACGCTTGTGGGTCACCTTTTTCCTCACCCCCCCCCCCATTCCCACCAAAGAACTAACGACCGTCTCCCCAAACCTTAGCCTCCTCGACGTCGGCTTCCCAAACAGCTCCTTCGCCACCGCCGCATCCCAAGTCGGCCGCGACGCTCGCAGTCTCTTCGTCCCGACGAGTGGCGCTAGCACCAGCAACATCGAAGTCTACGTCCACTACGGGCACGGCGACGAAGGGCAGCTGGGATGGTACACTGAACGCAAGCTGCCGCGGCTGAATGCGCTCAAGAATGAATACGATCCTAACAAGCTATTTTCGCACTACAATGCGTTGGAAGCGACTTATGACGTGCCCAAGTAGTAGTGTTATGTTGTAGAGAGAAGGGGAACGGCGTTCGGCGTTGGGGGGGGGCGTAACAAATTGCAACAAGGGCGAGATGTGAAGCTGAGTCAATCAAAATTTCACTCTATGATTTATAGTATTAGCTACGAGGTGCATTTTATATCGAAGAATTTGTAATCAATCTTGTCATTGTCGAGTTCAAAAAGATGGTAGAAAATGCGATTTGAAAATTTTCGCAGCCCCCTCATCGCGATAATCCTTTTCCACCCCAAGGGAAGGAAAGGCGGAAGTTTGTCGGGTTGGAGTCGTTGATTGCGTTGCTGGTGCTGATTAGGTTGGAGATATCATCTACAATTCAACTAAGGAATGATTTGGGTGAGGGGACGATGGTGCTTGAGGCCACGCTGTATAATAACGGCCTTGAACCGAGTGAGTCTCCAGTGGTTGGCCAGACTGCGAGTTTTACAAAATGAGGTGACGTTTTGGACTGGTCAGCGGGTGCGGATACCCACACCGGACGGCCAATTGTGAGATCACACATCCGAGACAGCGCCGCCCAGTTCAGTAGACGTCCACGAACGCCCATACCCACTAAATTTATAACGCCGAGCAGGCACCGCCAGCCGTAGGTAATCCCGACGAACCGCTTCATCCACCCCCAACCTCTCGCCTCCCCTACCCGACTTGCACAATCACAGCGTCGCAATCGCCCGTATCGGAACCCTGCGCCATCTGCAGCTACGTCGGCAACATCGAAACGTGCAGGTAGACCCCGGACGCTCACGCCCGTCCGAAGGGCGAGAACGGAAACCCTGCCCCCACCCCAGGGGAGGCCGGCCTCAGCGAGAGCAAGGGCCGGTCAAAGAGGGCGATGAGTTTCGTTGATGGGAGGTCTGGGGTGGGGAAAGTACGTTCGGGTATCTATCAACCAACCACCCTGGGGAAAATGGCAACGGGTTTGTGAGTGAGTGGGAAGAAGAAGAGAAAGGTGATCGCGGTCATGACGGGGCAAGTGGAAGTCAAAGGGCGACCCCGGATTCAATCCAGCAGATGAATTTCAGAGCCTTGCAGGCCATCATTGAGCCCTTCCTTGTGCGCGAAGCTTCGAGTGTTCTTCTTGAACGGGGGAGGGGAGTCTCTTGCGGGTTTGTCTCCGGGCTGATGAATGCAGTGGAGATTTCGCCTATGTATTTGCCGATTTGCCGAACAGTCGTCGCGGAATAACGAGGGTGAAGGAAGGGCAGTGCCTCGGGATTCGAACTGTTGCGGATGAGTTGGAGATGTGAGGGGTGGATCGGAAGGGTGATGAGGCACACGTGTCTGATTCAAGGGAACATAAAAACCCCACCTTTATGACTGTGAGTCGAATTGTGGAAATTTCGGCGACGTGAGGATTGCGAGAAGATCTAGTGGGGACATTATATGCAAAAGATTCAGGCTCGATTGTTGTTGTAGTAAAATCTAGAAGTTAAGAGAAAAGAGTGGTAAATGAAGTGATTCGTCTCGCTTCGAAACTCCAGACTTTGAGATATCTTTCCGTAACCCTACAACTTCGTAGTCGCTTTCTTCTCAATTCTGTAGCCGATGGCCATTCCAGCAAACTTGTAGAGTATCCTGTACTCTATCGTGCCCGCGGCTTCCACCAACTGTTTGAGGCACAAATCCACGTACGGGCCAGCTCTTGATACGTCTTGGTACGTGATTGATGAGCTGGGTTCAGCAACAAATTGGCCATCAGCGCCGTCTTGACTAGAACAACCAGTGCGTATATGTCTCGATTGAACAAATGGTTTGGCAATGGATGTATTTCATTCACGTGCCACGCTCCAAACAACTCTCAGAGAGCGTGGGCAGAAGCAACACATTGAGAAAAGGATGTTGTAGGCAGATGAGGTGCACTAGCGAGACCTCTTTCCTGGGTATCCATAGTATATGGCGTTTTGAACAGATCTGGCTGATAGTACTGGTAAAGGGAGGGTTCGTGAATCAAGATCATGGCATAGGTTAACATTATTTCAGACAAACCCGCGATATGCCATCAAAGAATTCTTCAAAATGGTCAAGAGGATTGAAACTTACGGTTAAGACCTGTGTGCTTGTACGTTTCTCGCCAAAGGTGCAGTCGCGTCTTAAATCGATTGATGACTTGTGGACCGTGAGTGTTGGGGAGCGCCGTTCATTTTGTGCTGTCCGTCCGAGCATATGCAGAACTTATCTCCTCCGCCATGTTTAGCAATTTGACGAGAGCAATCGAATTGACGTAGCAGACCAACAAGGTTCGTTGCCGCTCGACCTTGACCTCTTGAGTGGCATTGCTGGTGTTTTTAAAGGTCATGCCTTGACCAAGGAAGAAAGAGCCTTCTGCAGGTACAGAGGAGCTTTTCCTCGGCCGGGGCTCGAATTCGCCCAAGACCAAGATCCCTGGCCATGGTGGATGCAAATTGGATATACTCGTAGACATTATGGGACGACCAATGGCCGGCGGGATAGTACCAGACGGCGGTCGTGGTCATGGCCTGAACTAGCTCCAAACGATTGCTGCCGACCAATCATTAACCAGTTGCCATACCCCTGAATAGCTCCTGTGCTCAAGGTACTGTACAGCTCGGGATGTGCCATGCCCGATGCGATGGCCATGATTGCTAGGAACATTGGAACAATACGGGCTTTTCGCGCGGAAGCTGGTCCACAGTGTAGCCTTTCGAAAAGACAACGACGGCGTATTTGGACGCGAAGTGAATTGTGAAGGTTTCAAACAATTCGGTGGCAGTCTCCATATAGAAGAGACCACGGTCGATCGCGTCCAGCTTGGCAGTAGAGGCACTTACGTTTACAAGTCCGCCACTGAACCCTGTTACGGGTTGAGGGGCAGAGTTGGGTAGTCCAGTCGTCACTGCAGCAGATGACTGGCCAGAATTGGTTTGGCTAGGCGAAAATGAATTGAGAGGCGAGTTCACAGCACTGGTCCTCTGTTGCTTCTTCATCAGTGGCTCGGATTTTTTCCGCTACGCTTCCTCTGCGGCGGCGCAAAGACGCATCCTCGATCGGACTTGATACATCGTTAGCAGATAGGGGAAGCGCCGAATATTCCAGGAAGACAGCGCACTTTCAACGAACGACAGGATTCCCAGGCTTTGTTCAGAGGAACAGAAGGTTCTGTCGTGATTTCGACGCGTGACAGCCTAACGAGCTGGGAGCGAAGACAGGGTATCCATAATCAAGAAGGTCCTCCGGACTTCATGTGCATACTCAGGTAAAGATGGTTGGAGGATTGCTAATTGAACGACAATCAAGGATAGCAAAGGTAATGCGGTTGCAGGCAAATCTGTGTTCTAGGCAGTCATGAACTCATGACGGTGCAAGATGCTATATGCACAATGGTGTAGAATCACTTGTTAGTGTACTCAAGGTAATTAGCTACCTATGTAGTGCAAAAGGTGCCAAGCAATAATCTGAATGCATCAAATCTAGTTGCCTGCCCCTCGACACATTTGACGGCGGCTCTTCCCAGAAAGCAAGAAGGTACCTTGATCCTCGCATTTTGGTATCATTGGCGGAGTTTCTCAAGGTTTGCAAGTTCTACGTAGCGTAGTACATCTGGTAGAAGCGGTCGTTAATAGCAATGACTCAGGTATGACGAGTGCCACATGAGTCACTTATACCTAGCAAGGCAAGTTGAAAGGGGACACTCGCGAAACCCTTCTTCTCGTACAGGTAGTCATATCCATCCTAGTCCACTCTTCGAAAATGTCCACGTACCATTACCGGTAGGGTCAGTCGCTGCAGTGGCTTCTGTGGCCCCCGTCTGGAAATCAAGGTGAAGAGCCGCATTGCTTCTCACCAAAGAGAGTGGTCCTGAGGCTGCCGCTGACGGCAACTCTGTTGACTCAAAGGATGCGCTTGGTACTGCTCCGACCTGTGTCCTCTAAAATGCGCGGAGAGCACATCTAAGCTATCTTTCGAGGACGTTATTGGAGCGCTAAGCGCTTGTCTGTGTATTGCTGCCGGAGAGGACGGGTGGGGCTTCTGCAAAGACGGAGTTCAACGTGGAGTATGAAGTTGTTGTAGTTGTGGCCATCGTCTGAGTATGGATCGCTGGAAGGATAGGTGTCGCCGTGCATGTGGAATCCCACTCACAATCATATCACCGCTAAAACAAACCTCGGGCGAAGAAATGCCTCAGCCGGTACAATCTGCTGTATTGGGCTTAGCGTTATGTAGCTTAGCGTCATAAAGAAAACGTGAAAGAAAAAAAAGGCTCATCCCATCACCTGCCCACTTCCACCTACGAAACTTCCAACTTTGCATCAAAACCTATCACAACACCAAATTCAGAACACTATTTATCCCCTCTCATAGAACCCGTCCTGCCATCATCCTTCTTCTCGCTTTCGCTTTGGCTTACCCACCTTCCTATCTCCGACGCAGCTTCTGTTCGGTCAACGCTGCAAAGCAAAATCCCTCATAGAGAGAACGAAAGGCTACCATAGTCTTTCGTGAACAGATTCGAATCTCCAGTCTGGCTTCCTATCACATCAATACCATCAAGTTGGCGGGGCCTCGCTTCACCCACTTTTCCTTCATCCGACCTCTCCTAGGACCAAGAGTTCGAGTCTTCCTGGGAGGCGACCTTAAGCCTCCATAATTGGGCTCTGGGGAGCCAACACGACAACACAAAAGTGCAAACAAGTTAGGAGAAGACGAAACCACATCGAATATTCATGCCCTGAACAGACCTAAAGCTGGCTCAAGAAGAGGGCAGAGCTGAGGGCCCGGTCCTCTACGCTCCGGGGACTCGCTTGCCCTTTCACACAATCAAAAATTGAGTGGCTTCGTACCTACATATCACTACAACAAGCATCACCCCAAGATCTTCAAGTTCGTCGACCAGTATATCGAGCAATAGCTACAATGGATTCTCCAAGATCAGAGAGATCCCAGACGAGGTTCAGCACTCCCGTTTCTGATCTCGACGATCATCGCCACCAACCCTCTACACGTCCACGCGGCGATACCGTTGGCAGTCCGCAAAGCCCTCGCAGCCCACTTGAAGGGCGACATTTATTTCAAAACGTTGGCAGCGGAGGCCGCCCAGAGCTCCTTCAGGTTAACGACGAACTCCTCAACGCGGGGTCCATATCTAGGGATTTCGAGCAAGCTATCATTGACGATGACAAGAGCGGAATAGGAGAGAATATCATAGAGCGAAGAGGGTCTTTCAATCCTGCCACCTCTAGGCGTGGAACTGTTCGGAGAAGCCAAAACCATCCCAATCGGTCCAGAGACTCTTCGACCTCCTTTCGGTCTACATCGCCTGCAAACTCTGTTGATGCTTTTGCTGACCCACGTCGACGCGAAAGAGCAAACACAATTGGCAGCAGAGCGCCTTCTGACCTTGACCTTGGTCTTCAGCGCACCGTCTCAGGTGGTACCCATTGTCGCAGTCGTCGACCTACATTCAATAATGGCAGCGTCCGGAACTTGAGCCTTAAGGATGAGCGCGCCTCCGTCCATAACCCAGCAGAAGACGATGTCTGCTTTCCTACAATTGATGAATCTGCAAAGACCTACAACATTGACTTCGAGGAGCTGGACGAATTCGTTGCAGAAACTTTGAAATCGAAAGCACATAATGGGCATGGTCTAAGGCAGAAACTTAGCTTTAGCTCTCAGGGGAATAAGCCCCAGATCTTCAACGACCTCCGCTATACGGCTGTTCCCGAGATCATGACCCAATCATCCAATTCGCTCAAGATTGGGTCAGAAAGTGTCATTGACGATAGCGATACTGCGATCAATGACAAGGATGGCGCCGATGAGAAAGCTGGGGATCCGTTGGGTGTAAATGGGCCTAGAGAGCGTCGACACAGCCTAGCAGGACCGAGTCGATATAGCTTCTTCTCTTCGGAGATTGAGTCAACCGTCCACGCCGCAGATTTTGCAGACTTGCTTTCCCCAGGTGAAACATGCCGCGATCTCTTCGAGCTTCCAGATGACAGCGGTGTTTGGTGGCTCGACATTCTCAATCCAACCGAAGAAGAGCTTCACGTTTTCCAACGCGCTTTTGGTATCCATCGCCTGACCACTGAAGACATCAACACCCAAGAAGCCCGTGAAAAAGTTGAACTGTTTAAACAGTACTACTTTGTCTGCTTCCGCTCCTTCTTCCAAATGGACACCAACAGTGAACAATACATGGAGCCTGTAAACGTCTACATGGTCGTCTTCCGCGAAGGTATCATCACAATTACCTACACACCATCTCCCCATGCTGCCAACGTCCGCAAGCGTATTGGCAAGCTCCGCGACTATATGGCCCTCACGGCAGACTGGATCTGCTACGCCATGATCGACAATATCGTCGACACTTTTGGTCCGCCGATCCACACTATTGAGCATGAAGCCGATACGATCGAAGACCAGGTCTTCGTCGCCCGCGTCGAAGACTTCACTCCCTTGTTGCGCCAGATTGGCGAATGCCGCAAGAAAGTCATGTCCCTCATGCGCCTGCTAGGTGGAAAAGCGGACGTCATCAAAGGCTTCGCTAAACGTTGCAACGAACAATACAGCGTTACGCCTCGTGGCGAAATTGGCCTCTACCTTGGCGACATACAGGACCACGTCGTCACTATGATGAGTAATCTGGGACACTTCGAGAAGATGCTCTCGCGCAGCCATTCCAACTATCTAGCACAGCTCAGCGTCGGTGCTATCGCACAGGGCAATCGGGCCAACGAAGTTTTGTCGAAGATCACACTGGTGGCGACGATTTTGGTGCCGCTGAACCTTATTTGTGGTCTGTTTGGTATGAACGTGCCAGTGCCAGGGAAAAGCAGCGAGGGGTTGGGCTGGTTCTTTGGTATAATTGGAGTCATTGCTGCGATCGTGGTGGTGAGCCTGGGTGCTGCGAGGAGATACAGGTTCTTCTGAACAGTGAGGTTTGGAGGGATGGGCTCCATCGAGCGGTTTCACCGGGTGGTTTCCTTTTCGATGATAGATGTGAAAGGCGATTACATTAGTTGCTTCGTTTAATTTCTAGAGCTAGAGCTAGAGGAGAGTTTTGCATAGACGGCAAATTTTTGGAAGGGTGCGACAAGAAAGGTATTAGAAGTATCAATCACAGTCAGTGCAAACCGTTTATAAACATCCTCTATATCCTGTAACCACCGTGAAGAAGAGCTTGGTCTGGAAAAATAAACATGTGAGCAAGTCTCACTCGTCATCGCAGGTTTCGGCTTTGAAGAAGATAGTCTCAGACAGTCCCGAGACACTGACGGCATAGAATCGCACTTGAAACGGGTACAAATCCTCAAGAACGTCAGTATCACCGAGCAAATCTCTGAATTGTTTGATACTGTTCCTGGAGCAGGTTCGATCGTGAATTGGGACTCAGTCCGGGTTGATGCCCAAAATCGACCTCAGAATGATGGGGTTCGGCACCGCAGAGTGTCACTTTTCTTTTGCCAGCTTGCCTTAGTTCTTTCGGCATTTTTTTTCTGTAATGACTGTAACTTTTGTATCTAATCTCCCCTTATCGACCATTCCACCCATGATCGTCTGTGCGTCACCCCTTTGTGACACCAATCGTCCGTCAGCTAGCATAGCGAGTGTTCTCTTTAGTGTCCAGTCGATCTAGACCTAGGGTTCATTGTCTCATTTCTCGTCCCTCTCTGCCCCAACGGTTAGCTCCATGACGACATTTTTGAACAGCAGTGACCATTCACGTACCTTCTGACCCTCGAACGGCTCTTTCTTGCTTCACAATCGGGCTCGAACACCCGTGAGCTCATTCGCCTGCACGCTTCCCCCATCCACGGCCTCTGTAGGGCCGCCGCGAAGACCCGTCAAATGTTCCTCCGATGAGACATCTGGACCAGCATCCTCGCTTTCTGCGAGGTATCTAAAGCGTCAATCATCGTAGAATTCATCCTCGGAATCGACCTCAGCCAATTGCTCAAAGTTGAGCTTATATCTCAACATGGCACCAATGCCACCAAAGCCTTTGACGAACTGGTTGCCCTCGCTCGAACGATCCGAGACGAATTCGAGGGTCGCGCCGAAGTCTTTGTAGCTCTCGGCGAGCCATTCGAGGAAAGAGCCTTGGTCGACGAGTTCCATTTCCTGCCCCGTCTCTTTGTCCATAAACATCTCGCGGTTGGCTTCTTGACCTTTGTTGGTGTGAAGAATGACTTCGGAGCCGGTTGAGGACTTCAATACCCAGCGGGTGATCTCCAAATTCTCAAAAACGATCAGGGTCTCGCAGGCACTAGCCTCCATAGCTTTGAGCGTGTCTTCCACGCCGTAACATACCTTCCCACTGTCAAGGCTAATCTCGTCGAAGTATTTCCCGATGAGCTTCCTGAGAGCCGGTCAGTTTACACCTAAAGAAGCAGTAGAAGGCTTTTTCTGACTTCTCCTGTATAAATTTGACATTGCTGAGGGTTTCAGCCGCGAGCTCAATGGCTTGATTGAAGCCATTCTCGCCGCCGTAGGAGACGTCGACTACTTTGATCACCTTGGATTGCAGGCGGTTGTCGAACATGTCGGATTGGTTTAAATCGTTTTTGAAGTCAGCAGATCCTGCGAGGATCAGGCCGGCGACGTTCACTTTGTCCTGGGTAATGAAGTTTTGCACAGCAAGTTCGGCCACCTTCCGCACGTAGTTGTGGCGTTTCTCTTCTCTCAAACGGGCGAACCGAAGGGCGGATTGACCACCTCGGCCGTGCTTCTTGGGAAGGTCGACGGAGAATTTGTGGATCACGTCTCTGGTGTTACCGCTGAGCGTACCGAAAAGAGCGCCGTTTCCGTCCATGATGATGAAGCCGAATTTCTGGTCGGATTCAAGTAGCTCGCTTAGCGCTTCGGTGTGGAACTTGTTGTCACACAGATATAGGGAGGTATTGATCGGTTTGAAGGGCTCAAAGTCGATGTTGATTTTTCGTTCTTTCCCTTCCGAGGTTATGATTTCACCGCAGTAGACGACAAGACCGTTGGGAGGTACTTTGTTGTAGAGCTTGAGACGCTGCTGAGTGGATGTGATGGCTGACAGGACCGACAATCGGTTGACTCGGGATTTGATGTTGGATGCAGTGCCCTAGATTTATGAGGAATGTGTCTGCAGAGACATTTTCGGAACGTACGAATTCTTCAGCCAACATCCTCGCTGCTCGTGAGACCTGGTCCTTCGGCGCTGTACCACGAAGGCTATCAGCGCAGACTCTTATACGTCCCAACATCGGGGAAGTAGACTCACGGATAATGAGCGATATCATAGAGGTTCCGTTGCCGCGTGCTTGTTCCAGGCGTTTGATGAGTTTCTTCACTTTCCAAATTTCAATGTTCTTCTCGGCCTCGTTGGCCTGTGGGGCGCTCATTGTGAGCGAGGGTGGAGAGTATCGTCACTCAAGTAGCAGGTGTTGATCCGGTTATGGTGTCCTTTCTAGAGTCTCCTGAGTCTTCGTGAAGGGATTTCGTATTTGTTGTTGTAGCTAAATCTTGGAGGGGGATTTTTTCTGGAATTTTTGACGGATTGGCGGTCAGGCTTGGCAGGGCTGAATTCATTCATTAATCATTTTCCGAGTCATCATTGCTCACTTTTCTCCCCATTGCTTTGGCAAACTGGTTTAAATTCATCACAATTCTTATGTTCATACACAACATCATCCAACATGTGACATTGTACTTGATATTCGAGTCAGGTAGAGTCAGATCGACTTGAGCCATTCCCCGCGCACAGCCAAACGGCGCTTGATTGGCCAGGAGCTTATCGGTCTTTTCTGGACCCCTCAATCGACTTTCTTAGAGCATCTGCCCTCACCCTGGTCTGCAGATACTTTCCATACACTCACCTTTTTTTGCTTTTTTATGGTACCATGATACCTTTCTCCTTGCCACTACTCTCCTATGAAAGTTCCTCTCTGTTCTTGCCTCTCGTTTTGATCCTGCCTTCTTTACATAATTTTGGGTGAAATCCAGCGTTGCGTGACCTCGCACTGTCTCAATACACCTGCGCCAAGACGAGCCCCGCAACAAAAAGGACTGCCACAGATCTCTAGAAGCTGTCTCCTGGTCTCTTGACTTTCCTGGCTCGAGATTCGTCAAGTGCTCTCATCTTTTAGACTCGCGAGCGTCTGCCATGAAGGGTCTATCATTTCTAAGGTGGTAATGTAATGCCAGGTCCAAAGGCGAAGAACCCCTTCAATTGGGAAGACTACGAACGTGGGAGATCGTCGAGCGTTGGCTCCGAGGGCTCCCTGGGTAGCCATGTGCAATTCGACGCTCCCTCACCTACACCTACATCTGGACGACTCAACATCTCTCAAAGGAATGGTGGCGACCGCGAATCCGATGGTGACTATGTGCGGCGTCGAAGGTACGCTCGTTGTGTTTTCTCTCCAAGTATTTAGGTACGACGGGATCGCTGACCCTATTCTATTTTATTTGCAGATCTTCCCTTTCCATGCGAATCAATACTTTGGCTCAGGTTGGAGGCGTCAACAGCTTGGAAAACTTTGCCCGCTCGTGGTCTCGGGCTGCAGGCTTCGTTGAGATACCCCCTCGGAGGCCTTCCTTTGTCATAGAAGAGCGAAGAGATGATGATTTGGAAAGGTCTCGAAGATCGGATGTACAGCCCTCGTCTGGAGAGGCAAGGTCATTGCTGAGACAGCAGTTGGAACGGGAGGGAACTTCTTCCGAGGCAGTCCTCGACGAAGCACCCACTCCACATCGGGAGGATGAAGAAGCACCACCGCAGCTAGAAGTGGCTAAGTCGACGCCAGATGGGGCTGGCGACATCCTCGACCGGGCGCCACATCTGGCCTCACCCTTTGCCTCCAGCTACGGTGGTGTATATGGATCGCTGTCTTCACGAGCCAATGCTTCATCATTGCGCCATGCTGGGGAATTGTACCACGAGCAGCAGGTTAAGGGTCGTCAAGAGCCGGACATGGAACAAGAGCCACTATTAGTTCAAGTAATCGAACAGAAAGACGGCAAAAGAATCCAGGTCGTTGTTGGCCGGTCGACCCTTCCTCAAACTGTGTTTAACTCTGTCAATGTCTTGATAGGTGTTGGCCTTCTCAGTCTACCCCTCGGGCTCAAATATTCTGGTTGGCTGGTAGGCATGATATTCTTATTGCTCGCTGCAATCATCACCAGATATACCGCTGGAGTCCTTGCGAAATGTCTGGATGTGAACACCTCGCTAAAAGGATTTGCCGATATCGCCTACCAGGCTTTCGGTGAAAGAGCTCGGGTAGCTACAGCATTCCTTTTTACAATCGAACTTCTCGCAGCATGCGTAGCTCTCGCAGTGCTCTTTGCTGATAGTTTGGATGCCTTGGTTCCTGGTTGGGGTCTAATCGAGTGGAAGCTTCTCTGTGGGCTTATCCTCATACCACTATGTTTTGTTCCACTTCGCTACCTTAGCGTCACAAGTGTTCTTGGGATCATTAGCTGTATTGGAAGTAAGTCAATGGCTCGGAAAAAGCTTATGAGAAAAAGCTGAACATGTTGTAGTTGTCATCCTGATTTTCGTTGATGGTGCTTTGAAAGCTCATTCACCGGGCTCGCTGCGAGACCCTGCTCTGACATCCTTGTTTCCACAACGATGGTCAACATTGCCATTGAGTTTTGGCCTGCTGATGTGTAAGTTGCCTCCGCGTCACGGGTCTTGCAATCCCGGCTGACGTGCTCAAGCTCCGTGGGGTGGACACAGCGTCTTTCCCAACATCTACAGAGATATGCGGCATCCACTAAAGTATACAAGAGCTATAAATTACACCTACTTTTTTACAGTAGGTAAGTCGTTCATACTGTGGTGGAAATTATTGACCACTAGACAGTATCTTCTCGACGCCCTCATTGCAGTTGCAGGATTTTTGATGTTTGGTCAAAAGGTCCATGATGAGGTAACGTCAAATGTACTTATGAGCAAAGGGTATCCGCACGCAATCTCCGTTTGCATCGTTGTTTTCATAGCTATCATCCCCCTTACCAAGATACCTCTCAAGTGAGCGAATGCCCACGGGAAAAGCTCTGTCTCGGTACTTGTGCTAAAAATGATCCTAGTGCTCGTCCCATCTACAACATAATCGAAAAATTAGTCGGCCTCGACCCTCAAGAAATGCCACGGGCGTCCGGCCTTCTTGGACTCTCAGGCTACACCCGCGGTTTCCTCAAATTTGCGATCCGAGTCTTTACTATCGCCGTCATTATACTAATTGCTATTCTTGTACCATCGTTCGACACGATCATGGCTCTCATGGGTTCAGCGATGGCGTTTAGTATATGCATTATTCTACCATTAGCATTTCATCTCAAGTTGTTTGGGAAGGACTTGGGGAAGAAGGAGAAAGTACTGAATTGGTTCTTGATTGTTGTTTGCTCGGTTATGGCTGTCATTGGGACTGTATGGGTGTTTCTGCCGAAGCAGATGAGGGAGCGTATGGATGGCATTACATAGCATTATTGATAGCTAAGATCGAAGTACAAAAGTATAAGCATTACCCACAGATGAGGATGAGAGTAGCCAATGACATCCTCGATCAGGCGTTGCCCACACTTATCTTATCTTATCTTAGCTCCATCTCGAAGCTGGTGGGACTGTCCCCATGATGCCCTCCCTCGGTGCCTTCTTCACCGAGGATTGAATGGCACGTCATGGATTAACCAATCTCTGCTGCTTAATCTTCCCTGTTGAAACCATGCACTGCTGCTGGTGTCACCATAGTGTATGTGGCTGGCTGCATGGGTCAAGGAGCACCGAGTCCAGGCCTCAACCACCTCATCAGACATTGAGTAGTTCTGTGCCTTCTAGTAAGCAAACGTGAAACAACGAGACAAGGCTTGCCAAAAAGTATAAGCTAGCCTTTACTGAGAATGACGGACATCAATGCATCCAAGACGGTGATCGCGTATCTGGGGCCGCCCTCTTCCTACACTCATCAGGTACAACCTGCTACCTGTCCAGCAGCTCTACCAAAATAAGCTTACAGCCAACAGGCAGCTGTTGATTCTTTCGGAAAGGATTACTACGAGCTTGAAGCTCAAGGATCTATAGCAGGTAATATACCCAATACAGATGGTCTTTCCTTAACTCATAAGCTGTCAGATGTCTTCCACGCCGTTCAAGATTCGTCTGCTACTTTCGGCGTTGTCCCATTCGAGAACTCGTCCAATGGCCCCGTCGTATTTACATTGGATCTCCTCATTGACCGCGCAGAAGAATTCCCTGAAATCCATGTCTGCGGCGAGGCCTACATGGATGTTCAGCATTGCCTTCTTGGCAGCGTCCCGACGAATCGCGCACATGAGAATAGAGATACACTGTCCCCTCACTCGTCAGGCTGCGCAACGCCTACGAGAACCAAGCCGAACCCTCGGGAGCCCCGTTCGAAGCCTATGACTAGTCTTAAACACATTGAACGTGTCTATAGTCATCCGCAAGCATTTGGCCAGTGTGAGGCGTTCTTATCTACCTATCTCAAAGGTGTGGAGCGCCGTGAGGTATCCTCCACTTCTCATGCTGCTTCAATAGTCGCAAAGGGCTCCGAGGAGGATTTACCGTCTGGCGGCGCAGCAGCCATCTCAAGTGCCCTCGCTGCCAATGTCCACGGCCTGAATGTCATGGCCACGGGCATCCAAGACGCCGAAGATAACTCCACCAGATTCCTCATCATACAGAAAGGTCCGGTCAACCTCGAATACCAAGGACTACTTCCCCCAAAGCTTTTTGCAGAGACCGGCACAGAGACCAAGCGTAAAGCGCTCATTGCATCCAGCATCAATCATGAGACGCAGGGAGCTTTGGCAAATGCTTTGCTGGTCTTCAGGAATCATGGGCTTAATGTTACAAGCATCAATAGCAGACCGAGTAGGATCCGGCCTTGGCACTACATCTTTTTGGTAGAAGTCGGAGGAAGGAAGGAACTGGAGGATCCAGATCTCGTTCGTATGGCGTTGGAGGAATTGGATACCACTACGGAAGAAAATAAATGGCTTGGATGTTGGGTCGACAGATCAGCGCGGTGAGAGACTGAAGGACGATCTGAAGCCCGTTAGTGGGCTCTGGCGGGGAAGAGCGCCGTAAAGTAAGGATTCAAGGACCTGAAATCACGTCTTTCAACATAGCCTCGCATTCAATGGAAGCTTCGCTCCTAATATATGTTGCATCTCATTCATGGATACCTGACCCCCATGGATTGTACGGTTATCCATGGGGAGTATACGTCCCAACGGGGGTCGTATCGCCCATCTCATGTGCAAATATCCATCAATCGCATATACCTTTCCATGGACTTCACCGTCGCCTATGGATCCCATGCTGTCACCATATCAGTCCAGCACTACTTGAGGCTATATCTACTTGATCTCTTTCCTCTGTGTCTGTGACCTACCTAGTTCAGCCTCTTTCGGCCTCTATGTGTAACCGAGCTAAAGTATTAGTCCTCGGGCTGTACTGTGGCCGAGCTTATTTCAGTGACCGAATGACCTCTTTCAGACTGTATCCTTATCAAGTTGAGACTGCAGATCCTGGCGGAATTATTCCAATAACCGAATGATTTCTCGGCCTCTACTTGTAACCGAGGTCAGGCCTTTCAACTGGGGGTTACAACGGTCCAAACATCTCATCAACGGTCATAAGGACTCAATGGAATTATAGAATATATATCCAAGTGGATGAGGATACCAAGCGACAGCAACGTGATGTTGAAGGATGATAGGCCGACGGCAAGGGCAGTGATTTGGTTGATGAGGGGAGCAAGGGTGGTAGCACGGGAGGTAGCAAAGTGGGTAACAGAGAAGTCGATGAAGTAGGTTAATCGTTTACTACCCATGTTTAGTTCATGAGGACCATGGAGGAATGACATGCAACTATATAGGCACAACTTTGTTCTTAATTCGTACGGCTTTGGTGAAGTCCGAGTACCTATCGACCGATGTCTCCCCGGGTTTTAGCGTGTGCACAAAACATTGGGATTCTTGGCGCTGAGGAAATCGCACACACATCTATTAATTAATCTACCTTTCAGTTCTTATAGAATTATTACTATATAATTTAAGGATAGATTTTCTACATCAAAGGTTCGCAGTTTTATCTACCCTGATGATTATTTTCAAAATTAGACCTCTAAGTCTTAGATCTCTTTCAATCAACTTAGAGCTTAGTAAAGAATCTAAAAATAGCTGAGATTAAACGCTGTTTAAGAATTTCTATCTGAAATAATTTATAGTATAGATAAATATAAGTCTTTTGACTATAGAGACTATATTATTAAAATACGTGGCTAAATCTCTATGATGGCTTAAGAGCGGTTTAATAGACGTATATGCGATTTTCTTAGCGTCAAGTATTCCAAGATCTTGTGCACACGCTAATTTTTGCCGCTCTCCGTACTTGTAAAACACTTCGAAACACGACGTCACCCGTCACCTAAGGCACTCTTCATTCTTTCCCAACCAACGCACAATGTCTAACCTTTGGTACCAAGCCGCCTTCATTCTTGGAATCATAATGCTACGGTTCTTGATACAATGGTACAACAATTCTCAGCCCAAGGTGGTAGCCCCTGGCAAGAAGTCAAAATGAAGCTCTGGGTGCATCGTCATTGCTTGGTTGGGAGGCAAACCTGAGGATAGAGTGACAGATATAGGGGTCTTGTTTCTTAGGATCTGCGGTCAAGAGTCAGGAGAAAAGGATATTGGCCTGTGATGTTGCAGGGGGTCACGTTCAACCTGCAGTGTGCTGCTTGGTGGTTATTCTCCGAGGAACCTTTATCGTTCAGGACAATGAATGGCGAATGCTGCAAGGAATTGCAAGGAGAGGATACCATGACTTGCAAGAGGATGACTTCGTTTGGAGACACCAGCAGTATGGGCGACTGGCCAGGGGCAGCGTTGATGAGGCCAGAGCAGTGCGGAGAATACAGATGATGCAGTCCCATGTGGGTTCAAGAAATGCCAGACCTGAGGCTGTAACGATGGCTTATGACAAGCTCAACGAGCATCACGCTGCCAATGATTCGGGGACTATCGATGTGGGCTAGGATGTTTGGATTGTGAAGAAGAGGGGCCACATGTTCTTGGTCTGGACCAGGCGCCTGAACAGGGTCTTCAAACAAGGCTTCTGACAGTGGAAGATCCAGTCATTAAATTGGCCATACTGCCTGATTGTGTTATATCAGTATGGGGATTGGCCAGTGCCAAAACCGGCTATTTGTGTGTTGGGAAAGGGAATGTGGCCAAAACATGGGTGCCAACTTTGTGTGAACAACCTCAACACAAAGGGATGAACCTCGCTATGGCCGTCAGTCTGTGTCATTTTGGTGCTGGCCACAACACTGTTTGTTCGGCATTGCACTGCAATTGATTCATTGCAAAGCTCTTTCTGGCTGAGCAAACCAGACCAGTAGTCACAAACTGTACATCTCTTCAGGGGTTATTAGTCGCTTTACCTACAAGATGCCCACTGTTGTCAGTGCCGCGGAGATTACGTTACCGGACAATCAATACAACACATACATACAATCCAAAGCCGGCACAACAGAAATTTTTGACTTGGCTTGTGGACAGAGCTGAAGCTTCTGGCCACCATTTAGCATCCAAAGCAATATCACAGTGATATCACAGCGGGCAAAGGCCCCTCGCCTCAAGGGAAATGCCAGAAACATGCAGAAGATGGCAGCCGGGCCTACCCTCGAGAGGTATGCTTTGGTGACCTATGAAATCCTGCCGCTTGCAAAGAAGCTTGTGTCTAAGGACAAAGCAAATGTGCAAATACCCCAAGCGGTATTACACCTGATTCAGAAGGTCATATAAGCAAGACGGTGGTGCACAACCTTTGCAGATATTTTGCTGGCTAGTAGCTGAATCTGAATTGTGTACAATTTGTCGTCCCAATCTTGTGCCCATTGTTGGGGCGCCTCACAATTGATACCCGAATTTCTCTACGATAGTCATAAGTATCATAAAGCTGGTACAACCAAGTTCCTGACATGGCTAGTGGAGAATACTTTTCAACCAGCTCATCTTGCTGGGCAGCCAACCCTAGAAACACAACCTGATGAGCTGCGTCTGGAGGGAAAGGCAAGGCGAGCGGCCAAGGACCAGTTGAGAATGTGAACACACATTGTGCCGCTTACACATGGGCTGGCTGACAATGATAAGGTGCGGCGCAGGTCCCTCGCTCAGCGCCGGGGACTCTTTAGAAAAATATTGCCATTAGAAAAGAGTGTGCTGTCTGGTTTGAGGCGCAAGCAAAAGAAAACACCATGATGTGGCAAGGTGTCCAAACCCATTCTCACTTCGTCAGTGTGCTTGCCGGAACTCTAGAAATACTTATACCACACATCTCACCAGCGAAGACAGGCCAGGCCGGACCCAACGACCCTGACAAAAACAAGAGCGCAAAGCCTACCTGGGTCCACAGCAACAGGTTCGCCAACCGCGAGATGGAAGACCTTGGAATACAAGAATCAACAAACGCCTTGGACAAGAAAGCCAAAACCCTCAATAACGCGCCAGCTCTAGCTCAAGAATCCGGTAAAACCGTCTATGAAGTTGAAACCTCGAATGAAGACGTGATATATGCGGTCTATTGCATGCTCGAGGATCAGGATCGGATTCAAGATAATATCTGCCAATTGTGGCAGGATTATTTCACAGGACATGTCAGTCTGATCACCGCCTCTGCCACCAGCAATACTGTTATAGAAGTGGTATAACGGATGGAGATGGAATTCTTCAATGCTCTTCCTGCCTTCTCTAATTGGGAAGAAGTCACGAAGACCCTACATCCTTCTCGTGCCCCTTCGGCCCTTCGGGCACACTAGATGCCGCCGACGATATTACCTCCACGCCCAATCTGCGACTCTTTCGCAGTCTCCTTTATCAATCTCTCGAATAGTGGTACACCAAAGGATGCCATCCAAAGTGTGGTGTCTGAGACCCGCGACTCGACCGGTCAGAGCTCTCTGAAAATGAGATAGCAAGGCGCAAATCTGTCCGTGAAGTCCTGATCGAGTACCTGCCATAGGTCTTCGGTCAACTACCGAAAGAAGGCGCCTTGACGATGGGTCTTCGCAAGTTGTACGAAACTACAAAGGGGGAGGAGACGCCCCTAGAGCTTAGCGCAAGCTCCCAAAAACCCAGGTCGAAAGTGAAAGTAAGAAAATCAATTAAATCCTTAGTTGACTCCCAGAAACTCGTGTCATAGTATGCTTCACTCCCATTTAGGCTTGCTATCCCTGGTGCAAGACGGCCCGACCACTCAACATACTATGTGTGCTCTACGTGTGTGTGACATGTGTTTTATTCCAGGATGGGACAATTTATGAACATAATGAACATGTATCGGGACTTCGCCACTGTCATTCTCGCTAGAAAGCGTACGACTATCGTTTCCTGGCTAAACAACCTCCCGGACTACTGTCACTTGACATAATCCGAACAGCAACACTGAGCTCATCAATCCTTCGGACCTGGCTTGACCCGTCATAGGGCGCGACAAAATTTTCAGGGATCGACCGGGAGCCAGTCATCCCCCTTTCCGAAGTACTTTCTCACGGCTGGGAGGTATGGAGAATCGTTCGGACAGTACTTGAACCTGCCCATCTGCGATGGAAGTTTATCTTCGACCACAAAATCGCCGTATCGGTAGCATGAATGGTGGGTTCTTGCCCACGATTCCAATTTGCCCCAGTCTCTGCACTGGCGACTCTGGCCGATACCGTTCGCGGGAAACCATGGATCGCGTCGTGTAGAGCGGCGTATCGTCAGCACGACACATGATATCGCCACGAAGCCAGTCTAAACAATGATTGGAGTGCTCGAAAGAATGACTCTGCGGAAGGCCGTCACGATATTCCCTAAGGGTGAGATGTAATTGCGCCTTTTGGTGAACTGTTAGTACTGAGCTATGCACGCGTGGATTGAGCCTACAAGGCAGTGAATCCCGTGGTATCCATTCAACAGATAAATTCGTTTACTGCTGTCCCACGGAAAAACATTCTCACTTGGTGGCAGACCTTCCCTTGCCGCCCACTCTTGGTCCACGGCAACTATGCCGTCGTCTGCGCTAAGGGCTTTCCAACGCTCGTCTGTAAGAGTCATGTTGTCGCTCGAATACTCGGTCACTTCTTGCCACGTAAGAGTAGTATCGACTTCTAGGTTTGCTGACGAGGAGAGTCAGAACGACGAAATGTGAACGGACGGAATTGAGCAACGGACCATATCTTGATCGATCATGATAGGACACAGCCATAAATGGTGTATGGCGAGGAAAGAACAGGATGGCGTTCAAAAGCACAGACAGAGCCAAAAGAGCAGAAGAAATGAATGCGTATCGCTTGTAACATAGTGGTTGATGTTGAGCTTTCTGTGCCAGACCGTGGTCTGATCCGGAAAACTCGTCTTCGTCTCCCAACAGACGACAATGATCTTCTTTGCAAGCCATCAAGGGAAGACAACGGAGAGTAAGATGATTGAAGAAGACGAGATCTACGGCATTGTTTTGTAAATCTGAATGAAAGGAGGCCCTTCGTCGATGAGAGAAAATCGCAACCACTCCACTGTAACAGTCATACAAGGTGATCGGAGATGGACGAGTCTATTTCTGTTTGGGATCGTCGGTCGATTCGCAAGGCGAACAGTTCGCTTCTTTTGCCCCTATCAATCGAAATTTATTGGAAGTCAGATGTGGAAGGCTGTGTTCCCCTTGCATGCTCGGTGCGCAGCTGACAAGCATTGGTTCTTGCTTTGCTACTGGATTTGATTTGATTTGATTTGATTTGCGCGGAAATTTCATCGGGGATGCCTTTTGTTTACATTGGCATATGATTGGCACAGGAGCATATGCATCAGATCAAGGCGACCGGTGAACTGTGGGGTCCGCATGCCTTCGTCCGTCCCACGAGGCCCACTTTTTCAAACGAAACGCTTATGCATGCCGTGCATTTGGGATGCAACCTCATCAATACACGTAAATTACAATTCGTTTCATCGATTTGCGCTTCGGTCCTATGACGCCAGAGCACGCTCTAAGTCTTCAAACCTGGCAACTCACTTCCTTGACGGGGGGATGAGAAATATCGCCTGCAGCACCAATCAGCTCTATTTTCCCTCCTTTGGCCTGCCTAGCAAAGCTGCTCTCTATATTCACTCCCTCCAATTCAGGTCTATCTCGACTGTTACACCACACGATGCCGCTCCAGCTCGCAGAAGTCACATCTGACTCTGATTTCGATATCATAATCCCCCTTCTGTGGCTCTCCTACGAGAGCCCTCGCATTCCATTCCTCCCTCTCCTTTTTCCAGTTGAGGACGAAAGCGCCGAGGCGCGTGAAAAAGCTGTTCAACGCACAAAGGAAATAATGATACACATGCATCATGCCGACCCAAGTAGCCATTGGTTTAAAGTGACGGATACCGACAGTGACACAATAATTGCCGGAGCACGCTGGCATGTCCACGAAGTCGATCCGTATTCAGGCGCGCCCGAGAAACCATTTGTCGTCACCTCATGGCCGGACGGAGACCGTCGAAAATTTGCAACCATGAACATAGGGCAGGTCATACTTCCTCGGATGAAGAGATACAGGAGGCCCCACCTCAGTAAATGCACAACCTTCCGCCTGCGAACAGTGGCTGACCAGGAATCAAAGATCTCCAAGTATGTTTCACTCATCCCGATCACCGACGTCGTGGAGCCGGCAGTTTGATCATGAATTGGGGCGTCAGCAAAGCGGACGACCTAGGGGTGCAGTCCTTCATCGAAGCAACCGAGGTAGGAAAAGAGTTGTACGGGAAGTACGGATTCGTCTTGGTCAGTATCGACACCGTGGACACGAACATCCCGGATCCAAGTGAAGACTGGAAAGACATGGAGAGGCGGTTCAAGGCAAATCCATGGTGGGTTGGTTTTCGAGCCTGAAAGGGATAATGGACGAGCACTGACCTTCTTCCATAGGTACTGCATGTGGAGACCTGTCAAAGGGAATTACGAAAAAGGGAAGACGAACCTTCCGTGGTAAAGGCAATGACGCTTGTAGTGTCTCCAAGCACGCGTTTAGCGATTTACGTGTATTCGAGCACGATTGCACAACAAACGTAACACGGTCTCTAGCGAAGATTTCGCCCCAATGAATGGAGCTCGTTCAAGATCCACCACCTTCGTGACTGTCATCCTTGCCCAAGGCGTAAACAGTGAAACCCCGCACGATTCCAACCTAACGTACAAGCGTAAGGAGCGAAAAGACACCCACATCCTCCACCTCGCGACCCTTGACCCCAAACCCGTTCGCGATCCGCCCCATGACACGGCCCTCCACCCACCGCATCCTCAGGCGACACCATCCCGCGACGGTCCGGAGCGATTTCAGATCAAGACCCCGGGGTCAGCCGGGACCCCGTCGGTGTCGGAGTCCCGTCTGCCGAACCACCCCAACCCTTCCCCCCCGGGTGCGCCCGCCGCCCTTTCGATCCCCACCGACACATCCTCCCGCGTCGCGTCCGGGCCCCGTTCGACCACCCGCGCCGCCTCGAGGGGACGACCGCCGCGCGACAGGGGCTCCGTTCGCCGGTCCGGACCGTGCGGCGGGGCTCCGCCGAGACCGAGGGCGAGGGCGGCTCCGAGGACGCAGATGGCGAGGTGCATCTCGGACGGAGGATGTCTTTGATGCTGGTCGGTTTCGCTCTAGAGGGTTGGAAAGGGGTGGTTCGAGGATCGCGATACCGGTTTGTTAGATTTGCTGTGGGGAATGTGACGGGGTGTTCGGCGGGTGGAGGAGGAGGAGGTAAAGGTGAGGTGAGGTGAGGTGGGACTGCGTTTGGGCCTTTGTAAAATCCACGATCTCAGACCGTCCAGATGACTTTATATACACCCGTGTGCCCCGGCGATCCCCCGACCGAGATGCCGGAACCCACACAATTATGCAGGCGGTGGCCGTTTGATTGGTTCAGAGAATGTTCATCATCCCCGTCGAAGATCGTCACCCGTGATGGTGGAGTGGAACCCCCTGCTTTCTCGGATGGGGGTTTTTTTGGCACCGTGGCACGGCTTTTGGGGAGGGGGTCGGCCGAGAGGATCAAGGCGAGGGCTAAGGTAGGCGGGAGTGGGGTGGGGTTCTGGCTAAGGTGTCGCTGTGGTGGGAGTAAGTAGAGTTTCTTTCGTGTGCTGCTGACCGTTCGGAGCTGCCTCATGAGCCGGCCCCCTAGCGTTAGCGTGGTCAAAGGGACTGCAATTCCTTGGCATTCTGAGGTCGCATCCCCACCTGATAGAGGACTAGATATCACAGATGATTAAACGTTAAATAGACGAAAGTCAAATCCCTTATTATCGCGATTCTAACGGTGCTAAAAGTATAAAAATGTATTATAGAATTGTCGAGATACATAGAATACAAATGATTGAAGATTGTTGAGAGCCACCAGGAGCGGCTTTTAGCCGTTGAACTACGATTCTTGAATCTCTTCTACTGTATCTGGAGGAAATATCATCGAATCCATAAAACCATATATAGCAATACAACCGCGGTAACGAGAAGATCAACGTCCATATATTTAATTGTTGTATATCTGTAATATTCAATAGGTACAATACTCTATCAGTTGGGGGTTGCGATTTGCTTCGAGCACCGCTACTGCAACAGGAGCACTCTCATTCTTACCCGCAAGCCGTACCCGTTCCGGACTTGGCGCCGCACGCCCGCATATGCATATGCATGCACTCTGGACAGCCAGCATTGAAAACGCGCCGATTGGCCTTCGGCACAGGCCGGGGGGTGGAAAAACCCCCATCGGAATTCCTTACCGTAATGCGTGTATTTAAAGATAGGCTTCGTTCGTTCGTTACACCGAGCGAGGCTATCTTCTTTGACCCGATCCAATCGTGACGATTCCTTATCATCCGAGGCCCGAGAGTCACATCGGCTGAACGGGGCGAAGAAGAGAAGATGACTCCTTCGTACCTAGGTAGGTATGTCAGACGCTCGGATTCCTTCTGCTGCTTCGGGGCGTGGTGCATGCGTGTCAACGTTTTGTGCCGTCGGGACACAGGACTGGTTCTGATGACGCGGGATAGCCTCGACTTCGTTGAGGAGTGGATCTGCTGATCGAGAATGGGGTGTAGCTTTATCTGGCCAATGGGTAGAGGGTCTTTGCCCACTGCTGGGTGGCTGAGCTGCGTTGCCCAGAAAAACGCAGAGATCGCCTTGGAGCTCCGCACACTCTATCTTAAGGAAGGCTTGGCTCATGATTGTCTTGTGAATCTACCTGGATTTTGGCTTTTCGTTTGGACCCCATACGCTTGGCTCGTGTATCTACCTAAATGTGTCATTTCACTTTCGTCCTGCTGGCTTCTGATTTCCACCAACGTTGTTGCAGAGAACGCTCGCAGAACGTAAAATCATGTCTGCTGCCATCCCGTCAGACAGCGACGACAGCTACGGCCGAATCGTCAATGTGATCTCATGGATACTCTTGTGTGTAATGGTTCTTACGGTGGGAACTCGAGCTGCGACGAAGTGGACCTTGATCCGTCGGCTCGAAGGAGATGACGTTCTCGCCCTCATTGCTTTCGTGAGCCCTCTGCGGTTGGGAGGAAATCGGTCATTGTACTAAGCCAGCCCTCTAGACATTCAGTATCGGACAAACAGTTGCATTGTCAGAAGCGATTGCGAATGGGCTTGGAGAGCATCTTGGCACACTCAGCCCGTCGCAAGTCAGAAATTTCCAGCAGGTATGTCATTTCAAAAGAGAATGCTGTGTGTTGCAGCTGATCCTAGCAGTCAGTCTACGCTGCTGATTTATTGTACATCGTTGTCTTATGGTCGGCGAAAACGTCTGTACTCTTGCTGGTGAGGCAGATTACTCCAGTCGCATTGCACAAAAGGATTACACTTTACGTGGGTTGTGGACTGGCCCTGTGGGCAGCAGTTGCAATTCTCGCAGCGGCTGTGCAATGTCACACACCGCACGTGTGGCAATTTCTTGACAATCAATGCTTCGATCGTGTGAGACCCATCCGCATGGGTAGAGCTTTATCCGTGCTGACATGGACAAAGTATGCATTCTGGATTTACCTTGGTATTTCCAGCATCGTCGGTGATACTGTTCTGATCGTAATACCTATCGCCATCTTTTGGAACGTCCAGATCGACCGAAGGAGAAAGGCGACTGTATGCGGTTGCTTTGCTTCTCGGATTCTGTAAGCCTGCCGGATTTGCAAGACAAGCTTGTGCCGCCTAACCTCTTCATAGGGTGATCGTAGCCACAGGACTACAGCTGGGCTTCAGTGGGCGAGCGCACGGCTCAACGGACCTAACACTCGATCTGTGGCCTCCAGCTCTATGTACTCAGTTCGTCCAGAATCTGAGCATCATGACGGCCTGCGTTCCGTACCTCAAGCCTTTCTACCTCGGACTTGAATCAGGTATGATTCGGACTGATGACCTTCGAAGGCACGGTCTGATCGGAACCTACGGATATGGAGATGACGAATCGGCAAAAGTCTCCAGCAGACGCGGTCCCCCGAACACTGTGGGTTCGGCAAAGAGTACGACTTCCCACGAACTCCGCAGTTTAGATGTCGAGACCGCGGCCAGAAGCGCTCAGCTCAACCCGAATAACCTGGTAGCCGTCGAAGCCAGCAGTGGTGTCAAGGCCGCGGATTGGGACCAAGAAAGCCAGACCAGTCAGTCTAGGATCATCAAGCAGACCAGAACGTGGGGTGTCGATTTCGAGAGCCAAGACTCCAACCCCGAAGGTTTACCTGTGCCAGCCTGGACGCAAGGGACCTGGGGGAAATCTTCGTATCGAGCGTCGTAAGGCTTTTCACACTGGGGGCCCACCTTACGGGGCAAAGATTAGAAGGGGGGGGCCCTGGTCATCAGTGGTCCTACCCCGCCAAAAGTGTATCAACCAGGCTGTGCGACTGTCATCGTTGACCCGGCAAGTCGTCCTTGGGGATTATGTAGATAAGATTTCCTGTACTTTTTTAAATACTTATCTAAAACTATAAAAAGGATTTGAGTTCGAGACGCGAGTGCTGTATGTATGTAGATCAGCCATGTCGGCGATAGTTGCCTGTACCAGTACCATCATGCGCATGCGGGCACTCGTCCAGTCAACGATTGAAGAAGGAAGGAGCGACCGTATCGCAGAAACCCCTAGCGTACACAAACCCCTTGACGAAAATGTAAAGTAACGTAGGTAAGGTTTCGGCGTCCTCCAACCAGAGCAGACCGTCCCAGTCCACCTCGTCCAGCACACGGGACCCGATGCGAAAAAACTCTGGTGGAATTATCCAAGCGAACAAGAAACGCGCACTACTGCACCGTTCTTGTGCCGATCGTCCTGAATACAGTTTCGCTTCAAGGTGTCCCGTGCTGCATGCTGTGCTGGGGGAAAAAAGTGGACGAGGTGGACTGGGACGGCATCCGGGGTTACATTGCATACTTCAAATGCTGCACGCGACACTACACGACACGACACGGGGGCTTGTCTGTTGGGAAATGCGCCGGGTCCGTCATCCCATGCCCCTTTTCCCCTTTTTCCTTTTTCCTTTTTCCTCATCTTTGCTCCACCGACCGAGGCTGTGACCACGATCATGCATGCATGCAGCCAGGAATGGCACGGAGCTGAAGGTGGTAGGATCATGTGGTGTGGCCGCTAGTGTGGGGGAGGGGGGGATGTCAGACGTTGCGGACCGTCTTGGGGCTCGAAAGGGATTGGCTCCTCCTTCTCGGATCGATCCACGGTGCGCGATTGCGTCGCTCACCCACATGGCGGCGCTCCTTCGGCGATGTTTGCCTTTCCCGGTCGAATCGCGATGGCGCAACCTCGCTTTCGAACCCTTACAGGGCTCGTAGGGTTCTTGACGGATTCGGGAGCCCACGATCGTTGCACCTGTCCCGCCGCGACATTATACTACACCCCTTTTCCCCGATCTTTTTTTATTCTTTCTTTCCAGCCGTGTTCTCCCTCTGCTTGGAACTTTTCGTTCGTTTTCCATGCGATTGTGCGATTCGGTCTGGTTTGCGGAAAGACACCATGGCGAAAGACTCGCTGGAAACGTCCGACCAATTCAAGATGGTGGAGATCCGAGACGATCGGCAAACTCGGCAGCAAAAGTCCGTCGAACAAGATCGCGAGGATCTAGCCCGCATGGGCAAAAAACAGGTGTTGAAAGTGCGTCCCAAGTGTCTGAGAGTGACGCATATACATTCAATGCTGAACCGCTGTAGAGGCAGTTTGGCCTAATGTCCATGCTTGGCTTCGGCTGCATAGTACTGAGTACTTGGGAAGGCGTATTAGCGTGAGCCAAACCCCTGGTCGAACTCGACAGCCCAAGCTGAAAGACCATAGCTTGTTCGTTGTGGGATTTACCAAGTAAGAAGCGAAATCAAGCAACAGGAGACGGAGTGGACGCTGAATACTTCCTTAGCGGAGGCCCAGCAGGGCTAGTATACGGATATCTTCTCACATGGATCGGCACGCTTTCAATATTCATCACTTTGTCAGAGCTGGCATCTATGTGAGTTCCAAATAGCAATGTGTGACGGCAGTATCGGTGGCTGACTGCCTCGAATCTTAGGGCGCCAACAAGTGGAGGTATGTGACTAATCACCCATCCCATATCTTGACAAAGGTGTTCGTCTTCGTCTCAAAAATCATCAAGCAAACGAAGAGCCAGACCAAGGAATCGGAGAAATGTGCAAAGTGGGGTCCTGACTCAACCTAGGTCAATACTATTGGTGTGCAATGCTCGGACCTCCTCAATACGGCAAGGTTCTCAGCTATATCACCGGTGCGTCAGCGTTTCCATTCTCTCAAATTTCTCGATGTTGTCTGTCTTCTAGTCTTCGCTAAGTCTTAATGGAAGGGAAGCGTTACAATACTGATGAATGACAGGCTGGTTGACTGTTTTCGGTTGGCAGGCTAGTGTCATCTCGGCTTCATACCTTACTGGAACAATGATCCAGGGGCTTCTCATTCTGAACTATGCGGATTATGACCCGAAGCCATGGCAAGCAATGCTTCTGATGTGGGCTTGTCTTCTGGTTGCCGTCCTCCTGAACACGCTTGTCAGCAACTTCTTGCCCAAGATTGAAGGCGCCATTCTCATATTTCATGTGGTTGGATTCTTTGCAATCTTGATTCCCTTGGTTTACCTTGCTCCGGGGCATGGACCGGCTTCTGAGGTTTTCACCACCTTTCTGAATGAAGGCGGCTGGGGTACTCAGGGGCTGTCGTTCTGGCTTGGAGTCAGTAGCACAGTTTTTGCGTTCCTTGGTAAGTCCTCCTAAGTCACCTATCATCGAGGCTAATCATGGCCCAGGTGCGGATAGTGTTGTCCACGTAGGTTTTGTAACCCTTTTTGGTATCGACTCTATTGATCGAAGCCATAGATGTCCGAAGAAATCCAAGGCGCATCTGTCAACGTGCCACGGGCGATCATTGGAAGTATCGCTATCAATGGCGCCCTTGGCTTCGGTATGCTCCTAGCTGTGCTGTTTACCCTCGGAGATGTGAAGGCTGTCCTTGGAACGGATTATATCTATCCCTTCATTCAAATTTTCCTCCAGAGCAATAACTCGTCCGGCGGAACTACGGCCATGACGGCAGTTATTCTCGCATTGACTTTCCTCTCGACCATTGGACTCGTAGCAACCTCATCGCGAATGACGTGGTCCTTTGCGCGAGACCGCGGCCTTCCTGGGTGGAGATATCTTAGCAAGGTAAGCTGGTGGACGAGATGTCTCCAAACAGTCTCAGATCTCAAAGAGCTGACTTTCGATTTTGATCAATTCCAAAACTTCCATACCAGTCGTTGCAATCCTTGTGACAACATTCATCTCCGTCCTTTTGGACCTGATCGAACTTGGATCTGCTACCGTCTTGAACATCCTCATTTCTCTTGCTATCAACAGTTTCTACGCCTCTTACCTTATATCGGCGGCGCTACTCCTTTGGCGCCGTTGCAGTGGGCATGTGAAAGCTCATGGCGCTGCCCAGAATCCACTGCCGAGCACCGAGGGTTCCCCGGAGCTGGCGTGGGGGCCATGGAGGGTTCCGGGGTTTCTGGGAGTCGTCAACAATGCTTATGCATGCATCTGGATGGTGATAATACTGTTCTTCAGCAGTTGGCCCAAGACAACCCCCACAACCGCCTCGACTATGAATTATAGCATTTTCATCACGCTTTTCGTGGCCATCGTCAGCGGGGTATATTATGTTGTGTGGGGAAGGAAGACGTATACAGGCCCGGTGGTCGAACTGGCCTTGCCAAAATAGATACCATGTGTCATAGATGTCTTAGACCATTTCCCATTCGGAAAGGAAATGTGCTCAGCGAAGTATACGCATAAAGAATGTATATACATCTCCGTCAAGAGCCGGAAAATATCTCGCGTCAAAAGCGTCAAAGACCTGGAAGAAATACATTCCACTCCGAGGGCCGAAGGTAAAATTCCCGCCACCTAAAATCAGATATTTGCTACCACCTACCCTGGAAATCAAAGAAAGAGAAATTGAGGTTGAAAATAGCAACATACCTACTAGTAATGATACACCGCAAAATCGGCGACGGCGCTAACAATATCGTGATGGACGTAAAGACTCTTATTTACATGTACAGTACATGGGTTGATGATCGATTCCACAGATATCGTGATAGCGCGAATACTTACGGTGGATGTTGATTGTAAACAAATAGGGGAGAGGATGATCATTCCTACAATCTTCTTAAAAGGCGGAATTCGTGGCATAGCGCTCTCTTTTATACCCGGTGGCGCTTATGAGGTCTAGATTATTTGCTTACGCTTTTATCGTTGCTGTCCAGAAGTGAGTTCTTTGATAGAGCGAGGACACCAATAAATCCTTCCATTTAGCCGAATATCGGTTAATCTATTGGTGTCCTCGCTCTATCAAAGAACTCACTTTTGGACAGCACTAGTAAACAAATAGGGGAGAGAGGATGATCATTCCTACGAATCTTCTTGAAATGGCGGAAGATCGCGGCATAGCGCTCTCTTTTATACCCCGAGGTGGCAGCTACATGGAAGCTCACGTAGACTAATGATGCTGTGCGAGAGACCGCGCTTCTAGGTATCGGATCTGGGAGGTTAGTGGGCAAGATGGATGAGGGTAGAGTACAGAGGTCTGCACCGAAAGTCCTGCACCCGCACTAGTGCAGCCCTAACCCTATTATTCTTTCGTAAAGGGCCCTGTAGAGGGGAAGCCTAGAAATATCTTCTCACAGCGCATGGATGGGACTTTAGGTACTTCTTTTGGCTTGATAGGGGTATTAAGCCCCGAAACCTGGCTAGAGGCTAGGTGCGATTCCGAAGAACTCCAGACGCATTGTCCAGGTAGCCCTTTAGGTGGGGCGTTATCCGAAGTCTGAGCGCAAGAGTCTTGGCGGGTGCAGGACTTTCGGTGCAGACCTCTGTAGACTGGGCACTAAAAGCGGCAGCCTCGGGTGAGTCCCCTTAGGGGCACAACTCCGTCGTCTTCAGAAGCCAAAGCCCTGAACATAAGTACCGTAGCCGACCTCCAAGCCAATTACCAAGATCCCCCAACAACCGACACCGATTCCTCCCAGTCATCGCCACCGCGACAAGACCGCGAACGGGGCGTAAAACATCCCCAACCGGATTGACTTACCAGGAAAAACCGACAATGGACCAACGCCAAGCGCAAGTCGACATCGACAGACTCTCCGACCGCGACAAGCGCGACCTGCAGCAATCCATCAACAACGAGATGCAAAAAGCCAAGATCCAAGAATGTGCGGCCCGCCAGTCTCCCCCTCCTTCTCCCCTTGCTCACTCGCGCGTCTTTGACCTTCTGCCACCCCCCCCCCCCTCTGCCCAAAAGCGCTGACGAACGACCCGTCCAGCCGTGCACGAACTCACCGACATCTGCTGGACGAAGTGCGTCACGGGGGCCATCTCGTCGAGCGGGCTGGACCGGAAGGAGGAGCCCTGCGTGCGGAATTGCGTGGAGAGGTTCTTGGACGCGAATGAGGCTGTGCTGAAGCATTTGAGCGTTATGCGAGGGCAGGGGGGGTGTGAGGAGGGTTGTTGGGGAGGAAATGGAGGAGGAGGAGGGGGGGTTGACGGTGGGCAGTTGGTTGGACCTCTGTGGATTTCTACGAGTTGGGGATCGGTGATCGGGGCGGGATTATACGGAAGGATGAGTGGGGATAGTGGTGGTATGGATGGATTTTTTGTACGATGGGCGTTGCAATATTCGATCTGTACGGGGCGTTGGGGAGCATAGGAGAGTCTCCTCTTCTTCGTGAAGTATCAAAATGGGCTGGTATCAATCATGGTGGATCTGGAGAAGTCGAGACCGGGCGAATCGTGAAAAGCTGTGGGATGTTTCGACTGCATGAGCCTAGCTAACTCCGTTGTCTTTGCCACATCACTTCCCGGGTCTAGACAATGTTGAGCTTCGTCGCCGCAATATCCAGTGCGTCCACATCCGGTGTCAACCTCGCATATGCCTTCTTCGATCCATCAGGCCTGTAGTATGTTATTAGCTAATCTCTTCTCTCTGCCACAACCTTCTGTTCTTGTAGACATACCTGACCAACGTATTAATCTTCACGCAATCCACATCATACAGCTTCTTCAAAGCCTCCTTGATCTGCCTCTTGTTCGCCTTGACATCGCAAATAAACACCAGCGTATTGTTCTCCTCGATTTTCTTCATCGCGCTTTCGGTATTCAGAGGGTTGATGATGACTTTGTGGTGATCCAAGCGAGCCTCATGCGGGACGGATTTGCGCGGGTATTTGGGCGAGCGGGAGAGTTGGAGCGTCTTGGGTCGGTGGAAGGAGGTTGTGAGGCGGACTTTGCGGGCTTTCTTCGAGTGGGCCTGGAAATGTAGGGATTAGAGGAGTGTAGAGGAGGTTGGGGGGGGACGTACGCCTTTCAGGGCAGATTTCGCGGCCAGGCTGGCTTTGGCATTGTGCTTGCCGCCGATGGGCGCTGTAGATGATCGAGTCAGCACATGCACGCATGGCCCCGAACGCCGTCCAGAGTCGAAAGGTCGCAGGAGCTTCGTGCTGCTGGCATGTTCCCACTTGCTCCCGACGAAAAGCGGTGACAGTGTGCAGCTTCTGGGTATCTGTGTGATACAGGAACGGAGGGATGTACTGACCCTTCTTGCTGGCTGCTTTTGGCGCCATTACTGCTGTTGTGATGTGTCGGCGTCCCGTGTTCAATACAAGTGTGAGTTCAAGAAATTCAAAGCCAAGCCTTCTTTGTGGGTTGCGCTAGCGAAGCGCTAGAGCCGAGGTTTCGTCGCTAAAATCTACCGCTGTTACGGGTGGAGTACAGAATGCTTTTCGTGAAGAGTTATTATAAATGTCTGATGATAGGGCTCTTGTGGCAGAAAAAGAACTGTTACGCCTCGAAGACGATGGGTTTTTTGACGCTACGCAAACGTTATACTTCGTCATGCTACACTGCTCTATCAGCAATCAGCGATCCCTTAGAGCGGTACTGGGATGAATCAGAATTTGAAGAGATGTGGAGTTCTCGGCAATCCACAATACGAGATTCTTCTTTGGCAACCTTGATAGGCACCTTGAGCCCTGGAAACCAAGGGAGTCTTGGGACCAAAGCTCGGATGAATGGAAATGACGGCCGTGCCCTTTGGTTGTTGCTATGGGCCACTATATTCTTTCCTGGGTTGGAAGGAACGGTAAGAATAATCCAGGATGGAGGGAGACTACACCTATGTGAAGGGCAACTGTAGAAGATGGTGTCCAGGATGCCAGTCTTGCTCTTCGAGTGGTCGGGCCAAGGCTTTTTCAGAAGCCGCGGTCAACGTTTCTTCGAAACCATTGATACATATGTGGAAATCCGCCGGATGGTACAAAGATCGCATTCAATCTGAGGAAGAAAACCCTCTTCCCTTGATATCTACAAACGATCTTTTACTCACCACTGCTAAGTTATCAGTGGCTCTTCCTCGTACCAGCCCCGTTGATGAGGCACAACAAAAATTGGCATTTTCCTTGAGGTTCCCTCCGAATGATCGAAGTCAGATCCATAGGCTGGCAAAGAAGAACACCGAGGACATTCAGACGTTGTCGGAGAATTCACTACTAGAATTCTTCGCTTTCGCTCGCCTTGGAAAGCTGTAATACTCGGCTGCTGGCGGTCAGTGCTAATTAGGGGATCAATTGACCGTCAACGACGGTGTCGGTCTTAGCGTACTCTGACTCGCTTCTTATTGCTTTCAATTGGCTGGGTCTAGCGAGACGCCTATAAGGCTTGGCTTGATATGGCAGGTAGGCATTGAACATATGAAAATCTTGCCGTTTCAGCTGAAGGGATTCGATCACGAGATGCATATATGCTGCATATCTATTGGCGCTCCAGTGCCATGGCATCTTTTCAGGATGCGTGCCTTTTATCCGGCTCCATGCTCCACATCCCCTGCCGTACTATTGCTACCAATTGAAGTTATAAAATGGACCCCCCCTTTCCACCTTTTGTGTCCAGGTTTGAATCCTCGAGTCAAAGGCCGACATCCCAGCTCTCGCTCAATCTTCTCCGAAAAGACATAATGAAATTCCAAGCCACCATCTTCACCTTCCTCGCAGGCATACTCGCCGTCGCGGCGAGTCCCGCCGCAGCTCCTGTCCCATATTTCTGCCCTGGCGCGCCCGATCAGTGTTGGTCTTCTCCAGTTTTCGTCTCCCCGGTTTGACCACTTCCGTTCTGAGACAGACTTTTCAACCATGTACAGGCGTCTGCGATTTAGCAGGCTACACTCCGACCGCCGGGTACGCACAAACATGCAGCAAGGCCGACTGCGCTAGCGGCTATGAGTGCTACACCCTTGTGCGATGTCCCGTGAGCTGCTCCCTCCGCGGTTTCCTTTTTTCCATTATAGCTGATGTGTCTGCTTGTATGGCAGATTGGGAGGGGCGGGATTCCACCAGTAAGTTCTTCAGGCAGTATCTGACTTGTATCCCACGAGCTGACGATCTTTTCCAAGGAGAACGGGTGCTAGGCTTCTTGACAGGCACTCTCAGGACATTGAGGCTTCGGGGCAGGGAAGTCGCGGGTGAGGATTTGGACAGATTGGGTGGAACAAAGTAGTTGCCTGTGAGACTATTCAGATAATCGAATTCTACTCTTTTTCATCCACCTCGCAAGAATATGTACTATCTGGGCCCTGGACGATTTAGCCAACAAGCAACGACGTACATTTGGGCATACGGATGCTTCTTTTTATCGAGAAAAAAGTCTTAAGATAGAACTTACATTGCCGCATTGTTTTTGATTGACAATATCCAAGGAGACGAAGCAGTACTTGTTCGACTAAAACGACAAAAGAGAATACGAGCTTTGCAACTAATATCGTGCATGATGTCAGGGGACGCTGATACATTTCCTGAGAATCAAGGCGCTTTTGAAGGGAGCGAGATTGGACATTTTGGGGGTCTTTAAACCTGACTACTCTGTAGAAATCCTATGTTTTAAGCGTGTGAAGGATTTTATGACAAGAAGATAACTTATATGGAATAGCTACATGGTTCCAGCCAACACCCTGCTGATTTTGCTACGCTCCTAAAAATGGCCCACCGTCTTGTGCCCCCAATGGAAGGGTTTGGAGTGGAACAAATGTCGCCATTCAAATCCAATGGAGGTGTGTGTGTGTGTCACGTGTGCGGATCATCTAATTTCCACTGCTGCAGCCTGCAGCCATCAAAAGAAACAAAAGCAAAATTGCTGCTTTTTGACAGGAGGCTAGGAGATGTCACCATGATGTGGCTTGTCATTCCACGCTTCTTTAAGTTAGTCCAAGGTCTTCAGGTACACGTTACCACGTAGGGTCAGTTTTGACGCTTCTGCAAGGTACCGATGCCAACATTGGCAACCCTATTCAACCCTTCCGCGGCACGATTGGTTGATAGATGATGTTCGCAGATCAATCAGATCAACCATATCAACCACGGGGCCGAAAACATCCTGACTTGGGTTAAACATCCTTCCCTTAGGCACCCTTCAAGCTTTAAACAGCGTGAAAGTTGAAAGCCCACCACCACCCTCTAACCACAACCACCTCCGACCACCAGTGACCAACACCACGCCAACCTGATATCATTGCCTCTACAGTCTAGACACCTTAGAGTCTAGACAGCCAAACATGAAGCCAAAAATCACAGAAGGGTGTGAAGGGAACTTGCGTGATCGCGTACCTGATCACGACGGCGCCAGCTTCTCAAGCCCATAAGAACTCCCTTCCCTCCATCAGCACCTCTTTCTCTGCTCCATCCATCTTCTTGATCACAAACACCCCGGTCTTCTCCGATTAACACTCGTTTACTTACTACAAATAATACCCTTCCCCATTCTAATAACAACTATACCTTCTATCCCATCGAAACTACTACTACCACACCGAATTCCATATTTTACCAACATCAACCATCAAAAATGCGTTATTCAATTCTCGCCGCTCCCATTGCCCTAGCCGCCAGTGTGTCTGCTGCCAGTAGTGTCACCACCGCCACTAGTGTGTCTGCTGGACAATATGCCACCTCCTATATCACCCAGGTTGTCAGCACTTTGACCACGTATTGTTCATCGGCGACCTCCCTGTCTATCAATGGCAAGATCATCACTGTCACCGGGGTAAGCTACGCACGCTTCGCAGCATTGCAGTAACCGGTGCATCTGTGTGGACATTGGCTGACAAGTTCCCCCTGCAGGCCACAACTTTGACAATCACCGAGTACGTATTTTCCCTTTTCATATCGCTTTACTCTCGAAACATGTTTCCGAGCTCCATCTACACCCTCAGGTAGGCAATACTGACTGCGAGATTGTAATCCAGCTGCCCTTGCACCCTGACGCAACAACTCGTTACAACCAGCCCCACCCCAGTCGCTGTCTCCTCGACCAAGGTTTCCTCGGTCCCTATCGTCGTTCCTCACCAAGTCCCAGCTCCACCCCTTTCCTCGGCGAAGGTTGTCTCCTCGGTCCCAGCCGTCGTTTCCTCGACCAAGGTTGTCTCCTCGGTCCCAGCCGTCGTCTCCTCGACCAAGGTTGTCTCCTCGGTCCCTGTCGTCGTGGCAATCTCTTCGACCCCGGCCGTCAGACTCACCACCGCCTCAGCACCATTCCCAGCCTCTAACAGCACCACCCTGCGTGCCAGTACTGCTTCAGCCGGCACCACCTCTCGATCTGTATCCTCTACAGCGGCGACGCCGACGACGACGACCTTCAAGGGTGCCGCTAACAAAGTGGGCGCTTCCAGCGTCAGCTTTGTCGCTCTGCTCGGTCTCGCTGCTTACCTCCTGTAGGTGATGTTGTGCTAGCCTTGTGGCATACGCTTTAGAGGGTCTTGCTTGCTTGCCTGCGCATGGGACGTGTGCGCACGAGGTGGTACTTCCACCTTTTGTGTTTCGATAATTCAAAACATGGCGCAGTAGTCGCGATATTTGGACTTTGGTTTTAGTTTCAATATTCTTTTCACGGTGATGTGGATACGAAGGGGTTTTTGGTGGGGGGCGGGGGGTGTATGTAGAGAGAGAAAACGGGGATGGAGAGGATGAGTGGTGTCCCTGAAGCGTCTTGTTGCGTAGCTAAAGTTCTGAACAGCATCACATAGGAAATCAACAATGGACACGATCACCGCCGTCAGCATTTGCTTTCATTTTTTCATTTGCTCCAGCACCAATGTTCTCTCCGAAGAACTCCCGAATTTCAGGGGGCCATACTTTGTAACCTCACCCCAAAAATGAGATCGCGGCCCTTACAATTAATGACGAAAGAGGCCTGTCGGGCAGTCGCATACGTGTTGTTGTGAGGTAAACTGCACAGCTGGAATATGATGCACGTGGGGCATATGGGCTCTGTGGAGCATCGGCAAATGGCTCCAGAAAGAACACTCCTTGATTCGCGGTTTTCATTGGCAAGTTGTTATCGAAGCTAGTGAAGCTATGGGGCCGACTTCCACTCCCTAATCTTGTAGGCATCTAGAAGCATATGCTTTTATTAGTATCTATGCCCGGGGAAAAGATGTAGCGAGATGGACTGTGTTCACGCTAAGAGTTTTGATCCCTAAAGTACCAACCTTTTTTCATGCCGGCCGAACCAGATCACCCGACATCGAGCCCGCTCGCTAAAAGCGGCAGCTCTAGCCTAGGAGAGCTCTCCACTAGCCGGGGGGCAGATCTCTGTCTTCTTTACCCGCCAAGCTTTCTTTAATCCTGGTCCACAATTTGTGTGCCCTTCCATTATCATGGCATGAACAACAAGCGGAAGTCGGCTTAGCTGGCTACGACCTCCTTCAACAGTATTTACTGAATGGCAGCCAAGAAACAGCGCCGTCCGCAACTCCTCTCCTCTACCCGTCCCCGCAATATCAAGCCAACGCTCTCCCTCTCCTCTCGCACGACACGCTCTCTAATTCGCTCTCATCATACTCTGCGCAAACAGTTTTCTGCCGCTCTTGCCAAAGGCGACACTAGCGAGGCTCAAGCTATTCAAGCGAAGATCGATGCATCCGGCGGCCTGCCCAAGTACCAGGAAGCCAGTAAACAAGGGCAGTCGGCGCAGAGGGGCGGTGATACGAGCAAGATCCTGACGGAATGGCTGACAATGGGAGAGGGAGAGGACAAAATATCAGTGGAAAGCGGGAAGCGGTTAAGAATGCTTGAGGTTGGCGCGCTAAGACCAGATAATGCTTGCTCGCGGAGTGGGCTCTTTGATATGGAGAGGATCGATCTACATTCTCAGCATCCTGATATCAAACAGCAGGACTTCATAGAGAGGCCTACCTGCGCAGCTGGAGACTTAGATCAAGAAGGCTTCGATATTGTGAGCTTAAGCTTGGTAGTCAATTTTGTCGGCGATCCGGTGGAAAGAGGAGAAATGCTAAGGCGGGTTGCGAGCTTTCTCAGACCCTACTCAGGTCGCAAAGTGGGGCTTTTCCCGGGGCTCTTCCTGGTGCTGCCTGCGCCCTGTGTGGCCAACTCTAGATACCTGGATGAGGAGAGGCTAAATGCAATCATGGAAAGCTTGGGTTACAAAAGAGCAAAGCGAAAGTTGAGTGCGAAATTGGTCTACTACCTCTGGAAGTATGAGGCAGGAAAGGCTGAGAGATCGAAAGTATTCAAGAAGGAGGAGATCAGATCCGGAAAGTCAAGGAACAATTTTGCAATTGTGCTGCGTTGAAGTCAGACATGTGGGGGCGTGTTGGCCGGACCATCTTCAATTCCTTACTTGTCGTGCTCCGAAAAATTACTCGAAGGCATTGGACGAGAATCATTAGAAGGTTCGTTGCACTTCAATTACTTGCATTCTGTTCACTGCAGCAACGACTCCCTCAATCTTTGATCTCCTGCTTGTGAAATATACCCGGTACTTCTGGCATCCACTTCTCGCGCCTCTTGCACCAGAATTCGCCTTTTGGCGGCAAATCGCCAGGGTGATCCAGCGTCCCTGTCATGATATATCGAAAGTCCTTCATTGCCGCTGCACCGACCTCCAAGATACCGCTTCCGCATGTCGGGCAGAACTCTCGGTGCAGAGTTGTGCCACTCCCATTATCTGCTTCGTGTATTGTAGGCTTTTTAGACTCGGAAGTATAAGAAAAGGAGGAGACTGGGACTTTTGTTGTCAATCCGAATGCTGTTCCAAAGAATTTCTGGCGAGATGTTAGCATTGGAGCACCCCAGACACTTCGTGCAAGCGGCTACATACCTTGCAGTTCTTGCAGTGGCAGAGAGAAGTGCGAGCATCGTCCGGTGACACGTCAATGGTGTACTTGACCTCACCGCAGTAGCAGCCCCCCTTGTAAATGGGCATTGCAAATGCTGAGCTAGTTGAAAATCGGGCGGTTGCTTGCTGAATCAATGGATGGGCGTAGGAACTTTGCCGAGGTCGCTGCTGGCCGCAATATTCTGTGCATTTGTCTGTTCAATTCATTGGGAATCTGGATACGTCAGTATGCCATCATGTTCGCGCCAATAGCGGCGCTTGTTGCGTCTAAACTACAGGGTTTAAACCCTCAGCTTCAAGATCCCTCGAGTAATTTCTTGAGCTTTTCATCTTACCATGGAGTGGACTGCAATGAATGCGCTCCGTACCTTCATATTGCCGTGCCTGTATGCTTCTTGGCGGTGTAGCAGATGGGAATGGTGGAGTTCTTTCTCGAGCAGTCTCAGTCTTATGAACCAGCTTTCTATCAACCGAGAGCGTGCAAGATGCCTTAGGTCTGTTGGAAGGACGTCATTTTCAGCAGCGATGCTAAATCTATTGACCCTGTCGTGTCAATATTGGCGCCTGTCCGGTTGTTGCGAGGCACTTTCCCCGTTCGCTTTTCTCCTAACCCAGACTATCGCATGTCGCAAATACCATTAGACCAAAGCATGCTAAGCCCCAAGCATGGAATGCTTTTCCCTTCACTGTACCGCGTGTTTTCCTTACCATCTAGCCACCTTCAACACACGGCTGGTTCTTCTCAAGCCCTTTTTAGGCGTTATGCTTTCTTTCTTCTTGTCATGCCTTTTTGGCTTTAGCGTGGTCAACTCAACTGTCATTACTCTGCCAGGTCATCTGCGAAACGGGACAGTGCTTCTTGATCTTTCTCAGAAAAACTCAACTGTGATTGGAGCTGAGCTGGGTCCCACAAATCATGCAAGTTCGCTAGGGAATCCCATTGACACACACTTTAAGACCATAATCCAAGTGTATCCAGAGGTCGGAGTCTCCGGCAAGTCGACGTACATGAATATCTTGAAGGCTATGATAAAGTTGTCCTACAGCGAAGGCACACATGCATATGCTGGGGAAACGTTTTCGTTCGACCTCTATACAAATGTCAAAATCCGGATCACGCGCGTTACTTCCTCCAGCTCAGCCTTGCAATACCGATATGCCATATGGGGATTATTCAAGGCGGCCCAATACCTGACTGAGAACAACATCTTTGCATGCGTTATCGTGAATCTGTTCTGGTCTGGAGGCGGTGCACCGGCCTTGGTAGGAGTCATAGAGATCTTTCCAGATCCTCTGCCAGGCAATGCTGAAAGCAACGAAATCCAACGTCTTATGGGAATCGGTCAACGAGCAGAACCCCCGCCCACGTCGCTTGGTCTGGCCAACCTCACCTCCATTTGTAGCAATGAGTCCGGCCTCGCAACATCCGCTAATGCTGGAAAACTCTCAGTGTTCCTCGAATTTCAAGGGCCAACTTTGTCCGTCTCAGAGGTCTTCATGACGCTGTTCCTTACGTTATTAGAGATAGCATCGTTCGGAACAACGCACCTTGTGCACGATTTGAAGGTCCAAGATTTGATTACCAAAACGGAACTTGTATTCGAACATTATGGTGCACCACGGACATCTCCACCGTTCTTCGTTTATCATGTGGCCGCGCGTGCTCTGGGATTCGTTCCTAAGTATATGTTTGAACAACATAGGTTTGAAGCAGTCACCTTTGTGTTGGAAGTGGACGGCACGCCAGTGGGAACAGGGTTCCTGCGGAAGTTTTCGAGTACCTCTTCTATATCGTCGTAGAAGTTAGAAGCGAAGAAGGTCGGTTCGTCTAGTCGTTCCAGCTGTGACCTACGATGAAGACCGAGAAAGTTCAGGAGCGCAACGCCAAATGAAACGGGCATGTCAGATAGCCGTCGAGAATATCGAAATTTTCAACACGATCAGTTTTGAACAGTGCCACTCTTGAAATCCGTATCTGTATTTCATCCCATCTTCCCTCTATACATTAAATCAAAAGAAGCCTTTAGCATCGTGCCTCCCCTCAATACATCTCCCTTCGCGTGTTGAGACAGGTTGCAAGTCTTCAACATCGCCAATTTGAAAATCGTGTTTTCATACAACACATTTGGCTCGGAGCTTCATTTCAGATCTACCGTAAACCTCGAATGCTTCTTCAATACATCTTCCCTGGAAGGTAATCAAGGGGAAATCAAAGCTAAGACAAATTGTGATCCCGCAAACCTTCAGTTTTCTTCAACACATTTTCCATCGATCTCCTCAGGCGCTGATATCCAATCGAGGTTCTCAACATAGCAAGCATTCAACTTCCTATCAACACATTCCCAAGATCTCCTTGCAAAGCGATCCTGTGTTGGAAGCGAGAAACCAATCCCGCTCCGACCGGCGGGCTACCTATTCCCCGGAGGTATCTCGATAAGAACCAAATTCCGGAGTAGGAGATGATAATTGGAGGACGCAGCCACCACTGAGCCGCAGCTCATGTGACTTGGGAAATTTCGATCTGGCACACAGCCCATCGCCCCACCGCAAATTGAATACTCTTCGTCCGGCAGATCATCACAGTCATGGCAAAAATCCTACACCTAGCAACCGAGCTCATAGTCGCCATAACCTCCTACATTCCCAGATCATCCGACAAACCACACGTCGTACTCGTCGATCGCAAAATGCACCATATGATCGCCCAGGAACTGTACAAACACATCGGGCTGGGTCAGAGTGGAGACCCCTCAAACAGAGGCGGCTCTAAATGGATACATGAAGATCCATGCTGGGACACAGTCCGCCTTCTTCGCTTTTCCAGTATGCCGAAGACCACGCCTTGGTCTCACAAGCCGGTGGTTGTGGCTCTCGATCTCGGGCTATTCAAATGTTACGGTCTATGTCAACACACATGCCTATTCGGGCCTAGCGCCTCTTGGCAGAGTCTACGGTAATATACCCATACCACTGTCCATCATAGCATAGGCCTCTTTATCAATTGAATCCTAGTTACAAACCACCACAGACTTGTTCTGGTCACGGTCCAAACATCAAACACCTTGCACGAATCCTTTGGGATGCTCAGCCCTGATGCTGCACCTCCCTAGCTTGAAGAGGCTTTGTCTCAGCAGCAAGAGACCTGCTGGACGCGAACCGGGGCAAACACACTCTCTTTTCTGTCACCTTCCGAGACAGGACGAAGACCGCAGGGTGTGTGAGCGTAACACTCGAGAGCCTCGTCATCGACACCGATCAAAGCAGAGACCGTCGTGACGGCAGCGGTGTTCAAACCTTACGTCCCTTTATCGCTTTGAAGCGCTTCAATGTTCAGAGCCATATCTTGTTTGGCGACCGTGGTGACCCTCTGTTCATCACCCAAGATGATGGCGACGACGTTGGACTTGACATGATGCTATTGACCGAATTCCTGCCCATGGGGGTGCAGCAACTTCAGATGAGCTGTTGGACAGATGGACAGGAAGAATGGGAGCCACAGTGGGGGTCCTTGATTGCTCTCCTGCTCGAGAAGCTAATGCAAGCTGGTCTTTGCACTTTGCCGGAGCGGCATCACATCACAGTGGATCATCCAGCCAGGGACCAAGGGTTTCGTGGCATGGCGTATAATATAATATAGCCTTGGTGTATCATTGGGAAGACGACAAGCCAGAACGTACAAGTTACTCAAATGGACAGAGAAATTTAAGTCTTCGATATTCTAAACAAACAGATTGTGAGATATGCTTCTGACGCAATAACATCAGTGTCCAGGACCTGCGATTGTTGGCGTTGTCCAGATCAGGCCATCGCATTAGAAGAGCAGTGCACGTTTGACAGGGTTTTGGGGGATGTCGAGAGGTAATTGTAGACCATGGCGCAAGTGTTTAATCAAGGGAAGACAGCAAGCAAGAGGGCTGTTTTACCCACTATCAATGCTACGTTGGGGTGTCCCTCGGGTACGACAACGTATGCGCCGTTTTCGAATCCGTAACACCTTTCCTACTAACAACGGGTTCTACTTGTTATCACTGTTTTTGCCTGACCATAACTCTTAGGACCTTGAGCTAGCTCGTATAGATAATGTCCTCAGTCGCATGATTCCATCCACTGCTTTACGTACTCACTGGGACCGCAGAAATTGGACCCCAACCAAAAGAGCACTCCAGAGGAATATGGTGCGCCGATTCACTCCCCTGCATGCCGTCTCAACGTCCCAGCATTTCACGCGAGGCATCATCACACCGCGCATGTGAAGCTTGTATATCCAATCCGGCGATCCGAAACCTTCGCGTCCATCTCAATGCGCCGCTGATATAATCCTGCAGTAGAACAGTCGAATCGATCCACCATCTTCTGCACCCGTTCCTCGCCGCTAAGCTCAGTTGTCCGCTTGGAGTACAGCCACAGTGTGACACTTCGTAAGTGCCGCGGGGTGCTCAGTTCCTCTTCCATCAGTTCCACGAGTAGTTGGGCAACATGTTCGCATCGTGTGATGAGTCGCTGTGACCATGGAAAACCGTCCGAATTCAGATATTCGAATCCATCATGACAACACACGTCCAGCTGCTGCAAGCATACCGGCAGCGATCCTCTCGTCATTTTCAGTGAGGGTCCATTCCAAAAATCACTGACCCAGCAGCGGCTTTGCATGCACAGGTGTTTGAGTGTGGTGAAATGGCCGAGACAGTTCACTATTGCGGCGACAAGAGAACGGTCAGTCGCTACTGCTGAGATCGAGGCTTTCCAGTGTTTCGCTCACACGATCGAGTGGCCATACTACCGCGTACGGCAACGCTGAACCTGGTCTGGTAGACGATACCCCGAAAGGACGGAACCGCCTCAGAGATGTCACCCGGGTAAGTAGAGTAGCGAAGTCGCGCATTCCGACTATGCCGACAAAATCTAGGCCCATCTCGAAGGTGCGGATCACGGAGCGAAGATCGGATTTGGCGGCCAATGTGGCAGAGAGTCGCGCGATGTTCGAGCGTCGAACCTCATGACCATTTTCAAAAGGAGTTTGAACCGGGTAGTCGTTGGGGTGGAGGACGATGTGCTCGTACAGAAGCGCTTTGATCAAGCGATTGAGTCTGACGGTCGAGAAGGACGAGTTTTAGGCTGTGAGCGGGTTTGTGGATGTGAGAGCCGATGGCGATGATGAGCTCGTTTGAAAGATCTGTGAAGCTTGCCATGGCTGCGAGGGCGATCCTGAGAGGATTGTGGAGGGGGTGTGACAGGTGGGAGGTTGATGGTGGACGGTTAGGAGTCCATTATTAGAAGGTAGTCAGTGTGTCGACAGGTGGTCTATGTATCGAGAAATGTAGGTCACGTATGCGTTGGTTGTAAGTGTTGTTTGGAGACTGTCATATTGACACAGTCAGTACAAAGGGTTTTAGCTCATGCTAGAACGGTCTTTATGGGCTCTGGTTATTGAAATGGAAGTACTGGGGAGGATCTGTCACAGCAAGAGGCTGACTTGCCTTGGGCGCCGTCTGCAGGTTGTGAAGACTGTGTTGATGAGTGACTGGCGAATTATGTAGGAGGATCGAGCGAAATTTATGCATAAGGGGAAGCCAGGCAAAAGCACCGATCCATTTCCTTCGACATTGGGGCCGCGTCTTGTGCTGAACGATGCTCCATGTCGGCTCAAAGGGATGAACTTGAAAGCGGAAGGATTGCTTCGCCTCCGCAGCACCAACGACATCCGAGAATGTTTTGAAGTCGGTGTGATGTTCAAAATTGAAGCTGAACTTTGAGAAACGTGCACGCTCAAAAGCCTCGAAGACCCGATCGAATTCGAACCTAGAGCTCCCCGACGCCCGTTGTAGCTGGCGGGCTGCCCGTAATGTGGGCAATCTGCCATGCTTATAAGAGACTCGATGATGAACTGCTGATATAGAGTCGCCGTGGTTGTAGACGTCATTCTTGATAGCTAGGTTGTTTTCACTAAAGTCGTCGAAATTGACCACGTCTTTCCCGATCAGCTCTCGGATCTCTGGAGGCTAACATTGCGGTGTACCCAGCTCGATGTTCTTCTCGAGATCCAATTCGTACGCTCGTGAAGACCAGCCTTCGCTTTCCCACGTCCGCCTGAGCCATTTCATTTTCACCGCCGTTTCATAGGTCATTGCTTTTAAATAGTGCTTGTCGAAAGGTAGTTTGGGGATAGACTGAGCAATTGTTGATCCGCCTTTCTGGGCCTGTCAGATCCTCCAGAGGTGAGATCTTGGTCGCCAAGATTTCTTTCACGTCAGCAAGATTTGGGGTGTCTTCCTGGCGTGAACCACTGAGGAAATGCATGGTAGTTGGAGCCCATGAATCAAGCGCTGACTCGCTCGGTCGGTGGATAATGGTACGTCGGAGGCGATGGAGCTCCTGCGTGAGCACATGGTCGTGCAGTTGCGCACACCCAAAAGGGGCAGAATCGACGGTTGTTGCCTAGAAATGTGCGGGAACTTGCAATGCATAACATTAAGAAGATGACTTCATCCATCTCAACTATTCGATAATGAGACCGGTACTTGTGAGATATCTGGATACTCAAATAAAAAACAACTAAAAAAAATAGGATAAATTAAGCAAAATAGAATAAAAATATAAGGATTAAAATAAACGACTATGAGTCATGAATACGGAAAAGTTAATCCTCTCCCCTATAACAATAAAAACCTAGCACAAAAAAAAGTATCTAAATTCTCTATTTCAAAAGAATACGGGAAAGATGAGTCTGGATCTTGCTGCATATCTCCCCAAAAGATGAATGGTTTGGGTTCTATACCGTAGATCAGGCACGTCGTCGAAGACCTCTATTTGGACAACAGAACTTCAGAAGAGAATAAAGCAGTCCTGATGACCGTGTAATAGCGTGAGATCCCACTCTCGATGAATGGAAGACCGGATCAGTAGCAACAAATCCCAAGATTCGCGCGAGTCGGCAAACGTGCGCAACAACTCAATTGAAGTACTATTCGCTCGCTAAAACAATCTTGCGCCTTGATGAAGCACAACGGGGAGATGCGGCCAAAAGACAGTGACATTGTACTGCCAAACAACCCTGTGATGTAAAATCTCAACACTTTCAGGCAAGCAGCACTTTGTACGCAGCCGAAAGAAATTCAAGAAGTGACACGCGCACTGGCGGCAGCCCCTCAGAAGGAGTCACTCTATTACCCACAAGTCCTTCAATCAATAGCATTATCACCTTCAAGCACAACTGTATCAACAGCTCTGTTTTTCCAAGGCCACCTGCACGCACCGGAGTCAGCGTGGCTTCTTTGGGGCAAAACACCCAGGTATGAGACTGGCCTGGGAGTTGAAACTGGCCTACTGCTCGCGAGACAGGTTGTGCGGTTCAAAGCCAAGGGTTCGATGAGGGAGAGTATACTCCGAAATGTGCACTTACAACCTCCCCAACACCAACACCTCCATCAACTTCTTTGGCCCCACCACAGCCTTCCCTCCCAGTGCCTGATTGAGCGCAGTACACCTCCTTGCAGTATCAATCGCCGCATCTCTAATCTCTCCAACGTAGAAAACATCCTCGGCATCTGCACTGACCATATCGAGGAAAATGACGCAAGTTCTGTATGTGAAGCTATTTGGCAATACGAAAGTAGTGTCATCGTTTCGACGGAAATTTATGGGCCTGTGGGGATCATGAGCAGCTATCTTCTTTTCCGCGTTGAAGCAATCGATAAAATTTGTGCGGGAGAGTTTATGAGGCTCTTGTGGTGGGGCTTGGTGGAAGCAGCCTATTAGGTCCCCAAGAGCGTTGGTCATGCCGATGGTGGATCTGTCGGGAAAGGTAGTATTCAGGTTCTTTGTTGAATTGAAACCCTCAAGAGCACCTAGGTCAGAAGGGCTTGCTACGCATGGCAATGCAAAAAAGGTGAAGACGAAGCACGAAAGAAGGATATCGAGCATTGTGTACGGCCGGAATCATGACTTTCCCTCGAAAATCCTAACCATCCCAAACAAGCAGGATTTCAGTATAAGAGATGGATCTGAAACGTTAATACCTGCCAAATAACAGTCGTGTGCCTCCGCGTTCACCCGCGCTTCGGTTGAGAGCCCCACGTAAAGAATCCGACTTTGCGACCCATCCTTTCCATTGCCACGTTCCACAAATATGAGATATTTCTTATGGAGAACGATGAATCACCGAAAACATCCCTTTTTCCGTAAGCGCGAATACAAATGGCATGCAAAGTAGGGCCACATGAAAAGCCTTTCCATTTGACAAAAGTGGGACAAAGCGCACGAGGATTACCAACTGACTCTACCAGGGCTCTCGGCGCTTGCACTGTCTCAATGCGGATGGCAAGCGTTCTTCGCATGGCACGTTCCAACTCTCGGTTCCTTCGAGTCAAGACCCATACCATATCATAGATCTTAATTCTCATAGTGAGGAGGAAGGACAAGTCATCAAGCTTGAGAGGTTGATTGGTCCTCAAACAGGCTTCATTTTCTTCACCACCGTCTCCAACTCCAGCAGGTGGATTTGACATTCCAAGCGAGATGCACGATGCCAATCCGAACAGATCTTGCCCTCTACAGCAGACTCAAAAGCTCTTAGCAGGTCGGCGTCAAGCAAACTACCTTCTCTGCCTCCTGATCAGGATCCGTCTCACAGCACTCATATCAGCTTGCGAGCCTTCAGCCTCTACTCGGCATCTTCCCATCGCTGAGCTCGTTTGACGGCGAGAACATACCATTCAGCTTCACATCACGGTCCGAACTTGGAGCGTCAAACCTTTCCGATGTGCTGCAGGTCAGATCGTATGTAACTCAACGATTTGATGATTCTAAGAGGTCTGATGCTATGGTTGACTTTGAGAATTGTTGGGGGAAGGAAGCCATCACAGTGGGTGGGGCCTTTTTGAGAATCCGTGTCCTCCCGCTAAGTCCTCACACTAATATTAAACACGAACGCAGCAGCCATTGTGAGATTGTGTAATGCTATGAGTAGACCTCATAGTCAATGAACATTTGAAATGCCTTCAGCAGTCAATGGTCGAGAGCCTCTCTTGTTCCTCAATGAGTGGTGCTAACGGTCATAGGCCCCAACTTTGAAGAAGCACTCGACCACGTGATATTAGGCATGTTTACTTCTACCAACACCCCACAAAACGTTATCCTGACAGTGCAGACAGCGTCGGAAATCCAAACGAAGAAGAAGTATCCCGTGTTGAAGACTCATCTAGAAGAGATTCAGTCTCATGCCCAGCAACATGGCTTAACGACCGCAACCCTAAAGCGACTTCTTGAAGTGCTGACATCCCCCAATGCCCTCGACCATACGACTCAAAAGGCATTATTCAAGATCTTGTATCCTGCTGGCCAGGTTCCTTCTCATTTAATATGTATGGTTGTGAATGCTTTGGGCTATGGCAGTCGAAAAGCTTCGGTGTCCAACCAGCAACTGCTGCTGAAATGGATGAATGTGATTCACGATGTTCTAGAAGACAATTCGATATTGTCTAGCCTCTACAGCGTTTTCTTCAATCTCCTGGACATGAATAGTCTACGCGCGGATCTATGCCCTCTCCTTGCTCAAATTACCAGGAGGAAACATGTCAGACCATTTCGAGTCCAGATGCTGCAAGATCTCAGCCAGAAGGTTGGTCGAGAGCCTGCTCTTTCGAAGATCATGCAGATCTATGATACCTATGCTCCAGGTATGTTAGATGTCAAGAAATCAACCGGTCGAGTTCCAGAGTTCTCACATCCCGATCCCGAATGGGCCAATCAGCTCCAAAGGATCCTGGAGAAAGCAGATCACCTGTCTGCGGATCCCCTTCATCAACGAGAGGCGACCCCATCTTTTCGCCGAGGACCCAAGAGACTACGATTATCAGCCTCAGTAGAGGGATCCTACAGTCTCGACCGAATCGACAATGCAGAAGATCTGGTCAACAACGTGGAGAAAGTCAGGATCACAGGGCTAGCAACCTCAGACCTAGACGACCCAGTACTGCAAATCTACGTGACGCTTGGCTCTGAGGATAGTCACACAGAGGACGTCAATGAATGCCTCTCCAAAGCCTTCATGCAGCAACACGAGAGCTTAACGAGTGGTCGAGATGCGAAGAAGCCGCTAGTGGAGGTCCTGGACGAGGCTTTAGCATACACACAATACACCAAAGTAGGTATCAAAATTCCCGGGAGCTTAAAGTGAGCAGGGGTTGGAGACTGACACTGAGATTCTAGACGTTACCCAAACCCGTGATGACCTTCCTAGAAAAGTACCTACCAGAATGGCTACCACCGCAACACCAAGGAATAATCTTAGATCTCTTATCCCACATCCCCCTCAAAACATTCTCCGGTACGCCCCTCTCCCTTGACACCACATATTTACTCATCAAGCCAAGCCCTCCAAACCACCCTCCTCAACCCCCTGGAAACCGCTCTCCTCAGCGCCCCAACCATCACCAACCCCCTCCCCACCCTGCTGACCTTCTACACCACGCTCCTCACGAAGTGGACCGCCCCTCTTCTCTCCTCGCCATCCGCACCAACACCCAGCCAAGTAGCCATCCTCCTCGGGCTAGCCAAGCACACGAATTTGCTAACGCAAACCCTCCTCACAACATCACCCACCGCATCCACCATCTCCCTAATACTAACGCACCTGTCGTCCCTCCCGCTTCTGGTCGCACCACCCCTGTCGATCCCCCTGCCACCACCACCGCCATTAACAACGTATCTGATCATCTTCACAGCACCATCACTCTCAACCCTATCACGGCTCTGCTCGCTGCTCACCAGCTGGAAAGTGGCTTTCGAGAGCAACGCCAGTACAGCCCGGGATCAAGGGCAAATCGAATCGCTAAATGCAGCATTGATGGACACGTGCAACCTGCTCTTCCGCTCTCGGGCTTTCAATGCCGCGGATGGACATGCGTTGGGTTGCCTCATCCCACCGCCTGTGGTGACTAGTCTCTCGACCTATACGAGCGGATTGGATCCGCCGCAACCGCTCACGAGTCTCTTTTCACTGAGCCACAACCCAAATGTGTCGGCCTTGAGTATTACCGCTTTTCGCGAGGTAGAGGATTCTGCTGAGGACAAGCAGCCGGGGAGTGTAGCTGTGAGACATGCTGGACCGATCACGACGAAAAGTCTGGCGCAGTTGGGAAGGGAAGGCGGTGTGAAGATGGGGTGGAAGGAGTACAGAGTACTCGTGCTGAGATGGTTGGAGGGTGTTGGGGTCAGTGGAATTGCAGACTTTGGGGCAGCGACTATGCCCGGCATGAAAGGTGGGCAGGATGCGGTAGCTAGAGCGAAAGCAGGAGTGGCATGAATTGAACAATTTTTGTCTTCTCCTTTTCGCCAAGCAATCTAATGAAAACGTGCAAGCATATTGGCCTAGTTGCTACAACGTTCGCCCTCGAAGTCTAAGAAAATTGCCACCACTTCCTCCATGCCCCTTATCCACGATCTGCTCGTGATAGCATCTAATGCTCGTGGTAACATAATCTTATCTCTGGCTTGCAGGACAGTAACACGCTCTCAATACATTCATTTCAATCTTGCAATTGCTAATTATCGTAAGCATTGCTGTCATTTGTACGAAAGATGGCAAACACTAGCGTACCTTAGAAGCACTTGCGGTGGACGATGGATGGTCCGCTCTCGTCATACTCTTGCTTGGAGATCCACATTTGTTGGAAGGTGGATAGAGAAGCCAAGATGGAACCACCGATCCAGACAGAGTATTTACGCTCAGGAGGTGCAATGATCTTGACCTTCATCGATGATGGGGCAAGAGCGGTGATTTCCTTCTGCATACGATCCGAGATACCAGGGTACATGGTAGTTCCACCAGACTAGCCTGTATCAGCCAATGTTTTCAAATTGAGTGGCACCGTAGTAAACTTACCATGACGATGTTGCCGTAAAGGTCCTTTCGGACATCGACATCGCACTTCATGATGGAGTTGAAGGTGGTGACGTGGATACCTCCGCTCTCAAGACCCAGAACACTTGGCTGGAAGAGAGCCTCAGGAGCTCGGAAACGCTCGTTACCAATGGTGATAACCTGGCCATCGGGAAGCTCATAGGACTTCTCCAAGCTGGAGCTCTGGCTGGCGGTCTGGATTTCCTGCTCGAAGTCCAGGGCAACGTAACAAAGCTTCTCCTTCATGTCACGAACAATTTCACGCTCGGCAGTGGTCGAGAACGGGTATCCACGCTCGGCCAAGATCTTCATCAGGTAATCGGTAAGATCACGACCAGCCATATCGATACGCGAGATAGCGTGGGGAAGAGCGAAACCCTCGTAGATGGGGACAACGTGAGTGACACCATCTCCGGAGTCGAGAACGATACCAGTGGTACGTCCAGAAGCGTACAATGAGAGCACGGCCTGGATGGAGACGTAAAAAGCGGGGGCATTGAAGGTTTCGAAGACAATCTGTGTCATCTTCTCACGGTTGGATTTGGGATTGATTGGCGCTTCGGTGAGCAGCACTGGGTGCTCCTCGGGCGCAACACGCAGCTCGTTGTAGAAGGTGTGATGCCAGATCTTCTCCATGTCATCCCAGTTGGTGACAACACCATGCTCGATAGGGTACCTCAGAGTCAGGATACCACGCTTTGATTGTGCCTCATCTCCGACGTAGGAGTCTTTCTGACCCATACCAATCATGATACTGAGAGCAGGTCAGCTTTGGTATCCCAAGCGGGCGCTAGGTCCGAAGATCTAAGGCGGCGAGTTGAGGCCATACCCATGATGACGAGGTCTACCGACAATGGAGGCTACAAATAGCATCAACAAGCTGTAGACTCAAGAATAGCAGCTTAACCGCGGTCAAGATGCCTGGATGCGACTCACGAAATACAGCTCTGGGAGCATCATCACCAGCAAAACCAGCCTTGCACATTCCTGAGCTATCAACGATCAGCCATGACCGCCAAGCTTAATTCCCCAATGATGACAGCTTGACAACTGCTCTCTGATGCGGCTTTGGAGACGAGGGTTGTGCCCTTGGGTACGTAGACATGGAGAGAACACATACCCATTGTCAATGACGAGGGCTGCAACTTCTTCTATATTGATCGAAAAGAGCCTGTTAGCAGCGGTTCTTGATTTTCTAGGGTCGCCTCTGGTACTGAAGGCACTTTATGCTTGGGACCAAGAGTGTAGCGACAAGATCAAAGGTCAGCTTACCTTCCATGACGGCGGACTGGAGTGAAATATGATAGCTTTAAAGAGCGGAATGCGATTTGTCAGAAGCTTGCAGTGTGTGTTGCAAGGAAGTTAGGAGAGGTGGTCTTGAGAGAAGCTTAAAGAGGAAGCTGTCGGTCGTAATAAGTGTTGACAGCGGAGGCAGGAAGGAGCAACCGTTGATGTTGGGCCTTCTGTGGGACGGAGTGCCAAGCGACGCTACTAAAAATTTTAGTCGATGTTTTGCCGCTCGTTGCCTTTTTTCTCTAAATTTATGGGCTGCGCTTGGGAGGTCCTTGGGATTCGTCGCACTCAATCCTACGTTCATCACTCGGGCTGTGGGCAGCGTAATCTGTCTACGCAAGCTCGAGATATGTTTACAAGGCAGCACAATACCGTCTGTACTGTCCTCACTGCACGATGGTACTATTACGCGCGTACAATCTGGGAGGAATGACTTCTATTATGGCTGCCTTGAACAATTCACGATTTGAGTGTGGAAGGCAGCTGCTTTCTGTCAAAGAGCTAGGTACCTGATGCAAGGGCGAGCACACCCCAAATTCAGACTCTTTCAGCCGAGCTTGAAATGTCGTCCGCTGCCTCTTCCGCCAACAAAAATAGATGGCGGGGTGGAATGTCGCTAATCTTCAGCCGCAGGGGCGGGGAAGCGACGATAATGAATCTCCAGTGATGTGATAATAACATGACATGATTCTTCGAGAACAATTTCCAACGGGTTTGATGAGATCTTGCGGGGATACGAGAGGTTGAACGTTGGCCGTGGAAAATGCTCGAAGTTGAAAGAAGTTTCCAGTGCATGCGCGAACCATCGTCAAAAGTCCACCAGCGGAACGTCATCGGGCTAAGGTGACCACAACAAGAACAACAGCGACCGATAATAAAAACGAGAGAAGCTCGAGATTGACATCTGATACGCATAACTTAATCCTCTTACACTCGTCTCGCCGTCTTTTCTATTGTCTAAAGTCACAACCAGAGCCTTAAAATTGTACATTGCTACATTTCACGCAACATAAGACATTAGCACCTGCCTTCATTCTTGCTCCTTTTACACTCGATCATGGATCCAGGCATGAACCAGCTCTTAAAATGGAGTATCGAAAACTCCGAAAACCCTTCCGCCGACCCAACCTCCACCACCGACCCCAAAGCCGAGCGCCCCTCCGGCCGCCCCATCAACGCCGAAGCCCTCAATTCCCTCTTCGGAGGCCCATCCGATGCCGACTTAATGAAAGAGTCCATTGCCACTATACTATCACCACAGATCACGCTCGAAAATAAGTTAATCGCCTTCGACAACTTCGAGCAACTGATCGAAAACCTCGATAATGCGAACAATATGGAAGTTCTGGGTCTGTGGGCGCCACTGGTACAGCTGTTGAAGAGCGACGAAGCAGATTTGAGGAAATACGCGGCATGGTGTGTGGGCACCGCCGTGCAAAACAATGTCAAAGCTCAGGAGAGACTCTTGGCCGTGGATGCCATACCAGTCCTTACCCATCTCTCGATCGAAGACTCCAATGAGCCTGTGAGAAGAAAGACCATCTATGCGTTGTCGAGCGAGATAAGAAACTTCCAGCCAGGTCTTGATGCAGCGTTGAAGACGTTGCCCAAGGGGATCGCGCCTGAAGGTGCGATCGATGCTGGGGATATGGAGGCTGTGGATCGAGTCATTGGGCAGCTGAGGGAGGATTCGGCGCGGAAGGCTGCTTGAAGTAAGGACGGCATTTATCGAGATGGGATGGGGGAGACGACATTATACCAATAGACAAATGACACTTTCAACTGAGAAGGCTGTTTTCAATGTGCACCTAGAACTCAAATCGTACCAAGATGCACTTCGATTGCTGACCACCCGTGTCCGCGTATATACATAGGTGCAAATTCACTTCGCTTGCCAGAAGACATATGGTACCTATGCGCGATGCTGGGATCCAGTCCCCATGCGAAACGCCTCAAAATTCTCCATGTCATTTCTCGCAACCCATATCGTAACAGACATTTCTCCATTAGTATATTCACCGTACTTCCGGCGCTGCAGCTGCGGCAATCTCATTATTGATCGGCGCGGCTCCCGTGTCAGCTGGCGGTCTCTCGAACAAGTTCCTCCAGAATCGCGGCGCATCGAGGGGCCGTTGGCCGCCATGTAAGGACGGATAGACGTCACTGAAGAAGTACCAAACTAGGAAGGGAGAGTCAGTAAATTTGTTTCTCGTGCCCACTTCACGCAGCGGGTACTCACTGTGCCCAACAATAACCCCACAGATCTCATCCTTCGGCACAGTCCCATGCAATACCAAGCTGAATGCCATTAAGACCCATGGCAGATACGGCGCCGTGAACACCAGCAACCCTAGAAAGCTCAATCTCGTCTCCGGATTCCTTCTACTCCATATGTACACCAAAGAACTCGATAAGGCGGATCCTAGGAAAGGTATGCTAAGCATAGGAGAAAGGGCTAGCAGGAGCGTGGTGGCGTAGACGAGCAGCCATGAAAATTGAGCGGGAGAGCGACCTGATGACTCTTCGAGGAGGCGGGAGTAGCGCTGAAGGAAGAAGACGTGGAAGAGGAGGTCGAGCGAGAGGGGGCCGAAGTAGAGGAAGGTCGTTATTAGTCGCCAGTACTTTGGATATAGTCAGCTTCCTGTGCCTAGCATATGCCACCAAGGGTCCTACCTGGTTCTTCACAAATACAGCCCTGAAGCTGTAAAAGAGTTGGAATGGCGTAATGACATGACACTGAACGAGCACTGATGTGATTATTGTAGCTGTAGTCCAGTACCGCGTACAGGCCGGCATCTCATAGAACCATTGCTCCAACGGGAATTGTCCTATCGCTCCTCCTCCCCCGCCCCCACCGAGCATGTTATCCATGTCCATGATTGTGGCCTTGTAAAGAGGCTGGAGGTATGGCTATAGACGGAGAGGGATTTATCTAGAAAGTGATGAATCTGCGAGTCAAAAGAATCTCATTATGATTACTGCAGTACGTAAGAAAGATACTAGTCAAGTCTGGACAAAGAATTATTGTACAACAGCAAGGTGGCATCAAGTGTATCAGCTTGCCGTTGTTGGCTTTCGAGCCTCGGAACATAAAGGCCTGAACCCGGGATTCAGCCGAAGACAGCCGCGCTATCTCCATAACAGCTAGCGTGGTATGCAGATCAATTTTAGTGTCAACAACGCCAACGCCAACGCCAGGATCTCGCGATAAACACGATGGCTGGTGAGGCTGGTAACTGAATCCCACAGCACTTACTCCCTCCTCCCATCTCTTACTCGAACTTTCCGCTGCCATCTCGCTATGAGTCAACTGCATTGCTGACCAAAAGCCTCTCGAGTAACATCAGCGCGTAAAGCGACAGCATCTCGCAAGTACTTGTGCCACGAACAGGGACGGCATCGAGCGCGCGAGCTTCAACTTTACTCGAGCACCGGCGCATCGCGACTTCATCAGCCGGCTACCTATAACCTGCTAGGCTCATAAAAGCTTGATCAGATCTCATACCTCGAAAGACTTCAGGCGCAATGGCCGGCCAAAAGCAACAGACTGCCAAACGCACCACGGGCGCCGTTCCCCTCGGCCTCAAGAAGAAAGGAGGGCGCCCCTCCATAGGCGGGAAGACTTCGCGAAAGACGACAGGGACTCCAAAAGCCTCCAGGCGAAAGAGCGGAGCAGCGCAAGGTTGGTGCCTCCCACCCAAAATTAAAACGGAAATCCACCATCCTTCTGCAGCAGGCTGGATCTCCTCACAAATGCGCTGACATGTCCTTTTATAGACGAAGATGCCACCCGTAAGGCTCGCCGCTACAAACCCGGCACGGTCGCTCTCCGAGAAATCCGTCGCTACCAGCGCTCAACCGACCTACTGCTTCTGAAACTTCCTTTCTCCCGCCTCGTAAGTTTCAGTCACCATTGCCCAACGTAACCTTCCCAGTAACGCAGATCTAGGTTCGCGAAATCGGTCTCTCCCTCCTACCCGTCGACGGCGACTCCCTGCGCTGGCAAAGCCAAGCCATACAAGCGCTCCAAGAAGCCGCTGAAGCATTCATGGTACACCTATTCGAAGACACCAACCTGTGCGCCATCCATGCCAAACGGGTCACGATAATGCAGAAGGATGTCCAGCTGGCTAGACGGATTAGGGGCGCGTGGGGTGGTCTCGGATAGTTGGGTGCGGAAAAAGTGGTGGGTTTAAGGTATCGAGGAAAGGGATGCCTGAACCTAGGAGGGGTGGCTTTTTTCCCGTACTATTTGTACGTGGAGAGGAGGGAAGCGAAAAGGCGTTGATTGCTGTTCTAGTTTCCGACAAAATAGGGATACTGCTTTCTGTCGCTGGAGGATGTGTAGCCTATCTCTGCTGCTAAAGCAACCGTGGGTTGCTTTCAAGCTTTCAAGGGTCATGTATACCAGGCAGCTGCTAGTACTTATCAGGTTCAGGGAGGAATGTAATGCAATAGCTCAAGAGTTGACTCACCCAGGAGCTGTTGATGTTCGGATTGCACATATGAGGAGTACATCTATGTAGCCCATCGAGACCGAAAGAAAAAGCCCCTAGAGCCAGATATGTCGCTGGGTCAAAGAGCCACCCATGCAAATTTCTCCATAGTATTCTCGGAGAACGCATGTCCAGCTCCCATATCTAGGGCCGAAATTTCTACCCAGCGAACACCACACAGCACACGTAGCCACCCACATGCTCGCTGCTTCAATCACAACAAGGTCTGTTTCAACCATGACAAGCAAACGTTCACCCCTTCACTTTCATAGTAACTTCATAATTCTCTCCCTCTTCCTGCATGGGAACATCATGCCCGTCAAAACGTCCATTCATCGCTTCCTGCAATGCCTGTGGCAGATTAGCCGAAGTTTTTAACCCACTCTGCTTCGCCCTCTCCGCCTCCTCGTTTCTCCCCGCCACCTCAAGCGTATCACCCAACAGGCCCGCGCTAACACTCATCCACAGGACATTCATACATTGCTGAGCTAGATTCTGGCTGGCTCGAGCGCTCCTCTCCGCCTGCTCGCCCACAACGCCACGGAAGAATTTCCAGGACATAAAATTGAGGACCATGCACATAAGATGTTTATTGTCAGTTTGCTTAGAGGCTTGAAGGGCGGATTGGAGATACTGCTTTGTGAGGAGAATGGTGTCCGATGAGGTGGTAGCGGCGACGAGATGGTAGGCAGAACAAATCTGGTGGTTTCGGTTCTGCAGACAGAGGAGTTCGAGGTTTGATACGAGCGAAGGGACAAGATGGTTTTGGGAGTGAGAAGGCGAGCGGATGATTAATATCGTGTTGAGAGTAGAGAGGATGGAGATGTCCAAGGATATTTGGGAGCGTGACCGTTGCTCAGGAGGTGCTGGAAGAGATAGAATGGAGCTTTGGTACAGCGAGAGGGCTTCCGCAAGGTTGCCAATTCCTTGGTAGATGACCGCTTCAAGATATACTGTGAGTAGAAGTAGGGGCTCTGGAGTATTGACCATCGATCCGACGCTGGCCTCGATCTTAGCCTGCTGCTCTTTGGCCGCCGACCACGACGTCCTAGCACATAGCGTGAATGCGAGATAGAGTCGCATGTAGCAAGTCATGTGTTCCCGCCAAGTTTGCTGAGAGGACGCGAGCGCGATAGACTTGGGTACTTTGCTATGTTCTCGTTGCGTCCCTTCACAGATATCAGGAGGATTGAAAGATCGACTTGTCATCATTGACTCACACTCTAGTCTTTTGATACCCTCCTCGAGCATATGCTCCGACTTCTGACCATCCACTGTATTGCGGTTGGCCATGGAGGCACCGCCGAGGAGGTACCCAACATTGTAAATATCTTCTTTTGGCATCCAATTGAACATCAAGACGATCGAATCGTTGTTTCTTCTCCGAACAACACCAGATTGGCTCTTACACGACGGCATTCTCGTGGCTGGTATGGGGATAGCAAATGATCCGTCATCAGTCCACAATCGACTTGAATCCACGGTCTTTAGTGCATTCTGCATGATCTGCATTTTTGATACTGCTTGATGAGGTTCGAATTGTTGCAGTTGGCAGCATAGATCTACAAAAGATATTAAGACTGTCAACTGATGTAGCTCTCCTGTTGCAGGATCCAGCTGTAGACTTCTTACGCCAGCCAACGCTCGCTGCGCTTCCTCGATATACTCAGCATTACTAGATATCTTTAGGCAGGTCAAGGCCTCGAGAGTGGTGGCGACAGCGAGGATGACCTTGTCCCCATAGTCACTGGAAATAGATATGATACTTTTCAGCAGGTTGAGGGCTGCGATCAGATCCTGATGAGATGAAAGCTCAAGATGCATCGAGACCTTGAGAAACCGGAAGGCGTAGACCCATGCGATATGTTGATAAGCCTCGGCATCTTTCAAGATTCCGTCGAGAAATTTGAAAGCAGCCCGAGGGGTCTTTGAGAACAGGATCCGAGCAAGCAGATGCTGCATGTTGTATTTGAGATCAAAGAAACGATGGCGATCGCAAAGTACAATTCCTTTGCCTAGAGCTTCATCCGCTTCTATGGTGTTCTCCGTCTCCTCGAAAAGGATGGTGGCATACCGCAGTCTCACTATGGCTTCTCTCTCGGGCTGCATTTTGAAATGCTTCAAGACAACCTCGAGACATCCTAACCCGGTTGCCATCATCTTGTAGTAGGAATGCGTTTCAGTTTCTCTGCGGACTATGTCTGCCATCGAGCCATAGCCATGCGCTGCAGCGAAGTACTCCTCAGCTAGAGAAAGCAAGAGCAGCTGATAATCGAGCGGAGTGTGATATGGAGGCGGCGGCGGCATAGTTTGACTGCCGGTATACCCATTGCTGGCATAGACTGCAAGCTGATGGGTCGAGTCTGAAGGTGCCGGGATCGCTACGGCATAAGCTCGCTGCTGTGTCTGCAATTGAGGGATCGGTTGCCTGTGCTGAAGTGCGCCGCCAGAGGGCGCGATGGTGCTATTCGCTTGGCATGCGTTCGCGTGGTAAAGACCGTACGTATCCGATGTCGGCCTGGAGGACTGTTGAAGAGGGTACTGGGCTTCATACTGTGGGTTGGAGAGTAATTGCCGTATAGCTGCTTGTCTGTTATATGGATCCTGGGGCTGATATGCCATGATTTTTGCTGTATCTTCCTGTTCAAGTGACGGCGATTTCCCACACTCCTCCACCGTATCCTATACATCCCAATGCGCCCCCGTGCTCATTCACACTGTTTGATTGCATTGATCTTCTGACTTTACTGTGACATCTGGTGTATTCTTGCGGCAACCGGCGCTAAACGCGCCTGATCTGCCGAGGCTCCGCGATATTCTAGGTAATTGAGATCCGAAGTGACTTCGATATACATTTTCCAAGCCAGGTACCAGGCAGCTAACCCAATTTCTAGCAACAATGGACTTCTGGCGTCTGTTTGGCTATGCCAAAACCTCCTTCTACCACCACGACTCCCCACTTTCCCTCCCTACGAAGAATACAAAGACAGGGGAGCAACCTACGAACCTCCTCGATCTCTGCAAACATGTGACTCCAATCTGTCGCCTCAATCCGCTGCTCTTTAACGGCCACCTCCAGACTTTCTGGACAGCAGTTAAAAGCCAGGATATCCCTATATACTACAAACGGCGCCTGTTTTCCGCCGAAGAGCCCCAATTCGCAGGGACCTTTGCTGTCGATTTCGCCGTAAACCCGTATGAGGGTACTGATGAAAGCCTGCCGCCTCGGACCACATACTACAACGATGGAGAGTTTGAAGAGATCGGATCGATGGATACCAAGCCAATGCTGGTTACTTTGCATGGCCTGAGCGGCGGTTCTCACGAAATATACTTGAGGCATGTGCTGAGACCTATTGTTGATGCGGGATGGGAAGCTTGCGTGGTAAATTCAAGGGGCTGTGCGAAGAGCAAGATTACTACTGGAGTACTCTATAATGCTAGAGCGACGTGGGACGTGCGGCAAGTCGTCAAATGGTTGAGGAGGACTTTTCCAAACAGGCCATTGTTTGGGATTGGGTATTCTTTGGGTGCAAATATCTTGGTCAATGTACGTATGGTAGATAGGGTCCAATTGATGGTGCCGGTTCTGATGGAGATTGTATTGCGTAGTACCTGGGTGAGGAAGGCGAGAGCTGTATGCTCAACGCTGCTGTAATATGCTCAAATCCATGGAATCTAGAGGCTGGGAATCTCGCGCTCCAACGGACATGGCTTGGTTCCGAAGTCTATTCGAAGACGATGGGAACCAGCATGAAAAAGCTTTTTGAAGAGTTAGACCTGTCAGGATTTTTGTTTTTACCCCTATTGGCTAATGAACGAAATAGTCACGTCGATGCCATATCAAAGAATCCCCGCGTTGACATCGAGAAGGTCCGGAATATAACGTACCTGTACGAGTTTGACAGGTACGGATTTCTGTCTGAACGAATATTGCGGGGCTAAGCCTATCACAGAGAACTTCAAGGCCCGACTTGGGGCTATCCTACCGAAGGAGCATACTATCGTGATGCATCCTCCTGTGACTCGCTGATGGCCGTGAGGATACCTCTTTTCGCAATCCACGCAGAGGATGACCCAGTATGCCTTGCAGCACAAATGCTCCCGGGGCCACACTAATAAGCCACAGATAGCCGTAAAGGAAGCAATCCCGTTCCGCGAATTCCAGCAGAGTCCTTTCGGAGTGTTGTGCACTACTTCGCTTGGTGGGCATCTTAGCTGGTTCGAAAATGGTGGTGGGAGATGGTTCGCTAAGCCTGTAAGCTGACTCCTTTGGCGCCAGGGGAGTTGCCGTTGACTTCGGTACCAGGCGAGCCAATTTCTCATACAATTTTTCGAAAACATCGATCTGGACAAGCTTGAGAAGAAGCCTGGAGAGAAGGCCGGGAACGGTATCGGTCTAGGTGGTAAAGCTCTTGCTTCGTTCAATCCAATGCGTCGAAAGCTCCAGATAGATGTAGAGCCATAAAGTAATGTGGAATCTCAAGAGATGACCTTCAAGCAAATGAAACCCTCTTTCCACTGGCTTTGGCGCCCTTCGAGGATTTCGAGCTGCTCTCTAAAGGGTCCGTGTCGACGCCAACGTTTGGCTTCCTTTTCCTCTTCTTGCGCATCGAGTCCTTGGTCTCCTCCTACAACATCGTAAATCCCTGCTTTTTGTTTACTACTTCGATGAAAACCATACCATTTTCGATTTTCTCTGCTCATGTCTCGCCTCCGCCTCCTTGCGCCTTGCTTCACGAATATCCTCCATTTGGCGAGACTTCATCATTTTGCTCTCGATCTGGCCCTCCTTGTCCGCGGTGACAATCGCGAGTATAGTCATCATGCTCTCCTGGGGAGCCAAGTGAGTCAACTATCGATATATTGAGACAGCGCAAAGTATTGTAGCCCTACCTGGTCATCAACGAACACCTTGCCCTTCCTTTTCCCTTTTGGCAACTCTACACCAACCGGGGTGACCATATTCAACTTTGGTAGTCCCAGTTCCTTCTCCGTATACACACGTTTCTTCTTCTTGACCGGTGCAGCTGACTTGGTCTTTTGCTGCTTGGGTGGTGGAGCCTTGGGTTTCTTCGAGACTTTGCTCTTCGTATTTGCACCAAGGGCACGGGGCTTTCCTGAACCCTTGGGACTTTTACCATCCTTAGGAAAAGACTTGGACTTGACTGTCCTGGTAGGCGCCATGATTTATCACTCGATGTGTACTACCGTAGATCCGTCCTACGCAGTTCGAAGATGCGAAATTCTGAGAGATGGAGCTAAGATAAGATACAAAAGCGCGCTAGTCGCAGCTGTGAGCTAGCGTCTCCATGGCGATACGCGATTGACCAACATTTCATTCATGTCCCAGAGGACACGGTTTTCCGGATGTACTGAATAGCGATGACTGGTAAGCTACAGGTACCTCTGAGGGAACCCACGACAGGTCTACTCCTATCTTAAAGGCGGAAGACTTGTGAGTTCAGTCCGGTCGGTATGGTCATTGGCGCTTCAAGCACCTATGAGATCGTGAAGATTGAGGGGCTGGTCCCGGTGCAGGCATCTAAAAGTCTCTAGAGCATCCAATGTGTTAGAAATCATCCGGGGCCGGCTTGGGCTGACGCAGATGAAACGCATTTGGATCCATGAATGTCAAATAGTATAGTGACTACATATGTCTACATGTATGCAGCTACCCAATCATTGAAATCTCCATTCCTTATGCTCGCAGACAACTTCGGGTTTTCGGCAAAACTCAGTCCGGGTTTATGCGTATCCTCTCGCCGCGTTCCTTCCCTTTACACTCCTCTTTTTGACCGGGTTATCATTAAACATAGATCCAGGACCAAAATCAGGCATACCTCCCAAACTGCCGAATATGTCACCAATATAATTGGTAGCAGGGATCCCCTTCGCAAAAGTACTTTCCCACTCATTCAAGATCCCCTCCACCACTTTGATACCCGCCAGATAGATATTGTCTATTGCCGGCTCAAATCCACCTTGATTAGCGTAGAAGAGGTTGAAGGTATCAGACTATGGAGATTCAGAGTCAGCATTACTTCTTCGAGGCAATAAACATTGTGCATACCTCTCCAGCATACGGACGATCGAAGTCTGAAGCCGTGCGCATGACAATGATACGGCTGAAGTCGGTAAGATTGGCGATGGCTCCACGCAGAAGAGCTTCGAGTGTAGCAGTATCTTCTTGTGCCGTTGTACAGTACACGCCACTCCCATTTGTGAAGAGCTTTGTAGTGTTCTCGAAGGCTTCACTCAGCAGCGTACCGCTGAAGTAGACGTCTGATGTAGCAGCATCGCAACCCACGACGCTGGGCCCTCGACTGCCAGCTTCGTAAGCGCTCGTTGATGCATAGTTGGCCCGGTACGCCATTGCGGCGGTAGAGTCGTTCAAAACTGCAGTTTTGGCGAAGCCAATGGCAAGTTGGCGTAGATTATCATTGACTTCGAAGACCTCAGTGCCGTAGATGCTTTGAGGATACTCGATTGGATCCGTACTGCCTTGCGGGACGTATCTGCCGTACTTAGTCCTTCGCCCCGAGATCAACAACAAGTGTGTACCTACCCTGTTGTGAAGTTGGCTGGAATTTCTCTAGCATCGAATTCGTATTGCAATTCCACGGAGACGGCATATTTGGCAAAGGTGACTGATCCCAAAGTGGCTACTTTGGGACTGACACCAGCAATGCCTGCAATCATGAAATATGTCTTGGTGAAGTCGAACAGACCGGAGAAAGTCAGGGCGTTCATGCTATTGGCGGCATTGATCTCTGCAAACATGTAAGCCTTGGTTTGGCGAAGGGAAAAGCTTCATCACATACCAGCTTCCCCTGTAACGATCTGGCATACATCCCCTTCTTCAGTGCAGTGCACATCAGGGTAGAGCGGCGAGAGGCCGGGCACAGAAATGTTCTTCGCAAGGAGATTGAACTCTGGGATACCGTACCATGCTGCGCCTTCGGGAGGAAACATGTCAATCAAGAAGACCTTGGGCTTGATATGCCTGTGACCCCGAGCTTCGAGGACAGACAATGGCTTCGCCGCTGCCAGACTTAGGCTTGCGAATGCAGCCAGAAGCTGGCTAGCGCAGGAAATAGAACGCATACCGAGGGATAGCTACGGATGAGGCCTACAAAAGTGGATTGAGTAGGAAGAGCTCCACCCAGGACTGGGGGAGAGCTCTAGGTTTTATTCATGCCGGCGAGACTTTTCCGGACGGACACCACCGATAGGCTGGCTCTCAAGCATTTGCTGACCTCGCCTTCGTGCTGTATCTGTACCTTACAGCATAGCTCGTGGGATTATGTACGAAGAGAAATAGGCCGGGTAGCTAGCGCTTAAATGGTAAGTGCCTTAAGGTTCTTATCTGCCACTAATCGAGTTAAGCGTATTCAAAACCCTTTTCGTTTCTTGGCTGGGACGTATCAGATCCAGATACCAATCAGCTTTACAGATGTTAATCTAAGTCAGATTGTGAAAGAAAAAAAAACTGCGTTGGTGTCGCAAAAGCATCTAGTAGAATATTTGTATACAAAACCTTTGGCCTTGAACTGATATTCTAGCAGATTGTAGAAGTTGACAAAATAAAGGAATTCAACCTCGAGCTGCGTGAAGGCTCTTTAAGTCAATCATTCTCTTATAGATTCTTGACATTTCAGCGGGGTTGGTAAGACAGCGGTAAGGGAATTGATTTGTATATATAGAAATCTTTACAATCCGACTTACGTTCATGGAGTTAGTAATTTAGATACTCAGATGCGTTGCGCGACAGGACCCCATGCCAAGAGACGAAAAGGGTTTTGAATAGGCTAAAGTAGCGTGGGAGCAAATGCCAATCCATAATGTTTCCCGTGGGAATCCTTGGACGAGCGGTACTTTATCACCTTCCATATTTGTATACAAGGGCAAGCTACCAGCTCACCTAAGACCCAAGCGGGCGATTGCGGTGCAGGGATTCATATCTCAACCACAAGGATTCAAGCTCGATACGAATTTCTCCGCCTGCAAGGACTCGGCTAATCACCTAGCCACCTCGATTCGAGTTCTTAAGAGGCAATAAATATCTGTCGTTTCCAGATTGTGTGGAAATTCTTCCTGGGCGGCTGCTTTCGTTAAGCCACGACCAAATATCCGCGACACCGCGAGGAATGTGTGCTCTGCTGGCATTCCCCAGACGTCGAGTTCTATTTGCAGTCGCTACCCGCTGCAAGCAGCGTATCTGCACTGGTGTCCGACGTCGGTATTGCTCTAAACAAATGCTGCTCGGCTTTGTCCGGGTGATGGCATTGCAGTGGTATGGTGGATCATCTTGTGTGGTCCTCCTCCAGCGTCAGAGTTTCCAAGAGTGCTTCTCTGCTTCACGACGACATGTGTTTTGTCATTCAGAGTTCCAGGACGTTTGTCAAGTTTCGAGTCAAAGAAACAAACATTTGAAGCTTATTTGTGGCGTGTTCTGGCGATTTTCTTCGTCCCCACCCACTGCATTTCGATCCGCTTGCGCAGATTTGCGTGTAGCAACTCGAATACTCACATTGACCGTGGGAAGGGCAATTCCTCATGGGTGTTGTGTGAAGTCTTTCACAAGTGCACGGGCGGCTTCTTGTCACCTGTTCGCACAATGCTGAACCAATCGCTGCGATGCCGATGACGCCCGAGCGCGGGCGGGCTTACCTCTGATTCCCTACCGGCTGAGGTGAGGGCATCTACCTTGGAACACCAATCGATCAACGGTGCGTACCAAGGGAAAGGTTGCCGGAATTGCTTGACACACATTACCACTACAAGCAATGAGAATACTGTCAAAAATCTCTAAGATTAAATCGGGTGCGCACAGTGAATCAGCACATCACCTCGTACCTTTTCACTCAAATTCGTGTACAATCACAGCGAATTACCCCCGTTCCTCGTATCCATTGTCACAACATAATTTTCAACTATATGTTGTGTCCGCACATCCTGGAGTCTTTCTAGTGATCTTGTGACAGATGCATGGACCTGACAGCATACATGCCAAGCTGAAGTTGGTTTGGGCAAAGCTCACCAGACACAGAAATATACGATCCAAGACGAAGACAACACTGAACATGATATTGCGTCCGCGAAAGGCCATGGTACACTCACCACTTCATCCCACTACATTCAGACTAAAGCTAATATAGACCCAACGTCAAGACCAGCGGCGGTACACCCCGCCATGATGGCAGTATACCACCCAACAGCAAGACCCTCAAGTACAAGCCTCAGGAGGATGATGAAGATGTGGTCGATGACGTACAAGACTCTGATGAAGACATGGAAGACTATGACGAGGAGAGCGAGAAGGATGAGGGATCTTTGTATGCACCGACTGAGGCCACAAGTGAGCTTGGTAGGGAAGAACCCGAGGAAAATAAGGGCTTGATGGAGATGCCACCCATAGATCCCTGCAAGTTTCTAGTGCTACTGCCGAGAGAGCTCCGAGATAAGGTGTGTACACTCAGTGCAACCAACTGTGTACGTGCCCATGCACTGACGATATGCTTACGTATCTAGATTTACGGATTTGTTCTGAAACTGGACACCCCCATTTCAGACCACAAACTCAAGTTCAAATGCATGTCCTGTCCCAGCTTGACGAGAACGGCGAATGAACCCACCTGGCAGTCGCAGATTTATAAAGCTCGTAACCTTCTCAGGACATGCCACCAGATCCGTGACGAAGGAAAACAGGTTTTCTACGAGGTCAACTCTTGGAGCTTGCACCGGGCAAGGTTGAGAGAGACTCCACCAGCCCACTCGTCTGCCACGGTCCAGGACACGCAAAGGCTATTTGACCGAATACGTCAAACCAAGGCAATGAAGCACTTCAAGCACGTCAACATGCGAATTTCTCTATCTCCTCTGGCTTACTGCGACTTCACTGTTCCCGATAGTGTCGCGTTGGACGACGCAGTCGCAATCCATCTCTTCGAGCTTTCCCAGCATCCTAGCGTCATTGCTTTTCATAAGCTGGACGAGACGGCACAATGCGAGCTGTTCAGGGCAGCATTCAATGGTCTTGTGGCGAACCGGGCTTGTGTTTTTCCAGATTTGAGATCAATAGCATTGGAAGTGAGCTTGCATGCAAAGAAACTGATTCCAGACGCACCCAACAACCCGTTGGATCGTTGCGGCATCACCTTCTATGTCAGGATCAAGCTTGGGTGCGAGAGCCGCGCAACACCTACGTACCAGCGCAATGCGTCACTGCCGAGTTTGACACCAGGCAGCGTCGCACACGACCCTTGTTTTTTACAGCGTGCCAAGTACGAAGTGCACAACCAGAGCCCGCATCCTCGCATCATGAACAATCCCTGGAGAGCGCTTCTCTTGGACCCCAGAAGACATATGCTCAGTCCACTCAAACAGCTCCTTGACGTCCAAAGCGTCGAAGTGGAGCGACGTTGGATTGTTCGTTACCGCCAACAACGTATTGAGGATGGAAATATCGTTCTATGCACTCAGCCGCTGCGGCAATTGTGGCGCTTCCGCACTGTGGGTGAAATGCTGGAGAAAGCAGGCCCTGGCTTTGGTGAATTTCTGGACCCGGCTTTGGAATATCTGAACACTTCCGGCAAGGACGTCGTTGAAATCATTGAAAACACGGCTGAAGACATCGAATACCACCTCATTCTATAGTCAGGTCATTTTGTCGAACAAGCTACCGGATGACTTGGCTTGGGGAGAAGGCAGAGGATTGCTGGCGGTAGTGGAGAAGGACATTATCTTGAAGTGAAACGGCAGACCGAGATTGCAAGCACCAGTTGAGGATAAATCCAATTCCAGGATACCGAACAAAATTGGCGGCCGAGCGGTTCCACTGCTAATATTCTCGATATTCCAAGGAAGCACATTGCTCGGCAGAGATTGCACTACCTTTGGCATACTTGTCTACTTTACAATAGGTCATAGAACGAAGATTACCCTCCCTAGCTACACGTCCTACACGCAATTCCGACTGTGAGATAGAAATCATGCGAAAAGATTAATAACTCTGCTGAGACCTTACGGTGCCGAAGGAGCTGAAAACATTGCTCGGATTTAAAAACTCCTCCCGTTAACTCCTCCCGTTATCTCCTCCCTGCTTACATATACAACCAAGCCATTGAGTCCCGTCGAAGATAGTTATAAGACCGTCTCATACCATGACCATTACCACGACGAAAGCTCATATGAATCATCGCCCCTTGTTTTCAATCCCAACTCGAAAGCCCAATCTCCACAGCCCCAAGCAGAAAAACACCCATCCCACCCACCAAATAATCAATCCAAGCAACGATGACCACTCAAACCCTTCCCCAAGCCCATCGCGCTCTCATCGTAAACTCCACGTCCTCCCCGCCCGCCGTCCAAACGATACCAACGCCGCAACCCGGCCCTGGTAGCGCTGTCGTCCGCATCCTCGCCGCGAACGTGATATCCTACATGCGCCAGATCTACAATGGCGAGCGTCAGTACCCTTTCCCCACGCCTCTCGTCCCCGGCGCCAGCGCCATTGGACGCGTCGCGGCCGTAGGGCCAGATGCGACACTGCTGAAGCCGGGAATGTTGGTCCTCGTGGACTGCACTATTCGTGGGCGAGATGATGCGACTGCTGTGTTCTTGAGCGGAATCCACGAAGGGTACTCGGAGGGGAGTAAAACGTTGATGAGAGGAGAGTGGAAGGATAGTACCTATGCGGAATACGCCAAGGTGCCACTGGAGACATGCGAGGTCCTTGACGAGGGAAAGTTATGTGGCAGAATGGGGTACGAGATCGCCGATCTGGCGTATATCTCTGCACTGTTGGTACCATATGGCGGCTTAAGGGACATCGATCTGAAAGCTGGTGAGACTGTCATCGTGAGCCCTGCGACTGGTGCTTTTGGCGGAGCGGCGGTATTGGTGGCGCTGGCCATGGGAGCGAGGGTGATTGCGATGGGGAGGAATGTGGAGGCGCTTAAGAAGATCAAGAAGAGGTGCGAGAGGGTTGAGATCGTGCCGATTACGGGTGACGTACTCAAAGATTCGGAGGCTCTGAAGAGCTTTGGGGCGGTCGATGCATTTTTCGATATCAGTCCGCCTGAGGCTGGAAAGTCAACGCATATTAAGAGTGGGATTCTGGCATTGAAACGTAAGTCAACATCCCTTATTCGCCACTTGCAACCTCGAACCAAGCCTTTAGTTGGAAGTTCGCTCTTGATTACACACTTTTGTCGCATCTCCCAGCTTTTGACTTGGGGGGAAGAGATGCTAACCACTGAGAACGTGTAGATAGCGGCAGGGTTAGTTTGATGGGCGGCATCAAGGATGTGTCGATTCCGCACTCAGTGGTTATGCACAGGAATTTGACGTTAAAGGGCAAGTGGATGTTTGAGCGGGAAGACATCAAAGGCATGATCAAGATGGTTGAAAATGGTGTGCTGAAGCTTGGTGAAAGCTCTGGATCCAGGATCGTTGGTAAGTTTGGATTAGAGGACTGGGATAAGGCTTTCACTGCTGCGGAGAAGAATGCTGGGATGGGAGAGTCGACTTTAATTACACCTTGATCGGCTTCGGGTCATCTTCAATGCTTCTCGCAGAGTCTCCCTCTCGGAGGCTGATCTAGAAGCGGTGTGTAGTGACGCGTGAGGAATCTCGTTCTATAGCTCTAATGATTAGTAACCGTGAAAGGCTTGAAAATCCAGTCTCCAGAAGCGCTCAAATGCCGTATGTGATCCATACTTAGTTTTTGAACCGCTTCATCATCTCAGTAGAGGCAGAGTGCGCAAATGCCCAATGATCCAACCACTATTGTACAGAAATTCAAGTCCAAACTCCTCGATCAGAGGGCCAAATTGTATGTATAGTCGTCCTCCATGTTTTGCGAAACCCAAAGCACCACAGAGCTAGGGAGGTGTCAGTAATGCCACCAGGCGGAAGCTCATAGTATATATACCTCAGCATGATCAACCCGTTTGCAACGACATTGGCAACACCAAAGTACAGCGTTGGGAAAGGGTAATCGGGGACGATATACTTCAGAACCAATACAGCCTGTGCACAGCTGCATCAGCATCTTTACGGTAGACACCGCTTCCGTACACGACAACCACTTACCACGGAGCCGGCCAACCCACCAGCCATCAAGGCAAAGCCCAAGAATAGGACCAATCTTGCCTTCCATGCCACTCCTGTGCCAGAGTAGCTATAGCTATCTGCGCTCAAGCGGGTCTTCTCTATCGAATTGATAACGAGCATCCCGAGCGCTGAGCAGATGCCCGGTATCCAATCGACAAATTTTATATGGACATTGGAACCATTTTTGGAGGAGTGGGAGTAAGTAGAAGCATCGATAAAGAAGAAGAATCCGAGGGAAAACTAGAAGAGTGAAGTTAGAGGGCGTCTTGAAGAAGAAATGGTATACAGAGGAAGACTGACCAAAGCGCCGGCCAGGTAGACACCTGCCGTCCGCGTGTTGGGGCTGTTGACCCACTCGGGCTTTGGGAAGCGGAAAAGCCTGGAGCTTGTCATGGCGTGGTGCTTGCAGAATAACACAGTCGTAATTCAATACTTATGCGATGCGTATGCGCTTCACGATATGGTTGCGGATGACGAACAATAGTCTATGGAGTTGCAGCTGGCCGGAGAATGAGAGGTTGGCGTAAGGCTGTCATCCCAGGTTTAACCCTATTTGGACTAGATACCTCGATACAATGGCTGCGGCATCGAGATCCCTGTCAAGAATATTTAGACGCGCTTTGCTCTGCAATTCTGCAATTGTAAAGTAGTAGTTCATTTCTGCAACATCACTCTTTCTCACGGCAACGAATCCAGCCTCTGAATGCCTGCTAAGCTTGCTAGAGGTGTTATTTCGCTGAACCAAAAATATGTCTGCCTATCCTGCCGCCTTCAGAACTTATCACTTGCTGGAGGACGAACAACAAGATATCAACACACGGGGCCTACAGAGAACGATGGCGCCGATAAAACCCAAGATCCTAATCCAAAAGATGTAAGGAAGTATGACGAGGCCGCATCAGGATCGCGGATCGGAGACATAATACGGAGTTTTATGTTCAAGTCAGATCCAAATGACAAGGAAAACAAGGGCGACTCGAGAATTGAGCCTCTGGGGAAGAGCAAGGTACATGTTGCAGATTAGTCATTTCTCAAGCCATCCGTTCGGTCTGTTGATGGTGACTGTGGCTGATTGATATATAGCAATCGCCCCATATTCCTGAGGATATACCATCCACAGCACCCCAGCCGAAGGACAGTGCAGATGTATTGCAGCGGAGTCTTCAGCAAAAGTTTGCAACGCAGCGGCGTAAAGACATGCTTGTAATGCAGGCCAGCCAAGCTTCGAATGCAACAGCAGAGAATAAAGAGGTGCCCGAACCTACCAGGCAAAGCCCGAAGAAGTCCTCCAATCGAGCGGAGAGATCTGAGCGGAGGCGGAACTCAAAGAAGGCGGCGCCTGGCAAGAAGGCTGTGAAGCGATCGAAGCAAACGAAGCAAACGAAGCAAACGAAGCAAACGAAGCAATCACAGGCCAAGCCAAAAGAAGTACCGCCGATTGAAGTCGCGGAAATCACAACGTTCACGGAACCTCAAACAGCCGAAGAACTGTCGACACTTATCGAAGCATCTGCTAGAAAAGGCCAAAAGACACTAGGAGCGGAAGGCAAGGAAGCCAGTGACAACGATAGCAAAGGCAGCGTTCCAAGCGAGCAGACGGCGACTGCGCAGAAACTAGACGACATACTGGACATTTTAGAATCCTCCAAGGGCCCAAAAAAACCAGAAAAGCAAGTCAAAGTGGCACGTAAGGTCAAACCCTCGTCGACAGACACCAAACGAAAGGCAGCAGTCGTAACGACACTAAACAAGCGTCAAAAGAGCGGACAAAGACCAGATGTAGATCCCGACAAGGCAGCAGCTATGATCTCGTCTTACAGTGACCAGCTTCTGGCACATCTCAAGGCAAATCCTGAAGAAACCTTGGGATCATTATACCAATTAAGGGTAATTCTTCAAATTTTAGCCGATGCCTTAAAGACTAACCATCTTTCGCAAGCACAGATGTTACACAAAAAGTTATTAAGAGGGAATGTTTTGTTAAAAGACGGTGTATGGAATAGCGCCCTTCTGACCGAGTCCATCACTGAAGTGTTCCCAGGACTCACTCGAGAGAAAAGTTGCCGGCAATAGTCCCCTAAATTCGTCTATGGAAGCCCCTATCGAACCCTCTATCGAACAACCCATCGAACCCTCTTTGATAAATCACGTCCGCCGGCCGGAATCCACAAAACACCTGTCGTTTGCTAAGGAGAGCGTACCGACATCTGACTCAAAGCTCTTTGCCAAAAAGTCTGATGTTCCAAGCTTCACTTCTCTACGAGCTGCAATGGGAAAAAATTCCAGAAAAGTCAAGGGCGTGGACCTCGATTCTTTCCAAAATATACCGAGTGAAAGGGTCAAAAAAGCTAGAGCTCCCCCTAAATCAGCCCTCGGAAAGTCCCAAAAACCCAAGCCCCTCCCAAAATCGCCTATTGAGAAGGCCACTGCTTCAGACTTAGAGCTCTTGCGTAAGTTTAACCCCCATGGCCCAGTATCAATGCTAATACTGTTTAGCTATCAAGGTGGATCAGCCCCCTGTGCCAAGCCTAGCTTATGGACTTGAACGGGTTCTTTTCAAGTAGGGTTGGGTTGCAGTCCATTCCACTACTCTGCTAACATTGTTTCCAGTCCGGGTGTATACCATCTCCAGGACCCGAGGTCTCGAGTATACAATTTTGATCCTTATCTTCAAAAAATCATGCCAGTATCAGAATTCGATTTCAATGCACTGAAGGAATACATCACCTCTTCTAGAGACGAATCGCTCATGAAAATCGCAAAAGAACATGGGAAACGCTATATGGGGTCCACATCTAGCATGACTGAGGTCCTAGCACACTTCCACTTCCTTCTCTCCCAGTGGCGTCCTATCAATCCCTCCATGCTTTCCAAAGCTTTCCCAGCAAACCTGACGAGCTTTACAGAATTTCAGCGCACTCCTTCAGCCATCTTCTTAAGGTGGAAGGATGGCTCCTATGCCATTGATGCCGACAAACAGTTTGCAAATGCAAATGTATTAAGTATGCTAGGCAAATCGATGGAGAAGTTTCTTACATTAAGTACCGATGATTTTGAGCGCTATCGCAAGTCTAATCCGGGTCAAGTGACTAAAGACGAGCAATTTGCCCCTGAGGCCTACCATTATTCGACCTTGGGTGACTTTTTGATGCGTTCGCAGCTGGACGCCCATGATTCTCGCCTGCCTGGAACAGGCATGTTTGATTTGAAGACAAGATCAGTGGTGTCCATCCGGATGGACGTGTCAAATTACCAACATGGGGTCGGTTACGAGATCAAGAGCCGTCAGGGAGAGTGGGAGTCATATGAACGCGAATACCACGACATGATCCGCGCTGCCTTCCTCAAGTATTCTTTGCAAGTTAGGATGGGTAGGATGGATGGCATCTTTGTTGCGTTCCACAATATCGAGAGGATCTTTGGCTTTCAATATGTCAGTCTACCAGAGATGGATTCGACACTACACGGGCAGTGGGATACATCTATTGGAGATCAAGAGTTCAGGTTAAGCTTGGACCTCATGAACAAGGTTTTGGATCGGGCTACGAAGAAGTACCCTGAAACAGTGAGTAGAAGCTCTTCTGTTTTCATCTGGCTTGCTCACCTTTCTCAGTCTCTCCGAATCCATTTCGAAACCAGAGACGCACAAACTCCCTTTATGTATATTTTTGCGGAACCAGTGACCGAGGAGCAAGTGTCAGAGATACAGTCTCAAAACAACGCGAAAATTCAAGAATTTGAGCGCAACATTCTCGGCTTGATTCACGGAAGCGATTCCGAAACGGATGACACCCAAGAAGATGATTCTAAATGGGAGAATATACAGGCCGATGTGCAGGAAGCTATGGACAAGGATGAGCTGTCTATTGATGAACCCGGCCAAGATCACGAAGCAATCGACAAGGATGCAGAGGGAATTGAATCAACCCCTAACCGACCGGAGGTGTTCGAACAAGGTCCCTTGTACGATAGTAAGAGTCGCCTCGGCGCAGATGATGATGCGACTGCAGCACCAGCTGGAAGCGAAGAAAACGATGGCGATAATGGAGATGACGACGACGTTGACGGTGAAGAAGAGCGCGAAGAGCAAGAGCAAGAGGAAGAGGAAGAGGAACAGGAACAGGAAGAGGAAGAGGAAGAGGAAGAGGAAGAGGAACAGGAAGAGGAAGAGGAACAGGAAGAGGAAGAGGAACAGGAAGAGGAAAAGGAGGACGGAGATGGGGACACCGATGAAGACAGGGAAGTTGAGGACAATAGACAGCAGGAAGGGCTTGAAGAGTTTCTAGAAGACAAAGCGGATATCAAAGCCAACGATGCACTTGAAGCGAAGCGCGAGGTCGGCGTAGATTGCGCAGAACACAATGATATTGCGTCAAGCGAGAATCATCCAGTCGAGGTTCAAAATGACGCCACTTTGCAGACAAAGGGGCGCCATGAATATGATACGGCAGGCGCTACGTCCAGGCAAGAAAGCGCTGACGAAGCGACAGCGTTAACGAACGGCAAGGATGATACCAGTCTTTCGCCTGACACGAAGCCCAGCAGTATTGCGGACGAAGAAAGCCAGCAGGAGTATCAAACCCAGGCTGACCACGGCTTCCTGGACTCCGTCGACCAACAATTTGGCCGAGCAGACACTAATGCGAAATCATCCTCTTTGGAAGACATCCTCGCCATGACTCTCACCCTCCGTAACAAAGTGAACGGCAAATATGTCCTACGACCCGAAAAGATGACCGCGGCAGACGAGTGGTCCATCGAATATTCCTTGCTTGAAGTATCAGAACAGCGTAGAGCGAGGCTGCTCTATGAGGCATGCAAAAGGCGCAGGAGCAAGAAGCACGAAGCGGTGTTGGTGCCATCGGATGCGGAGGTCATCAGCAATTACGTTCAAAGGTTAAGGGAGATGAGTGCGAAGGGAAGGGCGTGGAGGAAGGAGCAGGATAAGAAGGATGGGAAGCGGCCGCTGCAGGTGCTGTGAGAAAGAATGGAGAGGGTGATGTAGGTAATCAGGAGCTCGACGTGTGTTGTTGGATCGAGATTATTCAGTCGCATTATTCCGACACCTTCTCATCTCATTTGTGAGACGTTGCACTTTCCCGTGGTCATGGACCACTGACGGAGCTTTTGGCGAAGCTGCGCAACCGGGTATACAAGCAATCTTTGAACGAGTGTCCTGCGCCGGAATCCGGGGACAATTTGGTAATGGCGCGAGCCAGTCTTGGTTTGCAGCTGCTCCTCACCAACAGCCAAATCTACCACGAGCCTCGAGGAATCGCGTTCAGGCCACTTGTTTTTCCGTTCTGGAGCTTTCTGGGCAGGTCTGCATCCGCATATACAAATTCTGTTACTGGCAGAATATTTATAATTAGGCGCATATATACAGATTACAGAACCCCCAAAGAGTCTTTCAAAAGCGCTGAAATCTCCTGGGTGTAAACCGCCTGATATACCCACAGGGAAGGGAGATTGCCAGACCAATTGATCATCGGCAACTGAAAGACAGGTTCAGGTTAAGCTACCCAAACCTCACCGCCTGCTTCTCACTCACCGGCAGAGGCTTGTTATATTGAACCGAGCGATTGCTGATCACCACGATGCCACAACACTAGAGCACTCTCAAACCTGCGTCTCCCGCACATGGACCTTACTATATTGACAGACCACAAGATAATGATAACAGACTTGAAATGCAAGACTTGCACCAATCTCGCTACGAAATCACCAAGGGGGTCCGTACAACTTAGGCAACGAAGCGTTCAAATGTTCCGCGAATGTTGCCACGGCATCTCGCAGCAGAAATGGATGCAGCGGCGTGGCCAGTGCCGAAGGTGCTGTCTTGGTTGAAGCTTGAAGGCCAGATTGAGCATGAAGAATTCGCCAAAACATTCAATACAGGGCTGGGCACGGTGATGGTCGCCGGTCAAGAGCATGTGACGGAGACCACGGAAGAGCTCAGGAAGGCAGGAGAGACGGTGTACAAGGTTGGAAGTGTGGTAGAGGGAAAAGGGGGCGGATGTGTGCTGAAACATCTAGATGCATGGGATCAAACGTGGTGGCCATTTCGCATTTACATGTATAGACACCCAGGTTTTCTGCCAACAATGGGGCGTTGGCTACTATTCCCCGGGACTCTCTAACAAGTATAAAGTGATACGAAATGTGAAAATGCCTTGACTTGTTATCATATATAAAAATGTGAAGATGTAAAAATGTGAAAATACTTTGTAGGAAAAGGATGACTACCTAGCACCTAAAGTAGGTACTTTAGCATGGAGCCATCACTGTGATTGATTGACCAGGCCACCGGGCGGCAGTCGGAAGCTATTGGAAAGCTTAATTCGTTATTGGAAATTCGGTCACGTCTCCGGTCGTTGGTTGGATTGCGTAGGTTCAAGTTCGGTGGATTCGAGGCTTCCCATGGCTCAGAACTCAAGAGCAATAATAACTACCGTACCGTATGTCAAAGTCACCACGTATTTGGTTTTGACACTATACATCTAAATTCATGCGATTTTGCTCGCAATTTTTCTTATACAAACTCAAATGCCCATACTTTGCTACCTCGCTTTCCTATCCTTCTCATGCAATTATGTTGTAGCGACGTTGATTGACCCTGGAGCCACTCGTAAAAAACAATGAGCAGGAGCCAATGTTCATCACAATGTCGGATAGGCAAGTGTTACCTCCGGAAGCACTTCTCCTGCCCGAGCCATGCTTATGACACTGATTATTATGGCGTAGGCACCGCAGGAAATCTTTGAGCATTTTTCGACCTCCTCCAGTTTCCGCATTGACCCCCATCGATGAACCTCCAGACAATGCTCCAGTTGGTGGCCTGCTCAAGAAAAAACGCCCTGCGACCACCTTCTCCTCCAACCCCTCGAGCTCTCCAACATCTGACATGGCTCCATCCAGCCCTCTGACGCCAATCAAAAGAGCAGATTCCAAGAGCAGCATAGATAGGCTGATGACGAGATCGCGACCACGAAGTCTCCAGAAACAAGGCCGACCTTCCAGTCTTTTCGGCTCCCTTCGCTCCCTACACTCCCTTCCAGATGACGATGACCTCGCGCGTGTATCTTCCACACCAACATCCATACATTCAGCCTCCTTTCCTATTGATGTATACGGCGGTACGGTCTTACACCATGGCGAGATACAAACAGCAGGTGGCATGTTTAGGAAGAAGAGCCAGTACTTTGTCCTCACGGATTCACATTTGATACGGTTTAAATGCCAAGCTCGAGCATCAGACATATTCCCAAGTATACCGTCGTCAACTGGAAGAGCAAGTGGCATCCGGCACTCTCGGATGAGTTCGAACAGCTCCCTGCATGAGCTTCACGCCTCTACGTCCTCGGAGTCTCACCAAGGAATACCCCTCAGCCATGTCGTTGCTGTGTGGAGGTTGGAAGACGGAAAGCCGTATTTCAGCATACAGATATCTCACTTCGACGAGGAGACTTATCACGCATCCGACACGACACTTCAGTTACATGACCCGAGAGATTGCGATCTTTGGCTGTCATCTCTCCGAGGGGCAGTCATGAAGCAGCGCCTAACCAATCCCAAGTCGTTCACACAAGGTTTTGTGGATTACACCGCCCGGGCACTAGAACAGGAGCATGATTATGATCCAGAGCAATTTCGTATGTTCAAAGTGGTCCAAAGGGAACGATCTGGGAGAGCAGGTGCGCGGTCATCATCTGAGGACTTGACAAAGATTTCATCGACTATCTGCATCCTAGCAATTGGTGCGTACAAGGTGCACCTGGTACCTCTTCCTAGATCTTCAAGGACGGCGTCAAGCACGTCGTTGTCTGACATGACTGGTGTCAGCAATGGAATCATGGCTCTGACCTCGCTGGCTGTTCACGACTACGATGACGCTTTTCAATTAACGTTCCGGTTGCCTCTTCAACAAGCTTCAACACTCTTACTAGCTGCCTCCCATGTCAGTGATATAGCTTTATATGTGCGGCACGCTGCCGACTATTTGAGACCCGAATGGTTAGAGGCACCCTTTACGTGGAATGTGCCGCAAAGCGTTGATGACGAGATATGGCCGATTCCGCTATCTAACGACGATTACCAAGGCTTTGACCGTACACTCACTGCTTACAGTGCTGCTTATAACATTGACACTTCAAGAATTCGGTACTTCGTGAATTGTTCGTGCGAAGACGCGCCAGCTTTCGAGCTCCATCCTCCAGCTGGAAAAGGACGGACCAGATACACAGCGCTTGAGTTGTTGGCAATAATGCGATCATTACGCTACAATGAGTCTTTCAGCACCGTTTCTTTCCGAAACATCAATCTCGAGGTTTTACACAGTCTGCATGACCGCTTTGGTGATGATCACGTACCCTTGACTACTAGGTCTGGCGAGCCTTTGCAGATCGAGAACCATGCACATTTGTCTCTCCTCATTCAAGAAGTACAGGCTCTAGCTGTGAAGTGCAAGCGCTTACGGCGGCTGGATTTTGCATTCTCTTTGCACAGGAAGGAGCTCAATGACGACGAGGATGCTCATGACGCAGGCTGCGGCCTCTGTCAGGCACTTTTTCCACTGTGCGCCAGACAGCAGACGAATGTCGATTGGATTGTACTTAACGGCATAATACTATGCAAGGTTGATATCGACTATCTGTATGGTGCTGCACTCGATCGATCGTGCCACTTTCGCGCTCTGGATCTTGCTTATTGCGGCCTGAATGACCGAAACATGGATACAATTCTTGAAGCAATCGAGCATCAAGCTGCTACGATGGAGTCTATTGATCTCTCGGGCAACCTAGCTCGGCTTGAGCCCTGGGCTCTCGGGAGACATCTAGGTGGACTAGAATTCATTCGCAAGATCAATCTGTCCAACATTTCGAGAACTTCTGGTCCGGAACCGCTATTCGCTGCTGAAACATTGCTCGCTTGGAAGCTGGTGGAGATTCGACTGGCAAGAACATCACTGAACGAGCAGACTGTGGAGGCTCTAGCAACTTATCTCCGAAGTAACCAGTCTAACTATCTTCGGATTCTACAGCTCGACCAATGCAAACTGACCGGCAGTGCAGCTGCTAGTCTGCTGACTGCAATGGACAGAGGCCCTAGACAGCCTAGGGATCTACACATTCAACTAAACGAGAACCACCTTGAGCAGGATCACGAACAGCTCGTGAAAGTTATCAGTAATTCGCGCACTCCCAACCAAGTCACGATGCAAATGTTAGAGTACAAGAGTGAGCGAGACTTTCAGCGACTGCTTGAGGCATTTGCTCTGAACAAGTCGACCCATTACTTAGACATCTCCAAAGCTTCCCTCCCAGCTGATGCAAGCGATGACACCTGCGATGCGCTACACCGATTGCTTGCCGAGAACGACACCCTTGAAGTATTGGACATCTCAGGCGAGCATTCGCATCTAGAGGCCGCGAACTTTGGCAGTGGGCTGAATCACGCGCTGGCAGGCCTAAAATACAATCAATCGCTCAAGGTGCTGCACGTGGAGCATCAAAGACTGGGCCTGCAAGGAGCAAGCACACTGGCCACTGTACTGCAGGAGAACCAGAGTCTTGCGGAGATTCATTGTGAAAATAATGAAATCAATCTCCAGGCGTTCACCGTGCTCGTGAATAGTCTCGAGCACAACACCACCCTTCTTTTCCTGCCATTCATGGACAGGGACCGAGCATGGACGCAGAAAAAGGTGGACCGGGAGATCGACAGCATTCGTGACGACTCGTCAATCATGTCGAAGGCGGGAATGTCGCCGTCCACGAAAGCGACGGTGCACCGAACCCTGGGCCGTACTTTGGGCAAGACGATAGCAGGTCAACGGTCTTTCTCCGCGCGCAACCTAGAGAAATCCACATCTCCGATGCAAGGGTATACGGAAAGCGATATCAAGGCGGCCATGGGCAGTCTATCGCAGAATTGGGACCGAGAGACAGCACACTTGCAGCAGTATCTGGCGAGGAACTACAGTATTGCACAAGGGTTGCCTCTGGATGGGCCGCCACTGTTGACGGTCGACCGGGCCGGGGCTGGGGACAGTCTTGCGTATGCGCTCCGCGGCATCGGGTTTGATGATACGACGCCCATCGCAGAAATGGATCGACAGCTGATACCAGACGACAGTGGGGTTGAGGACTTGGCCGATGAGGGAGAGGAAGGGGAGGAGGGGGCATTGGAGATGAGGGAACATTCGCATGTGTGACGATAGGGTTGAAGGGGGGATGACTTGATTTCCATGGCATGCATGACTAGTAATGACGGAAGAGGGCGTTTTGGATAGGATGGCTCATGGATTGGCGCATGTTGATGGTTGCATCAGTGGAATGAATGATTCGTGTGCATCTGGGCGCAGCCGGCACGCTGTGCGTGGATCGCTGTATCTTGAGCGGGTTGCGCTCTTGATGGTTCGCGAGCATTTTACTCATCGGACAAACAACTACTACTTATCATTGCATCAATATTATGAGTATACCGTAGACAAAAATACAGTAGAAGATATGGTAGAGATACAATAGGTAAGGTAATACAGTAAAATAATAGCGTTAAGTTTTCAGCGAATGTGTGCTTTCGAATTTTGATGGCCATGTCATGTCGTGTCGATCAAGAAAACCCTGAAAATCAAACAGGACCCTGAAAATCCAAATCAAACCCCTCAATGCTTTTCAACCCCACAAGGATAAAAGGGAGGAAAAAGGAGCGTGGCTGAGTCGTTCCGAGGCGTCGCGTCTTGGGGGCTTTAGCGTATTTGAGCATGCTTTAGCGTACTAAACATAACCTAAATCATCTAAATTCCGGAAACTAGTGTAGTAGATTCGAACTTTACCAAAAAGGGGATAGATGCAGGGCACGATCAGCTGCATGGGAGAAGGGTTTTGTTTTTAATCTCTCGCTCGCAAAGATCTCTGCTTTTCTGCTTTTCTGCTTTTCTGCATCCTGGCTGGCTACACGCACCACTCGCTCCACCACCACCATAGAGTACTCGCTTTCATTCTACTACTACTACTACTACCACCACTACTACTACTGTCCTTTCCATTTCATCTTCACTTGACTCGTTCAACCTTTTAAGTCTTTAATCATAATATTACTCTCCTTGGCCTCTTTCTTTCCCGACTAACATTGCATCTGCCCTCGTTCATTTCATTCAACTTCCCCCTCATGAAGGCTGCTCCTCATCCCACGCGGACAGCCCCCTAACCCTTCGGGGTCAACGCTTGCAAAGCGACAATTCCTACAAACCTCTCCTCCACTCTATACAGCTGTCTCCATCAGATCCTCCGACCTTCTCAATACCCTGATCTGCAACAAAGACCCTCGGGAGAGCGGCAGCAACAAAAACAACGATGCGACGCGGCCTCGTCATCTTCCTAATCATCAATGCCCTAATAATCGTCTTCCTTGTCCGCTCCGTCTTCACTCTCCTCACTCTCCTCGTTGAGGACGGCTCCGCCGACGCCATTCACAGTGCCGAGATCCCTCCACCTAATTCTCCACGAATCGACGACCGGCCACAACTCATACCTAAGATCATTCACCAAACATATGTCAACGACACTGTGCCCGAGCGTTGGAGGGAGGCGCAGAAGAGCTGTGTGGATCTGCATGAGGACTATGAATACAAAGTGGGTTTGCATATGCGTAGAGCTGGATTTACGTATGGGGGACGGGAGCTGATTGGCTGTGAAAACTACAGCTTTGGACCGATGCCAAGTCACGCGAGCTCATCGCAACCGAGTACCCTTGGTTCTTGAGTACCTTCGACAATTACTCCCAGCCTATACAGCGGGCAGACGCTATCCGATACTTTGTCCTCTCTCATTACGGCGGCATATACATTGACCTCGACGATGTACGTCCTCCTTTCCCGCGGGCCCTGCGTAGGAGGCCCTCAAATTCTCTCGAGCTAACATTGCTTTTCCTCACAGGGTTGTAACCGCCGCCTCGATCCTCTTCTCTCCTACCCAGCCTGGGTCCGCCGCACCAACCCCACCGGCATCTCCAACGATGCCATGGGCTCCGTCCCCCACCACCCCTTCTTCACCCTCGTAATCGAATCTTTAATTCCTTACAACCGCAACTGGAAGCTCCCTTACATAACAGTCATGTACAGCACCGGCCCTCTCTTCCTCAGCGTCATCTGGCAAGAATATAAACGCGGCCGCCCTTCCTCTACGATAGCCGGCTCCTCGGTCCTTGGCGGGAGGAAGTGCACGCGGCTGGGATGGCAGTGCAGTGGGGAGAGTAAGGATACTGATGGGGGACGAATATAATAAACAGCCATGGGCTTTCTTTCGGTGGCACGGAGGGAGCAGTTGGCACGGGAAAGATGCGCGACTTATCTTTTGGATGGGGAAACACTGGATGATGCTAACGGCTTCCGGCTTCCTGGTCGCCGGCTTCGTAGGCCTGGGCTTGTGGTGGATATATGGCCGAGTGCTGCTGCTGGGAGAAAGGAGAAGAAAAGGGGGCAAAGGTGCACCGAGTGCCTGGGCGCAGAGGATCCCGCTTTGGAAGACCGCGAGCGCTACGGCATATGAACTGACCGACAGGCATGAGGTATAAATACTGCTTCGCCAAGGGCTGGTGGAGTGGGGACGGGATAGGATGGGGAAAACGAGAGATACCATGTTAGGCGCAACGGCGTTGGCGTCAAATCTGTATGGGCGCCCACGGAGTTTTTCTCGTCAACGAGTCTCCGCGGCTCGCATGCTGCAAAGGAGCAAGGCACTTCGATTCTTGTGTGTAATTTACTTCGCACATACCATTTGACCTAGGTTGTATATACAACGAGTGCCATCTCATCCGAACCAATCTTGGACCCTCAAGACCCCTCGCTCCAGTGCAATCGGATACAGTCGTCAAAAGATCTCGGGGCGGAAAGTCGACGAGCACGTCGAATCCAACCGCGTTCGTGGTACTATACACCACCACCGGCAAAACCCAAGAGGCATCGGAATTAAGGTACGGAAATGGCATGCGCGAACGGGAGACGAAAGATGCAGGGGACCGTTTCCATAGCCCCGACGGGACACCGTCCTATTAGCATCGACCGCCTCACCGATGATCGGAACGGCATTCCCAGGTTGAAAGCCCGTGGATCCGATCACCTGGGATGTGGCAGAAAGCCTTGCGGGGACGTCCGTCTCGCCGGACCTGCACTGATTTTTGTGTTACTTTGGAGGATTGGCATTCGCATCGGTGACGGTAGAAAAGGCGCGCGGCTTGAGGAAAGGGGGGGGCATGTTGTGAGCCGGGGCGGTGGGATCGCGGTTTGAGAGAGGTTTTGATTCGACTCCTGTATGCTATTGCTAATCTGTTGTTTGTGACTCTTGATCAAGCGAGGAAGAGATGAGTGAACGTAGCCATTATCGATGAAGGAGATTTATCAGATCATAGGAAACCGGGTCATTTGCAGTCCCTTGGTTGGACTAGATCGAGCACGGCGATAAGCCTGGTTGGTGGCATTCATTCCTGTCTATCACGATTTTGCTATTTATCTTCCGCTTCAGGCGCCTTTCCTTCACAGGTAGGTGGATTAGCTCAATCGATGATTGACCATCTCAGCGAGGCACACACACCGAGAGCACTAGATCAAAGCTGAGGTCGCCGTCCTCCCCAACGGCGGAAAACAAAATCTCCGAGGTTCTCTGCAAGTCATCACCTCCAGCTCTCCCGAGAGCGGGGGTTCTTTTGGTGGATTCTTCTGCCATTGGCCCATTTTCAAGTCTTTTTGTTGTAGCTCTCCGTAAGATACTGGGGTTCGAAGTTGGTAATATTGGGCGAGACTCGGAGCTTCGAAGGGTCGATTCGGTGCGTCCGTGCTCCTTTCGCCTTCTTGCGACCTCCTTTTCGCGCCCAGGCTTCATCACCACAACGTGATGGAGAGCTCAACGAGGCTGTCAATGCATCATGTTCACACACTTGTTCGCGGTATTGCATAGCACTTGCATTTCCGAACATGATGGCCAATGGCGTCGACACGATTTGAAAGCCTCTGCGCTTGGGTTCCGTTAGTGGCCATGTCCTGCTTGTGCACCTCTTTTGGTTTTCATTTTCTCGCGTCCCGATCAGCCTCAGCTTTTCTCTTGTTTCTGTTCTTGCTCTCTCCGCTCCTGCTGTTCAATCATGCCCTCCCATCGTTTCCATACTGCTTCATCGTTCTGCCTCTTCTTTTCACGTCTAGTTCGGAACTCGTACGCACGCAGCCGTCGATCTGCCTCAATCCAACCCCCGAACGTCATGCCGGATAGCTGGATGTACCTGTGTGCAAACAGGTGTCAGGTCATACCAGGTCGGTTTAGAATGCGGAGGTACGTTACACGGCACGGGAACATACACTTTGAATTGTAGAGTCAAGCCTCGATAGATAGGAGAAACAAAATAGCCTACAGCACCGAGACCACCAGCAATGAGACCCCACTGAAAATGCAATGGTGTCAGTAAACCCAAGGTTGGCGAGCAATTTGTAGACTATATGAGCAGCGGGGAGTTGCGGATGGGACTTGAAGGGGCTTCTACCTTAGCAGCGCCGACAAGTGCACCTCTGTAGGCTTCAGCACCAGCAGCACTGACCTCCTCTTCTGTCCTGCGCGGCATTATCAAAGTCAATGCCTCATCATGATGGAGGATAGAAGAGTCGAATGAGACGGAGGATACGGTAATAGAGGAGATCCTGAATGATGAATCTACTCTACCAACTCGGTTAGCTCATGGAAATACCCGGCGCTTAAAGCGCTTCTGACATCTTGCCCCTCGTGCTGCCTTCTGCATGGACAAGGCTAGAAATACTAGAAAACTCCAGGCAACATGCTTTTGATTTACACTTGTATATGACTGCGCTAGATCTATCTTAAAATGTGAAGCTTCAAAGAAAGTACAGCCACGCTAGGTCTCCAGTCCTCAACATGCTCCTGCAATGTGATGTCCGCAGCTAAGCGGTGAAGCTGGGTAAATCGTTGAAACAATCTGCTCAAAATTCTCACGAAAAAAGCTCCTTTTCTGCACTGTCGATTGGGATTATTCAATTACATCCCTATGCATTGATGCATACAATGCCACCCAAGCTAGTCTGAGGCAGCTTCCTGGAGCTATTCATCCGCCCAAAAGTCGATCACTTGACAATCTTTCTCAACATTTCCTAGCCTTGCCGCTTCGTCTACTGCGGTCTTCTTGACAATCAGTGTGTTGAAAACAAGGTTATTGATGGTAGTAACCCGCCAAAGAGGAAAGGTTACGAAGTTGCTGCCCAAGCAGATAGAAGTCCTGGACTATCGTGGTAAGGCCGACGACACCTGCCATCTGGTCCCGTAACAGCTAGCTTACCACCACTAGTTTCTACATACTGTCACATATTACTACAATGGCAACCATGGCCCGGTCTACGCCCCGCTGTCGTATTAAAGGGCAACTCCAGTCGCCGCTCCTTAGGCTCCCCGGTGAGATTCGGACCAAGATCTATCGCTACGCTTTAGTCAGAGATGAACCCCTTGACTTATGGCCTCACAAGTGGACAACGCTCGATGAAGAGGAAGAGCCATCAGTTGGAGGTCTCAAGACGCGTCATCAAGAGAGTTTGGAGTACGTTCGCAAAGAGATGGCCACGGGTCTTCTGGGCACATGCCGTCAAGTCTACAACGAAGCAGCCACATTCTTTTGGAGCGACAATCACTTCAAGTTCTCGGGCAGAAGTGGCTGGCAGGGCATGCTCCGCTTCTATTTGACCATCGGCCCTCAAGCTCGAGCACGGATACAACGCGTCAGCGTTCATGCACCTATCTACATGCGTTGGCCTGTCAAGGATGCCGACAACAAAGATCTCAACGGCAGATCCAAGAATTTCCCACACATGCACATGGTCAAGGTCGACTCAGAGGGACGTAAGTTTCCCTTTCTGATTAATTCTTTTCTAAACCTTGACCAGCAACTGAGTTGCAAGACACGTCGATTACTCTTGAGACATGTTTTACATCTCACATCGCAGCTCACAGAGAAAATGCTGATTTCGAAGACTTGAAGACCTAGACAGAATTGCTATCCAGAGAGTCTGTGCTCTCCTGACGCAAGACAGAGCCTTGAAAGAAATCAACTTCGTCATCCCGGATGGCTTCCGCAATGGCGATGAAGGGGACTTTGGCGGGTACGATGAAGACCACGATATGGAGCCTGATTCACCTCTTCGACTGCAGAAGATAGGGGCTTTGGACTGGATCAAGAAGACCGTGGTGGTCGAAGAGGGTGGGTATCTGGCGACCGACGAGGGACCTCGACAGATTATGGACCAGGGTTGGGATTTAGTCTGCTTGCCAGGTAGCTTCATTTGGGAGGAAGGGATCACGGACAAGGGGGGAAACACAGACTATGTGAAGCATGAAGTCACTGAGACTCGGAGTTGGAGCTCCCCTTACCGGGGAATAGACCATCTCATTGGCATCAAGGAGTTGTTCGAAGATGTACAAATCTCGGTACACGCAAATGGAGGCAAGCACAAAGGGCCCGTCGTCAAGACGGAGAGATTTCTAAAAGGATTTGGGGGATGCAGGTTCATTGGATCCGAAGGTGTTCTTCTACGGGTCACTGGGGCGTGATTTGGGCTTGTTTTGCGATGATACCCAGAAGGCAACGGAGAGGGGTGATCGATCTGATGCACGATCAGAATGAAGTGGGAAATATTCGGTTTTAGCGTCCACGTCAAGTCCTGGCCCTTTCAACTTTTCGACTTCCTGCTAAATCAACATTTTGCAGTCTAGATGAGAGGCTTTTAGATAGCGAGCAGTTCAAGCAAAAGTCCATTTGCAGGATGTTATTGACCAGGCGCGGTGCCAAAAAAATCGCATTTGCAGGGGTAGAACACCCCTGAATGTTGACAATAATCGTGAAGTATGGGGTTTATGGTCCATAGACCACTCTACTCGGGCTTCCTAGATATCAATTGCCAGCTTTTCCTGATTTGTTTCGTATGAGTGCATCAAGTTTGGAAGATACCAGTACCCAAGACTGCCACTTCTCCTGGCAGCACCACGCTTGAATTGTGCCCTACCCGAGACAACGATTAGTTATATCTTGCAATTTATTTTCACCGTAATGTCCAAACCACCTCTCTGCCGCACTGCTCTCATAAATCGCAATACCAACGAAACCAAGATCCAAGTCTACCTATCCCTTGACGGCGGACCCCTCGACCCTCTACCCGACAATGCAGACTTCTCCGCCGAGAGCGTTGCACCCAACGCGCCCATCCCATCCCAGACGACGATTCACCACGCCTCCCAGTTGAAGGGGTCTCAGCAAATCTGGATATGGACCGGCATAGGCTTTTTAGATCATATGCTACATGCATGGTCGAAGCATGCCGGTTGGAGTTTACGGGTGCGGTGTAGAGGGGATTTAGCTAGTACAGCTCCAAGTCTTCAATCTTCCAATTGAGTCTTGTAGCTAATACTTTCTATAGTCGACGACCACCACACGACCGAAGACACACTCCTCGCCCTCGGCACCGCCTTCACCACCGCACTAGGCCCCCGCACCGGTCTCGCCCGCTTCGGCCACTGCTACGCGCCCCTCGACGAAGCCCTCTCCCGCGCCGTCCTCGACATCTCCTCGCGCCCCTTCTTCGTCGGCAACTTCGACTTCGAGGGACCAATGATTGGGCAGCTGAATAGCCAGATGATACATCATGGGTTGAGCAGCTGGGCAATGGCGGCCGGCGTGACGCTCCATGTGGACGTGATTCGGGGTAGTAATGATCACCATAGGGCCGAGAGTGCGTTTAAGGCACTGGCCGGGGCGTGTAGGATGGCTTGTGCGAGGATCGAGGGGAGGGAAGGGGAGGTGGGGAGTACAAAGGGGGTGCTTTGAGAAGGTTCATACGGAATGGACCGGTTTGAGTAGCTATTGTACATATGTTCTGCACGCCAAGACTCCGTGCTACCTCGAGAAACTGCATCCGCAATTGCAGCTCGAATGCTTCGATAGTGGACCCTCTTTCTCACCATCAAACGCCGAAAGATGATGCCAAAACAGTCTGGTGACCCAGCCAGCACATCACTATAGCGAACCCAGCATGTTGAGCACATCCTGCCCGTCCGTTCTCCCCCCAGCTTTTCCTGAGTCACCCTGTCTCGCTCCTGCGGCACCGGCGCCAGCGCCAGACCCAGCTCTTGTCCCCACCCCTGCCGCAGTCTCGTCCCCAGCATAATAGAACCATGCTCTGCTAGCCATTTTCATAACGTGTTCAGGGAGATATAGCGACGCGGCGACGATGATCATTGAAATGAAGAGAAGGAGGAATGTGTCTGCAGAGAAAGGTCAACGCTTGCTTGAATGGCAATGAAAACAAGGTGGAAGATAGTAGAGCAGGGCCGCAAATTCGGCAGTAGAGAAAGCAACGGGGAACTTGATGGGAACCTCAGGCTTTGGCCTGCTCTCGAAATTGTGCTCTATGACCGGCAAGGGAAAACGTACTGAAGATGAACTTCTCGGTGGGCGTGAGCATGTAAAGCGAGAAAGTGACCTCATATTGGTAGCGTTTGCGCTGCAGCCATCGAATCAAATTCGAGGCATATAACATCGCGGAAGAAGAATTGTGTATATTCCGCGACTCTCGGGTCTCCTTGTGTTGCCAATAATCAGCAACTATGCAACGAATCAAGGGAGTTAGTGAGTGGGTGTAGACTCGGAAAGAACATAGAGGGAGGGGGTGCTTGATGGTGACTGCCCTTGAGGTGTAGGAATGTAGCTCCGGTGTGGGAAATAATGGACAATAGAGATGGAGGGGAGGACCAATCTCCGCTCCGCTTTCTTGGCACCGGTCCGCGCTGTGTTCCCCCATTGTCTACTCGTTACGTTTTTATCATTACACATAGTGTATGACGTTCGCTCCTGGTTCCTTCACATGTGAGGACCAAGCAAGTTCTACACATTGCCTTCAATCCTCATTCAGATCTAGCAATATAATCTATAGGCTCCAGTCCCACACTTTGTTAACAGTCGGTCAGACATGGTTCTGTCGTCATGCTCCTCTTCAAACCCTCCAGATCGACCTTGGTATCAATCAAGGCACCATTCCGTCTTGTGACAAGACACTTTAGCTTGCAGAATGTTGCGGCCGCAGCGCAGATGCCCCCTCGGCTCGTCCTCAAGGAGGAAGACATTGAGGAAGCTTTCCTAAAAGGCAGCGGGCCTGGAGGCCAGAAAATTGTGTGTTGGCTTTTCTACGGAACGCCCTTCTTACACTGTAATGACTGATGATTCTCCGTCGCATTAGAACAAGACTGCGTCCGCCGTCCAACTAAAGCACGTCCCCACTGGCATGACCATAAAATCACAAGCCACTAGATCACGGTCACAGAACCGAAAGATTGCCAGGCGTTTACTCGCAGACAAGATTGAGGCTGCAGAGAAGGGCCCTGAAAGCAGGACGGCGTTGAAGGCGAATATCAAGCGAAAGAAGAAGGCTAGCGCGAGAAAGAAGTCGAAGCGAAAATACAAGACTTCGCAGGAGGGGAGAGAGGATGAGGAAGAGGAAGTTGAAGATGACAGCGATGAACCTGTAGAGGAAAAGGTAAAGGAGGAACGTGTGTGAGAAGGGCTGGTTATAAGCTTCCGTTCATTGAAGACTTCAGAGAACAGCCAAACTCTACCGGCTTTCGATACCTCTCACTGCACGCTTGTATTTTCAGGTTCACAGTAGCCCAACTTTGCAAGACCAAAAACGAATTGGGTGGACATGCCTTGGGATCCGCATCAAAGCAAGATGTGCAGCTAGGGGCGACCAGCCGGGGAAAGCTGCAGCCCTTGTCGCTCGAAAAATTTGAGATCGGGACTTGATCTAACGAAGAGGGTGCTTCTGATGTGTCGCATGAATTGCTAAAGTCCACGCGTCCCACTCGCAGCCAACTCGACGGGGGTTTTTAACGGTCATTGTGCTTAGATCCAATCATGCCAACGCACAGATCCGCGAACCTGTTTGGCAGCTCGTCGAGTCAAGTGGAGTATTCGGTGTCTACGAACCGCTACAACATGCAACGAATTAGCCAAGGGATGGATAGAGAGAATGCTGTGTCACACTGGCCGAGCTTGGGTTCGCAAACAGGAAGTGTCTAGACCAGTGTTGCTAGTCTTGAGCTTGGGGATGAGCAATTGGTTACGAAGAGGACGAGGAGGTCAAATATTGGGAGGACCGTGAAAGAGAGGATTCGGAGGGACATTAAAATCTGGAGGGAGCAGTGTCTTGGAAGAGAGCGTCCGAGAAACGCAGAAGAGCGAATAATGATTACACAGCTCAACAGCGGCACATCAGCTACTCGCCATAGGGTTCAGAAACAAAGCAAGTATGACAGGAATCTTGTCGGTTGTACCTTGCTCTCGGAACGGTTACCAAATGAAGACGGTACACTGTTTGGGATTTTACCTGAGCCTGCAGCTATTGACACGACAGTCTGTTTGCTACACTGGCAAATTTCTATGAAAGTCGAAGGCAAGACGCGTGACAGCTGTTGACCGTTCCGAGACATAGCCCAAAAGAAGATCTTGAGCTAGCTCTTTACGGGCAATGTTTCAAGAATGGCTACTGGTAAGACGCAGGCAATGGCTTTTTTTTGTCCACTTTTGGGCACTTCCCCCTTCTTACTCTACAGTCCGTCGAACCGAGGCCGTTCTTCCAGGTCCTTTGCACAGTGAAGAGGCCAACGCTCTATTGTCTCCTCGCTCTGTTGGCCCTGTTGACTCCACTCTGCTTTGGCCAGTTAAAGAGCTGCTACTACGATGTCGGTAGCCCAGCCAACGATTTTCCTTGCGATCCAGCAGCAAATGTTAGCATCTGTTGTGGGGGCAGTTACTATTGTGCAGAAGACTTTTACTGTATCATCAGGGTTGGCAGTTGGGGTGTAGGAAGCTGTACAGACAAGAGATGGCAAGATCCAGCTTGTCCCCTCCCACTAGGTTCATCTTGCGTGCCGGCGCGCCATGCCCTCGCACAAGTCTCGGTCTAATGGTGCAACTTCAGACCACGGTGGTTTCTTCAACTTCACACTCAGCACTACCAATTGCCTCGATCTGCCCGAATCCGGACAATCAGACCTGTTGTTTCAATGGACAAGGAGTTGAGGAGGTAAAATATCGAAACAACGGACCTCCACAAACCGTGGCCGCCCTTCTACGCAGCTATCACAGTGCTAATACTTATACGATACCAATTTCGACAAGTAGCGCTTCAGGAAGCAATACCACTCAAGCGTCTGCCTCTACGTCCTCTTCCGCCCCCGTGACGTCCACATCCGCTTCTCAGCTGCCAGCGGCTCCGTCAACAGCACCCTCTAGCCTCAGCACGAGCGAACAAGCCGGTATTGCTGTTGGCACGATAGCAGGCTTTTGTGACTGATTGAAGCCCGTCAGAGTCACGATTGAGGCCAGAGGCCGTCATTTCCAGGGTAGTCTTTTTTTCTGCTACCAGTTTGGTACGAATGAATTTCACGTCTGATCTTACGACAATCACCTACAAGATTCCGTCAAATATGGGACAATTTATGGGCTGTACTCAGTCTTTACTATTCTAGAACCTCGCTCTTGGAAACTTTAGCAGGAAATGGTAGTATTGTAGCCAGATGAACGTAGTCGTTGACGCTTTCGTCGATGCGTGATCTGCTCAGCTACCATTTAACATCCCCTTGAGCATACATAGTGGGTAGGCAAAAAAGGTTCTATTTCTATGCAACAGCGATGATCGGAGCCTTGCGAATTCACCGACTACATACATATATCCTGCCCAGCAGCATGGACATGTACAATGACCTCCTCCCAACCTGACCCAAACCTTTGGCGATGTTGCCACGACCTCAACTTCATTGCGTCACCAGGAATGACATACTCAAGAACTTTCTCGCGGGGTGCTGCCTTCGCGGTCCAATCATCTGGCAAAATGGGACCGCATCTGCCCATATACCGAACCATCCCCTGGGTACGGCCACAAGTGCACTGGGCGTCTATGAAGTTGAAGTTGAAGTGTGGTTGATGTGTGATGGACGTGGTACGATGTTGGCAATCGTTCTGTACGCCTCTTCCCACACTTCAATCTTGGTGCCTACTTACTTTCGATTGGCGCGGTGTTCCGGATCCGCGACCAATCCTGGCTCGCCTGTGGAGGGTAACACGAGTCTACCACGTAGCGTGGGCTAAGAGCTGCCTATATCGACATTTCGGATCAAGGCGAGTTGCTCCAAAGTCAGTGACTTGACAAAGTCCCGGTTGTAAGTCAGCCGGCCAGGGGTAAGGACGAAGGTGTTGCGTCCCGGGTAGAGGTGCAAAGCTTCGTGGCGTGATTTGGTGGAGCCGGACAGGTGGGGCCAAGAACGTGGGACTTGCGGTTGACAGTATCGGAATCACCGTGGCTGTGTGGTATGAATGTTCTGTTCCGAGAGACCGATGAGCGAGCATGATGTCAAGGATAGAAGCCTTCGTAAATGATGAGGCGGATTTCCAGAGGAGAGTCGGTTCAGTACGTAGCATACTTCGGGCATCGTGGCACCTTCTTCGAGAAGATTCGGCGCCCTTTGCAACGGAGCTTGAGGACGTAGAAGGGCAAGTTTGATATGAACATGTTGGCAGGAAATGTGGCAGCTCTAGAGACGGTTTTTCGATCAGTAGAGTCGGAGAATGGTTCTTGTTCTCTCGCAGAAAGAAGTACAATCCGAGAGTATGCCGATGCATAGTTGAGAGAGAATGGGATAATCATGTTTTAAAAAATTACTCATATTGAGAGCAAATTTTCGCGCTTCTGGGCATGCGAAGCTTCTATTCGGATTTTCTGATTGGATACCAACACAAAGCAACCCCCAGTATTTTCGCTACCGTCTTGAAAACTCCACGAGATTTGAGGTGCTGCGATTGCGACAATGGGAATTTTCGGCTTACGAAACCTTCATGAACTGTACAAAGTCTTTCTTTCGGTCTTCCGGAATTCGGAGCTCGAGACCGACGTGATTCTCAAGTCACGGGTGGCATTGCTGCGAGATATAAGACATATAGGTCAAAGAGGAAGCTTTATGACGAATCGAAGAGCTCTGGAGAGGTCGAATTGGTCAGCATTCTAATGGTTTGGAACCGATGTCATGCTCCATTGTGATGCACAGATCTGGAACGAGAGGCAAGGACGGTTTCAGGAAAGCCAGCTTCGTGATCGAATCGATGTTCTGCATGGCATTAATGGGCTATATAACGTGGAATTGCGATCAGACTACGCCCGTCCCTCGAGGAGACCTGCGCTTAATTCAGAGCAATAGTTTGGGCTTTTGCCCCTCCGTTGTCGAACAACATCAGGAAGCTTGCTCCTTCCAGAGCATACAGACCTGGCCACACACTCAAAACCTGACCGACAGTAATCTTATTACCCCAAGTCAGCCCCCCGTCTCCGCTTGTAATTAATTTTGCTGCCGTGTTCGTGGTATAGCCATCTGAAGGAGCAGCTAGAGTGGAATCTTCATTCGTCATGAAGCTAACACAGAGTGTACCGCCCGTGTTGACGATTTGTGGTGCGCCGGCGGAGGTGTTGGGGCTGTCTGGTGTATAGATAGTACTGCGGTTGCCCCAGGTCTTGCCGTCATCGGAAGAAGTGATGGATTGGACACTGAAGGTTCCTTCTACCTCGCTCTCAAAGACTGCCCTCAAGTCCGTCCCGCTAACAGTTGTCACCCCTGTCATACCTGCACAGAATTGGAGGTCAGCACGTTCCTGATCCATGCGATGAGGTTAGGTCACAAAACAATCTGGAGAGGTACAACAAAAATCTTTTGCTTCCCAAACATGGCACGCGGCTCAGAGATTGGTGCCAATCGAGGATGTTCCGCGAAATGTACGTACCGTCACGTGAAGTTATGCCAGCCCCGGAAATAGTTTGGGCCTCTGTCCATGTTTGACCGCCATCAGTGGAGAATTTCTCCAGTGTGTCTTGATCTGCAGCGGAATTCTCACGAGAGTAGTAAAGCTGTAGCGAGCCGTCTTGAGCATTACGGAGAAAAGGCTCCCAGTTTCCGTTGACAGGTCCAGGATCCGAGGATGGGGTACTTAGAAATGTCCACGTCTTGCCCAAGTCGTCTGAGTAGGCCACGGTAATGCGAAAGAATAAATAGACTCCAGTATTGGGGTCTTTGGAGTGGTTCCTGAACGTGCAGAGAACGCGGCCTGATGGAAGTTGGAGGACGTATGGATTGTCGATGTCGTTTGCGGTCGATGACCCTCTCGTGACTTCTCCAATACCTTGCCATGAAGTGCCGTTGTCGGTGCTCATGACAATCTTGAGTACGTTATCACCATCATTGAAGGCAGTGTAGGCGCCAATGATACTACCAGCGGGCAAGGACGGACCAGAAAGATCGTTTGCCCGAGGATATGTGCCTTGACCAAAGATTACTGGACTACCTGCCAGAATGGGAAGAACACCGCTTCTTTCAACAACAGCAGCGCTCAATGGAGCTGACCAGCAGCTCCAAGAAAATAGAACGAGGGAAAGCACAATAACCAGACTGGGTAGACGATACATTTTCGAAATGACTGATATTGAACGAATGTGGTTAATGAACGTGGGGTGAGAGACTAGTCGACTCTCACAGAATATATATCTGGAAGTGATCAGCTACTCAGCACGCACTGGGTTTTCCTCATGGACTAGCTCCAACGTACCCTGATTATACGTAGAGCCTGCTGCACATGATAATGGGATGCCGAGATTGTGAAGAAAGCTCTCAGGAAATGCAGGCTTTATGCCAATTCCCATAGTGGAGGCTCCTTTCAATCTCCCTATGCCGGTCCAAAGTCCATACCGCGCGCTAAGAGAATGAGACTCCTTTCAACATGAGCAGGGGTTTCCTACGGGAGCACAGTCTGCAGCCTTTACGAGTACAGCCGCCGATAAGGCGTATGAACCTTGGGGAATCTCGGGACTCAGTAGCTTGGCCAGGGTTTCCGAGCACACGCGGTATATGGTTGGTCGAGAATGTTCAGAGGTCACGGCACAAATGTCAGAAGTCAGAATCCATCCCTAATGCCCTCCAATACGTGGGAGTCGACAAAGGGTGTCCCAGACCAATATCATGCGGTAACATGGTGAGTATAGCTATTGGCCCATTGGTGTGGGACGGGAAGATCAACTTGTTAATTAAATGAAACGTGTCTGGCCCTGAAAGACTTTATCCAGGCGCTTATCAGCACACGCGCTCTACACCAATTTGACGACAAGTAGGTGATCAAACATGTCAATCAAATCGAAAATTTCAAAGTCATACGTATTATACACAACGGCTAGATCCCTCAAATTTCAAAGTGATTGAAGGACCAGGAGATACACAACGGCTCCCGGAATTGAGACATCCTAACCGCCAGATCCCTCAAACTTCAAAGTGATTGAAGGACCAGGGGGATCGCTTTGGAATCTCAACTCGCTCACTTGGCTATCATTGACTTGATCACTTTCACGCAAGCAGGGGTATGTAATCTATCTAAAGGGGCCTCGTAAAGGCCAGCGCTTTTGATCGCGTTTGATCTTTCTATGCAAGATTCACGTTTCACACAATGAATGAGATACATCATATCCTTCGTCCTGCTGCCAGCATGCACAACAAACTCTCGCGACCCTGCTCATCTTTGCATATAAGCTGCAAATAGAGGAGCCACCTCAGCTGATAGTCGCTCATGTGCAAACGAAGCTATCGTTCCATTCTGCCTTGCATCCGCTGCTCGAACATACTCGCTCACCCATCTCTTCACGTCTGTAACTTTAGGCCACTGGTCTCGGATTGGTCGCTTGATGGTCGTAAGCTGCGTGAAACCCACACCAAAGCTCATGTCGTCAGGATCTTGCTCCACAATTGTCTCTTCCGTAGCCGCGGGTATTGGGGGATTTTCAAGGAGCTTGAGCAAAGCCTCACAAGTGTACGCCCAGCCTTTCTTGTATTTCTCTGCAAAGGCGACAGAATCGGTCAAAGTCTTTGTGAAAGAGATGACTGCAGTCTTTCGATCAAGGGGTCGTAACAGTTTCTGTGTGTCTGGAAGGATGATGTTGAGGTACAGGGGAGCAAAAAGACTAAATCGTTCAAGTCAGCGTCGAAGAAAAAATCAGTCAATGAATAATGTTCGATAAATACATACCCATCCTGGACTTGATCTAGCTTGCTTATGAAAAAGTCTGCACCAAGGCCTTTGTCGTCCTTTGCGGAGATGAAATGGTATAGTCGAACGAATCTCGATGCGAAAGGTTCCGTCTTCGTATTCTGTAATCTGTTGAGGAGAACATTCAGTATGGAAGGATAGTATTGCTCCAACGTTGACCTAGGAAACTGGTCAGTAGGTGCACGAAAGTCTCGCCGCGCGTAAAACATCTTACGGAGGAAAATTGGCAATTGTGCTCTCTAGAAGCTCGAACCCGTAGGTTTCATTGATTTTGGTAGATGCTAGGCTTTGAAATATACCCAGTACAGTTTCTATCTGATTGTCTTGCGCAATGACGGACGAACCTCGCGAGATGATAGAGGTTAAGAGACGGACGAGGGCTGGCACATTGCCTTTTGGTGCCCATAATGCGGGTGTGAGTAGTGGAGGTATCAGATTCTTGTAGTAGTCTGATAACGATCCAGATGGGTTGGCTTCGAGAAGAGCAGCGAAGAGTTGGAAGATGTATGGTATGAACTCTGGTCTGAATCAGCACATCGATGTTGGTCAAGGATGTAACGAAGCTCACCTTGCACATCATCCTGTATCACAGCAATGAATGATACATATAGACCATTTTCGAGTTTGTCGGGTTGCGAAGGAGCGCTAAATCTATACAAGTCATTAGCACTGCATTGAATTCGGGCATTCTGCCGAGGTCTTACCGAATGAAAGCTCCGAGAGCCTCAAAAAGGTAGTAACAAAACCTGGGGTTGCTCGGGTTTTGACTACTGACCTGCGTAATCTTCACAAAATGTGTCAAGATTTCGTCCACTATAGGCACGACAGCTTCTCTGATGACAATAAGGACTCGCATAACACACCGCATCAAGAACTCGTTCTCTTGCAGCTTCGCAGGCTCAGGATCTTTCTCGATCAAGCCGAACAAATGCCGCAAGAGTTGCGCTGAAAGAGCTTCGACGCTTACCCTGCTGACTATTGGTTGTTTGGAAGCGTTGGTGAGGGCCATGGTGCGTTCTAGAGCGATCGCAGCATAAGTGTACACAACATAATCCGAGGAACCTAAGTGCTTAACGACAAGAGGAAAGGCATCTTGCCATTGTGCTGCCGTGATCTGACTCCTGAACATGTAAAGGTACTTGATGGCGTCAACTTGGAGAATAGGCTCAACGCCAGTGTCCGAGACCAGATCCCCAGCGATGTTGTTTTGAAAGAATTCAATGACGTTCGCAAAGGAGTTGACGCTTGTGACCCCTTGGCTGGCCGTGATAGTGCCTCTGGCAGCTATTGATGAGTACAGATACACGGCAGTGTCTTTCGACTTCCAATTACTAGCAGGGTTTTGAGCATAGTCGGACAAGTAGTGGTCAATGTATCGAAGGACAACCGTCGAGACCATACCCTCAAACTTTGCCATCAACTGTCGGAGGAAATCCGTCGCTGCCCGTCGCCGAGTGTCGCTATCAGAACCTTCAAGGTCTCTTCTGATGAACTCGATTGGTTCATCTTCGAAGAGTTCCATATCCGAGTCTCGCAATGTCAGGTTAGGTAGAATCACTCGCTCAACGACTTGGGACAAAGTGGAATCGTCATTGAAAGCCTGCGCATGCTCGGTACTGCTTGTTACAGCAGTCAGAAATTGTAGCGCTTTGCTGACCAGAATGTCGTTTTTAGTTTGCCGACCCACGGTGGTGAGCAGATTCCAGGAGCTTGATATGAATTGTCCAACATGTACGCCAACGGCGTCCTCGTACTTCTTGATCCACAGCTCCAAGACCTCGAAGATACCCGACTTGACGTGCTCCAGAGGACCTGCTTCACCATCGTCGTCTGTTTGTAGCAGATTGTTCTCGTATGTGAGATACTTGTGAAGCAGTGAGGTCACTGCGGGGAGGCTATCTTCGAAGACTGGTGGTAGATCCTGGACTGAGAGGTCGTAGAACAGCTTAACAATGAGATTTAGGGTTGCGAATAGCTGCAAGAGCATCGCTTTGTTTGACTGATTTTGATCGATGAGTGCGTCTGTGCTCTAAAACCTCAATATTAGTCCAATCTCCTACACGGTGTACCTTTGGTGAACGTAGATTGACTCACCTGAACCAGACTTAGAAACGGATTCCCGAACTTGCCCAATACATGATTAATTTCAGTGAATAAGGGGTCTGACCGGTACAGAGGCCGCCATCTCTTGAAAATTGAATGGGCGACTTGCAGCACTCCATTATTGGCCGCAGTATTATTAGGCGTCAGACGGGATACAAGGTCCTGGGCGAGCTTCAGCATTACGCGGGTCTAGACTTAAGTAGCTCAACAACGTACATCCACCAGTGAGTCCCATCTCTCCCAAAAGTCACTGTCCGCTATGACACCAATCGCGTCTCCCAATTGATACTGGATATTTGGGGGCACTGAGATCATGAGCCCAATGAGCTCGCGCTTGATGGCTGTAACCTCATTCTGAGGCAGCTTATGATTGCCATCTTCGTCCTAGTCACCGCATAAGCCGAACGAAATCTCAGATCCGTAGCACTAAACTAGGTGCTCACCGTCCAACTTCTCTTGATATAATTCTTGAAGTATAAAGCACCGGCTAGGCGAGCAGTAGGTCCGTAGGTTTGTGTGGCTACGATTTGCAGCAAAGACAGGGAGAAGTTCAGCTTCTTCTCTTCGTGCAGGATAGCAAGCTCCGCTACACAAGCGAGTTAGCCTGGCAATACAACTGCTGAAGGGACAGTACCGGACCTTGTTTGTTTTGCGTGGGATCTAAGCTTGCTTCGAGAATTTGGGCAAGGCCCGGAAGGTCCACAGCCATGGTCCAACGGCTTCAGTGTGTTGGACCTGGTTTTCAAGAAGCTCAGTTCAGCTGTAACAAACAAACTTATTGAAAGCTGCGTCTGATGTAGCTTATGGTCACCGTATATAGGCGCGATACGCGCCAATAGCTACTTTACTCAATGTACCTCTGTGCTACTTACTATACTTGAGAGTACAGTACCGAGGGTACCTAAAACTAATTTTAAAGTATCTTCGATCAGTAGTCATTCATGAAAAAGGGCAATAAACTTCATTGTTCTGACAAGTGATCGGAGTCTCGACTGGTTGGTACGAACAACCGTGAATAAGAGATTGAGAGTTTTTTGGAGATGGACATATATTGTGGAATATGTAACAAGACTGGCCAATGCTGAATGATAATGTATTGAATACACAGTGTCTCAAGCCGTTTTACTTGAACATTCTCTTTGTTTGGTGTTGAGCCAGATGATTTTGTGGTAGGTCACTCTGTTCAAAAAGGACGGTTCGCGCTGCGTATCTCATATCTACCCCCTTAGCAGCCCTCCATCTACAAAAATGCCCCAATGCTCTCTCGAGCTTCCTCGTTCACCCCATACTGCCAACATTCTATTCGTGTTTTAGATACCATGCCTGTCATATCGTATACCAGCTAACACTGAAGAAAGCTTTAGGGGAGCTGTTCGGGCCTGGTACTGCCACTACTGTTCTCGGACGAACATTTACAACCAAGACCAGTTGTGTCCATGAACCCAGAAAGCGTTGATGGAGGCCAGAACAATGGCTCTTCTCCTTCGCTGAATGAGAGAATCAAATCTTTAACCATTGGGCCCGGAAGTCCAAGCCCAGTGGGAAGGGCGCACAGTGGTAGTCCTGACACAACCCAAGGAAGCCCATCAAGCAATAAGCAGAGTAGATATGTCAATGCCGAGGATGCTTTCAAAGCGAGGTGCTTACATGAACTCGGCCCGACGCTGCCAGCCGAGAAGAGGAACGCGGCAGCTTATGAGATTTCCAAAAAGATCAAGCTGTATTCCGCCGATGCTCTCTTGGACATATGGACCGTCGCAGAAGACTTGACCACGGAGAAAGCTCCTCTGGAAGCCCGCAAAGCTGGGTTTGCCCTTTTGAAAGCTTCCGTATCTCATTCAGGGATTTTGAAGGAGAGGGAGAGATTCTATTCTATGATAATTACACCGGTGGATCCATCCCAGGCGAGTCTACAGATATCAGCCTTGCAACGATTGACAAAAGACGGTCAAGAGCTCCATCCTTTTGAAGCTAAGCTTGTTATTTTTCTCAATCAGTCGCTAGAAGGGTGGTTTCTGGCTGCGGAACGTGCAAGGGAGTCTCGTGCCGGAAATGGGCCAATAAAAGCTGAGCCGAACAGAAAAATCCCAAGTCTAGCAAGAGGCACGGGTCGGAGTGGTGATGATGATTCTGGCAGAGAGCTTTCCAGCAAAGATAGCCTGAAGCAGTCAACACGCGGTGAGGAGACAGGTCTATTACGCGCGTTTTACCTAATTGCCGACATCCTTGTACACCACCCAGAAGTCTTCTACGACGATCAATTGAATTTTTTGATCGAGCGACTTACGTCAATTGCCCTCGCAGCCAGATCGCGTAAAGACATTCGGGGTACTCTCAAGATATTCTTAGCCATCATAGCAAATGGGCAGCTTCCAGCATCAGCGTTAGAGCCCTGTATCCACGTGCTCTGCAACGTATATGGTATTGAAGAGACCAAATTTGAGAAAGGAGTGTGGGGCTGTCTCTCCCATCTTCTAAATTCGAGTCATCAAGCCGCTACGAAAAGCATACTGTTGAAAGTGTTGATCGATCCGCCAAAGGATAGTAGTATCGAGAGGACGATCGCAGTTGTTCGTGGAGCATTGCTTACAATAAGGCGCGTCGCTGGGGACAGTAGTCTTGGGGGCCTACTCATCGACGAAATCCAGTCGCTCGCACAAGGACTCAAGAATGCACATACACTGGATGCACAGCTGGATATTGATGCCCTGAGAACCATCAACTCACTCATTTTCAATGAGCATGTTGCCGATGCCCTTGGCGGAGAAGACTGGAGTATTCTGGGGGAGAAGCTTGAGGAGAGCGTCCGAGTGCCATCAACGCTTACGACACGTGAGGACGTCGGCTCCTCCTCACCGCTCTTCAAGTTGATGCTAAGCGATCAAACATTGAAACGCGAGATCACAAGCGAGATATCCACAGAGCTACAAGATATGGCAAAGCGCATCATGTTCCTTCTACAAACAGACTGGGAGTCCTTGGATCAGCGAAAGCTGGCGGCTGTTACGAATATTCTTGTCCTCATGGCGTTACGTGTGCCCTCCGTCTGGAAGGACGCCATAAATGCCATGCGAATCCAGGGCCTACTGGATCTAAGCAACGAAAATTGGATGCCCCACTTTCGAATGGTGTTCAGTAAGGTTTTTATGGATGCCTCTCAATCCGAAGACGCAAGTTGTCTGGTCCTTCGGTTATTCGAACAACTATTTCCAACATTGAAGCTGGACGCTAAGAAAAAAACGATGTATGAGCATTGTCTCCGCAATGCCTGCCACATGCTGAGCGGGAACACGAACCTTCCAATCTCAGTAGTCGCGTGCCTGGCCGAGGTTGCAGCGCAGTGCGGTCCCGACATCGAGAACGACACCTTCCAACCTTTACTGCATGTGATTGAAAAGGCGTTGCAAAGTTCCTTGTCAGACCATGCGGCGCCTGTTGAAGCGCTTGACCGTACCGTAGACTGCCTCATTAAGATGTTTCTCAGATCTTTACCGCAATCCTCTCTGAAGACAAAGAGGTTATACAACCTTGTTCTATCACTTGCAGCACCTACAAATTTGACTACCGTGAGGCTGAGTGTCATCAAATTACTTACGCGGTTGAGATGCGATGCAAAGGAGGCAATCGAGGTTGTATCATTCCCTGATAGTCTAGGATTAGCATCAATCCTTTGCAGGACAGAGGCCACGGCCATATCACAGGACTCCGTGCCCACCCCGTCGAATCGAACGTCGACATACGAACAACCTCATGTGATGCGCACTGGTCGGTCCAGCGTTGTGGACAGCTTCAAGACTGTACGGTCGAGATCAACCACAAGGTCTGCCAGCTTTAGGGAGCGTTTCCTGCAGCCCAATCAGCCTTTGTGGATGTACGATGGGCCGTTCAGGGGCCTTCCAGAAGACCCACAACATGGGCCAAGTCAGGTCGTTTACTCAAAACTTTCAAGTAAAGAAAATCCCAACGTTTTGGACCTGAGTTCTTGGCTCGACGTCGTGATTGGCATCCTAGAAGAGGGTAGCGACTGGGAGGTCTATAGCTACATTCTGGTACATTTGCCTTCTCAATTGAGTAATCGCTCGCTGTTTGCACGCCACGTCAAGCAACTTCAGACAATGCTCAACCTTGTGGTCGCCCAGGTTGAGAGGACAGGTAATAAGCCTTTCACTACGCCACCACAAGAGACAGGTATAAAGCCGCGTGACATTGTTCTTTGCTTGCATCATACCCTGACAATGCTCTTGCCTTTTAACGACCACTTTGGTAGACGCGAATTGGAGAGCACTGTGCGAGCTTTTGCAAACGGCCTTGACAGGTGGGACGGCGCTGGAAAGTGTTGTATACATGCCCTGGCTTTGTGCTGTCACGAGATCCCCTCTGTCATTGACAAATGGATGTTCAACATTATCCAGAAAATGCAACAGAAGATCACTCAATCCGATTTGGCGATCGATATACTCGAATTTTTAAGCGGCCTCTCTGGGCTGCCGGATGCCTGCTCTACCGCTACCGCAAAGGTACCCGACGCCCACTCAGGCGCCGTTGCGGAGGATGGAGGCTTTTACATGACGGTTTTCGGGATCTGTATACGTTACTTAGACTACGCGAGGGACCAGCGTCAGGGACAGACTGGCAACGCTGGAACACGATCCAGCCTCCAGACAAGCCGTCAAAGTGGAAGTGCAAGCGAAGTTGCCCAAAGTGCTGAGGCGAGCCAAGCCTCTGATGCGCAGACGAGTCTCTCGGAATACGTCTCCGCTTTAGCATATCATGTCATCACCTCTTGGTTCTTGACGATTGAAGTAAGTCGGCGAGCGCGGCACGTTGGATGGATAACAAAGGGCCTTGCCTGCAAAGACAATTCAGGAAATCCAATGGTGGAAGAGCAAAGCCAAGTAATACTTGACATGATGCATCGCACTGTATTCTCAGACCTGGGGGAAACACAGCCAGACGAACGCTTCGTTGACCCAGACGAAACAGCAATAAGAAAGACCTGGTTGGATGGCATGAGTATCCTCACATTGGAGATCTTGCCAAGCAGTAACAGTGGTCAATTCACGAAGAGGCAAGCATCGGGCACAACGCACGCGTCTTACTATCACAATACCGCCAAGATGCCTGAGCATCACGTCAAAGGACACAGGAGCGATTCAAGTTCCCATTCCCAAGGGCTTCCCGATGTCTATCCAAATCACATGTTCCTTCAAATATCTTCTACAATTGCACCGCTACCTATTCCCTTACAGCCAATCGTTCTACCGGACAATGATGTTATACAGCGTGCGCTGCGGAACTTTGATCGGACTGATACGGTGGATGGCCATAAAGCGGGCGTAATCTACATTGGCGAAGGTCAATCTTCCGAAGCAGAAATCCTGGCAAACTCACGAGGAACGGATGCTTACGAGGCTTTCCTTTCGGGACTGGGAACGAAAGTCAAGCTTCAGGATGCCAAATTCAACACTCAAGGGCTTGACCGTGTATCTAACATTGACGGCACAGATACCTATGCTTGGCGCGATAGAGTCACTGAAATCGTCTTTCATGTCCCCACGATGATGCCGACAGATCCCGAGAACGACCCTCAAGGTGTGAAGAAGAAGGCGCATGTTGGAAACGATCGTGTGAAGATTGTATACAACAATTCGGGTCGAACATTCAATTTTAATACCTTCCCTTCGGAGATGAACTTTGTGAACATCGTAGTTACCCCAGAGGCGCATACCGGTGGTGGACGTTTGATAACAGCGAGAAAGCTGCGGAGAAGAGCGACGGGAGAAGACGAGCCGGAGTCATCAGCCACGGAGGTCTATGGTTACTACAAAGTGCAGACACTATGCTCCTTGAAATTTCCACAGCTCTCTCCAGCGGCCAGCCTAAAAGTCGTTTCGGCTGAGGCTCTACCCACTTTTGTCCGCAACTTGGCCTTGAGCGCCTCTCTGTTCTGCCAAATTTGGTCTGTCGTACTTGGCCATGGCGAATACTACTCGAGCTGGCGGGTACGGCTAAAGGAAATTATCAGACTCAGGAAGGAGTACGCGAACACTAATGTATCTGCCAACGTGGCATACCCACTGGGTCCAGGTCCGCCTCCTATATACGACGGTGACAGCTATACGGGCGTTGTTTCAGTGGGCGGCATTGCAGAGCCAAATTATTTTCATATGAGTCTGGACTTTACGAGGTGGACATGAGTACATATGGAGTTGATTGGAAGGCGTTGGTTAGCATAGTGGTGGTAGACAAGGATAGCCGTGGAAAATCCTTAGGGTTGATGGGGAGAGACGAATGTGTTCATGATAGATAACAGGATGCCACGCCAAAGGTTTTGCTTTATCTCTTTTTCCATTCATCAAGGGGTATCAAATGGAGGTATACATTGGCGGAGTCCTTGGGAGGGGAGACGAGTCCAATTCAATCAGCAGCATATAGGGAGGAACTAGGGAATGATGTGCATACGAGGATGGTTGTGAGTATGCCGATGGTGGTCCGAAATTGGCAGTCGGTATTGAAGACGCAGAAATTGATGGGTGTTCTCCTTTACTCTGTTGGATTCCAAAGTGTAATAACAGAACCAGATGCTCAAGTGCTTGAAGGTGACAAAGACAGTGACAAAAGGATACTTTCAAACGTCCTTATAATGTCCTTGAAATGGTGCCCTGCCTTTGAAATGTAAGAAATGTCTGGTAGGGAGTTAGTGGAGGTCCATTTTGTACAGGAGTCACGTGCGCAGGCGAGCCAAGGAAGTCGCGCGAAGAAAGTCAGTTTTGGAGGGCCAGGGCAAAAGCCACTTTCCTTGAGGTAGGCTTCCGTCCATCGTCACCATAACTTATCCCTAACTTCAAAGTACCACGGAATGCATCATCTCTTCAAAGGCGTCACTGTCGAGGTCATCTCCCAGGGAAAACCTCTCAAGCTCTACGATGATCCGGATGGGGATCCCAGTCCAAGGACACCACAACGATACATCGAGGCTGTCACTGATGCCATCTTCAAGGTCAGAATTACCTTGAGTGACAAGTTCTCGTTGTACCGGCTCCAGCCTGATGACGGTGTACGTCTTTCCATCATTTACGACGGTCAACAGCTCGAGTGGTACAAAGACTTCTCCACCTGGGAACTCTCACAACGATGGAGCAAGGGACAGCCAGCAGAGCACGTCTTCTCACACCTCTCACGTTACTGCAATCACTCTCAGCAATGGACCATAGGCGAGACCACTTTCGGCGCCTTGAGCACAAGTGGGTTCTCTTGGCTCCCTACATTTGGCGATTGATATCTGATCGCGTATCAGGAGACACTGTTGATTCAGGTCCTTCAGTGGCCGAAGTGAAAGATCTCGGCAAGATACAAGTGTCAATCCGCCGCGTGCACAGGACCAAACGAGCACTACCTCTGCATACCCCGAAGGATAAGATAGGGAAGCCGATTGTTGAGGTATCCGAGAAGATACTGAAGGGCAGAGCTATTGTCAACACAGTCCTGTATTACGTGTCTACCGTGTTATCCGTCTACATTCTAACCTGACGTCTCTGCAGCACAGCCAACCATTTGCCTTCAAGTGGACCGCCTCCCACGACCTATGACATCAGATCTATGAATGGAGTGGAGGGTGCGCCCTTGACGTTTAACATTCTATACCGTTCGAAGCGTGAGCCGTGGAACTCGTACTATTGCTATGCTGTGCGCTAATCAATTGCCTGTCCAGACAATCTCCAAATGCTAGGATGTATTCCTCGAACCCCATCCCCTGAGCACGAGACTGCCGCAACCATCAGCGATGTCGCTAGTCGAGAACAGAAAGTGCGAGAGCTGCGAGTCAGTCATTCCTATCGAGCGAGGCTACCACCAGTCAGGCTGATACTAAAACAGGCTCAACTTGCCCTTCTGGAAGGCGCCGGGAACGTCAAAGCTGAAGGCTCAGTCTCACGGGCAACAGTAAAGCGCGAGTTGGAAGACACAGAAAACGCAGGCTCCAGAAAACGTTCTCGAAACTCCCGTCCAATCGAGACCATCGACCTCACGGACGACTAGGCTGATAGTCACTTCCAGCGTCCTCCGAGTCAGAATGTTCTGAACGGTACTGTACTGTGAACGTACAGCGCCAATACTCTTCAATACGCTTAGACTCATGGCGCGGAAGTCGTTTCATATTGATCCATGTTCTAAGATACCCGTTGCATATTCGCTCTTACGACTTCTTTCTTCATGGCAGAACATAATCACCAATGTCACATAATTTTGGCTTTGCGCCACCCTGTAGCATAATCACTTACACATCTACTTTAACGGAACAGATAAGAAGTTTAGGCACAAGTCAAACGGCATCCTAATGCCGTGGGTTTAGATGCCCGCAAAGTACATTGAAGAACATGGTACTTACTCCACATAACTCCGTTGCCCACGAATAATATACTCCAGCGGATAGCAGCCATCAATGACGACGCGTCGCCCATTTACTCCTGCCACTTGGTGGAGCCAAGCTCAGAACGTCTTCCGCCCTCTATTTCGCCATTACATCGACATACCCCCTGCCTTTCTTCCCCTTCCTGACCGTTCCGCCCTTCCTGGCCTGCGGTACTCCAATCAAATCATCAATACTACTCGCACCGCTCATTCCCGTCGCTGGTCTTGATGGGGGAGCCGAAGGCGGTCCGGACGATGGACCTGTAGCCGAGAGCATTGATGCCGCGCCTGGGTCGGTTGATGCCTCCTCAGTAGTGGTTGGGGCGTTCACGGCCGGCGACGGACTTCGTGACGGATACTGAGATGCAGGGTTAGATAATAGCGGATTCGAAGTCATCGGCCTAGTGACATTGATAGGCGGAGTAGCCATCGCCGTGGGAAGTGGAGGCACTGCTGGAGGTGCGGTACTACTCGGCCGAGGAGGTCCAGCTGCGCTGACCACTCTGGAAGGCGGACCTTTGGGTGGTGGTGGTGCAGGGGCGGCTGCAGCGGTTCCATCAGGGTCCTTCTTGTTGATCCATCTCTTCTTTTCGGAATCGTAGTAAAAGGAGTTTTGTTCGCCGAGCTTAGCTTTGATAGGTGCATTGGGCGTGCCGTGGGCTTCAGTAGCATCGCCCTCTTTCTTGCTGCCGAGCCAGCCACCGAACCATCCAGACTTTTTGCTCTTAAGCTTGGGCGCCTTGTCCTTCTGCGCTGTGTCAGGGTTAGCTAGATGAACTAGAAGACGAAGGTATGTTGATACATACCATCCGCTTCGGCGGCTCTTCTGAAGGCCTCGTCAGCCTCTCCATCCTTTCGCGCCTTCTCTTCTTTCCGAAGAGCAGCTGCCCGCGCATTGAAGTCATCGCCATCGTTATCGTCCATGGAAGATTTTTTCTTTGGGTTTTCTTCAACTGGGGAATCTCCAGCCTGTGGAACATAAGGGTCGTACACGGGCGGATTGTAGCTGTCTATAGGCGGTGGCTCATAGCCGCTCGTCGAAGGGGGCTCGTATGTGTATGATGGAGGTTCATAAGTCGTCGAAGACGGCTGATAATCCCCAGCCGATTCAGATTGGAGTAGGGACTGAAACTGTTCGCGAGATGGCTCCGGCTTCAAAGGCGGAGTCGGCCGATAAGAATCTTGTTGGTAGAGAGACAATAACGGATCTTCGGGCGGAGCGATACGCATGTGCTCCGGCTGTGAAGGCGGTGTTGGTAGATAGCTTTCAGTACGTGGAGGATAGCTCGATGGCTGAGATGATGGTTTATACGACTCAGGGTAAGAGCCAGTAGATGACACAGGTCTAGATTGGTATTGCTGTGGGGCAAACCCTGGTCGAAGAGAGTCGTTCTGTGCCTGTGTTGATCTTTGATGATCCTGTGAAGAATTACCCGATTGTTCTAGAGAAGGCCGGGGGATATAAGGACCAGCTGGCGCATATCGAGAATTCGAAAGATTGCCTATATGGGCTGGTGGGCTGACTCCAATCCCTGGAGCATAAGTGGTGTACATGTCGCTTGAAGATGGAGTCCGACTAAGGTTGGGCGAGTCGCCAGCAACTCTCGCGAATGGCCCTACATCTTGTTCGAGTGCTTTGCCAGATCCTGTGGATGCAGCATCGCTTTCGTCCCCAGCCACGTATTGATTGAACTTCGCCCATATAGAACCTGAAACTTTATCGATGCTGGGTTTCGATATCCATGATCCAGAACTATCTCGTGGTGCTTGACGAAGCCTATCCACTAGGCATTCTAAGGCTCCAAACAAGAGACTATGGTAGTACGGTGATCGCTTGGTGGTCGAATTCAGTGCGCTCGTGATAACCTCACAATATTGTTGTGCTTCTGATTTGTACCCATTCTCAGCTAAGATCATCGCATGATATAGCTTATATGACTGTAGGTGCGGTGATACCGTCGCAGCAGAAGACGGTGCAAGCACTGTACGGGCAAAGTCGTAGACTTCTGTAAGGAGTATGCTGTCCAAATCTCTGCCATAGTCGAAGGGCCGCTGCAAATGGTCGGCCCCGAGAAGAGCAATGCTCACTTGGGAATCATCAGGTCCGCCGAAGAGTCCAGGCGACTTGGCGAAGATATAACAGATGTGCGCTGCTTCAGTTCTCCCATAGCCGGCAAGTAACTGTCCCAGTGACACCAAAGCTCTTCCATCATCAACGCTGCGATTGCTCAGAATCAATGTCAAGGTTTCTCGCCACCGGTCCAAGCCATCGAGTGCATTCTTCGTAGGTCCAGTGGTGGCAGTCTTACTTACCATCTGAAGACCAGCGCGAGCAGATGGTGGCACAAGCTCGTCCATACTCTCATCCCAATTCCCAGCGAAGATTTGATAGAGCGCAGCTAGTGACTCGGTGTTGTCTCCAGAGGTCTTGACTTCCTGGCGCACAAACTCTTGGGATACTTGTTTCCACACATTTTTTTCCAGCGTAGAGGCTAGTAACATTGCATGAGCCCATAATCGATTGTCAACAGCATGCCAGACGGCTTTCTCTCGCTCGCCGTGCAATAGGAGCTTGCGCAGACCTTCCATCGTCTCTGGCTTCACGGGATCCGGAATAATACGAGAGCCACTGTTCCGTGAGATGCCCAGAAGTGGTGAATTGATATATCGGGGAGGAAGGGACGCAGTGTCTCCCACCGTCAGTTCTGGAGAAAGTATTGGTCTGATGGCATTTTCGGCGGAAGCGTTGCCATCGACCGCACCATCATGCTCAACCACAACTCGCACAATTTTCCACAACAACATCTTTTCCTCATGACGCTTTCTTGGATCTGGGAGAGTTGCGCTTCTGATTTGGCCGGCCCCGCTGCTTTCTAGGTGAGCAATTCGTCTTTGCAGCCAGTCCAGGACGTCCTTTTTTTTGCTTTTGGACCTCAGAGGCCCGGGAAAGGTCGCAACATCTTCATCGAGAGGAAGAATCTTGCCATCTAAGATTTTAACCTCCCCAGGGCTACACTTGATCATCGGTGTGTTTTGGCCTGCCGCGTAGCGAGGAACCTGCTTCGGAAAGCTTGTTACAATTGTACCACCAAAACCAAAAGAAATGATTGGGCATCCTTTCCAGCGCTCGAGATGGTCCGTTTCCCGACCATCAGACGGTTTGATGTAAGTAAGATCCTTGGAAAAGGTCCTTTCGCGTGGTCGCATTTGATTCGGTATCGGTCTACTCTCTGCAGATGGTAATGACACGTGGTTGTTGACAGAGGCTGGCCGCTGATATTGATTTTGCATGCTTTGAGGCAGCTCTGGGTTGTACTTGCCAGTGCCTGGTGACTGCGATTGGGATCTTCGAGGTGATGGCCCACGAGCAGAAGTTCCAGAGGCATTCGTTGGCGATTCTTGAGGCTGTTGAAAGGATGCAGACCCATCCGACGACGTACGATCGGCGTCTGGTGTGTTCATAACATAGGATGAGTCCGAAGGAAAATTGCTGAGAGGTGCATAGTGGGTAGGGGCCAAAGGCGGAGGCAGGTCTCTGAGTTGTGAGTTGTTCTCGAGCCTGCCAGTGCTCTCATTCTGCTTTGCGTTCGGTTCCTTGATGCTGGCATTCTGGTGGCTCGGGTCAGAGCTTAGAGACACTGAGTCTTGGGCTAATACGGCTTGTCTTCCGCTCGACATTGGCCGGTGCAACGAAGGGTCAGAAACGGATGTTCGATGGTTGCCTTGCGGCAACGCGCTATTCTGTGCAAGTGGGCTTGAAGTACGAGGTTGGAAAGACAAGTTTTGTGAAGGGACTGGACGACCAACAAGTGATGGTGATGCAGCATATCGATTCCGAGGCGGCGGAACGTTCGATTGCTGTAACGGAGCAGGAGAGTATCTCGCGTTGACTACTGGCAGAATTTGGCTTACAGGCTCTGACTGCGAGACGTTTGCATAAGGGCTCATCCTTTCAGGTGGCAGAAGCTGATATTGTTGGGAGGAGCTGGAAATCCCTGAAGATGGCTGTTTTGTCATTGAGACTTGCCGCGGGGGATCACGTTGAAGTGACATCGTTGGAGGTGGACTTGGCTGAGAACTCGGATGTGCTACTCGGCCCATGCTACTTGATGGACGAGGTTTACTGGAGGGCAATTCTTCGAAAAAGGTACCCATGCTAGGCGAAGCTTTGAGCGGAGGCAAACCGTTACCTGTGGGTACAGATGACACTACGCTGGGGAGACGCGGGACTGGGGGTTCAGCATGAAGGGGTGGCAGTGCGCCGGTGAACATGCTGCTACTTCTTGGCGGCGGAGGTCGAGCCGCTGCGACTTGAGCATCAGAGTTCGGACGCAACTGCTGGTAAGGAGTGCGCTTCTTTGGGCGATTTACATCCATGGGGAGGTCGTATGGCGATGTATAACCGCCCTTGGACTTATCTGCAAAGCTCTGCGTTGAAGGCGGCATTTGAGGTCTTGAAGAAGACGTCTGAGCAGCATAAGTATGCTCCCTATTTGTGTCTGCAAATCCGTTCGGTGCAGAGACCGAGTGATTAAGGTCGGATGTTATGCGCGACGGTTGATGGGCCGGTGCACCGTTGCTAAGACCGGAACCATACGTGGGGGAGACCGTGAAAGATTGAGAAGTTGAGACTGGCAGATACTTGTCACGTGATGAAGAGTGTCTAGTACTGATCTGGCCAAACCCCTGCAGCCTACCATCTGAACCATGAACCGGCTCAAGAGTTGGGGGTGATGGTATTGCTTGCATCCGGGTTTCTGTCTGGTTTTCACTGCCTTCGAGGAAACCCTCCCCATCATCTTCAAAGAACGAGGATGGATCCAGGGGTTCCTCATTGTCTTCAAGGAGGTCATCATCACCCAAAGCAGCCTTCCACAATTCTGCAAGATCTTCGTCCTTTGGCTGTGCCTCGGTAGTATCCATCTGCTGTTCGGCAAAAATTTGAGACTTGACCGTGGTCGCAGAGACCGCAATCCCTCCACCTGTCAAATTAGCCAACGATAGCCTTTCTTCAGTGCTCTGGGGTTCTCCATGAGTGGCGCTGTGGGGCGCGTAATGTAATGAGTCAAGAACTTGTATTGTAGACTTGCGATCCAAGGCTTGCGGCCTGAATGATGATGTCTCGTCTGACGGTGATAGAGACGTTTTGTCGAAGAAGTCGTTATCGTCGTCGCCTTCAGCATTACTGTATCTTCGTGCATCCGGACTACGAGTTGAACCTTTCATAGCAGAATGCTTGGGTGAATGTGATGGCATCAGCGGTAGACCCTCTTCGAATCTGGACTGTTCGTCGGCCTGCACAATTGGATCGACCGCGTGGACAGCGTTTGGATTGGCGAAAAAGCTCTCATCCTCGTCTCCAGTTGAATCGAAAGGCCGCAGCAGGGTGCCAGCATTCGGAGTCGAGGCAGTTAAGGTGTCCAACGAAGATTGACGATCGATTGACTCCGCACTGTTATCGGCTTCCATAATATCCTCTGCTTGCGAATGCGACAGAGAATGCGATGGGATGATTTCGGTCTGCCGTAAGGGTGGCACTCGCGGAAATGAATTGGTCCGACTGATTTCGCCTGGTCTGAGGTCTTCTGCATAGCTAGGCTCCGAGTCCCAAGCCTTGGCCATCTCTTCTTTGCCTCCTAGAGCATTCCCAATATCAGTTGGCTCCGTGGCAAATCCTGTGAGTGTTGCCAATTCTGTTTGAGCACCATTGCCTTCTTGCCACAAGTCGTGCGATAGACTGTCTCCGGATGGTCCAAATTGAGAGTGAGAGTCTGACAAGCTGGTGCCAGCTCCTGCACCTTCCCAGAGGTTGCCCAGCGCTCCCTCAGAAAGGCCAGCTTTTTGCTTCTCAGCGTACTCTGTTTGCCCATCCACATCATCTGGCAGGTCATTTGGATCACGGTCAACCCGAATGTCTGATTGAGCCGTCCTGTCCACGCTTGTGGTATTCTGGTCATCCTCTTCGACAGGTAGAAGCACTTCATCCTCTGGTTGTCCGGTATCTTTCAAACCGCCAGGTGGCTTATCCAACGGTTCCCCTTCATACTTGTTGTCCGCAGAAGGCAATGGCGTTGGAGGACTTTGATCCGTCTGCTCCCCATTTGCCTCGTCCAGTTGATGTGAATTGGGCCTCATCGCAGGATGCCAGGAACCAGGTGCATTTTCGTGGTTTTGGGCCGACGGCGCCACATCCATCATTCTCTAGAGTGCATGTAGACATAGGACACTGGGATCCGTCAGTTGTCAGGTTCTGGGTCATCGGCGAGTCAACAAAGCAGGAAAGACTCTCCTTGACGTGGGAGAGATGCAACGTACATATTAACCTTCCCGGAAACACGTCAGCCATGCACAAGCAGCAAAGATGAGATTATCTTGGAAATCCAATCCAAGCTCAAGTCCAATGGTCCATGAAGACAGATGCTAGCGTGCCGGATTAACCTCGGCTTTTCGGAGAAGAAGTGGCCTAGAGCACCAGAGGAGTGGTTTCGAGAGCTCTGTGTGTGATCTATCTAATCGAACTCCGCTACTCTGTGGTATTGGTACTGACATGATGCCGAGAATGATCCGTCTTATGCCAAGTTCTAGAAACCACTTTCTTTTGATAATCTGAGTCCCGGTCTCGACCCAAGTGACAACTGCCATTCAGGCCAAGTTAACGGCATACATGAAACCATGTCGAGACCCCATCAGTACCATCAGCCCAATGCTCCAGACCCACTCAGCGATGAATCAGACTCAGATATTGAAATTGATTTGCAGGAGCTAGACCACGCCACTGCCGAACATGGATCCGGTATCTACACTGATCCATATAAGGTGCATCAGCGGGCGGAGAGTCAGATACCTCTAAGAAATCTGCGGGTTGGGCGAGCGCGCGGATTTGGTCGCCAAAAGCATGGCATTGATGTGTCTGGTGATGAAGAAGATCTTCAGGGTTTACTACACGATAGTAACGATCACGGAGACTCCACTGGAAGCCTAGGTGTTGTCGACGACGATGCTCCTCTTCTCCAACCAAATGGTCGACCGGTGTCGAAAGCTTATACGACTGAAGGGCGCCGAGGGTTCTTGTCCTCTCACTTACGGTTGCCCAGCTTTGCATCTGGTCAGCCCGATCTCGAGAGCACTCCTACTGAACAGATAGGCGCAACGCAAGCTGGCGGAACGTCACGCAATATCAGCATAGGGCAATATCCCCCACCAAAATTTCCGCCAAATGCTGTATCAAACGCTAAATACACGGCCTGGAGTTTCCTGCCCCGAACGTTGTATAACGAATTCTCTTTCTTCTTTAATATGTATTTCCTCATGGTCGCTCTGTCTCAAGCTATACCCCCTTTGCGAATTGGATATCTTTCAACATATGTTGCACCATTGGCGTTTGTTCTTGCAGTTACACTGGGTAAAGAGGCGTTGGATGATATCGCGCGCAGAAGAAGGGACGCTGAAGCGAACAAGGAAGAATACACCGTGCTTAGACTACGAGATAGTTCAGAAACAGCAGGGTTCAAAGGAAAACGCAAGCGCCGCTCGAGGCTTCCGTCTAACAAGAATTGGGCCCGCGGTGTTTCCAAAGGTTCTCGTCTTGACGCCATCGAGGAGGAAGAAGAGAACCTTGGAGAAGAGAGCCAGAATGTCATATCGAATAGTGAGGTCGATGAGATTGACATCAAATCCCGAGACCTTAAAGTTGGAGACATTTTGAAGCTTGGAAAGGACCAAAGAGTACCCGCGGACCTTGTCATACTCAAAAGCTATACCACTGAATCGTCGATCACCGTCCCTTCGATCCCAGCTGCTTCACTGGTGTCGTCCGAGGAAACCGGCCCCCTTGTAGAACCTCTCGAAGAGCCTCCCATTGCCAGGACTTTGAATGCAGGGAAGCATTCAAACCAGTCAACCTCTCTTGACGCCTCCACACCCTCTGCCGATGCCGGTGGAGTTGGCGAGACTTTCATCCGGACAGATCAGCTTGACGGTGAGACTGATTGGAAGCTACGTCTTGCTTCACCTCTGACACAGTCTCTGGATCCACGCGACTTTACGCGACTGAAGATTGTGGCTGGGAAGCCCTCTAAAGAAGTCAACGATTTCGTTGGTACAGTTCAGTACCGCCCACAAAAGGCACAATGGGTAGCCAAAAGAAGTGTGAACGACTCCGAAATCACTGTCAAGACGGCACCATTGACGATAGATAATACGGCTTGGGCTAATACGGTACTTGCATCTAATGCCACTGTTCTAGCAGTAGTGGTATACACGGGTGCACAAACGCGGCAAGCTCTGTCAACGTCTCCGTCACGATCAAAAGCAGGTCTCCTAGAATATGAGATCAACAATCTCACCAAGATACTGTGCGCCCTGACTCTGACACTTTCCATCGCTCTCGTTGCAATCAGAGGCATCGAAGGCCGTCCAGGCCAGCAATGGTATGTAGCTGTAACAAGGTTTCTCATTCTCTTCTCGACTATTGTTCCCATCAGTCTTCGAGTCAACCTGGACATGGGCAAATCAGTATACGCCCGTTTCATTGAACGGGACCAAGACATGCCTGGAACAGTAGTCAGGACAAGCACGATTCCTGAGGAACTTGGACGAATCGAGTATCTTCTGAGCGACAAAACAGGTACTCTCACACAGAACGAGATGGATCTCAAGAAGATTCATGTTGGCACGGTCTCATACGCTAACGAAGCCATGGATGAAGTCCGGACCTATATTCGCCAGGGATTCTCAACAGGTGTAACAAACGATGCTACACAAGCAGCGTCTTTGGTCACACCTTCGTCTACATACGCTTCTACTTCCGCAGGGGCTTCGACGACAAGGACACGACGAGAAATTGGCTCCCGGGTTCGAGATCTTGTCTTGGCGCTTGCACTTTGTCACAATGTTACACCATCTACGGAAGACCATGAAGGCCAGAGTGTTACCACTTACCAAGCTTCGTCGCCAGACGAGATCGCAATCGTCCGATGGGCGGAGAATGTAGGGCTTCGACTCATGCATCGGGACCGACACACTATCACTCTTCAGTCTGTTGATACCTCTCGAGTTGTGGTTCGAGTCAAGATTCTCGAGGTCTTTCCGTTCACATCAGCCGGAAAGCGCATGGGCATAATTCTGCAATTCTCTCAAGGGGCGGAGTCTGCCGTTTCCTCAGTAGAAAGTCCGGCAGAAGTCTGGTTCTACCAGAAAGGCGCTGATACGGTTATGACCTCGATCGTCGCTGCAAATGACTGGCTAGACGAAGAGACGGCAAATATGGCTCGAGAAGGCCTTCGTACTTTGGTCGTTGGAAGGAGGAAGCTGTCAATGCAGCAGTACAACGAGTTTTCAATGCGATACAAGCAGGCTTCAGTGTCTCTACAAAACCGGGATTCGAGCATGGCAAAAATTGTGAAAGACTATCTCGAGCATAACCTGGAGCTCCTTGGCGTCACCGGTGTTGAAGACAAGCTCCAGAAGGACGTCAAGTCCTCCCTCGAGCTCCTCAGAAACGCTGGTATCAAGATCTGGATGTTGACGGGCGACAAAGTAGAGACTGCCCGATGTGTCGCCGTTTCTGCAAAGCTCGTTTCACGAACTCAATTTATTCATACCATCACTCACCTTTCAACTGCTTCTGGCTCCACTGCTGCACTTGATTCCCTATCCCTTCTTCGCTCCAAACCTGAAACCACGGCCCTTCTTATCGACGGCGAGTCATTGTCTTATTTCCTGACTTACCATCGTCATGACTTCATCTCCGTCGCCGTTCTCCTGCCGGCCGTTATCGCTTGTCGTTGCTCTCCGACCCAAAAAGCTGACATTGCCAGTCTCATTCGACAATTCACTCGAAAGAGAGTTCTTTGTATCGGCGACGGAGGTAACGATGTCTCAATGATTCAAGCTGCTGATGTTGGTGTTGGTATCGTGGGCAAAGAAGGGAGACAAGCTTCTCTCGCAGCGGACTTTTCTATAACCACCTTTCACCACCTCACTAAGCTTCTCGTTTGGCATGGCCGCAATTCCTATAAACGATCGGCCAAGCTCGCACAATTCGTCATCCACCGCGGTCTGATCATCTCAGTCTGCCAGACGTTCTACAGTATTGCAACCCAGCTCCAACCGCACGCTCTGTATCGCGACTGGCTGCTTGTTGGCTACGCAACTGTGTATACGATGGCTCCTGTGTTCAGTTTAGTGCTCGACAAAGACGTTGACGAAGGGCTAGCCAATCTCTATCCGGAATTGTACAAAGAGCTCACCACGGGCAGCAGTCTGAGCTACCGTACCTTCTTCGTCTGGGTGGCGGTCAGCATCTATCAAGGTGGCATAATCCAGGGGCTCAGCCAAATCCTCGTCAATTTGGACTCGCACCGGATGGTCAGCGTAAGCTTTACGGTACTAGTCATCAATGAATTGATCATGGTGGCCTTCGAAATAGTCACGTGGCACTGGATCATGGCCGTGAGTATAGTGGGCACTGCCGCTATATATGTGGGAAGCGTGCCCTTCTTGGGTGGATACTTTGATTTAGGTTATGTTTGGAGTTGGGGATTTGCATGGAGGGTGGCGGCGATATCTGCCATCAGTCTCATACCGCCGTACTGTATAAAAGTACTGAGGAGGACGCTGAAGCCGCCGAGCTATAGGAAGGTGCAAGGACTGTGAAGTGGCATAGCCAGGGCGTTCTGATTACGGGAAATTGGGAAAGTGCATTTGTGATCTGAGCGAGTTCAGGAGGTTTTGCATGTGATATGGCGTCTTAGAATGGGATACTTTCATGAAGCTATAAATTCCAACATCCACAATATCTCAAACAAGTGATATTGGGGATAAGTGGCTCCGCTGCGCCTTCAGGACTTCGAAGGATGTGCGAGATCAAACCCAGGGTAAGAAGAAAATATATAAACAAATAAAGATCATTTTCAATATGCAATGATAGTTCAAGGGTAGAATTCGAGCTTCCCATGCTCGAGGTCGGGGTTCGAGTCCCCGTCATTGCAATAAATCATCTTGTAAAAAACATATTTATTCATACTGGCCATATTTTTGTATTTTTTCACCTTTTTCCTTCTTAGATTTTCTTCTCGCCGTTCGAAGTATTTCCTATCCCTGTTGTTGAGAAAGATCACTTTCAGAGGGTCAGAGGGCGTACAACTTGGACCGAAAGTTGCCCCCGCTAATTTCACCTTTTTGGTGGATAATTATCGATCACACCTCCCACCCCCACGATGGCGCCTCCCTCTCGCAAAGAATCCGAAGCTCAGGTACGATCCTGGGGCTTCTCTCACGTCTTTTCATGGGCTGATGGCCCGTATGCTTCTCTATTCCTTTTCTCATCAACTCTCATCTTTCCCCCCTCCCTGAAATCATAGCTGATAAGCACTGGCGCAGAAACGCACATTACCCTCCCCACTCCCATCACTGCCTTACGACCCATCTGATCCGCCGAGGTACACTTACAATTACGTATCCCAAAGATGAGACGCCGACCAAAGAGACGTTTGGCGTGGGCTCTAGAGTAGATGTTGAGGCCGGCAGGGTACACGAGGTTTGGATGAGTGACGAGGGATGCGAGTATATTATTGGAGAATAGAACAGAAGTGGAAGGAGAGAAGAGGCTTGAGGCCGGATGGGCAATTGCCGGCGTGAAGTGCGGAGGGAACGAATACCTCCCCGGGGATTGTACCTCGAAACGTGAAAAAGATCGTGCTTCAAGACAAACCCCGATCCTAAATACCACAGACCATGGAATAACAAATGAATTGGCCATGAGAATGCAGACCGCAGACGAGACTGCCGGAATCAACATCCCACGCATAAAAGCAAACGGATCGCTTTTCCCCGACCGGACTATGTTCCGGGGGTCATTACAACCACTTTTGTATAACGACTCCACGTCTTTTTGTACAATGCCAATGGATCACCCTCTGAAGAAAGTACAAGTTTTCAGCTCCGATGACTTCTCACATGTGTACCACTTAGATCCTTGCCGGAAATAGTGCAAGACTTCAATTCCGATCCCTGCTCGTACTGCTTTTCCCAGCGGAAGCCTGCCCCAATATCTTCCGCTTCAAGACCTCCGCCGCCCCAAGTGGCAGAGCCTGGTCGCTATACTGCGAGCACCCTGTTGAGTCACTCTCGGGATACTGTCGCGTCTTTCTCTTCTTATTACTGAAAGTCCCCAACAGGGAAGAAAGAAATCCAGAATAGTCGGAGTTGGGTGATGAGTCTGGTCGTTTGTGATAATTCCCTGCACCACCGAGACCATGACGAACGAAAGCTCTTCTATGGCGGTTCCTCGGTTGCTGGGGGGCGCAGGTAGGGATAGGGGTGCGGGTTTCAGGGAGGATACTGAAGTGGTGGAAAATGAAGATGTCGTCATTTCGCTTGGAGATATTGGGGAGTCTGGCTCGGGAGGTGGCTGTTCTTGAGAACGTGGAGCAACTTGGTGGTTTGGATGCGACGGCTCTGGAGAATTCGGCGGGTCATGGGTTTTTGAAGGCAGTGGTTCGGCCGGTGGTGGAGGGGAGCGCTCTTGACGCGTTGTGGGGTCTTCGGGATTCAAGGTCAACGATTCTTGCGGTGCAGGAGGAAGGTCTGGAGTTGAAGAGAGGGGTTTGGAGAGGGGAGGGGCTGGAAAGAGGGAATACTTGGGCTTTCTTGCCTCCATCGTAAGGAAATCTGGGGAGAATCTCCCCTGCAGAAGGTCAAAGCATGGACCCAAGTGAAAGAGTGGAGCGCGTGTATGGGAAATGCAAGAGGGAGAATGGGTAATGAATAATGGGTAATTGTGAAAGTGAGATGCACGCTGAAGGATATGCCCAATATATGTGGAGCGGGTGGTGACAGAGACGAGTAGTTGAGTTCAATGATAATATCATTTCATCAGCAAAAATGAAAGCGCAAGTCTTTTCTATCTTGCTCACGGGGCGCGGGCAAAGGCATGGCGTAGATTCAATTCTTCCGTTCGATTTCCCACCACCATCTCAGCCACTATGCCTATGTAAGTTTCGGAGCTCCACCACCAGATTGAAAAAAGGTCACTAAAGAATCCAAAGTCCAACAACATGTCGACTGACCAATCGGAGGCGATTAAGTATGATTAATAGAAAAACCATGTCTTCCCCAATATTTGACCTTCCAACGGAGCACCTGAGTCTAAAGTACTTTACGAGACTAAGTCGGACCATATCGGCGGGAGAGTGCAGAAGCTGTGGCTCCTTACATAATGAATATCAAATAAAGTACCTAGGCTTAAAAGTATCATTCGTGATCAATTAATTTACTTTACTTTAAAATTTAAATGACAGTAATAATGGAGACGCTGAATGGCAAATGCATTTAAGAGGAGCGGCAAAATTGAAAGCGGCCCGAAGGCAATAGCGCCCCATCGGATGCTTGCGACAAGCGCTGCGGGGTGCATGAAATGATGAAGCTATTTACTCGTACGGCCGTACTGTATGTACTCCGTACAAGTACATACGGAGGTACAGAGGTAGAGTACTTTCTTTAATCATGATACTCTATAGGCATCCTCTTGGTACGGAAGTAGACTACCCACCAACGATCCAATCAACGTCGGTCATGCAACCATCAATCACGCATGAATACTTTGATTGGTAGCTATATCCGTGCCGGACCGCTTAAAAGTTTGGAAGAATCAAATATAGACTTCTCGGCCGCACGGGTATATACATATTCCCCCTTCCTCCAAGATTGATGCATAGGGTACTTCCCGTACATCCTTCGAAACATGTCTAGGTGTGCCTAGGTAGAGAGATCCTACTCGTCCACACATCCCTGGGCTAATGGACCCTAGACTGGAGTCATGACACGAAGTATTAGCAAATATTGAAAAGACAGTCACATTGATTTCTTAGTATCCGTGCTCCACCACCGCGCCATCCGCCCAAGCCAGAGCGAAGAGATCACTATTCTCCGGGAACCCGCTCAACCTCTTTCGATATCCAATTGGAGAACAGCCTGTACGTAGCTATCAATGCTCAACGGAACATTGAAAGAGGTAGACCCGGCTGTAGGCCAAATTAAGCGGCGTGGACCTGTGGTTCATGCAGTTTGTCCGGGAGAGTTGCCGCAAATCATTCTTCTCACAGGCCAGCATGTTGTTGCTTCCTTAATTGCACCTCTTCATAGACTACTCTTTGTCGGTCTTGTTTTTTAACTCCTCTGACGAAAGCTAGCAGCCTCAAGGCGCCTGCAGGCGTAACTCCCTCACATCTTCTGGCCAAACCCACACTCTCAGGCCTCGCAATCTCGAGCGCGCGTAGCTCTTCCGTGCTAAGACCATGTATTTTCGAGTATTCCAAGTCAATTGGCAACTTTAGCTGCTCATCTCTCTCCAGAACCCTGATTGCTGCCTTCTGCTGCTCGACGTAAGGCGCATACACACTCTCAATACCCACACGAGCCCGAACACTTGGAGAATAAGACGCAATCTGAGGCACGTGCGGTACTAGAGAATCGACGGTAACCCCATTGACGCGTAAGAGCTCAGAGGCTGAGCGTGCTGTTGCGTTTTGATGGATTTGGAACCCTTTCGCGGCCCACGCAGATGAGCTCATACGAACATTTTGAAGCACTGTCTGCATTTCTTGCATTTCCGCGGCGAGAGTAGAGAAATGATCCCATCGTTCATCGCCAACGACTCCGGCAATCCGTCCTTTAGCAGTAAGCCGCAAATCAGCATTATCAGCGCGAGCACTCATTCGATACTCGCTCCGAGATGTAAACATGCGGTAAGGCTCACTAACGCCTTTAGTAATGAGGTCATCGATCATGATTCCAATGTAGCCATCGCCTCGGCCCATGGTCATTTGAGCCTTGCCCTGTGATGCAAGGCCAGCGTTGATGCCCGCAATGATGCCTTGAGAAGCCGCCTCTTCGTAGCCGGTAGTACCGTTAATTTGACCGGCCAAGTAAAGACCGGAGATCAACTTTGTCTCAAGGGTTGATCGAAGGTTACGAGGATCAACATAGTCGTACTCGACCCCGTAGCCTGGTTGTAGCATCTTGACGTCTTCGAGGCCAATTATGGTGTGGAGCATTGCATCCTGTGCAGCCGCAGGTACAGTCATAGAGATACCATTGGGATATATAACATCAGTATCAAATCCTTCGGGCTCGAGCCATATCTTGTGACTATCTCTGTTCCCAAACCGGATGACTTTTGACTCAAGAGATGGGCAATATCGGGGTCCCTTGACAGTTTCTCGTATATGGATACTCTGGTCCAGGTTGTCTTGAATGATCTTGTGAGTCGCCGTGTTAGTCTGTGTTCCGTAACAATGGAGTTGATCTTGAACGGTGACTGCATCATTGAGGTATGAGAATGGTACAGGGGGATCCTCGCCAGGCTGAACATCCAGTCGGGAGAAGTCTATGGTTTTTTTGTCGAGTCGAGGGGGTGTGCCTGTTTTCAGTCTGCCCAATTGGAACCCTGCGTCTCGCAAAGATTTGCTGAGCCCAAACGTAGCTGCCTCGCCCATCCGTCCACTGGGGAACACTTCCAAACCGATATGAATCTCTCCTCCAAGAAAAGTGCCTGTCGTGATGACAACTTTCTGGCAATCGAGCACGTCACCAGATTCGAGCCTGACGCCCACGATCCTCTGGTTAGCGCCATCCGCAGATGGCGCAGTCACGATGTCCGCCACCTTTCCCTCCAAGACACCCAAGCCCGGCGTGGCCAGTATCTCCGCCTTCATCTCTCTCTTGTAGATCTCTCGATCAATTTGTGCCCTCGGTCCCCAGACAGCCGGGCCCTTTTTTCTGTTGAGGACTCTGAAGTGAACCCCTGCCTTGTCGACAATACGGCCGCATAGTCCATCCAATGCGTCGATCTCGCGTATCATCGTACCCTTTCCAATACCACCAAATGAAGGATTGCAGGAGCAGACACCCAAGTTTGACAAGGACGGAGTCACCAGGGCCGTTCGTGCGCCTGATCGAGCTGCGGCGGCGGATGCTTCCGTACCAGCATGACCACCTCCTATGACTACTACATCGTATGTACTAGAGGAGATCAGTATCACGTTGCGAAGCGGGTGTGAAGTGCAGCCAGATCATACGGCGTACCTGGTACGTTCGCTGATGGTGGCAAAGTCCCGTGTGGACGACATGAGCATTGACCGCACACGGGGACTGTGACCCCAGCGCAGGAGCGCCATGGGTCGAAATGGAGCGCTCATCATAGAAGGCGACAATTCGTTGAAGCGACAGAAGAATGAAAAGGGCGACAAATGACAAACCAATATTTTAACCTTTAAACTTTTCGAGGTACCGTTGGTGCCGCTACACTCAACTGGGCCTCCGCGTACACAACTCTCAACTCGCTTCTTCCTCAACAATCTGCTTGCTCCCAGCAATTTTTGTAGCTGAAGCAAACAGACTCTCCTTTGCATTCTAATCATAGGCCATACTCCAGATGACCTTGCCGTACAAAATATCAACATTGGCCAAAATTAGTATTAACCACTACGGATATAAAACAGGTCTAGTCTACTGTCCATTGCTTTCTGTTATAAGTTAGTTCAGAAGTATTAAGAATCATCTTTGACAAAATCTCGTACATGCGACACCCCCAGCACCAGTGCTTCAAGCAACCTGTCTCACTACCAAACTACCAATACATGTTCTTCATCTCTGGAACTCACATCGACCGAAAATCCCTCTTCACCTTCGCCCACACAAGTTCCCCGAACCGCATTCTCAGACCCTCTCGCCCCAGAACCCAATTTTTTCGAACTTCAGTACACCTCTAGGTTCCTTGTGGCAACTGCTGCTGGGAATCTTCGTCCTAGGAAGCTCTCGGGAAATTGATGCCCTCGCTCTCGATTCCCTGTGAGCTCAGCGTCTCGTATTCAAACATCTTTTTACGCCAAAGAAATTCATGTCAGCAGTAAGCAGCGCCTCTATAGCGACTTGGAGAAGGCTGGTGTTCGGCAAGTCACAAGGGGAAGAAACCATACGGAGAGGGACGAATCAATGACCGCCGCGAGTGATTATGACATCTTGGCTTATCTGTCTAAAGACGATTGGATGGCGCTGTATGGAGATGAGTATGGCGACAGGATCAAGGGAATGGAGCTTAATGAATGAAGAAGAGCCGCATCAGAGACCAAGTGTGCATGAAATCTCGTCAAGCTGCACATGTTCCATTGTTTGGAAATTCTTATTGCGTCAGATATCAATTCAATGCTACCTTCGACCCGCTTCCCTCTTTAGTCTCGCCGCTGCCGATGAAAGCCCAGCATCTGGCCAGCTGGAGACAGCATCCTCAACTTCTTCAAGAAATGTTGTACTATTATGGATGCTCGTAGCACCGAGGACAACCCTCACGCCGGGTGAACTAGCATTGACCTGTGCCACCATCTTGGCCTCTTCGTACGTTGCTCCTCCAACGATGAAGACTATAATATCTTGTGGCTTGTCTCTCGTTGTTCCTCCACCCTCTACGAAGGGGTATTGCTGCTCTTTCAGCCGGGCTTTGATCATGTTCTGTAATGTTGCTTCTAAGCGGGGGGAATGTTGGGTGTAGACATTTTCAACTCCTTTGAGCCCTTTGAATCTATCGCGAGCTCCAGAAAAGATCGAGGAAGATTCAAACAGATCCGAGAAACCTCCAGCGGTGGGAGCCGGTTGAAGAGATTGATGGTATGCAAGCAATCTCGATACCAAATCCACTCGGCGTACGGGAACATTGCCAGCAGCAGTGAGGAGATCTAATAGCATCGGTAGGGCATTTGACGGATGCTTCTCGTAGCGAAGGGAGTATAACGCTACAAGGCGAAGCTTGCTGTCCGTGGGGATTTGTGGTGATGAGATAAGCCGTTGTACGCTCTGAAAGATTGTCAGTCAAGGGTGACACTTGGTGGGAAAGAGTTAATGGGCCACCTTGACGTCGTTCGCATGACTATCATTGCAAGCAAGACTTTGCTCCAGCTCGCTTACATCCAGCAAGCCGTCCGCTCCAACACGCCTGCTAAGCTCTCCAACCAATGTCACATGTTTACTGACGTTACCAGACAATTTCCTGAACTCGGGAAAATCCTCAACGAATCTCTTCATGTCCGCAATAGACTCAATTGCAGCATTGCTTTTCGTCTTCGACTGGTACTGTTCCACATACTCTTTGATGTTTCCACCAAGGTCCCCAAAGTTGAGGTACATGTTTTTCTTGAAGAAGGGATCCTGGTCTTGCGACAGTACTATTTCTTTGAGTTCTGGTCGGACGTCCGGCACGTCACTCAAGTCAATTTTGCCATTGTATATTCCGAGTAGTTCGTGTACCATAGCTTGATATGTCCACTGGGTCAAGAGAGGGGTAATAGGGTCGTCTCTCCGGTCCAGTATGAGCAATATTGGAGGGGTGTCTGTTTTCCTGAAGTCGAAGAGTTGCTCTTCCTGCGTCATCTGATATCTCACTTCCGTGGCTAGCTTCTTTGCCATCAAGCTGTTCTTCTCGTACCGTATCAATGGCTTCTTCTTTAATGATAACAGGAGGGCTATCACTCCCTCGGTACATCTTTGGAGTGAATCGGGGTTCCAAATGTCGGGACTATTGCCCCAGATGCGCTGCTTTGGAAAACCGAGATCAAGATTGAGTAGGTCGGGATTCACAACGATGTAGTCCGCAAAGTATTCTTGAACAGCCTTGACTACTTCGTTGTTGTCTGCTTCGGCTAGTCTCTCCAAAGAAGATTTGCGGATAACGTTGCTAAAGTCTGCAGAACAACGTCAGATTCTAGGGAGAGTTGCTCTGAATCTTGATGTCCTTACATATTGCGTATTCGCCGTACTTTGGATTCCGAAATTCGTCAATCAAGTGTTGTATTGAGTCCGGCGACGGCCGAACGAAGCATATGCAGCGCAGATGGCGCATCTTCTCTCGAGAAGCATTATCAAGGCGACTTTGGAGATTTGTTAGCCAGAGCTCTTAACCACTACTTAGAGAACCTACTCGACAAGATATACTTGGTGGTTGAGTAGGGCAGATTGGGTTATGGCGGTGGAGACAAAGGAGATCTGTAAGGATGTCAGCTCAAATCCGTCAAACATCTATAGCCCTCGACTCGCACTGTCTCACTGTCGAGCAAGAGAATCTTCATCTTGGCGGACGAAGATGCCAAAGCCATGTCCCCAGCTGACACCATCTTTGAAATATAGCCTGAGACTGCTGAGACTACGTCCATGGTCGCAGTGGATGGTGGAAGAAGGGAGCGGTGGGTTCAAAGTCATTGGGCTACTTGGCTTAAGCTATGTGTCCGCTATAGCCTGCAAGTAGATGCTGAGTGCAGTGATGAAATCGTCGCTGAGAGAGCGTGAGGAGGAATTTGCGCCATCGAGCTTTCCAGCTTGGGTGCCTGGGGAATTGGGATGCCTTGCAGTTGCCGGCTCGCGGTACACCTGTCCGCGCTACGGCACTTGAAACCCCTGCATCCCGCTGCGCCGCTAAGGCTCGGCGCGTCGACCTCTTTTTTCCGAGGGCCGCTCGTGGGGTCACTGGGGTAGCTTGTTACTGCACGATGGGACTCTGCCAATTTTGATACAATCATTTGTGTGACTCCTTGAACAGACCATAATCTTATGTGCACCTCCTCAGATGAGGCAAACAACTCCTCCGCCTTTTATCTTTTTCCTCTGCGCTGCCCAAAATGTTGCCGTATATCAACCTTCGTGAGTTGCTGTCCAAGTCTTCTATAGATAGAGGTAGTAGGCTAATGGCAGAACAGCGTTCCAGTATGCTAGCTCTGCAACGGGTGCTTCAGTCGATGAACGTGAGAATATTGCCATATGCTGCCTTCTTAAGTTCACAGTTCCTGTTGGCTAAATGATTGCAGTGAAGCTCATCACCTCCTTCCTCCTCTCCTATCCACTTGCTGGAGTCCTCAAGCGTATACCAGATGCAAAACCCTACCAGAAGAACTCCTTTATCATTGCGTACGCCAGAGTGTCCAGTTATCCTCACTGTCTCTGACAAGTGCCTAGGGTCTCGCTGTTCTACCTAGTCGGGCTATTCGATCTCTGGTCTGGAATCCGCACGCTATTCATAAGTTCAGCTGGGGCATACCTTATTGCTTCGTACGTGGATGGTCCTTTCATGCCATGGATAGGATTTGTATTCGTCATGGGCCATATGTCGGTCAACCATATTTCTCGTCAATTTGCCAATGCGCCTGACAAAGTTGACATCACTGGTACGTTTGCGAGGATGACACCTAGGACTGAATCCTGCTCACCGCAGAATTAGGGGCGCAAATGGTGTTGGCCATGAAGGTGGGCCCTGGAGTGCCTTACAAAATGCTTAGTATGCCAAATACTTACCACGAATAGCTCACGGCCTTTTGCTGGAATGTACAAGATGGCCGGCTGCCGCAGAACGATCTTGCAGACTTTCAGCTCGAAAGAGCCCTACCTCAGCTTCCAAATCTCCTCGACTTCGCTGGCTATGTCGTACGTTCACAACTTCTGTGCAAGGGAATATGGGTATATCTCTAATCAAATCAAGCTCTTCTTTCCCTCCCTATTCGCCGGTCCTTCGTTCGATTTTGTCGACTATCGACGATGGATTGAAACTACCATGTTTGAGATACCAGCAGGGACAGATCCATCAGCAGCACCGAAAACACACAAGAAGCGAAAGATCCCTAGCAGTAGTACTCCAGCTACCATCAAAGCCGTGATTGGGCTCGTGTGGATCCTCTTGTTCCTCAAGTTTGCTGTTTGGTACAATAGCAATCTTGTCCTTGGAGACCAGTACATGGAGTATGGCTTCTTGAGACGGGTCTGGATTTTGGAGATGCTAGGCTTCTCCACTCGCATGAAATACTACGGTGTGTGGTATCTTACCGAAGGCGCATGCATTCTCTCGGGTTTGGGCTACAACGGCGTGAACCCAAAAACGAACAAAGTAGACTGGAATCGTTTACAAAATGTGAACCCTTGGGGGATCGAGTCAGCACAAAACTCGCGCGCCTACCTCGAAAACTGGAACATGAACACCAATCACTGGCTACGAAATTATATGTATCTGAGGGTGACTCCCAAAGGGAAAAAGCCGGGTTTTCGAGCCAGTCTGGCCACATTCGTAACCAGCGCTTTCTGGCACGGCTTCTACCCAGGATACTACCTAACATTCATTCTGGCGGCGTTTCTGCAGACGATTGCTAAAAGTAAGTTTCGGAGCCAGCGCCATGCACATTCTATCCATGGTTATCATCTATTTCTCAAGTTTCATGCTTCTGGCCGCCATGGATACCTGCTTGATCTGTCCTTTCGTCAACCATGAGCTTTCACGGTCTGCTAACCCTGTACCTAGATTTTCGGCGCCACATTCGGCCATTCTTTCTCACTCCTGACGGGCAACGTCCGACGCCATACAAGATATATTACGATGTCCTCTCCTATCTTGCTACTCAAACGGCCTTTTGCTTTACCACGGTGCCGTTCGTTCTCCTCACCCTTCCGGACTCCCTCCTCGTCTGGATCCGCGTCTATTTATATACCGTCCTCGGAGCGGCTGTGTCGATGGCCTTCTTTGCCTCCCCCACTAAGCCGTGGCTTATCAAAAAGCTGAGGATGAGGAATCAAAACGCGCTGCAACCGAAAGAAAAGATCGAGCATCCACTAATGGGCTTGCCAAGTGATCCAGCAGGAGACATCGACGAGGCTGTTAGTGAAATCAAAGAAGAAGTTGAAGCGAGGAGAAGAAGAGGGCAAAGCATCAGCATGCCTACTGGCGGAGACATGAAAGTTGCTGTAGAGGATAGGCTTGGACAGAAGATATAGAATCAATGTCTATAATTCAATGCCGCGCTGTCCCTCTTTGGTTCTTCTTGGTTCTTGGCGAGCGGAGACATGCAGGGACCACGAGCTCACACAATCTCGCTGCGTCTTCGTTGAAGTCGCCACGCCAATAAAATTAGCGAGGAGAACTATGCTATACCCGCGACGTCGCCGCGCAGAGACTATGCGCCTGCGCATGCAAAACTTACATTAAGATCATCTGTTCAGCTTTCGAGTCTGCGTTCATTTTGACACCCATCCCTCACTTCTTGTCGTCCTTTCACTTCTCAACCATGGCCAACTCCGTATCAATTCCCTCTCTCGCCAGCAATGCCTCCCTCTCCGTCACGCTTGGGTGTTGGGAGCAAAGTCCACCCCACGAACCCCAGATGACGCCGATTACATACGTAGAATGCAAACAGGCTATCCGTGGCATACCGATGGGCGAAAAAGCCCTCGCACCAGTTTCATTCGGCAGAGACCCTGGAACAGGCTTCACAGTACCACACACTTGGGATTACGGCAGTTGCGCCGTGGAAATCGACGTTTTGCGAGAGGCCGACAAGGAGAAGTCAACTTTCGCGGCTATCTTCAAGAGGGCGTTCGACATTGCGGTTGAGTGCGTTGTGAAACCGCCGCATTTGGGAGGAAGAGGGTTGGTGGGGGAGAACGAGCAGCTCAAGGTTTGGATATATGGGGTTGATCCGAAGGTGTCTTCGCCGGGCCTGGCAGAATCCAATCTCAGCGTCTGGGTAGATGCGTCTTGAGATACTGTCCCGATGCTTGTGCGATTGGGCTACAATGAAGGTGGCCCACGTATCGCCTCTTGTCTTCATACAGTTGTGTGATGGAATTTTCAGCCCCTCAATAGCCTTACACCCCAGCCGATACTATCATGGTATTTCTACGTTTATGAAAACACTAGGATTTGAGAATCCTGAACCCTCTTGCTCCCTCTAGATCGTGCACCCCTGACAACCCGATCCGGCCTGTCCACGTGTTAGAGGACATGCGTAGATCACATGAACCTAGACTGTGAACATTGTTGACATCAGGGTAGCATACAGGTTGAAGGCCAAACTTCTGGCTAGAAACGATTGATCGTTGAACTTGCACTGGAAGTCACTGTCTCGCGAATTCCCAGGTATCGGTCACGGTAGCTACCACGTCTGGTAGATGAGAGATACTCACTGGCTGCTTTGCTGGCGAGATATACATCTAGCGAAGGGAATGGGGACATTGCCACTTGCAGTCGACAGAGCACCCATTCTTGGCACAGAGTCCGCGCAAGCACAGGCACTAGGTAAGCTGGAACGTAGGTGGAAGACATTAATAATCTATTAGCTACATGGCACGTGTCGCTGAAACGCTAGAAAGTGATCACCCTGAAGTGAAGAGTGCAATTCATATCCACACGCTCGCTCATCGCTGCGTATACTCCGTGCTAGATGCAACGGCACCTATACAGATCTCATGATGAATATTAGCATGAGGAAAGCTCTATGTGTGCAACCATACAAGCTAAGCTGGCGTCAAATTATCCGTTCGTAAGTTTTTGAAAGTCGTAAATAGGTCGTTGGCGCGTCATCTCCGTCCGCTTAATTGGCAGCAACCGCTACGAGAGCGATAATAGCAACGATGATTAGCACTCCGAATCCGGACATGACACGATTAATGTTCCGCCACCATCTCGCATTCTCGTACCGCGCCTCATCAACAGCTCCCAGCTGCTTCTCAAGATCTTGAAGCATCTGGGGTTGGCGATTTACATCTTTTCCTTTTGCGCTGATAACCGCCGGCCTTGGAGGCAGCGGTAGGAAGGCTGCTATGAACCATGCTTTTGGAAGGGTCAGCAATCTATATATTTGTTCACGGGAACGGTCCGACTTACCTGGCGGAAAGATAAAGCCAACGGCAAAGAGTAATATTTGGGCCGTCCTTTTACTCGGCGCATTTCCCTCAGCTTGTTCATCCAAACTTGGGGCCTGGAATATGGTTCGCCGTGTGCTAAGAGAAGCTCTGTTATGCCACAGATGCGGAGACCAGTTTGATGATGGTCTTTGCCGCGAAGGACCTCTGACCTCGGCCAGATCGAGTCCTCCGTGTCGTACCCGTCCAATCATTAAGGAACTTCGTCGTCGTTGATCATCCGCATCCTTAGCGCGGGTCCGAGGCCGGAACATGTTTAGCGAAATATTCTCTGTCGATGTCGAAGGACGTCTGTCGGAGCGATCCTTCGATGTCGAAGTAGCAGATAAGGGCCGGGCATAGTAAGCTCTGTCCGTCAAAGTTAGCAGATGTTCAGGCGCAGACTCAGACCTTTGTGCAAAGTCTTACTTGGCCCAAGCTGGGATGCTATCTCGAAAGAAACTGGCTTTAGATCCACGCTTGGTAACTACGCTGTATCGATTGTCTCCCGACGCAACGCCCAAGTACTCCGAGCCCCTTGACCCTGGTATTGGCGGTAGCGGGGTCGGCAGGTCGTCCTCTAAATCCTTCACCACGCGAATAGTCGAGCCGGTAACGTCTCTTTGGAGAACAGCAGGTGGGTTTGCTAAAGAAGGCAGATTGGAGCTCTCTCGCGTTGACGGCTGACTCGGCAATGGAGGCATGTCTGAGCCTCCTCGAGGATTCATAGTCGTGAAGGAAGACTTGCTCACGCGAGAGGATTCTGAAATCCATGGTGTATGACTGCTCCTTCCCTCTGACTGTGAGCCAGTCCCTTCGGATGGGACAGTAGAGAGATGCGGGTTCCAACGGTCTTGGTTGCGCTCCAATGTCCGCGATGGTCGTCGAGCTGTAGAATTTGGCGGCTCGACCCTATAAAACATCGAAGTCAGCGTGTCTCTTTGATCAACAAGCCGCTACACTTTTAAGCTGCTCGAGCCTACAATGCCATAAACTTTTGCCTTAACTTTGAGGTATGTGCCAATTCTCATGCTACGCAAGCCTAAAATGTCAAAAAACCATGGTTGGAACGCCCCGGAGTCTATCAGACTCTATGCTGGAAGCCTAAAATCCCCCCAAAACATGGATTCGATCAGACAGAAACCTGGTTTGTGACAGATATCTATGGAGCAAGATGCTCCTAAGAACCATTTTCGCAACCCAAATCACGACAATCAACCAAAAAGAGATAATTCACAAATGTACATACCACGACGCAGAAGCCGATGGTGGCCTTATGACAGGATATTGGAGATTCAACGAGTTTTGGCCAGATGCATGCAGATTTGCGTACAAGGGGACAGAAGAAATCCGCCGTTCATGAGGCATTGCGTAATTGGGTGAGACTGGCGAGCTCGGTGATATCGGAGAAACTGGTGAACTACTACCACCCGTGTCCCTGGTGACTGGCTTCTGTGGGGTTGATATAGATAGATTAGATTTCGAGGAACCTGGTCGAGCCGTGTTCGGGAACGCGGAATAAGAGGCACGTCCACGTCCATCTCGGGTCCTTTTCACAATGACAGTCCCGGTGGAATTCGAAGACGAGAGGGACGCATCAGAGTCCTTTGAAACAGGTTGGTGGGGAGCATCCATTAGGTTCGCCGTCCCATACAATTCGGAGCTCTCGAGTGCGGGAGAAATGCTAGGGAGCTGCACAATGTCGTCGGACACTCGACCAGTACTACTGTCCATACCCTCATCCATTGCAAGGAAGCTTGTACTTGTATCGGGCCCTGGTGTAGTCCCCTGCGCGGCAGTATAGAAGGGATCTTTGGTATCAGCGCTTCCGCTTCGACGCTGTAAATATGATGTTGTCGTGTCCAATGGGTCCTCAACATTATCTTTTGTTTCTCTTTGAGGTTTCCGGTCATTCGGAACATAGACTCCAGGTGCAAACGTCGATCCCGGTCCGTCGTACACTTTAGGCGAGAGGATGTGGGAAGGCTTGGTCGGAAAGGGACTGCTTGCATATATTTGCGCCTGAGGGTCCCCAATGATGCGAAGTGTGGGTGATGCTCTTTCATTGGTATGGGAATCGGATCGCTCGTGGAGTGCTGCCCGTCGGGGCGGAGAGCCCTTGGAAGGGCGTAGAGGGAGATTCATGCTGGATGACAGATTGCATAACGTCGGTACTTTGATGACGGATTCGCCTTTTATAGACTGATCGCTGGTGAATTCGACTCGTTACAGATGGTGGGAAATGATGGGTTGGTAAGTCCGAGGAAAGTAGATGAATAGTAGCGGATCGAAATGGAGGAAAAGGAGTGACTGGGCAAGAGAGAAAAGAAGACGACGAAAATGAATGTGGTGTAAAAATCAAATGATATACATAATGAATGAAAGGAAGGAAAAGGACAAGGGTGAAGTTGGTGTAAAAGATGAAGAGGAAGATGAAAATGAAGATGATGCTGGGGGAGGTCGTTATGTCTTGTTGCTTCAGGGGTCGAGCCTCGGTGGGATGCTCCTTAGCGTCCGGCGTCAGGTACGACGTAGGATTTCAGGAATAGTACTTGGGTACCTATGGAACCGTTCGTTTGGCCCACTTTGAAGCCAGAAATCGATGCTTTTGCTCTCCGAATACAGAGGGAAAAAGGCAGAAAAAAAGGAAGAAAAAAAAGGACAGGAGAATATGAAATGAATAGGCAGATTAGCAACGTTGGAAGAGAAAAGGGAAGCAACTGGGTCTATATTATTCCGTCAGGTTAGCATTTTTAAGCGACAGCGAAGCTGAACATGCTTGATGATCAATTTCCCACCTTCCCTCGGTTGGCTCAGGCTCAATCTTATGGATTAAAATAAAGTAAAGTACTCTACACGTAAAAGGTAAAAGTAAGATAAATCTGTCACGTCTAAAAGGTGCGACGCGTTAAGTGCTTTTCTTCCCCTTTCTATTCTTAGCTTGTTTCAATTTTAAAATCTCCTGCCACTGACGCCCCCCATATGCCGAGTATGCCTGCCAACCGGCTAAATTTCGGCAAAATTCTTTCTCTTTCTGTGTGGGATAATTGATAATTGCATCTCCCTCTCCGTCACGCGGCTTACGAGCCTTGGCTTGGAAAGTCGTCTCATGATAAGTGTATCTAGAAATTCCGAAGAAAAATTACGCAGGCCATTCTGACGACGCAAAGCACCATCCTCTCAGACCATAGTCAAGGTCTCCAGACGAAACGGTGATGCTTTTTCCACTCTGTTAGACGCTGACATGGCGCCTACATCTTTCTACCAAAGGCTCTCAAACTACGTTAGAGAATCAGGTACGTAGATCAGTGTTACAGTCATGCAAATCTGGGACTTGGTTTCAATGTCGGCTACTCGTACTTGACTGTATTAGAACTGACCTTAGAGACTAGACAAAGTTGAGCCGCCAATGCTCTCCGCCAGTGCTGCTGCTGCGCTTTCTGTAGGTTGCGTTGCCGTCTGAGCACTTTTCGCTGCGATTTGTATATTGTCTCATGTATTTAGAAGGCGTTACTTCCCTGGGGACATTAATTCAATCTAATGATTTGTGTTCCTTCGGATAGGTAGCCTACACCGTCCTCTACGTCTTGCCTTTCTATCTCTCTTCAACCACCCGCCCGTCACCTACCCTCTCTCGCGATGCTCCTTCCGTCATTCGAGCGCGCATCCGCTTTGTCACAGGATCCGTCTTCATCTGCTCCGCCCTCACAATTTACGTCATCTCTACGCGAGCAGAGGTGTCATACTCGGAAATAATTCACCTACTCGGCTGGTATCCTTTCTCTCCCCTCGATATCCCCAAAGTCTTATCTCTCACCGCACTTCTCTTCGCTGGGCCCCTCTTCGAAAAGGGCGTCATCGAATCCGGGTGGCGACATTGGGCCAAAGGACGAGACTTACACGAAACCTTGAGCAGTTGGATCGGATGGCGCAATTACATCGCCGGTCCGTTCACAGAGGAAGTGCTGTTTCGCTCTCTTTTACTGTCTCTGCACCTACTGATTCGGCCCCCTTCTTCCCAAACCATTCTCATATTCGTGACCCCACTATACTTTGGCATAGCGCACATCCACCATTTCTATGAGTACACCCTCACACACCCTTTCACTCCGCTGCCACCGGCGCTGTTGAGAAGCATTGTGCAGTTTGGGTATACGACTGTGTTTGGGTGGTATGCCGCGTTTTTGTTGCTGAGAACCGGCAACCTATGGGGTGTCGTGGTCGTGCACGGCTTTTGCAATTGGGTGGGTCTGCCACGGGTGTGGGGAAGGGTAGGCGGTGTAGTCATCGACGGTGGGGTTGTAGGAGGCCCGGTCCGAGGAAAGGAGGATGAGGATCGAAGAGATGAGGGTGCGCAGAAGCTGGGACCTGCGTGGACAGCGGCGTATTACATCATCTTAGTTGCAGGAGTGGTGGCATGGTGGAAGGCTCTATGGGTTCTGTCGGAGTCGGAGCGAGAGCTGATGAAGATTGGGTGATCAACCCTGATTGCGGCCTGGAACAAGTTGTGCTGTAACACATCATAGTTGGTAGATATTGCCTTCAGCAAATATTTCGCGCCAGACGCCCGCTCTGCTTCAGTATCTTCCGCATGAAGTCCGGCAACCTCGGCCCTATGCATCTCTCGCCGACTTTGGCCCGGCGCCCTTTACGGTGGCACAAACAAGCCCGGCTTCATGTTAATCTTACATAGCTTCGCGACACAACCCCACAGCTGTACCAACGTTTGCATGCCCTCCAGCACCCTCATATGACAGAATCCAATTTCCCGTATAAACTCCAACCTAGCATGCTCACTCAAGCCAGGCATCGTCTTCGTAACTCTAAACATACTGCTCACAATGTCATGACTGGAATATCCCAGGTCCCACAGCTCTTTTAAACCTTCCACCGCTGATTCGATGCGCGTCTCCCAACACGCTTTGATAACCGCTTGCACTTTGACTGGATGTGGAGCGTCGACAACACGGAAGACGTTCTCGCCCGACACAAATCCGAAGCCTGCAAAAGTAGACTGGAGGTTGTTGATAGCTTGTCGCATGTCACCCTCGGCCGAAAAAATGAGCGCAGCGATTCCATCGTCAGAATATTCTACCTTTTCAGCTTCACAAATCTGCACCAGGCGAGAGACGACTTGTGCATCTGTCAAGCGGGCGTAGCGGAGGATGGCACAGCGGGATTGAAGGGGCTCGATGATCTTGTTGGAGGCATTGCACGCGAACGCGAAGCGGGTGGTCGAGGAGTAGATTTCCATCGTACGGCGAAGAGCTTGCTGGGCGCCAGATGTCATGCTGTCGGCTTCATCGAGGATGACCAGTTTTTGTCGGCCTAGCGGTAGAGTCACTTTCTTCTGAGCGAAGCCTTTAATGCGATTACGGACGACGTCGATACCTTGATGTCGATGTCAGTGTCAGCTTGAGGGATAATTTAGTTTAGATAGACCTTGGCCGCATACCGCGCTCGTCACTGGCATTCAACTCTAGGACTGCTTCTTTGTACGAGTCTCCGAGCAATTGCCGGGCAAGACAGAGGATCGAGGTGGTTTTGCCAATACCGGGCATGCCAGAAATGATAACGTGCGGCATGTTTCCATCCTTGGCAATGATCTTGAGACGCTCAATAGTTTCCGTGTTGCCCACTATGTCGTCTAAGTATACCGGTCTGTATTTCTCAACCCTGACTCGGAATTAGCACGGGCGGAAGAAATGGCGATGGAGAATACCATGGCAGATCATATGATGCACCACCGACACCGTTAACATTGGCTTTGATGCCATTCTTCGCAGCAGCAGCTGATGACTCTGCCTTTGCCATTGCGGCTTTGTGAGGACGCGCTTTGAACGCGCTTGAAAGGAATCTAGAATAGGGGACGTAAGTAGTTAGATCTCTCGGTTGCCAAGGCGGGAATTTTCAGCCACTCCCGAAGAACAAGCATTTTGCCGCTCGTTCAATCAAGTGGCTTCAGTTGCGTGTCGCCGGTCGGTTTGGCTTCTCGAGAGCTCAGAAGTACAAGTAGAACGTGTACAATGTTTCGGCTGCTGGTCAAGATTATCGGGGATTTCCCCTGCTTGGTCTATTAGTCTTGCCTCTCCAAATGATTTGACATCTTCTTGGTTTCGGTCTCGGAGGGAAGAAAGGAAAGTAGGGAAGAAAGGAAGAAAGCGCGTCGTCATCTAATACGTAAGGCACTTCGAGATGATGGTCGATGGATGCTGCCCTTCGCCACAGTGACGCCGCAATGAACCAATGAACGATATTCCCATCTGCTCGGTCACTCTCTTGCATGCAGTCCCGCAGTCCCCGCTGAGTAAAGTAGGTACTTGATTTCTCACATTTCACAATATTTGCCGCGTCAGCGTGGGCATGTCTAAGGCTATGTCTTCATTTCAATAAACCAAAACACTTTTCTTCTCCCTCCTTGCCCACTAATCCTTCCTTTGAAAATGATTGATTGCTCTTCTTTCTTTGACACACAGTCCTAAATTACATTACCATCCCACAGTCAGACCATGAGAAGCTGTTTCTTTACTGCTCTGGCGGTAGGATTCTTAGCTAGCAGCTCAGCAGCCATTCATCTCTTCCAACGGGATGCGTCACCGGCGGTTGTAAGACTGGGTACATACAGGAAGGCAGTACAGGATCCTGTTAAAAGAGATGGGCTACGCCGAAGACAGACGCTTACCGAGACACTTGACAATGGGGTAAGCTCGCATTCTCGCATGCATGCTGTCAGGGAGAGTGGCAGTCTTCAGCGCTGGTATCGCCCGTCCTGTGGCATAGTCGGGTTGGAAGCCCAAGCCAGGCGCTGGATGACTTCTCTTCCACGCTGGTAATTCAGTATCTTAGGGGCGCATACCGCTACAGCTTCCACTTCTTCTCACCGCTTGCCTGCTCGTATTTCAGATGTTTGTTGGCTGACTTCGTTGAATTAGGAAACACTTTACTACGCCAACGTCAGCCTAGGGACGCCAGCCCAGAGTTTAAGGCTACATATCGACACTGGGAGCAGCGACTTGTGGGCGAATGTAAAATCGTCTGAGATTTGCACAGACCGAGGGAGTCCTTGTTCCGCAGGAGGAACTTATGATGCCAACTCGTCAAGTACCTACAAATTCGTGAACAGCGACTTTAATGTCTCTTATGTCGATGGCTCTGGAGCCGCAGGCGATTACGCTACCGATACAATTAGCATTGGAGGACAGACTTTGACTAGCCTACAATTTGGCATTGGCTATCAGTCAACATCAACGGATGGTATTCTGGGAGTTGGATATACCGCAGACGAAGCACAAGTCAATGCGGCCAACCTGAAGTCCTACCCAAACCTCCCTCAAGCCATGGCTAACGCTGGTCTGATCAAATCGAACGCATATTCTTTGTACCTAGATGATCTCGAAGCCAATACCGGGTCAATCATTTTTGGTGGTGTGGACACAGACAAGTACACAGGTCAACTCCAGACACTGCCCATACAGAAAGAATTCGACGAGTATGCGGAAATCATCATCACTTTGAGCGGCGTGAGCATTATCAATGGAGGTAGAACCCAGAACTTGAACACCGACCTTCCCACTGCCGTCATTCTGGACAGTGGGAGCAGTTTGACATACCTACCAAATGACCTTACGAGTGCAATCTACACTGCTTTGGATGTCCAATATAGTCAACAAGACGGGGCTGCATTTGTGAGCTGCGACCTTGCCAGCGAGAATGTCACCCTGGACTTTACATTCACGTCCCCAATAATCTCAATTCCCGTCAGGGAGCTGGTCCCTGAGCGTTTCCAGTGCCGAAGAGAGCCGGGAAACCCCAAACTCTGGCGACAATGGTGAGGGCTCGTATGGTTTCAGTGGCAGCGACGAAAACATCTGTACGTGTTTTCGGAGTTCATATTTCCTCTTCTAGACCAGATCTTGAGCCTTGAGACAGGTCTTGAGAATGTCTACTCTGTAGACATTTTCCAAGGCTCAACGTACCCTCTCGGATAGGCAATGCTGACTCGGAAACTATAATATAGGCCTCTTCGGTGTTGCTCCATCCCAAGGGTCAACATCCGTTCTAGGCGACACTTTCCTCCGCTCGGCTTACGTAGTTTATGATCTTGCGAATAATGAGATATCCCTTGCGCAGACTGATTTCAACTCGACGACTAGCCACGTTTTGGAGATTGGTACAGGTACCGCCAGCGTACCAGACGCCACGCCAGTAACCAGCGCTATCGAAGCGTCCGTTTCGCAATCTGGAGGTGCCAGAATCGCGGGTGTGTCTGGCACAGTGACGGGAGGGTCGATACCGACTGGGAGGAGTGGCGCTGTTTCTTCGCATGTACCGTACAAGATTCTTGGTGGGGCTGCTGGCCTTTGGGCAGCTCTTGCCTGTACATGATCTTTCCTTTATTGCGTCAAGTCGTCCATGTGACGGAGCATGACCAGTTTAGTTCACAGTGACATCAAGAAGGCGTCGGACTCCAGCATTTACACGGGACTTGGGCACATCGTTTAAGCCATTAGGAGATGTACATAGAATGAAATCATGCGAACAAGAACACAAACTCCAACCATTAAGATTACCAAAAGTCCCCGGTCTTAGCGGACTTTCTGTCCTCATTGCGCATTCTGCCAAGACGTGGGAAAAGGTACGACCGTACGAGACCCCGAAATCACCCCCTAGCAGGTCTAGAGTAACCGCCGCCCTATCTCACTTGCTAGGTTCTGTCATGTCTTGTATTGCCAAGGAATCCCACCAACCCAAGTCCTCTCCATTCAGACAAGAAAGTTGTCAAACTCCTGCCTGCTGACCATGTCGCGCTCATCAAAAATTCAAAAAACGATTGCTAGACAAGAGGAGAAGTAATCCACCAATCTCCTAAAGCACCGATGCCGTTGTCCTACGTCAGGCCTCTCATTTCCATGCTGACGTTCTTGCTATCACAGGATCTCAGAAGGCAATTACTATGAAGCACATCAGCAACTGCGAGTAGTTGCTTCCCGTTACGTCAAGTCTTCCGACTGGGACTCAGCTACCGATATCCTCTATGGTGGCGCATTGGCTTTGCTGAAGGCGGGACAAGGTGGCAGCGGCGGGGACCTGGGATGTTTCCTCGTTGAGGTGCTAGGGAAGGCAGAGAAGGGATGCGGCACTGGCGAGAAAGGTGCGTGCGAGTTTGATGTTCTAGAGGCAACGAAGCAAGAAAGACGGGGAGTCCGGCGGTTGGAAGATTAGAGAACCTCTTACAAGGACTATGGAGTGCTGATTTACGGGCGTGATACAGGGAAGCTGTTAACGCTGTTGAGAGCGTTCCCACCCAATGAACCTACGAAGAAGAGATTCGTGTCGGAGATGGTTGCATGGAGTGGAAAGGCTGGAGACTACCCAAATGGAGATCCAGAACTGCACCATGTAGCTGGGACTTTGTTTGCAGAAGGTATAGAGTGCCTGCATGATCTCTACGTACTTTTTGGGTCTATAGTAACTCATACGTGTCTGCAGAAGGCGAGCCATACGACGCAGAGCGCCATCTCGCCCTCGGTACCAAAGACTCCGCTGAGCAGCTTGCCAAAGTTGAGTATGAATGGTACACCCAGGACGAATCCCACACCGCCGCTCTCTACGCTGCAAGAGCCGTCTTCCCCTATCTCCTGACTAGCAACCTCCGCTCCGCCAATAAGGCGTATCTCATATTCACCTCCCGCCTCAGCTCCTCCAACAGATCACTCAGCGTACAGGAAGTCAGCAGCACCTCTTCCGACATGCGCGTCTATCCCTCATTGCCTCTCCTCAATTTCCTTGGTCTTCTCTTGCTGGCGGTTCAGAGGGGTAGCTCAGATCTGTATAAGCAGTTGGCTAAGCACTATGCGCCGTATGTGAAGGAGGTTGGCACTTGGGATGATGCATTGGCGCAGATAGGCGAGATGTATTTTGGGATACGGATACCGAGGCCGGGGAATCCTTTAATGGACGTAATGGGGAGCTTGATGGGATTCGGGGGAAGCCCGAAACCAAAGCCTAGGAAGGTGGATGCTCCAGTGCCACCAGCCGTGGACTGATGTAAATAGAGCGTATTGTGGGCTTTTGAAAGAGCGATTTTGTATATGACTTGCAGAATGATATGCCAGAACGCCGTGATGTACGCAAAGTATCTTGTTACATCTCTTCAGCCGCCTGTTGATTCCTGTTCAGCTTCGAAGATCCAGTTGTCCTCGTCTAGTGAAGCTACCTTGCGCCTCAGGCTTGCATGCACCGCGTTCAAGAGCTCTGTTACCCGTTCAGATAAATCTTGCTTCAAATGTAGACTGATGATTGGGGACTGACCTGCGGGATCGTGAGGCTGTAGACTCCTATCCCTATACATCTCTAGTAGTCTGGCATCGAGTTCTGTGCGGGCGTTAGCCATCGCTTCCCTGATACCAAAGGGGACCGACCGTACTCTCTTTCTCATTGCCGGAGTCCTCCTCTTGTGCTTGGTCTTCATCTAGAGGCGGTAGAAGCGGAACCTGGACTTGGTAATTGCCATTGCGATCTTTGACTACAATGTCTGAGCTCTCGTCTTGAGAGCCTTCTTGCAGCGTTGTCGCGGATGTAGACGTTGAAGCGCTTGTTGGCCGCCTGCTGAGAGTGTGATGGAATAGACTTCGACAAACACTTGAAGTGCCAGTCGCTGCTGAGCGTGATGCTGTCGACTTCGAAGCCATCTTACTTGATTGTCCGACGTGGTACTTAGGTATTGAGGAACTATCAAACGAGCCTCAAATAGGGCTGAGCTAGTAGACGCCTGAGACGCGCAGAAGTGCTTAGTTGTGCTACTGAGTACTGATGTTATTCCCTTCTCAAGTTTCTACCAGAGTCACCTTATGAAAGGTGGGCTTTCAAAATAAGTGGTAGAGTACCTGCAGCAGTCCAACCATTTTGACTACTGAACACCTAGAGCAACTATAATTAATAAGAGATTCTGGGGGCTCGAACAATTTTCTGGGCCTTTTGCTGAACACTTATCATATATCTCGACTCGAACCCCTCGACTGTGGATGAAGGAAACTTATCACCCAACGAAATTGCCTGTCAATCTGACAAATCGCTTGACCACCAACAACCATGAGCAACTTTGCTATTCAGCCCGTGAGCAGGTTCGCGGGTTCCAGCGCAGCAATTCGGAGGCCCAAAGTGCGTTGAATGTCTTACAATTAATGTACATGGCTGAAAGCATCTAAGGAAATTGCCTATTTTTCCTACGATGACGACCACGTCTTCCATTTGGATGAGCGGTCGCTGAGATACTATTATCCCCCAAACCTCGGAGTGGACCTTTCGAAAGGGTTTGATACCTTTCAACAGCTCGATGATACGGCAGACGATCATTTAGACGGTCTCCTTAAGACCATAATAGATCTTGAACAACGGACTGGCACCAAATGCACTGCTGAAGTTGTGACATGGAGGTATGTTTACTCTAGAACAATCTTTCTTTTAGTCGGTACCATAATTTGGGCCGCAAAGCCTAGAACTGTCTTTTAGTTCATGTCTCTGCCCAAAACATTACGCTGACTCCTACCATGCTGAAGAGGAATGATGACCAAGGTTCGAATGTGTTGGCTCGGTAATCCAGAACGCATTAAACATTGACAGATCATGGCGGCGCCCTTTGACAACATGAGCGGGTGAGACACTTGTCGTGGTCCAATATGAAGGGCCTGGTCTGACTACCTAAAGTTTCGAGATGAACGCGACCAGATTCCAAGTGGGCAAGCCTAGGCAGCTGTAGCTTGAACTGTACTGGCTGACTTTTTGGCTAATGAAGGACAGCATGTAAGTTGCCCAGAGCCAGGCGCTAGCAATGCTCTAGTACCAACCATTGCAGCTTCATCGAGGAGAACCACGAGCACAAGCTCGAATCGAGGAAGCAGCAGCACGCTCAGCCCTCGCGACGTGGTGCTCCTTCACAGGATCTCATGAGTTTTTGGGGTATGTTGGCCGCTTTCCCGAAGATCTTAGCTTGCTGATCTTCTGTCCTTGAAGGCTATAAGTTTGAAACTTTGTCATTGATTCCTGATCAGTGGGATTCGACTTCGCGAGAAGTCATTGAAACCCGCGAAAACATGGTAGTAAATAATTACGCCCAATACTGCTCTGTGGTGAAAACCGGCATTGGCAAAGCAAGGATGCTCATCGGAGGCGAGGTTGATGCCTGTACGTTGCGTTATTTCCCAGGCCTACAGCCATCGTAACCACTTGCTTACAGCTGCTCAGTATGGGACTGCAAGCCGGACAACAGGGATGATCCCATCAACTGGGTAGAATTGAAGACCTCGGCAGAGATCGCAAACGACAAGGATACGCTCAAATACGAACGCAAACTACTAAAATTTTGGATACAGTCGTTCTTACTTGGAGTTCCCAAGATTATTGTGGGTTTCCGCAGTCAAAATGGGATCTTGCAAAGATTTGAAGAGCTAGAAACCAAGAACATTCCGGGAATGGTCAAACGAGGCAAAGGAATATGGGATGGTAATCTTTGCATCAACTTCACAGCCGCATTTCTCGACTGTGAGAGCTTTACGGCCTGCGATTTGGTACCAACTAATGCTTGCTCAGGGCTAAAACAAACAATCACAACTGATGGTGTTTGGCGAATAAGGCGAAGGGAGAGGTCCCCAGTGATTGAGATATTCAGGAATGAGGAATCCGGTTGTGGCGATATTCTCTCCCCAGAATTCATTGAATGGCGAAACAGTAGGGAAGCGAATGAGGCAGACGTAGAAGCAGCAAAAACCAGGCTGATAGAGTCAATCAACCAAGAGACCTGTCAATTATAGCCATTGCTAGGTATTCTGTACTACAAGATACTGACAATGACAGGTTTTCCGGATGGCCGTATCACCGCTCGATCCAGGAGTGTCGAGCAGTCACGGAGTGTCAAGAAGGTTGGATACACACTCCGAGAGATCGTTCCCATCGTAAGAGACGGTACTTCGACGGTCTCAGTTAAATCACAATTATGTCAAACTGTAACCCAACCCATCCTTAAAAATCCCCTTGATGCAGTCAAACGTCAGTGCAAGATCCCATTGCAAAATAGCCCTTTCAGCTCTTTTACTTTTTGAAAGGGCTATTCTGCTTTTCCTTGGGCGGCATAAGAGTCGAATTTTCCGATCTTGCTCCATGTCACTGATCGGTGGAAATGTATATGAGTGACCTGGCCTCGAATCTTGCAATCAGAAGCTGTCGTATTCAGTAGACATTTAGCCGATTAGTTCTGTCCACAAGAGGTATCTCTCAGCCACCGTGAAGCGTAGAAACGAAGAGGATGTTGTCATTCCTCTTCAATTCGTACTGATCCTCGCCTTCTAGTTCCCAGTCGGCGTCGTTGATCAAAACGAGGATTCCAGGCCGTCTTCACTCGTCAGCTCAACTAACTCTCACCCGCATCACTGCAAGACACGAATCCACTGACACTGTGCCGTCCATGACAAACATCTCTTTTCTTTTATCCGCCATCAGATTCTCGCACAGATATCGTACAAGGAAGGCCAGATTTGCTGATTGGCCATTCTCATCGGTGCTTGGTAGGGACACCAGGTGCTTTCGCTGATCCGAGAAAAGTGATTCAAGGCCACCTCTACGGTTGATTAAAAATGGTTAATTTGAGGGCAAGCTTTAGAGATCTAATGTGACTGACGTAAACTCTACGATGACCGGGACCTTTGCTCCATCACACGACTTAGTATCCATCGCCGTAGGCGGAGTACAAATAGCACGACGTGTTGACCGTTCGACACTGATGGGAAACATTTATATTTTACAAAGGTCGCAGCGGCCTTTTTTGCCTTCTATTGCTAAGCGCGGCAAGCGAGCGTCTGGAGATGTATCAAAGAGAAGAGCCAGTCATTCTGTGTCTTTTCGATAAGTATACACTTCCCCTTTTTTTCCTTTCGAAACCTAATGGTGGACTGGACCACTGACTACCTTGCTGCTGGCGGTAATCGCCATCCGTCGGCTGCTGATTGGGATCTGGCAAGTGGACTACTTGCCTTCGGCGCAGATAGGAATGTAGCAGTTTGGTCACCGTTGGTATGGTTGATCTCTAATCGGCAAATCAAAATTGCTCACTATGCAGACAGGATGATGGCTACCAAGGCGTCAAGGCATTGTTGCATGGTCACACCGATATCGTGAACGTAGTCAGATTCTTCCCAGCCCAGGAAGCATTTTCTCAAACAATACTTAGTGGTTCTGTAGACAAGACTATCCGGGTGTGGCAAGCTAAAACAGCATCTCCTACCGGATTTGATCTAGCAGCTACTTTAGAGGGCCATGAGAGCTCTATAAACTGCCTTGCAGTCTTCAAAGGAACAGATATCTTCGCTTCAGGATCTGCTGATGCAACAATCAGAATCTGGCGTATTGAAAGCCTAGGGTATGGAATGAGTGTGAAAAAACTGCAGACAATCCAAACAAAGCCCCGATTTTTTCCACTTGCACTGGCACTGCACTCGTTAGGTGCGGCAGAAGACCTCGTACTTGCTGCCGCCGGTACCAAGAGCATTGTGCAGATCTACGTGGCGTCGACCGATAGCCAATTTTTCCATCAAGTCACCCTGCCCGGCCATGAAGGCTGGATACGATCTTTGAGTATCACACAGGAGAGCGACGTGGCGGACAGCGATCTCCTTCTGGCGTCCGCAAGTCAAGACAAGTATATCAGGCTGTGGCGTATAATACAAGAGAGACCGAAAGACAATTTTGAAAGCGTATCAGCTTCCGGGAATCTCGAAAAATTCCTGTCTAACAAGGCACACAAACTCAAAACTTCACAGAATTCATACTCAGTCTCATTTGAGGCTTTACTCTTGGGTCACGAAGACTGGATATACACTATCTCCTGGCGTCTTGGTGAAGAGCGTCTTCAGCTGCTTTCTGCGTCTGCGGATAACTCTCTAGCAATCTGGGAATCCGAACAGAGTTCAGGAGTGTGGGTGTGTACTACTCGACTGGGTGAGATAAGTGCGCAGAAAGGATCTACCACAGCAACTGGAAGTACGGGTGGCTTCTACATCGGCCTCTGGTCACCGAAAGGAGATAAGCTAATAAGCCTTGGACGGACGGGGAGTTGGAGGCTGTGGAACTACGTTTTGGACCAGGATCGCTGGCTGCAAGGAATTGGCATTAGTGGACACACAAAAGCGGTAGCGGACGTGGCCTGGTCGAAGGATGGCTCCTATCTCTTTTCCACTGGATCGGATCAGACTACACGACTGCATGCGGCGTGGAAGCGTGGAAGGAAATGTTCTTGGCATGAGATGGCAAGGCCACAAATTCACGGCTACTGCTTGAACTGCATAGATTCAAACGGTCAAATCGAGTTCATCTCTGGAGCTGATGAAAAGCTCCTTCGCGTATTCGAAGAACCTAGAGCGACAGCCGATCTACTTGACGTTCTGTGCGGTATCCACACCAACGTTGAGCAAACTTTGCCAGATGCTGCAAACATTCCGGTCCTGGGACTGTCGAACAAGGCAATTGAAAGTGCCGCAGATGAAGTGCCTAATACCAATGGGCATGCCGACGCAGAGAATCTAACATCTACAGCACATGGCCAGACGCTCAACGAAGATCATCCACCTCTGGAGGATCAGCTGGCAAGACATACGCTCTGGCCAGAGAAAGAGAAGCTTTATGGACACGGCTATGAGATTTCTGCTGTCGCATCCAGTCATGATGGCACGGTGGTTGCTACGTCTTGTCGAGCAAGCTCATTAGAACATGCAGTAATACGCCTTTACACGACCAAAGACTGGCGTGAGGTAAGGCCATCATTGACTGCTCATTCGCTAACGGTTACTGCTTTGTGCTTCTCAAGCGACGACCGGTATCTCATCAGCGTTGGCCGAGACAGGCAGTGGGCGGTATTCGAGAGAGATTGTGTCCGACCTGAAGAGTACTTGTTGAAGCATTCAAATCCCAAAGGCCATTCAAGGATGATACTTGATGCTTGTTGGGCTCCTCTAGAAGCTGGGAGGGTGTTCGCTACGGCTGGTAGAGACAGAACGGTCAAGATATGGAGTATAAGCGTAACGGGTACAGAATGCACGACAACGATAACAGCAGCTTCTTCTGTAACGGCGGTCGACATATCTTCTCGGTTTTCGCAAAACAACATGGTGATAGCAATTGGGACCGAGACGGGTAACATCACTCTCCACATATTGAAGCTTCCTAATTGGACGGTGAAGCAAAAGTTCGAGCTTGATAACTCGTAAGCAACTTGTGGCATTTGCTGCGGCTGTTTCGACATTTTGAATAACAAATTGGACAGTCTACAACCCTCGAGATCGGTTACTCATCTTGCATGGCGACCCACCCTCAAGAATATTTCTGCGGACGAGACAAATCAGGACAAACGGCAATTGGCAGTAGCAAGCGATGACAGCTCGTTGAGGCTCTTCTCGATGTCTGGATTTGCGTAGATCAAATCTGGAAAACTTCAATCAAAAATGCATTTTGCGCCGGAATTGGATGTTTAGGCATGTTGAAATTGCCTCCCAAGGGTATAGCAGCTCAGGTCCTCTTCTCATTCCCATAACCACCTTTACCTTCCAGACTCTCGTAAGTCTTCCCCTCACTCGGTCGTCCTCCCCGTGGGCCTCTTTCTCTCAAATCATCTTTCAACCACTCCAGCACCAGTTCTCCCAATTGACTGTTCCCACTCTTTTTTATTCCACCAACGTTGAATTTCCCGACGCCACCCCATTCCTTGACTCTTCCAATGTGCATGTGCACTAGGTGCGTTGGCCAGTCGGCCAAATTGTCCAGGATATGCGTTGCATACACGATCGTGCAAGGCCTGCTCACCGTCTCCCTCTTCAAAAATCCCAGGAAATTACTCCTACTCAACAGATCCAAGTCAACTGTGATCTCGTCCAGCAACAGCACCCGCCACGGCCTCAGAAGTCCCATGGCGAGCTGCACCCTTCTCCTTTCCCCATCACTGACAGCGTGCATCCGCCATGCCAGGTCAATGTCAAGAATTTCCACCAACTCGTCCCTTCGCTCGGTGTAGTAATCGCCGCCTACGGAGGCGAGGAGAGTGGGTACGTCAATATCGGTGCGTACAATGGGGTTGAGCACCCACTCGAGACCGAGATAGGTGACGCCTTCGAGGCCAGAGGTAAATGGATCGATTCCAGCGATGCTGACTGTGCCGGTTGGGGCCATCCGTTTGCCAGAGAGCAGGCGGAGTAGTGTTGTCTTACCAGCGCCATTCGCTAGAAGAGGTCAAAGATCAGGTAAGAGACAGGATGAGGAGACAAGAGAAGGACCGTATACCGCCGATTAGTAATGTTCGACTGCCGGGCGGAAGGCTAAGAACTACGTCCCGGAGGCCAGAGGAACCATCTTGGAATGCATAGGAGAGCGACTTGACTTCTATGGAAGGCGCTTGCTCTTTCGGTATACCATTGTAGGTTCCCATTGAATGAGATAGAGAGTCAATGGAGAAGATCTCAAGACACAGACACTCTGAATGATGAGTCAAGAATGTGGTATCCGCTGAAATCAAGAGAGAGAGCAATGTTTGGGGGGGGGCGTGGTGGTAAGTTTTGGAGTGAGGATGAGTCAAAATAAATGGCAGTCCCGCCAAGGTGGGCTACGAGAACATCAAGGGCTAAGTCAACAACGCGAGGATTTGAAAACTTCCTTCTGCGCAATCAAATGTAGTTAATATTGAAATAAGCAACTTCGTAGCCAGAATAATCTTCTCAAAACGTCTTGTTGTCAGGTTCTCGTTGACAGTTCGAAGCGCCAGGACTGCCACTTATTTTGACCACCAGCCTAAGGGTTTGCCCTCATCGCTAGGACGCTGAGATAAGGAGCCAAATCCCTTTCGATGCCTCGATGCCTCGATACTCATTCTGTTTTCCACCACTGAATTGCCCTTGAGCACTTGACCAAGCCATGCTATTACTACCAGGATCTTCACCAACTCCATGCTACGAGCGACGCAACGGTGGATCACAATGTCGTCAGCTCTACCACGACCTCGTCTGGTCGCTGTAGTGGGAGCTACAGGCACAGGCAAATCTCAAGTCAGTCCTCCCCGCTGTGTTCTCATCTTTGATAATGAGTCATTTCTCAGCTTGCTGTATCATTAGCTCAACGATTCAATGGAGAGATTATCAACGGAGATGCTCTGCAGATGTATGAGGGTTTGCCAATCACTACGAATAAGCTGCCATTAGAAGAGAGGAAAGGCGTACCACACCATCTACTGGGTTGTATCAAACTAGGGGAAGAACCGTGGACGGTCAAACAATTTGTAGAGCTAGCTACTGGTGTCATTAAAGAGATTCGATCAAGGGGACGGCTCCCTATTCTGGTTGGCGGAACGCATTACTACACACAATCTCTTCTATTTAGCGATGCATTAGTCGAAGAGGAGGAGACAGGCGATGCTACACTTGAGAATCAGGCCCAGAAATGGCAATTGCTCGATGCAAGCACAGAGGAGATGCTGAAGGAACTCCGGAAGCTGGACCCAGAAATGGCCATGCGATGGCACCCTAGTGACCGAAGGAAAATTAGGCGCAGTCTTGAGATATGGTTGAAAACCGGTAAGAGAGCCTCTGAAATATACGAGCAGCAGAAGACCCAAAGTCTTGATATCGAGTCTGGTGGGTGGGATAGGAGTGCTGTGCCAATCGGGTCTGATGCCTCAGCACAATCTCATGTCCGATACGACACGCTTATCTTTTGGGTTCATGCGCCCTCAGATTCGCTCAACTTGAGGCTGGAGCACCGTGTGGATAGCATGGTCTCGCATGGCTTGTTTGAAGAGGTCACTTCCATGCAAAACTTCCATCAGGATCAGGAACGGAAAGGTGATAGTATCGATCAGAGTCGTGGTATATGGGTTGCCATTGGTTTCAAAGAATTCCTGCCGTATATCCTGGACGGAAACCGCCCGGAGAAGCTGAGGCAGGAAGGCATTGAGCGTACAAAAATCGCAACAAGACAATACGCCAAACGCCAAGTTCGGTGGATCAGGCTTCGGCTGCAGCGCGCTGTCAATGCCGCGGATCTCACGCATAACATGTTCTTGCTCGATGCAACTGACTCTTTGCGGTGGTCGGAAGCTGTAGATGCAAAAGCTCAAGACATTACGGCAGCATTTATCAACAATTTTGCGCTCCCTAGGCCTGACTCGCTATCAGATGCTGCGATGAAATTGCTTGTATCACCTGAAGAGGAGGCTAAATCTGCAAGATACTGCGAGGCTTGTGACAAAACGCTCATGTTCCATAGTCAATGGATCAATCACCTAAAGGGCAAAGGTCACCGTGCTTCAGTGAGGCCAAAGATTGACAGGAAAACATTGTACCCGAGGAACAATGGTCGCTGATAAGCGACGCACAACCCTCAATGGTCTCCTTCTCGCGTAAACAAAATGCAGCTTCTATGATTTATGCAGCTCGTCTACCTGAACGTTGTTAGGCACGGAAACGTGGCGGCTGGCAGCTGGGATGGACGTCTCAAGGAGTGCAGTGATCTTTGCTCGCTGATCCGGCACACCCGAAGCGCTGGTAGACATGCAGTACCGACCGTCCTAAGCCCTTTATGCCTGGGGAAAGGTAGGAGTTCCAGGTTGCAACGTCGCCTCAATCCTGACTCCAACATCAATCTCGAAGTGCTCTCTCGACTAGCAATTGCTTTCCCTCGCCGGGTTCAGAGGGTGTCGAGAGGCCATTACGTGGCGAGCCAGTTGCCATACGTGGGGAGCTTGTGCCAGTCCTTGGAGTGTCTAAGCCCATCGGCGTCACAGAGCCGCTAGGAGGAACGGGAATTCTGATGTCTTCGGGAGAGCTTGGGACGAAATTTTCAGGGAGTCCAGGTATCTTGATTCTCGTAGCTTCATTGTTGTAACTAGCGGGGATGATTTCGATGATTTCGTTCCTAGGGAATTGAAGGTTTGGGATATCTATAGCATTGCATGCCATTATATACCCGTAGAGCACCCTTAGGACGCTCTCATGTGCAATGATGAGCAGATCGTTCTGCTCCCTTTCGAGTTCGAGTATGACGGGCTCGAGCCTGACTGCAAGATCGTGGTACGACTGGAAGAATCAGCACAGAGCAAGCATCGATGTGGTGGGTCACTAACCTCAGCCCGCGGATATCGATGATGATATGGGTCCGCTTCATGTTTCGCTATCTCATCGGGATACTCAAGCCTGATCCGCCTCTCGGACTTTTTCTCACAAACCCCTGGATTGAGTTGACTCAGCTGAGACCTCTGACGTACTCTGTAGCCTTTTTCCTCAAGAAAGTGACCCGTCTCTATCGTTCTTTTCCTGGTCGAAGTCCATATCGTCAGCATTTTCAATGGAATGTCTGGTCCACCGCGATCGATCATAGCTTCTATATTCACAATTAGCACTGCTCTTCAAGGTAAGAGACATGGGCTAGACGAAAATCTCCAGGGTAGGACAGGATCATTTCGTTCCCCAAAACGTCTTGCGACTCCAACTGTGCTAACAAGGGAAAGACACTGCGATATTACTCACGCCTTTCTCCCTCTCGGTGATGAATGAGAGTTTCTGACATCTTCTTTGCATACTCCATTCCTTGTCCCGAAAGAGAGGCGTCTGTCTTGTAGGAATCTTCTTCTCGGGATGTGCCGGCTCTCGCAAAGTATGTATGTCTTGATTTGATGTGCAAATTTAGTAGGAAAAAGACGATCCTGCATGTATTGAGAGGTAAGCTCCCCTTCTTCAGACAATATTTGACATAAACTGTGCCAACGGCATGCAGAAACAAATCCAACAACAATTTCCTGTTTGAGTCGCTGCAATGGCTCTTGCTTTGCTCCCAAGATCGATATCTATGAAGTATAAGACACGCTGACAAACAAGCCAGTCAAACGGCGTTCTCCTGTTTGATTGGCTCACATTACCCCTGGCTTGCTCCTGAGATAAGTATCGGTGAAGCAGAAGACACACTGAACAGAAGCCATTCACCGGCATCCTCCCACTGGACTTGCTTGTTCCCGAGATGGGCATTTATGGAAGATCAAACAGCCTGAGAAATACCTTACGTACCTGTGAGAAAGGTAGCCAAAGCTACAGTTGTTAACATTGATCCTCTCGCCAGCATTGATCATTTTGATATAGTTTAGGTCAGGTTCCTCCATTGTCTCGAAATGTGGTATTTTGGCGCTCATTCTTGCAAGGTAGTGCTTGACGGCAGCGTCTGATGACCAACCAATATAGTCGGGCGAAGAAATCTTCACACTTCGCACATTTTCCTCTATAATTTTCTCATCATCGCAAGCACTTTCAATAAACAGAGTCTCCACTTCGTGCTTGGAAAATTCTTTCGCCAGGGATCTCCGGCCCTCGGAGAGCGGATTAACTGCGTCGTAAATTGCAATCTGCCCGTTCTCGTGGTTCAAGAATTCTACGCACGTATTTAGAATGGTTACTTCACGGCACGAACCCGAGTCAAAAACTGGTCTGGGGGGTAAAGTAGCATTTTGTCAGTGCAAAATAGGTTGATACGCACTGGTACAAACTTGGGAGGAATTAGTCAGAACTATACATACGGTAGATCTCATCTCGACATTTCTTGAGGATCTTTTGGCGAAGGAGGACTGTGCTTGCCGAAGCATTCACAAAAAAGTAATCTTCCGGCACATCCTTTCCATCACCAACATGCTCTCTTCTATAGTCTCCTAGGTGAAAGACCCGCGTCTTGACTCCAAGCCAGCGCAGATACCTTGCTAGAGCAACAGAAAGATGGGTCTTGCCCCTTGCTGGCAAGCCTACTGTGGCTATAATTATTCGGCCTGAATGGAAGAGACGCCCTGACTCGGTGCTATACAGTTGGGCTGGCGCCAACTCTCCAGTCTCTGGCATTTCGTGAATGGCATCGACAAAAGTGCTAGACTTTCGCCTGAATCTCCGAGAGTTTGTCGCGACATCGGCAGTTCTATAGACAGGTACTGAACAAGAGCTGAGCCTTCAGGAACAGTGTCACTTACAGTAGCGTATCCATGAGTCCGATTGAGCTGCGTATCACGGTATTAGACCCCAAAAAACAATAATCAAATAGAATTCATGAATGAAAGCATTCCCATACATCTCGGATGTGAGAATAAGAAATGGTAAGGAAAAGGAAAAAGCCCGAGGAACAAAAATACAGCATATCGCATCTTATCGATAGCCGACCTCCCAGCTCCATAGCGCTAGGGTCAAAGAAGCTAGAGTGAAAAGCTTATTTGACAAAAATTACGGTTCGTCTTACTGCGTTACGGAGAGTAGCCAAGCTGCAACAATAATCAAGCACCTATTCTCCCAGCTCCCAAACACATACCTATCCACCTTCCGGCATTTATCCGCCCATCTCTGGTCCCTCCAAGCACTCTGCCCTGCTGGTGACAACCTTTCCCCATTTCTGAATTTCTGCTGATCTTGGGGGCAAAGGCTGCATCCCCTGACATTATGGGGGACGCGAAGATGGAGGATTTCCTGCCTCCCTACATAGAGGGCAATGCGGTGGTCAGGGCGATTGGTGATACATGGAGTTCGTTCTCCGAGCGGCGCGAAGCGTTAGGTCTTTCTAATCCAGGGACGGTGGAGAACATTGCTCGAGAGGTGCAAAAGGATGTCTTCCTTACCAACTATATGTTCACTGGACTTCGTGCGGATTGGACTAGACCACTCAGTGTGTCGCCTTTATTCCAATATACTCATTCCTTCGCCATGGGCTCTCCAGGCTTGCCTCCATACGGCTTCTCAACCATTTTCGGAACGCCAAAGGTACACCATCCCTGACTTTGGAGCGAGTGACTATGTTTTCTAGCTAACGCTGTACACAGGTCTTTATGCAGGCCAACCTCGAAAACGACGGTCAGCTATCAGCTCAGGGGAATTACCGATGGACTAATGCTTTCATTACAAAATTCAACGTGCAAATGGCTCCAGGACCTGGCCAAGCCATGATCCAAGTAAACAACGATTTCACCGGCAAAGACTTCACCGCTTCTCTGAAATCCATCAACCCATCCATGTTAGAGGGCGGCTTGACCGGTATCTTCATTGGCAGCTATCTTCAGTCCATAACGCCAAGCCTTGCCCTTGGACTCGAGGCCATGTGGCAGAGGGCAGCACTCAACGCCGGTCCAGAGTCTATGCTATCTTACTGTGCGAAATACAAGGGTTCCAATTGGATTGCCAGTGCGCAGATACAAGCCCAAGGCGCAGTCAGCGCATCTTACTGGCGAAGGTTGACGGAAAAGGTGGAAGCAGGTGTGGATCTGAATCTACAATTTGCGCCAGGTCTAGGTGGGGGCGGATTGATGGGCAATGGATCGCGCAAAGAGGGTACTGCGACCGCTGGTGCGAAATACGATTTCAGGACATCAACGTTCAAGGCCCAACTTGACAGCTCGGGCCGCCTCAGCTGTCTCGTGGAGAAAAGAGTGCTTCCGCCGGTGCAAATCACCTTTGCTGGAGAAATGGACCATTTCAAGGTACGCAAAGACTTGCGAGCGGTGTTTGAATTTGCTATATCGAGTTGACCGATGCAATTGTGTGGGCCGTTGCTAATGTGAAATCCGTTCAGCAACAAGCCAAGGTCGGATTAGCTGTATCCATCGAGACTGCTCCTGAAGAACTTATGAATGCTGCTCAATCCACATCAGCCTCCGCACCATCCGTACCGTTCTAGACGCCTTCCGCCTTGTCCTGGGGCTCCCAACAGCTCCCCCCGCCTATTCGCAGATTACTCCGTCTCACTCCTCTCGACCTTCTCATTGTGTCTCAACAACTGACTGTATCTGGTGAGGCTCTCTATTTGGTGAGAGTCTTCTAGGCCCGACTCGTTGTATTGTCTGAGCGTTGTTTACCGTATCATCGAACGGTGTAGGAATGTAAATTTAGTATTGCGGCCCCGTTGCACATATACGGCCAAGCAAGCGATAGGCAGGCATTCTGATTAGCAAACAGTTGTCACCTCATGTACAAAAGCTTAATTGAGAGACGATGCTGAAGACGTTCCAGACTCTTCATCATGCTCCATGGAACAGCTTACGTTCAAGCAATCTAAAAAGGGGAAAGTGAGAAACTCGAAATCTGGGTCACGGACGCGACGAACGTGCATTTAATGAGAGGCTAAACCTTTTCGCACGTCTGCAGCCGGTATCGACACGACTGAATGGGGGGAGCTGATATTCGAAGAAAGTTCAGGAATAGTGATTTCATAGGCGAGAATTGCTGCCTTTGAGTGGCAGTATCTTCAATGAACGAGGAACGTTTACCGCCAACAGCAGCTTCCTCAAACTACACGCTCTCATGACCCCCAATACATGCTAGCTCCCTCCTCTCAATTTGCTCCTCAAACAAAGTAAGCTTCAAGCACAAGGAAATTATGCCATTCAATCTTCAAGACATTCAGTAGGATTCGAGCCCTGGCTAAGTTTCTCGATGCATTTCAGTCGGGGCACACAAGTCTGGTGATGGAGTGAAGTAAGCTGCATAGGTTACGCATTGCCGAGAATGCAGCAGATGGTCATTAGACGCAGTTGAATTCCTAATACTCTCTCCCGTACAAATGAATGTCGTGAAAGCAATCCTCACCCAAATGGATTCGTCCGTATATATTTACCAAAGAATTTGTTTTGGGGGACATTGCCCGTTGACACTGTGCACATGATTTTTGGGAAGGTACTAGTACTTAATTACTCCCTCGCTCCATCATGGTCGGCTAAACTAATCATCGCCATGCTTATGAATGTTCTACTCGAGTACTCCAATCACCAGCTAAAGAACATTTCGATTTCCGAGGTCAGAGTGTTGTACGGCGAGAAAATAAAATATGGAGAGGTCTCGTGAGCGGTAGATCTTTTGCCGCTCGCTGCGGGTGCGGAGGAGGAGGTGGATACCGGTGGTGCCGGTGCTTCAGAATAGCCAATTGGATGGTACCTGCCTTTTGATTTCATACTTTTCACTTCTCTGGGCGCCTGTGCTTACCATGGTTCCCATCGTCATGTGCTGCTTGCAAAATTGTAGCTTCTTCAACGCCTGCATCGTCCAGCATGGAAATTTTGCCCTTGCCTCATGCTAGAGGTCAATAATGGATGCTAAAGCAGGCAGAAGGATATCTACATATTACATAGGTCCACGAGTAAGGATCTTTTACAGTACTATACTGCTCGATGCCAAGCCAGGCGTGGACCCAACGATTCTTCGGCCTTTTAACGTGGGTACGATTGGACCAAGATGAGTTAGGCTTGCATAATCCAGTGGGCAATCATGCGTCACTCCATCATGCAAGATGGCGATCAATCTGCAGGCGAACACGTCAATAATGTCGGATGGTCTGCCCACTTCAGCAAAACCAGGCATTATTTTTCACTCTGACTTTTCCAGATGCTTTGTTTCAGAAATAAGTACCCATCTGGTCCACGGCCGGCGTACGGTAGAGGCAAAGCTGTACGGCTGCTTTTAACTTTGTACACTTGGACAGGGCCCTCGGGCGGCGGATGCATGACATATAGAAAGTATCTCTCCCTCTCTCTCCCTCTCTCTCTCTCCCACCTCCCTTCTCTCCGTCGTCCGGTAGCCAAACGATCATTGGACCTTCTGCAGCACTCTACCTATGCTCCGTACGCTTAGATATTAAGGCATCCGAGGAATCCTCATTCCTTCCTTCACAGACTCTAGAGTCCTCATTCCCCATGACGTTCGAAATATGGGACATTGTTCAAAACAATCAAAGGTCGCAAAGGCTGGGTCGATTGCCGTACCTTGGGCGCATAAGTAGGCTATCCAAAGTATCCAAACGATCTAACTCGATCATGCCTTTCGTAGCTTCCATCCTTCTCCCTTGAAGGCAGTCGAATGTAAGGTAGGTAGATAGATAGGTAGGTCTGTCCTCGTTCTAGTAGATCAGTCCCACGTTGCCCTCGCCTGTTCCTGCGCCAGCTAGAATGCCTCTAGTCCAATGGTGGCCAAGTAACATCGAGTCCAAGTATGTCCATGTGACCACCCAACCGAGAACGCTCACTTCCCCTCAAACCTTCTTCACTGCCCATATCATTATTGGACATTGCTCTGGGACTTCCCCTGAGCCTGAGAGCAGTACTCCGTAGAAGTAAGCAGTCCCCTTTCCGCAAGAATTGCCCACTATCATCATCCTCTTTCCCCCTGAGGAAAAACGAACACTTTCCCCCAGGGTTTGAGCCACAGCTTCGGTCCATTAGAAGAACCATTAATCAATCAATCAAAATCCATCAGTCAGTCAATCAACCAATCAATCAATCAATCGAAATAAGGCGACCTGCTTCGCTGTGACTGCCGCTCCTGTCCGCGTAGCCTTCCCCTCTTGTTCTCGCACTCTTGTAGAGATCGCTTAGTTAGTTACCAGCTTTCTGGGAAATAATCGCACGGTTCCCGCGCTGGGACGGCTAAGCCTCCGAGCGAGATCTCAATCATCAATCCTAACATTAACACCGCAATATCCTTCCCTTCTTGAACATAGCCAGCTTCATTATCTACCTCCTCCCCTCTCCTATGCAATCCTCCTTGTAGCGACAACGGAACAAACAGCCGCGGGAAAGGGAACTCTATTCAACTCATGTGTCAGGCGACACTCGGCTTTTGCTTCGCTCTCTACAACACTCGTTCACAACACCAAGGCAATCTTGTCCTAAAAAGTGAAGCCTGAGATTGCATCAACTTCAACAGAGATAATCCACTCCTCATTCTGCGACATGGTCCCCTCACCTTGAGCAATTGCAGATAGAGCACCGTTTGTTGCGCAGCCACCTTACCACATTCTAGCGACGGAGAAGAGGCATCCTCGCTACCCACACAAAACGCCATCGAGGGTATCCTTGCGCGTTGACCCAAAGCACCAAATTGGTGTGATTGATATCCTGTGTAATTTCAGTCGCCTCACCTCACTCTCCTCATTCTCCTTCTTCCTACCTACAGTACCTCCACCCTCCACCCTCCACCTCCTCAGGTCCGCCCAACACGGACTCATCTACAACCCTTCCGTTGCTCCATCATCGGCTCGATACTTCGAGTCCACCGTACTCTCGATAACCAGAGAGAAACAGCGCCATCTTGCCCTGCTAAGATGTCTACGCAAAACCGTCCAGCAGGTTTCACCAGCTTGCGCATGGGAGGTAGGGATGAGCCATGCTTACTTCTACACTCTGGCAGAGACTGATGGTTGATACAATGTAGAAGTCATCCGTGAGAAAGTGCAAGACGGTGTGACTGGCGAGACCAGAGAAATGCAGTACACCCAGTGCAAGATCGTGGGAAACGGCTCTTTTGGAGTGGTTTTCCAGACCAAGCTGGCTCCAAACGGAGAGGATGCAGCTATCAAGCGTGTTCTTCAGGACAAGCGCTTTAAGGCAAGCGTGGAAAATATGCCATAACATTACGTTCGAAGTACTGATGGAAGCAGAATCGTGAATTGCAGATCATGCGTATCGTCCGTCACCCCAACATCGTAGAACTAAAAGCGTTCTACTACTCGAATGGAGAGCGTGTAAGCAAGAAAGTATTTTATTGAATCGAGGAATTGCTCATGGTACCATGAAGAAAGTAGCTGACGCCCGCCTCAGAAAGAAGAAGTCTACCTCAACCTTGTCCTTGAATTCGTGCCGGAGACTGTATACCGTGCCTCACGTTTTTTCAACAAGATGAAAACTACCATGCCCATTCTCGAGATCAAGATATACATCTACCAGCTTTTCCGCTCCCTTGCGTATATCCACTCCCAGGGCATCTGTCATCGGGATATCAAACCGCAGAATCTTCTGCTTGATCCGAATACCGGCGTACTCAAGCTCTGTGATTTCGGTAGCGCCAAAATCCTGGTCGCAAATGAGCCCAACGTCTCATACATCTGCTCTCGCTACTACCGTGCCCCTGAGCTCATCTTTGGTGCTACCAACTACACCACCAAAATCGGTAATCTTCCACTCTGTCAGTGGCAGTATCGCTCGCTCACGCTTGTTTGATAGATGTCTGGTCCACCGGCTGCGTGATGGCTGAGTTGATGCTTGGTCAACCTCTGTTCCCCGGAGAGTCTGGCATTGATCAGCTTGTTGAGATCATTAAGGTGCTGGGGACTCCAACCCGCGAGCAGATCCGCACCATGAATCCAAACTATATGGAACACAAGTTCCCTCAGATTAAGCCTCACCCATTCAACAAAGTCAGTGAACCTGGAATTTTCTTTTACGTACTAACCTAATGAGTTTTTCCTTTTCGAACGAAAGCCCAGATACTAATTCTGTGTCTAGGTATTCCGCAAAGCGACCCCAGATGCGATTGAGTTGATCTCGGCTCTTCTCGAGTATACCCCTACTAAGCGTCTCTCGGCCATCGAGGCCATGGTTCACCCATTCTTCGACGAGCTTCGTGCTTCGGATTGTCGATTCCCCGACTCTCGGCATGCCGCTGGTGGTACTAAAGAGATGCCAAAACTGTTCGACTTCTCGCGTCACGGTAGGTCTTGCTTGCCATGTCGATATTGTTTTCCTCGCTGACTCGTACTCAGAGCTCTCAATTGCTCCGGAGCAAAACGCGCGTCTCGTCCCGACCCACGCGCGTAAGGAGCTTCTCTCACGCGGCATTGACCTTGAAACCCTCGATCCAATGTCTCAGGACGATATGAAGGCTCAGCTTGAGTGAGATAGATACTGGCTACGAATCATGCGTAACGAAGTCACGGTATCAGCGTGTCAGCACTTACCTAGCGTGGCGTTGGCCAAACAGTCGTTCCCGTATGTTCTCGCCAGGTCAGTGATAGCAAGATCACTGACAGATTGTGTGGACCAAAAGCATGGCATGGCTTAATTCAAAACGGCAATGCCTCGAATATTTTATCAATTCACAATTCCCTGGCAAAAGCGCGGCATGCATGGATGAGGGTTCCAATTTGTGCGATAGGCGGAATTTTTCATGTGGTGAATGATCAGCTGGGAATGAGGCCAGGCGCAGGAAGAAGCAAGGGTTTGGTGAAGGCTGCATGGGCACTTTCTAAGATGATCACACCTTAGATGACGCACCTACATAAGTTTCATGATTGCTAGCACCATCAACTATTCAAACAATTGACCAAATATTCTCGAATTTCTCCTGCTGTGCAATTGAAGAGACGGTGGATGGTGGAGTCCCATCCCATTACCACCAAAAATCTGAGGTCTACACGCTAGTTGTGGTGTTTACGAATGCTCCTGAATAGCCGCAGTGCGTCCTTTTTCCACCTCCTTTCGCCACACACTCTTAGTCATAAATCTGTCACTCCTCTCCGTGATATTCCTAGACATTTATAACAGCATCAAGCGGATAGACGATGTAGGACCTCAATTCGCCAGGCTCACCTCACCCGGATTTCATGCAAGTGGAGCGTCTCAGCCCTATATTGAAGCGACAGGGACTAAGGCCATGGCCAATTGGATTTGGCGCGCCGAGCGTCTGCCAGCGCCAACCTAGAAGCATAGCCCCATTCAAGACAACTTTGCTCCAACAAAACTCTCCCAGCAAGCATGGCAGACTACGATAGGAGAAACGGTGGACCACGAGGGGGCTACAACAATAACCGCAAGCGGCGTTATCGAGGCACAACCCCCGACCCCGTTGAACCTGCCTCGAGCTGACCTTTGCATGCAGACGATGATGAACACGACCGCCGACCGCAGCGCAGAAGATATGAGGAACCCTTGCATCTCAAAGTGCGGAAGCAGCTTCTTGGGGTCGCAGAATCCGTATGTCCATTATGTCACCGATGGCCCAGCCCTGGCCCTTTGAGCTAATGGCATCGTAGCCGCTGAAGAGAACCGACGAAGAGATCAGCAGTATCGCGAAACTCGTCGTGGACAACTATGACGATGAGGGTATCCGAAGACAGTTCTTTGATTTGTCACTACAGATGTGAGATATCGCGAACATAGTCATCGGCACATGACTGATGTTGACCCTAGTGTTGTCGAACAACCCTTCAAGATCCCTTTTGTTGCTGCAATACTTATCGTCATCAATCCACAGAAACCAGAAGTAGCGCAAGAGATATTGACGAGGGCAGCAAAGGCAATACAGGAATACCTCGAGGCTGGACACTGGCGTGAAGTCAAGCTGGTCTTGCGGTTCTTGGCCTGCTTGCAGGGTCTGCTTGAAGAGGATGGCGTATTTCCATTATTGGAGGAGCTCTTTTCGAGAGCCGTCGACTTGCAGACTGCATCTTCCGAAGATGTGAGTACCATGCTAGTAGTGCTAGTGCTTCAGTCGAAGCTAATCAGAAGAGCTGCAGAGCCTGGGCCTGGAACTCGTCAAGATTATCTTGCTTACGATACCGTATGCTATGGCCTCCTCCGCAACTGGCTTTGAAGAGCGTGCATTGGCACTGTTGGATAAGACGGATATCATTGCATCTACGCCTCACGCCTTAGAAGCTCTCGTAAATCCTTATCCAGGGAACGATGAAGGAGATGCTCAGGAACCACAAAGCATCATCAATTTGCTGCAAAAGCAACTGCAGGGAGAGGCTGGGCAATCTTGGAAGCTGGCGTGCATTCCCCGTCCTTGGAACGTCAGAAAGGAAGAAGATACAACGGATACAGCCGTTGCATCAAAGAAGCATGCTTTGCCTGAAATCAACATCCCATCGCCCGTGGCACCAGGTCCACGGCCAATGCTTCCCGAGATATACTTCTCAGTCTATGCGGATCAAGACATTGAGACAGTCCCATCAACGTCTGATGTAGCATCATCAATCCTCCGAGATTCCCTAGTTGATACCATCAACATCCTCGACTGCAACCGCAATGCAACTGCCAAATTTCTAATCGATCTCGATTGTTACTTCTCCGCTGAGACTTTTGTCAAAAGAGCGACACAGTTCGACAAGCTACGGAACGTAGAAGAGGGTCGCTCGACTTGGAAGCCGGAGGATGTCGCTGTTGACGCTGTGTTTTCCCAACTCCTGCAGCTACCTATGGCGGAGCACAAGCTTGTCTACTATCATTCTGTCCTGACTGAGGCCTGCAAAATTGCGCCGGCGGCAATTGCACCTAGTCTGGGCCGTGCCATTCGATGGTTGTATAAGAATGTGGATGGGATGGACCTTGAGTTGGTGTATCGTTTCATGGACTGGTTCTCCCATCACCTGAGCAATTTTGGCTTCACCTGGAAATGGACTGAATGGTAAGTAATTCGCATTTCATGGGCTCATCGCTAATAGATGCTCAGGGTTGACGATGTACAACTGCCATTGATACATCCCAAAAAGGCTTTCATGATGGGAGCACTGGAGAAGGAAATCCGTCTCAGCTTCGCTGCGCGGATCAGAGGGACCCTTCCAGAGCCATATCAACCACTCATATCGGAAGCCAAGGAAAAAGACACCCCCGATTTCAAGTACAGTTCTGATCGTAAGCATTCAATCCTCGTTGGCTTGGAACCCACGAAGCTAATTTCCAAAGAAATGCCCTACTCCGAACCCGCCAAAGAGATCCTTCGCCTTCTCCGTGCCAAAGCTCCCGACACGGATTTACAAAGTCCACTCAGCACCATTGAAGAGACCGCAGAGTCTCTTGGCGTGACAGATCCACTCGTCCCATCCACAGACGCCTACGTAACGGCAATTTGCTTCCTTGGCAGCAAGTCTCTGTCCCACGTACTCTCGCAGATTGAGCGCTGTAAAGACCGCCTCTTGTCAATTGGAGCTAAAAGCGAACTCGCCCGAAGGCAGATTATTACATCTGTTATGGACTATTGGCACGAAAAGCCAGGGATAGGCGTCAATGTGGTGGACAAGCTTCTAAATTATACCATACTAACGCCGATCAGTGTAGTCTTGTGGGCCTTAAGTGATCAGCTAGGGAAAGGGGAAGGGCTTGTTCTGAGCCATGTTTTCGAGATGGTTAGCAGCACGGTGACAAAAGTTACCAACCGAGTACGTCAAATCGTGGTCGCCCGCAATCAGCCTGGCCTTCCTGGCGACCAGGTTGCGATCCTCGATGAGACTTTAAGCAAAGAGAGGGACGAGATGGGAAAGCTCTTCGCTGTCATCGAAGATGGCTTGGTTGGTGTTGCTGGTGGCAGCGTGGATGACATGGCTGAGAGCGCGGATCAAGATTTGAAAGGGGAGGCGATGTTAAGAGGTTGGGGAGGACGGTGGTTAAGGGTGTTCAGGAGGAAGATGGCTGTCGAAGAAGCATGGGTGCAGGAGACGATGAGTTTTGTTGTGCAAGTCGTCGATGCTTCTGGGTTGGAGATTGCTGTGGAGCAGAACGGCAACGGGGAGGCAGTTGGCGATGGAGCTGGAGAGGAGATGTCTGAAGACGAGGCGCTCGCTGGGATTCTGTGAGGCTCCTTTCTTGGGTGTTACTCTATTGTTGGTTCGGGAAGCTGCCTGGGCTGGATTCCCAAGCATAGGGAGGCAGCCAAAATTGGGGTGTGAAAGTAGGCTCGCATTGACATGGTATAGCATCGAGGATCTCTTGCCACAGGGAAGTTGAAACAGGCACGCATGATTGCTGCTCCATCCAAACGTGAAATCAGGCGTACAAATGTTGCCACCGCACGAATAGATTGAACATGATTCACGAATCGATAGAGTGAGGAGTTGACTTCGGAACAGTCGAGACTAGACGTCAACTCCCATCCATATATATGCCTATACAAAATCAAAAACCACTACACCATTGTACCAGCGCCAATAGGAGTCGAATCTATTACGGATTAGATACCCTCTAACCTCCTATAGACCCAAATTTCCACACGCCCCTTGGTGTCCCAGTTTGTGGAGCGAGTCCTCGAGACCCGTGATGCACCTTTGGTGATGTTCATGACAGCCCGAAGCTTGTCAATTGGGCCGCGGCATTGGGGCTTCTTTTGGCAATCCTATCACTTTCTCCCATTCAGATGTCCAAAGAAGGGTTCCTCAACTTCTGCTATTGCTTTCATATTCATGGTGACGTTGAAAGCAACATTACTTTCACATAACCTTTTTCTGCAGTCTCCTAGACTCTTGCCCATAATCCCTGTCATCGTCTCCCTCGACCTCTTTCTGAAGCTTTTCCATCTCCTTCGTTTGCCGCTCCCATTCTGCCTTGCTCATCTTCGACTCTCGGCTGAACAATTCATCGTTCGGTTGTCGATAGCTACCACCCAGTCTGTCCCACAGCGTGGTGAATTGCCCATAATTGTAGTTGAAATACAGGTGGTGCATTGTGTGGCATGCAGCGCCATTAAGGATGTAGGAGTTGGCTACGTATTCGCCGTCATCTGTAAACAATCGATTAGCGACATGCGATGCCTAACGGAAAGACAGAAGCGCTTACGAATGAAGATAGTCCAGAAGTTGATAAAGGCGAAAAGGGCGATATATGCGAACTTCTGGAGCGGGAAGATAAACGGAAAGACGTGGTATGGTATACTCTGCGCGAAGCCATCCATGGGGTGGAAGGCGTGGCTTGCGTAAGGTGTAGGCATAATCCATTTGTGATGCGGTTTATGCAACGTCTTGTAGATCTTGGGATGATGCAAACCCCTGTGGATCCAGTAGATGCATAGATCTGTGAAGGCGATGAACAATGGGAACTGAAGAAAGTTGTAGAGAGCAAATGGAGCATCTGACGGAGCATCGTAGAGTTTTCCATATCCACGGACTTCAAGCAGGAAGAAGGGCGCGGTGAAAATTGCCATTAGCGGCATTGAGATCATGGTTTGGCGAATCTCAAGCTTGACTTGATGCTTGAGGTACTTCGGATGAGTGAAGGTGGCGTGGTCGAAGATGAAGAGGTATGAGAGAGAGGCAAAGACGAGGTAGAGTACGAGACCGAAAAGCCTAGAGAAGATGTCAGAAAAGTTTGCAGGTTATGACTCGACACGGACGGAGAGGTGTTGGTACCATGTGATCAAGTAGAGGCTAAAGAATTGTCTCCATATGTTGTCCCGCGGCCACTCACTCATATATGCGTATTGAGATGGGGCGAGCTGGAAGAATTGGGTGGATGAATGTATGGCGGTGGGCAGCTCACGCATACTGGAGAAGGTTGTAGTAGCATCTTGGACGGCATATTTTGGATAATTCAAGGTAGATGCTGGGTAGACGGTGGACCAGAAACGGTCAAAGAGAAAGGTATCAGCGATTTCGAGGACGATATCCATTGTCGATTAGAAAAGACCACAAGGCTTTGGTGACCAAATAGGATGGATGCCAATTGGAAAGAAAAAGCTCGGGCAAATGATGATTGCAGATCAGAAGATAAAAGGAAAAAGGGAAAAGGAGAAAGGGAAAAGGAAGGATTGATTGATTGATGGATGGATGATAATGATGAGGAGAGAAGGAGGAGAAAGAGAAGAAAAAAGAGAACGGTCACAATGATTGAAAGACTACCGAAGTCCTGAGGTACTCACTCCTACTTGAACATTTTTCAACCAAAAATGCTTCGAGGGCTCGCATTCAGGGTCTTCCGCTTTGTCAGCAAATCGTCCGGATAGTTGAATTCCCGGTCACCTGTCTGACCATTTTTACTCAGATTGATCCTCTTTTCTTCTTCCTCCACCGGAATCTGTAGTAAGTACTTGATGGCCAATTCATATATCAAAATCTATCTTCCTACAGTACAAACAAAATTGTCATTCTTTCTTTGCACAGCGTATATACATCCAAGAGCAAATTGTCCGAGAGCAAGCTCGTGTATACATAACAAGTACCTAGGTAGTTCGGAACCACATCATTTTGCTTGCAACCGCACTTGATTATTTTCAATGAATCAAAACCCAAAAGGCCTGCTACCCGCTTCAGATCGTTATCCTTCCTCGCATGAGAGAGCCCTTACCCGGTTGAGTGCCCACCATCGAATGCATGCCCGCGTCGCAAGTGCTATCACTCCCTTCCTTCTGTCACACGATTGCTCCCCTGGCCGTTGCAGCCTCTCTCATGCGCTCCTCGTATCGCGTTCATCCTCACAATCTTGCCTCCATACCTCTCATCGTTCTCCATTGCGCTTCACTCTTTCAACCTTCAAGCCTTTGCTGTCACCAGATAGAGGTTTGATCCGACGGTCCTTACCACGGCCCTTGATACCCTTGTTACTGTTCTTGTAGAGGGTAGAGAAGTAGTCCCACAGCTCTCTATCCGACTCGGAGACTTCGTCTTCCATATCAATCGATGCAAACCTTAACGTAAGGATGCGTAGCGTGTCGGCATGAAATTTGTTCTGATGAGACTATTCACCCGTTAGTCATGAAGCATGATCCATGTGGCTGGTGGGGCATACCTTCAGATTTCCCAACTGCGTAAACCTCTTCGCGCAGCCTTCAAGCCTACAGCTGTAGGGCTTGACTCTTTCATGCACTATCCTATGCGCCTGGACATTGCCACGCTGGGCAAATCTTCTGCCGCAGAGATCACAAGAGTACGGGCGCTCCCCAGTGTGACGGCGTTCATGAGTCTGCAATAAATCAGCTCATGCCCCAGCAATGACGTTGGCATAGCGAAAGACCTTGAGGTTGCCTAGTTGCGAAAAGCGTTGTCTACACGTCGTTTCTTTGCAGATCTAGTTCAGACTCCTTGTTAGTATGCCAAGATTTCAAGTCACTCTCGATGGCCTTACATATGGCTTGTGCCCAGTATGTGCTCGCATATGGATCTCAAGATGGGTCTTTTGGGTAAAGACTTTAGCACACGATGAAATCCTGCAGGGGTACCTTCTTTTCGACTTGGATTCGTTGGGAATGCCGTGGTTCACAGCGGACGAGACCGAATCGTCACTGGAATCTCGAATGTTGTGATCATAGACCCTTGGTGGTTGTATTTTATGCACTGGCAATGTTGCCTTCGTCTGTATAGCTCGCATGAGAGTATCGACATCCGTGCCAATGTCCTTCTCCTTTTGAGAGACCGGAAGCTGTCCTCCTCGCACCTGCTCACGGTAACGATCGTCATCATCCAGCATTTGAGACACGCTCTCGATCTTGATCGGTGGGCTGTTTGGAGTGTCTCTGCCAAGTGACATTGGTTGCGCTTCTACACCGTGAAGTCCATTCTCCATGTAAGCAAGATCTTGGTGGCCAAAGATTTCCTGTGGAGACGCATTTGTGCCAAACGCTTCACTCCTGCACCCACTAGTGTCAAAACCCAAACCATAAGACAGGTTCATGGAATCAAAGAACGTTGGCTGATGACAGGATGGGTTCGAGAACAACGATAGGCTCAAATCCAACTGAGGCAAGGACATGGTGCCTAGAGGCGTATGCGTCAGTCGCCGAGGATTTGGTATTGCCATTGATCCTGGGTCTGTTTAAGATAGGGTCCAAGGGGTTTCCACGTCAAGCCTGGACGTTCACTACTTTGAGGAGAGGATGGAGTTGATCCGGCGGGACAGGATGTTTATCAAACAATCAGTTGTATAGAGTCACTCGCTGCAATGTCTTGAGGGTATGGTGAGAACATCAATGCCTTGGTCAATGAGGACTGATCTGAGTTGGCAGTACGGGCAAGACTGCACAGGGTCAAGCAATGAACAATGGGTTGAAAGTGAAGGGACAGCGTGGACAAGATAACATGTCATTTCGCCAAAGGCTTAGGCCGTTATAGATACGTTATGCAGCCATATGTTTGGCATCAGGATGCGGAACATAGTCGACTCGCTAGACCCTTAGAGGGTATGGAGAAGGTCGAGCAAGACGTGTCAGGAACAATATTCCGGAAGCTATCACAGAGACGGGGTCATTTTTGAATAGAAGATGAGCAGGATCAGACGAAGAAAGTTTCCGTCTGGTGCGGGAGGGAGCGAGAGTCAAGAGTCAAAAGTCACAATAGCGCTCGCCACTGCTGGTAGCTCCATGGAGATTGTGAAAGACCAACGGAGATCCTCGGCTTTACCTCCGGTCAATTTCTGGTAGCAACATAAGAATTGGCTTTTATTTTGGAGGATTTTGATGCACATGGTGAAGTTGTAGAGTGGGGGAAGAAGACAAAGTTTTTCCGGCAGATGGGATCTGTTGCACCAGTAGTGCCGGGGCGGGGTTTCCATGGGATAATGGATAATGGATAATGGAAATAATGGATAATGGACAATGGATAATGGATAATGGGAAATGGGAGGTTTTTTCCCTTATCTATCAGTATTTTCATGTTGCTCTTGCGTAAACTCAAAACCACCTCAGATCAGCTTGGGGGGGGGGGGGGATCTCACAAGTATTGCGTCAGAGGTTCAGTGGGGCCAGGCGCCAAGAAAAGAGAAGGGAGAAAGGGAGGAGAAGCTCTTCGGACGCATCATCATCATCATGCATGGTGCCCTGGGCTGGAGGTGCATGAAACCTTCAAAAGGCGGAGGCCCGGAGGCGCTTCGCTTCAGAGTCGGAAGGTGCTTCCTGCGGGGTCGTTCTTTCTAGCTTTATATAGTATAGTTTGCTTGGCTAGATCCTTAGGGAATCCTTCGAATTCTTCCTCCATAGATTCTACATCCTCTTCTACCCATACGAGCCTGATTATTCTTATTCTTTGGAGGTTTTATCTAAATCTTTTTGTGGCCTTAAAGTAAAATCTCCTTTATTATTATTCTTATGTATCTTTAGAATCGTTATTTGACCTATTTAGCTATAATCTATCGTTATTCGTTTTTTCACTAAATTTCTTACTAAAAACCTTACTATAAAAGTATTTTCTTAAGTTATTTAGTTTAGAAAGCCTCTTTTTTTTTTTAAACTTTTTCTTAAGACTTAAAAAGTCTTTAATAAGTACTTTAAGAAGTTACTATTATTTAACTTAATTTCTTAGCCGTCGCTATTATTTATTAGACTCTCTTATTACTACGAAAGTAAGTAAGTTATAATATTATCATTCTAGCGAGTATTAGAAATCTCCTCGAAGAATTGATTTATCACTATTATCTTAACGCTTTAGACTTCTTAAGAATTCCTCTTAATAATAGTTTTATAAATTTCACAGTCTTGTCGTCAGAATTTCATTAGAGCACGCCTTCTTTAGATTAGTCTAAAGCTTTTATATAGTCTAGTAATACTATAAAAGTAATTATGCCTCGCTCTACGTTTACTATATATAATAATTTCTCGAAAATTATTAGTATATTAGTATTAAAGTGGTTTCGAAAGTTTAACTTCGATATAAAGGATTATTAAGATAAAGAAGATCGTTTCTTCTTAGTTAAGTATCTAGAATATCTTAATATACTTCTTATTAATAATACTTCCGAGTAATTAGAAAGTCATTTAGAAGTTATTCGACTTCTTATCGAAGTAGAGTACTTCGGTTTCTAATAAACAATCCAGCAGTTTCAGGCTATATTCTATAAGAAGTTTTTCTCAAAAGCTGTGGAAGTAAGTGCGATCCCATTTGATATCGAGATTACAGACCTATATTAACGTCTTAAAGAATTTCTTATTTTCTACTTTAAGCGTGTTATTAACTTAATATAAAGAGTTAAAATTAAGAATAAACCTACTACTATCTCTAATACTACCTTTAGTCTTCTTAAATCTACTATACTTAATATTATTCTTTATATCTTTATTAGAGAATTAAATAATTAAGAGATTTAAAAGGAAGTAATAAGAGATATAGTATCTTCTAATAGATCTCTATATATAATCTATAATCTCGTAGAAGAAGTATAGTATATTAATACCGAAATTCAGAAGCTCTTAAATAAAGAATCGAGATCTAATTAGCTGTAGTTCTATAAATTTCTCGTGGAATAAAACTTACCGAAATAGCAGATAGCTTTCTTACTTACTTCTTATTAAGTTACTAAAGCTCTAAGGCCTTTATATTATCAGTCTTAGTCCTTTCATATAGATTCACTAAAGTAACTATTAAAGGCTTTCGCGAGACCTCAATATTTCATATAATTCCAATCTCTAGAGTATCGTCGTTCTTTATATAAAGTTTCAGCTTCTACTTCTACTTTAACTCCGATCTTAATCTTAGCTTAGAATTCTAATAAAGAAAATGCTAATAGAAGTAAACTCTCGAATTCTATAGCTGATAGTCGCTTTCGTAACTATTAATCTATTCTAAAAGATATACTCGAGCGTAGCACTTCGAAAAACCCTTATATTAATAATATAATTTATTAGTCTTATAGAAAAGATAATTAGCTATATATTAAGTATAATATTAAGAATTATATCTCTTCTTATTATAAGAATACTTTACTATTTACTTAAGAATAGTTATACTTAAAAATGCTTATTTTCGAGAATAATCTATAGTTAAACTTTACTTTCATTAAGTTCAGAGAGTTTAATGAATCTTCTAGACCCTATAAAATTACCCCTTCGCCGAAGCCTTTTACAACTTCTTCTTCTTCTTCTTCTTCTATTAAATTAGATTAAGTAACACCTTTAAGTTTTATAGATTCTTATATTTCTCTTTATTCTAATTTAATATAGTTTAAAGTAGTAAGGCTAAATCGATCTCATTTCGCTAATATAAAAATCGCTAAAGCTTTTCTCGATAAAGGATTAAGGCTTAATAAACGAGCTTACGTAGAAGAAGCATTAACATTAATATCAATATCTCAGCGATAATAAGAAAAGCAATTTAAGAGACCTTAATCAATACTTATTTAATTACAGTAATTTATATTATAGCAGTTTCAGATACCTTAATATTAGCAAAAGCAGTCTAATATTAATCTAAATTCTAATACTTCTTTCTATCCATCGTAAGTTTCTATCTAAGTAGGTTCGTAGCAGCCTTCGATAGTTATAGATTAAGAATCTTCTTTTAAAATCAGCCATATCTATTTCAAGCTACTTCGAAAGAAGAGCGTCTTAAATATAAAGATAAGAAGCGAGTTAATAAGAAAGTAGAATCTTAGCCTTTAATAGACCTATTTAATAGATTTAAATATAATTCTTTCATATCGATTTAATATATACTTAAGAATATTAAAATTAATATAAATATAATAGATTTTATAGCATAATCATCTACTATATATAAAAAATTAAAGCGCCTTTATATCTAAGTTTTTAAGAAACAAACTTCGAAGTCTATTATAAATGCTACGCAAGCTCCTTCAATTAGCTTCTAGCCTACTTTTTATTTAACAAATTTTATAGATATCTATACTACCTTTAGAGTATTCGTAAGCCTATTAACCTATACTAGTATTTCCTTCTATATCTATATCTCAAGTATCTATATCTTAGTCTTCTCAATAGACTTTAAGAAATCCTACTACGTTAATATCCATATTCCAAATTAATATTTCTACTATAAAAGCTAAGAAGTATATACGCTTTTTAAGCTCTCTTATAGGTGTAAATAAGGCGTTTTATATTTCCATTATTATAAGGAAATAGGATAGATTCAATATTAGTCTCGAGAAATCTTATACTTAGATAAATTAAGATTCCGATATAAATGTAATATTTTCTAAACTAACACGCCTTCTAGACTTATATTTCTATCTACTTTCGAAGATTAAATTTAAAGGTTTTTTTATATATATGGCGGATTATCGTAATATCGTGCTAGAATATTAGATGTAGCTTATAATTAATATAAAAGAAATCTAAAGAAACATTCGATACTTTATAGCTTCGGAAGTTATATTCATTATAAAATTAAAGAGATCTAAATATCTTAGTTTAATCCTCGAGATTTCGTGGCTTTAGACTATGAATGCTTTCATTTTAATTCGTTTTTCTATTATTTTCCTAGGAGATAGATTGAAAGATAAGAAAGTTTAAAGAATTATAGATTTGGAAATGATTTTCTATAAAGATCACAATTTGTTAATATATTTTAAGTTCGCTATAAAAACTCCGAAAGCTATTAAGTAAAACATATTAAAGGCTTTTATTAAGGAAATTAATTTTTTAGAATCTAATAATTCTTCTAATTCTAGAAATAACTTATTAGATATTAAAGAAATTAAGCGTTAGGATTTTTTAGTAAATTAAGTCTATCTTAAGTAAGACGTTAAATTATTAGAGTTTATAGAAGTCTATCTTAAGGATTTAAGCCTCTTAAGTACTTCTATCGTTATCTTCAAAGTCTTTAATTCTTTTTCCTTATCAAAGTAAGTAATTATTATAAGCTTTTCAAATTAATCTATCGAAGTCTTTAGTGTTTTAAGAACGCTAGTACCATTATTTCTATAGGTGTCTCTTAAGCAAGTATTTCTACTAGAAGAATAATTCGCCAAAGCCTTTTATAATATTCCTTATTATTAAAACTTAAAGAATAGGCTAGTAAGCTAGAATTGGAATTAATTCTTAGATCGCTTATTACTATAGTAGAGTAGAGACTATAAGTATTATAACTACTATATTAATATAAGTATCTTAATAGAGAAGATTTAAGAGACTTATCTTATACGAATCTTATTATATATTAAGTACGTATTATATCTAGTATAAAGTCTATTTTCTCGAAATCTTAAAAATACTAACCTACTTACACGAAGTAATAACTAAAAAAGCTTATTTAAGACGGCCTCGAAGATAATATCTATAAACTCACTAAACCTGCGAATGAATACTTATCTCTATAAAATATACAGACTATTATAATAGATAAAGTTGAGAATCTAAAATCTACTAACGAGCCTCGAATAACTTTTAATTATTCTTATATTATGAAGCTTCTTCTAGAAGCTTATCTCGAGCTAAGCTCGAAAGTTTATAATTATCTATTTAATTTATATTATAAATGCTTATTCTTAGCTAATTTAAAGTATATATATCTTACGATACCTCTATATCCTAATAATAGATACTACTTTACTTTTACTATTTTAGATATCGATTAGATATAGTCTATAAGAATATAGTAGAAATTATAATTTATAGACTTTACTATAATAGAGCTAGCTTATAAAGTATTTAATTCTATTTCTTCGAAACCTTTTTTACTATATTCGCCGAATTCTAAGATTTCATTATCTCTCATATTCTATATAAACGACTTCTTTAATAACTTTCACGACTTTAAGAATCTATTTTCCTTTCTATAGTATTACTTCTTTTCTAAAATTAAGTAAACTAAGTTACTCTTATTCTTTAAGAAACTACAATTATTTATATTATTAATTAAGGCCTTTAGCGTAACTTATATTATTAAAGAATATATTTATATTTTTAAAGAACGAGTTATTAAAGTAGTTAAGTAATTTATTTCTTTAGATTAGTCGAAAGTTTAAGGTTTTTTTAAGAACTGTTAATATTACGCGTCGATAGGTAAAGAACTTCGCGGAAATTATAAGATCTTTTCTAGACTTATAGAAAAGATGAAATAGCGATAAACTCAAGTAGAATAGCTATTCTTCGAGATCTTATATATTAAATATATTACGAGAATAAGCATATATGATATTAACTTAAATTAAATTGTTTATATATATACTAATACTTTCGATTTTATAGCTGAGTATGCTATTATATAGTATTATATTCTTATATTATAAGAAGCTACTCTATTAGAAGCTTTATAATCTTAAAAGCCTACTATAATAGAAAAGAATAAGAAAATATTTATCTTATACGATTCGTTTATCTTTAATTTCACTTAAAAGAAGTATCCTACTTATAAGCGAGAACTCTATATTATTATTACGTTCTATAAAAAGTATAACTACTTATATAAGCACTTATACTAGTTTACTATAATATACACTAATTATAAGCCTCTTATATACTTTCTTAACTTAGATCTTTATAAAAGAATCTACGAGTATTAGGCTAATGAACTTTATCGCTTAAATCTTACTATTTAATATATATCGAGGCCTCGAAATAAAGCTATTAATAACTTATCGAGAACTTTATTCGATATTAAATACTTAGAGAATATTATAGTTATATGAGTACGATAGAAATTAAAGAATTATAGTCTAAAATAAATCTAAAAAGATAATAAGAATAAATTCGATTTATTCTTAGTAATACTTATTAAATCGAAGTAACTTAAAGTCGTTAATAGAGGTACGCTATATAATATTTCTTCTTTCTTATTAAAAGCTATTTCTACTATGAAAACTATAAAATTATTTGTAAAAGTTTTCGATAAGATTAATAAGAATATTAAGATTTAGATTAAAGCTTATCGCAGTAATATTTGATTTAACAAAATCTACGAATTTCTTATTATAGAATCTTCGACTCTTACTATTACGCTACTTTAAAAAGCTTTTAAGTATTAAGTAATATAATATATCCTATAGATCTTTCGAGAAGATGTATATTTACCTTATGTGTCGGAAGAAAAGATATTTATAATACTCTGAGAAGTTTATAATGAAAGCGAATACTAGGCTAAGATTAATACTCTAATAAGATTATATAATTACTATTAGCTTAGAAAAGTATAAGATATCGAGAAGTATATTGCTAGGTGTCTTAAGTGTACTAAGTATAGATTTACTATCAGATCTTAGCCTTTATATTCTATTAAAGTCATATACTCTTTTTAGCTTATAAAAATGGATTTTATAGGCCTACTTAAAATTATTAAAGTAGAATCTACTTTTATACTCGTAAAAGTCTACTATATAAGTAGATTTATAATTCTCTTTACTACTATATCTACTAATATAAAGAATATTATCTAGTATTTTAAGTTATTCTTTATTATATATAGAAAGTCTTATATCTACTACCTCGATTATAATTAATATTTCTTTAATAATAAGTTGAAAGAATTCTTAAGATCTAAAGATATTATCGTATTATATAGCCCTTCTAATACTTTTAAAAGTATAAGAATAGTTAAGATTTATAATAAACTATTAAAAGCGGTGCTTTATAAGAATTCTTTTTATATTAAATTAAAATGAGATTAATGTCTACTAAAGACTAAAAGTTCGATTAATATACGAGTTATTGAATACTTGAAAATCTCTTCTATTAATATTCTTTTTAAATCGCTGCCAAAAGCTTCTACTAGTATATCTATCTTATATATACTTCTTAAATATAATATTTCTACTTAAATAGCTGAGTTAGAGGATTCTATTAGCTATACTCAGATTATATAATAATATCTTATTTATCGAGCGAATCTTTATAATATGATTAGATAGCGTTCGAATTAGTAGAAGAAGGATATAGCTTCTCGATATAATAAGGAAATCAAGTAAATCATATATTATATTGGCGATCTAGTTATATTATATTAGAAGAATATAAAAAAGCTAAAGACCCGCTAGAGAGGTTTATTTTGAATAAGTGGATATAGTGGATCTTATGGAAGATCCTTCACACTTATATAACTCAATGGCCGAAAGATTAGATACGTATTTTATGGAGATCATCTTAAGAACTTCGTTACTCGTACAGGCTATCTCCTGGATTCTATTACCCCCTCATTACCACAACAGTAAACTACCAGATATCCCCGCTAGAAGCTTTCCCGAAGTTTATGCTTTCCCGAAGTTCATGCTTCCTTAGAGATTCATGCACTTGCGGAAGGCTTCAGCGTCCTTGCTTTCTGTAGCATTACATGGAAATGGTTACAGGAATAGTGGTTTGGTTTTATTCTTGCTTCAGATACTATACTATGCTACGGCTTTGTTTCTTTTACTTATATTTGTGTATAGCTTTATAATCGCTGGGGCTCTGTCTTGTTTGTTCCGTAGTAGTCGGAAGGTGCTTCCTGCGGAGTTGTTCTTTCTAGCTTTATATAGTATAGTTTGCTTGGCTAGATCCTTAGGGAATCCTTCGGATCCTTCCTTCATAGATTCTACATCCTCTTCTACCCACACGAGCCTGGTCATCCTTGTTCTTTTTCAGGACCTGAGCAGATAGGAATACTCTAACCGAGTTCCAACCAAAAATAATACATCATCGCCATTGTTCATGAGTTCATCCGACTCTCGAGTCTCGGTGCTTACTTGACTACACTCGGGCAAAGTAAATACTCCCGAGACATAGTTCCCCTGTAAAGTCCTGTTCCGTTGACTGGCTGTTCCTCTTACCAAAGCACTAAGCCTTCACTAGCGCCTTGGCGTGGGCCAAGGGAGCGGTGGAGGCTCCGAGGAAAGTCGGGGGAAGCTGTCAAGCTGAATCACCGCGCGCCTATGAGCTGCACACGAATCATCATCGGCATCCCAAACTTCGAATGATAGCCCTCCTGGAAGACCTGTAGATATGGGCTACATCCTCTACTCTCTCACCTTTTCTTCCTTTGTCCTTGCAACTGGTAAACACCATCAAGCCCTACAATATCAAACTGTCAGCTAACCACCTCCCAGCTCTCTACCTCACTCGAAACCGGTGGAACCACCTCGTACCTCTTCCCGACTACATCTACACTCGCCTTCCTTCCTCCTTCGCAAGTGATATCGAGTCCGGCTTCACTTCTACTGATTTTGACCTTTCGACCAATGTCGCCGCTGGCGACTCTCGCGCCGGACTTGACCGGCAGGCAAAGCGGGAAGTCCAAAAGATTATGAAGAGCAGGAGGATAGGATTCGACGAGGCAAGGAGGATGTACACTGAGTCAAGATTCGCGAAGAACAATATCGGGCCAGATGGGTTGCCGAGAGACCCAAAGTTCGTGTCATTTTCATGAGTGTTTTAGGGCTATGGTAGCACTGGGTGGCCGTGGACTTGTCAAAGCAGATCACTTGGGCTGTGACTACTAATTTCGTCGAATTTGACTGGGAATATATCTAGCGGTTTGGCGTCGATAATTTGAGCGCTTTGGGGATTCACAAGCGTCCCTCGGGAGTAAAACCTTCAAAACACGCTATGGGGATGATATGCCAGCCTTCTCGTGTAATATCATTATGTATGGCTTGAGCTTCCTTTAGCGATTTAGCGCTGGTTTGCGTGGGCAATGAACGCTCGTCAGTCACTGGGCTCGGGATTGCCAGGAGTTCGATGAGGAGTATGAGAATAATCAATGGAATACAACTAGCTTTCAGGGCAGGTCATGTTGATTGGAATCATTCAGATGCAAAATCAGTCTGTTTGCCATTACTTTACATACTATTATTGTCGATATGATCGTGCCTACAGCCTCGGTGTAATATCATGTCCGAGGCTGGTGAGAGTCTGTTCGGAGACTTGCGAAAGGCTTGAATATCTTCCCCTCAACTGATAAACATCGCTGGTTTGCTTGTCACTGAACGTGCCGGCTAAGCGGCATGTATCCACTCACCTCATTCATTGGGAAGACAGGCCTCCTATAATCTTATATGTCGTGACGGCAGCTAATCCTTTCTCTCGGGTCCCTTCGTTTCTCGTTCTTTGCCTGCTACGGTGCTCCCCGAACGTTCTCTACTATCTAGCCCTTCCAAATCCTGGCTGTTGAAATCCCGGGGGCATCCCGGGTGGAGGGCCTTGGCCAGGAGGCGGTCCAAATCCAGGTGGAGGACCAAAACCTGGAGGTGGCGGAGCACCCGATTGGGGGAAGCCTTGCTGCTGAGAAGGGTTGAAACCTGGAGGCAGAAAGCCTTGGGGACCGCCATATCCAGCCTGAGAAGGTGGTGGCCGCGCGGGCAAGCCAGATGGAGGTGCAGGTAGAGGCTGCGAAGGAGGTGCGGGGCGCTGCTGCTGCGGTGGAGGTACGTTTTGATAATTCCCATTGGACATGACTGCGCGCCCATTCATGAATCCTGCGACACTGCCTGGACGTCCCCCATCACCGTCAATCATTGCAGCAGGAGCATTGGGTGCCCCTCCCGAAAAGAGGCCTGCTGGCAACGGCTGAGCTGTTGGTTGAACGTTGTGTTTCCTTGCCTGGGCTGCCAGCATTCTCTCAGCTTGGTCACCGTGACGTTCGCCCTTTCCATCTTTCTTGTATGCATATTGGACGGATATCTCTTTGTTCATCAGGTACTGGCCGTTCATGTTGGCAATGGCTTCGTCCGAAGCTTCGAAGTTTGAGAAAGATATAAATCCGTAGCCTTTGGAAAGATTGGCGTCATCTCGAGCGACCTGTCAACGATTAGCTTGTTCTAGCGAGGGGCCTGGTAATGGAATGTCGTACCTTTGGGGCAGAGATCAGACTGCCAAACCGGCCAAATGTGTCATACAACGTTTGTTCGGTAACCATGGGATCTAAATTGCCAACGAATAACTCTGCTCCAACCTCTACAGTCTTCTGTTTGTCCGCTGAAGCCTTATTGACTCTTATAGGCTTGCCGTAAAGTCTGACTTGGTTCATGATTCTTGCTGCATACTCTGCATCTTCCTCGCTGATGAACTCCACGAAGCCATATCCCTGATGAGTCTGGGTGACCCGATCCTTTGGTAGATGCACGTTGACTATCCGCCCAGCTTGTAGCATCAATTCCCACACCAGGCTATCCGATACTCGTTCATCTAGATTCCCAATGTATACTGTAGCTTCCTTATCTTGTTCCCTGAGCCGAGTGTCAGTCGCGCCAATCACCACGAGAGTCATAACGTACCAGTGCCTAGCGCCAGACATGCTGGCCAGTTCTAAGTTCTTCGAAGCCTAGCAAGCTGATGCTTTAATCTGGATGAGATTGAGCCTGAGCGGTCGAAAGTATTCCCCGTATTTTAAACTCTCTAGTCTATGTATTTCATTTCTAGCGTGTTTTCGGACAAGTTGCCAATCTTTTCGATCTCAAACGCTCGTCACAGTGACAACCCAGCATCAAGCAACACCTGCTCGCACAAACAAACAGTGCGCTTCCGCAATGATGTGGCAGCCTTCTGAAGAGACAAAGGTATGCCCGCATTCTATCACATACGGCAGGTAATGCAGATTGCTCATTATTGAACATAGGAGAGGATCACCAAGATGATCGATATCTCCAGAGTTGCCATTCATTAGTACAACCTCTTACTTCCCTTGAAGGCTTCCTAAGCTAACAAGGCTCAGTGGATATCTTCCGTTGATCTTGTATCTTGGTGCGACCTAATTTAGGCACGAAGCATGGAGGCAAACGCTCATTTTTGGCAGGCTACACCATGAGTAATCCTAAGCCAACCCTCATAAGGTAGGCATCGCAAGCGCAGATGTATCGGGGAAGTGTCTGGGACGTATCTAACATGAGAGCAGACTTATATCGCCCTTGGCGGAGTAGCTGGTTTCGGGGAAAATGGATGCGGAGCGCAGGGACCATAGCTCACGATGCACAAAAATCTAGGGAATGGGCTAGTGAAGGGAAGGCATCAATCGACAGAATGCCCTATGGCTGTGGGCATTGGGTCCCGCGATCAAGCAATAATGGCGGAGTGGAAATAAAAGCCAAATTATGGGCAAGTGACCTTAAGGTTTCTTCTCCGTGTCGAGCTTTTGTAAATAGATCATATTTCACCTCATTCCTGCAAGTTGGGTTTCCCTATCCACCACGCCATGAGTAAAGAATACCGACAGCTCCCTCGAGGGCTCATAGAAGCATTCGCGGGCTTTGCGGCTGGGATTGCGTCGGTACGATGTTGTCATAGAATTCAATGCCTGTCCTAACATGTCAGACTTTAGTTGCCCACCCGCTAGATGTGATCAAGACACGGCTACAAGGTAAAATCTAAGAGTACTTTTCTGCCACGTACCGATACTGAAAGGTGAATATCCTGGCCAGTTGACCGAGACTCTCCTTCACAGTTTGGGGGCTCGCTGCGACTGGTAAAAAGAATTGTCCGCAATGAGGGGACCATCAGCGCCCTCTACCGGGGCCTTACGCCTAACCTCGTAGGCAATTCGTTAAGCTGGGCCTTGTACTTTGTGTGGTATGACAGAACCAAAGAAGGGATTCGATCATATCGAGGATTCGAGAACGGTGGACTATCGTACTACGATTTTTTTATCGCGTCTGGTACTGCAGGTACGCCATCACCTTGATACGTACCTATCGCCATACTGACATCTGATCTAGGTGTCCTGACTGCCGTTGCGACGAACCCAATCTGGGTTATCAAGACACGGATGTTGTCTACATCTAGCAGCCATCCGGGAGCATACAAGTCCATATCTGACGGCACGCGACAAATCTACCGATCAGAAGGTCTGCTAGGATTCTACCGTGGCTTGGTCCCCTCACTCGTCGGCGTCTCGCACGGGGCTCTACAGTTTATGGCGTACGAACAGCTCAAGATCTACAGAGGTCACAGCTTGGACGGGGGGCAGAAGGATCTGGGAGCGGCAGATTTTTTAGTGCTCAGTGGGCTCGCAAAGATGTTTGCGGGAAGCGCAACATATCCGTATCAGGTTGTACGTGCACGGCTGCAAATGTACGATGCAGACCGCACATACAAAAGTGCGAGGGATGTCGTTGCCCAGGTGTGGAGGAAGGAGGGGTTGGCAGGGTTCTACAAAGGGCTGGGGCCGAACCTGCTCAGGGTGATGCCTAGTACTTGGGTGACCTTCCTGGTGTACGAGAAAACCAAAGTGCTGCTTCCGCGGATGCTGGATCAGAGAAGTCAAATATGATACGTTGCACGAAAGCTCTGATTCAATGTTGCATAAAACGAGACAAAGACTCTCCTTGATGTCTGCACACCAGAAGGGTATGCAGATTATCTCTGCACATGGCATGTGCTTGCCAGTCACTGCTCTTCGATGCAGATGCCAGATTGGTACACTGGTGAGGGTAAGGTAGGTAAGTAAGGTGACAAGGTGTTATTTTTTATTATTATTATTATTATTATTATTATTATTATTATTATTATTATTATTACTATCATTACTATTATTATTATTATTATTATTTATTATTATTATTATTATTATTGTTATTATTATGATGGGATAATAATCATCGCCTGTGACCTGTCTGAGTGGAATCGATTATGCATGCTTGGATCGAGACCGAGACCCTCGTTCATCAAGCGCTAAATTAGGGCCCGTTCATTTTTACTTTAGGTCCCGAGCTGCTGCATGGCACCTCCAGCGGCCCAGAAGGCTAAAAATTAGAGGTGTCTCCGCCCTGGTGCGCCGAGTAGTTCCTCCTTCTGTGTCGCTCGCTCCACCACCTTTCTTCCAATTCTCATCATCTTTACTCCTCCTTAACATTACCTCAGGAGCAGACGCCTCAACTCTTTTGCTTCTGATCCATTTCTCATTGCTTTACTTGCCACCAACACCTCCCATACGTCACCAATCCTCAACAGCCATACTGCAGTTTGACCCGTGGAATTTGGCTTTCGTCATACGGTCTAGCTCTCTTTCCCTACCTCCTTCGTGCCTGGCTCCCATCGACGTGCTCCAACAGCGTATTTGGGCAAATATTCGATTGCCAACACCATTCAAGCACCTACGCGCTCTCTACAGGCATCGAGAGGCCGAGATCGTCCACTGTCCGTGCGTTCCACGTGCGGCTTTTTCATACCCTCGCAAATATACCATAACTTCCGATCGCTGGAGCAGCACTACCTTCCTCCTCAAATCGCAATCCCACGTCTGAATTGTTGGAAGATCTGCCAGCTGCCGTCGCCAAGACCACGCTTGGAGCGAATCTCAATCAACATGTACAACGCGCATCGTGGTGGGATGGGGCCGACATCCGCCAACAACAGCAACAATCGTTTGTCAGAGTTGTTTGATCAGATCCGAAGGGAGTTCGATGTCCATGCACAGGACAGAGCTGGTGAACATGATCAAAATAGTACGTTGGTTACGTTTCCTGAGTGATTCGCGAAGGCGTAGCCACTGCCTAAAGCTGCAGTTGGTCGCTGCTTCGTTACTATCAAAGTTGCAAGAGATCCTCAAACGTTGTTGTTCTTCCTGAATGCTAGCTCCTCACAAGCCCACATGATCAGGAAGAAGCATGAGAGCACAAAGAGAGCGAGCACTTTCGAAGAGAACGCTGACACAAGCGGAAAATATAGTGGCGGCTCAGATGCAAGAGATGGAGCTGGTTAGACAGAAGGTGTACGAATTAGAGCGTAATCAGATGCAGATCAAGCAAAGGTACGCCGTCGCGCTAGCGGCATGACACCGTAATCGCTAATGATTTGAACCAGATACGATGAAGACATTGCCCGTCTACGCCACGAGATTGAAGCTCGTGGGGGCCCCCTTCGCATGTAGGCGTCAGTGGTTTACCGCCCCACGGTGGAGTGGCACAGCCTGCGCCTCCAGCAATTGGTCACGGTCCAAGCAACTTGTTTGGTGGCATCATGGCAAACCCTCCGGGGCAGGGTAACCCTGGCTTGGTGCCACCCTCGCAGGATCAGCAGCAGCAGCAAGGTCCACCTCCCCACCAGATGCCTCAACCTCAGCAAGGATTGCAGTCCGGTCCTTATCAGGGAAACTATCCTCAGCCGCCAGTAGTGAACGGTAAGACGCAAACGTTTATGGGATTAGGATCGTCGTTGGTAGCCCGTCCAATGCTGACGTATGTATACAGGTTACGGATCGCAAGCGCAGATTGCTTCCCCAGGTCCTGGCAAGCCACGCAACAACCGCGGGCCTTTGGGCCATACGAATACCCCGCAGCAGTCTCAACCTATGTCTTATTCGGGAGCTTCCCCTCAAATGGGAAGACCAAGCCCTCCTCCGCCGTTCCACAACGTTGGCAACATGCTTGCAGACCTGGATCCTGATCAAATGAGGCCAGAACAGAAACGTGATGGGAACGATTGGTTCGCAATCTTCAACCCCAATGTGCGACGGGTGTTGGATGTTGACCTCGTTCATAATCTTCTCCACGAGAGTGTTGTTTGCTGCGTACGTTTCAGCCGCGACGGAAGATATGTGGCCACTGGCTGCAATCGCTCGGCGCAGATCTTCGAAGTCTCGACTGGCAACCAGGTTACTAAACTACAGGACGATTCAGTCGACAAGGACGGCGACCTGTACATTCGAAGCGTATGCTTCAGTCCTGACGGATTGTACCTCGCGACTGGTGCAGAGGACAAGCAGATTAGAGTAGGTCTCTCAATGCCTTGTGTTGATGTCAAAGGTCTGACTAATCCTCTACTATAAGGTTTGGGATATTCAAAGTCGTACTATCAAGACCACCTTTGCGGGCCATGAGCAGGATATCTACTCTCTAGACTTCGCTAGCAACGGCAGACACATCGCTTCTGGAAGTGGCGACCATTCAGTCCGCGTTTGGGACATGGAGTACAACCGCGAGTCTCTCAATCTTATGATCGAAGATGGCGTCACAACCGTAGCGATCTCCCCTTCAGGCGACTATGTCGCAGCGGGCTCCCTTGACAAGAGCGTTAGGGTCTGGGACGTACGCAATGGCCACCTCATTGCCAGACTGGATGGTATGGATGGCCACAAAGATAGTGTTTACTCTGTGGCCTTTGGACCGGATGGCGAAACCTTAGTTAGTGGCAGTCTGGACAAGACCATCAAGATGTGGCAACTCTCTCCTGACAATAGAGGAGGCATGATGGGAGGTGGAATGATAAGAGGTGGGAGGTTGGTGAGGACCTTCGAAGGTCATAAGGTAAGCGAGGCCCTCCGCTCGCGCGAACGATCGAAGGCGGATCCTAATACAAACCCCGCAGGACTTCGTTCTCAGTGTGGCACTTACTCCAGATGGCGAGTGGGTACTGAGTGGTTCGAAGGACCGTGGGGTCCAATTTTGGAACCCACGCACTGGCGACACACAATTGATGCTTCAGGGCCACAAGAATTCAGGTACGATGTTTGTCCTTAGCGGACTAAGACTTTTGCTAACAGCTGTCCACTACCCAGTCATCTCCGTTGCTCCAAGTCCTCAGGGTGAGTTGTTTGCAACAGGTAGTGGAGATATGCGTGCTAGGATTTGGAAGTAAGTTGCCTCTGCATCTCGTCCTTGCATGGCACCAGCGTACTAATTCCGAACCACTACAGATATGGAGCTTACCGGGGCACTTAGACATTAGTCAAGAAGAGGGCCGGTGTTAGAGGGACTGGGTGGACTGTACTCGCAGAATTCAGACGATCGTTTTCTCAGCAAATTTCAATGGAGGCGGTCTTCGTTAGATACCAGGAATAGGTGAATTGTCCAATGGATTAGTATCCCAGTAATCGTATCGTTGCGAAACCCTGCCCTATCGACTCCTGGCCTTATAAAAAGCAATTTTCGGGCGATTAAAAAATGTGTCTCACAGTTATTGAAGAAAAATGAATGACTAAAGCTGGCTCTTTGCCTGCCAAAATGTACCGCCAATGCATGACCAGCTAGATTATTTCTTGACGCTCTACGACTTTACGGTGCAATGGCTACTTGAGCCTACAGTAAGCGCGGTTGGCGCGCTCCTATTCTCAACCGAGCCTTCTCCCACAAAAGTCGTACTAAGATTTGATTTGATATCCATTGCAGAACTACATTCCAAGATGACCGAACACCTGCAATCGAACGTGTCTCAGGACCTCGTCTGGGAGATATGCCGTATGTTTCGGTATGCCATCACTTCGTATGGACCTCAGTCCTAATGAATCAATGCCAGGTCCGAACAACGCATTCTTGGTGAAGCGCAAAAGCGGAGGGGGTTCCCAATTCTCGAGAGATCCTCTCAACTTGATGAACAAGCACTCTAGGAAGGTAGGCTGCAACTCCCAAGCTCACTTATTCAACGACTGACGATAACCCTAGTATGCCGGCTTCGTCAATAACAAGGTACGCAATACTAGTGCTCTCGCACCAAAAAATGAATGCCTAGATCGCTCGAGAATGGAAGCTGATTGCTCTCCTTGGAGTAGGCCGTTGGCATTCATCCTGCAGAGAAAGGCGGCGTGACGTTGGCTACCAAAAAGACAAAGCATCTCAATCGACCCGCAGTCAACAAGAACGAGGTCTCGTGGAGCGGGCAGAAGTCGGGACCAAAGTCAGTCACCGCTGTACGATCCCGAAGTTTGGAGTTCAAATCTGCTGACCAGCTGGCAGAATTTACAAAGGTATCGTCAATTACACAGCGAAGCAAGGCTACCGAGCAGATCTTCGTCAAGAGGCCGTTGCTCGCGCCAGTGCTATCCGCGAATCACAGAGACCAAAGAAGGAAGATCCTGAACCGAAAATTCGCGGCTCAAAAGCAAAGAAGGCGGAAGAGAAGTCTACGTGATGAGTCTTGAAGGGAGATGTGACAGGGCTCTACCATGCTGCCACATTGCGAGGCAGTACCCAGCTCGATCTTAGCCCACACGCAATACAATATGGAGTCGATGCATTTCTTGCGACCGCTCTGCTTTGTATGAGAGGTATGCTGAGCGTTGGGGAGATGGTGTTGTGCTAGAGACCTTGTAAAGCCGCACAAAATACCAACATGATATGAGAGTCTTTGCTCAGATGGACGACGTATTGGCATAACGTTAGAAATGTGAAAGTTAAGGTAGGCATCGTAGACAGGTAGGTAGTAGCTCCATAAGTCGATAACCCAAAAAGCAGATTCTGAAGTCTGTCAACGGTCAAACTCAAAGCGCCTTAGTGCCAGTCGGCCGTTCATGACCCCGCGAGCCCCGCCAAAAACATTCAGCTTTCTTACTTTGGTGGGGTTTTAGGGGCTTTAGGGGGGGTTTCTCCGGCCAACCTCCAACCAACGCATTCGATCAACCTCACCGACTGTCCGACAAAACCTCTTTCCTCTTAATCCAATCTACCCGTTGCTGGTAGCGAAGTCAAATACGTTTTCTTCAAGTCCTCAAATTACTGACGGGCAATTGCAGAACATCTCGTACCTCATCTCACTCAGTCAAGATGGTCAAAGCAGGTAGGCATTGCCGTTAGCACAACGTTGGCGTTCCCTTTTCTGACAGCTGTCCAGTCGTTCTTGGGGCCTCTGGTGGCATTGGCCAGGTAGGGAGCTCTTTGCTGAAACATGTCAAGCAACTAGATCAGTGCTGACGTTGCTTCGCCCAGCCCCTCTCCCTTCTCCTGAAAGCCAGCCCATTGGTCGATGAGCTCTCACTCTACGATGTTGTCAATACTCCTGGCGTCACAGCCGATCTCTCTCACATCTCCTCAATAGCCGTATGTGCCCCTAAAGAGAGTCATTTAAGGTCTGGTAACTAAGAGACAACAGAAAATCACGGGATATCTACCTGCTGATGATGGCTTGAAGAAGGCCTTGACTGGAGCAGACGTCGTACTCATCCCTGCTGGCATTCCTAGTCCGTAATTCGAGCTTCAAGCCACGCATTCAAGAGCTGACGGAGAAACAGGAAAGCCTGGCATGACCCGTGATGATCTCTTCAAGATTAATGCTGGCATCGTTCGCGACCTCGTCAAAGGCATTGGAGAGTACAGCCCAGAAGCCTTCATCTTGGTCATCTCTAACCCAGTAAACTCTACTGTTCCCATTGCTGCCGAAGTCATGAAGCAGGCCGGCAAATTTGACCCAAAGCGTCTGTTCGGTGTCACCACTCTGGATGTCGTCCGCGCCGAGACTTTTGTTCAGGACATCACTGGCGAGAAGGACCCTTCCAAGACCGTCATCCCTGTCATTGGTGGTCACTCTGGCGAAACCATCGTACCTCTTTTCAGTCTCGCAAAGCCTGCAGTTAAAATTCCGGCAGAGAAGCTCGCGCCTCTAATCAAGCGTTCGTCACTAGCTTCCTGAAGGTAGTCATCTTACTAACCAGAGGTTAGGTGTCCAATTCGGCGGAGATGAGGTCGTCGAGGCTAAAGGGGGCGCAGGATCCGCAACTCTCTCCATGGCATACGCCGGTTTCCGGTAAGGACGTTCATGGTCCCTCGTCAGGCGCATGACTTGCTAAACTTTCTGCACCTAGCTTTGCGGAGAAGGTGATCAAGGCTGCTAAAGGCGAGAAAGGAATCGTTGAGCCGACGTTCATCTACCTACCAGGTGTCACTGGCGGCGATGCAATCGCCAAAGAAACTGGTGTTGATTATTTCTCTGTACCTGTCGAGCTCGGGGTACGTCTGCAACGACCTTCCTCCCAAACTGATGTGTATTAATTGTGCTTTAGCCCTCTGGAGCGGAGAAGGCCAACAATATCCTCCCACAAGTAAATGATGACGAGAAGAATCTTCTCGAGGCTTGCAAAACCGGGTTGAAGGGCAGCATCGAGAAAGGTGTCGAATTCGTGCACAACCCACCGCCAAAGTGATTCACCCATATGTCGGCTTCTCGTTTGTCTCGGCTTCCCCACTTCTTTGATACTTTATTTCATGTCTCCCACATTCACGATCCCTCAAGTGTCTACCCCAAAAGCATTATAGGTAGCAAAGTTTGGCTAAGATCATCTCACTGATCGAAGCATTTCCAAGTAGGCTATGAGATCCCGCTCAAACAATTGCGCAGGCATCAGCGGGCAGCAGGGTTATATTTCTTAGCTTCTAGAAGTCTGCAAGCTCACGATAGAGACTATAAGCAAGGCTTTTAGACATGAATTCACGGACATCTTTTCCACATGTCTATCAAATGCTTTTGGTCGTCATCGCTAGCAAATCGAACACCAACCATGCCGCTAAGCATCAGTGAAAAGCAATGCAGATGATGGGTATCAAGATTTAGCAGTGATAGTCTTGATCTGAAATGTTGCAGCTGGAAGTTCTGAAGTCTCCGCTTGCACCATCGCGTTGATCCCCATGCTTGCCAATGTCCCTCGAATAATACCACATGGAAACCAGAGAAACTTCAAGGAGCGTTAGCATGCTAGCAATCTGGGCTCCATAGCAATCTGGGCTGTACCGGTTGCGCGCGGTGTACTGCTTCCGACGACGACACCATGCTCATGCGTGAGAATGGTTTGAAGCTGTTGTCGGTGAGAACGTAGACACCCTGCATACCCGTTGATCAGCAAACCCTACATGTTCGGTTCCTGAAAGTAAAGTGTAGACAATCCATACTCGGTGGTTCGTCTTCAGGTTGTCGATCTGCTTCCTGAATACCAGCGTCCACATGTCCTTGCACAAGAACTTAATCACGTCCAATGTATCTGTGAATCGTGGCCGATCTCTCGAGAACCTGTCCGCAACACCCAATCATGAGCAAGCAAGATTTCTTGATCGTGGTTTCCTGTAAGCCTCTCCCATCTTGCTCGCTCAGCACACACAGCAAAGACGCCGCCTCACCTCTCAACAAGCCCTTGCCCAACTCTATAACCTAGCGTCTCCAACCTCCGACAAGCAGCCTCCTTCTGTCCATCTTCGTCCAAGGCCTTCAAGCCATCTTGTTCCGGGTTTGCAAGCTCGCTGGCTAGTCTGTAAGCCATCGGGACCATTTCGATTAGAAGCAGATCCATGCAAGATGCGTTGAGAAAGGTTGCGTAAGGATCCGAGGCATTGTATGGGGGAAGTGGTGTCTCGAAGGACATCGGGACGGCGGGCTGGGAGAAGAAGGACTTTTCCGCGTCATATGGGATTGTGAGACCTCGATACGTCAATGATCATTTTCGGCGTGAAGGAATTGCGGCAGAGATACGTTATGTGCGTACCGTTTAGGTGGGAGGTTGAATACGTTTCAAATGCCAAGAAAATGAAACGAGTCGAACGAAAAATTTCGTCTCCAAAGAGCCTCATTGAGCTTGGATATCATGTAAAGGATTGTTCGTCAATACTATCTAAGACGCTCAAGCCAACGCAGTTGGGGTATGTATGCGAAAAAGCTGTCCGTGCATTTCCTTCCAAGCCTCGAAACCAGTAATTTGAGCAGCTCCTCCGCTGTTTGGAAGACTCCAGAACCCCTTGCAAATGCCGCTCCTATCTCATGCGCCCTACATCACCCTGACAATAATGGTGCACATACCCGTCGCGAGAAAGAAACGAGCTTGTGCCGAATTTAAAGGAAAGAGACCCAGGGGGTTCCTGGCCCCAAGACCTGGACACATCAGACTCATCGTGGCTGCGTGTACTCTTTCGGCGTATGATTTGGGGTGGTGAAAGGGTTCGAAGATGGTTGTCTTGGAACACCTCCATTCTCTCCATTTGTCCTTAAAGGCACGTTTTCCAGTCCAGGGAGTTTGCCGAAGCCACTCGAGGATTTATGGACCAGTTGCTGCCTTTTGGGGCCTCTTGGTGGATCGTCGTCCTCATCACTGCTCAGAGTCAGGTCGACTACCTGACCTGCAGATCGCTTATTACTGGGCGGCGGTAGTGGTGCTGAAGAAGTCGAATGTTCTCTCGATGAGATCGGAGGCGTTCGCATGAGTCCTGGCTCCCGAGAGACCTCCGTTTTCACGGAAGCAAGTCGCGGCAGATCTCGAATTTCTACGAGGTCCTCTTCACCATCGCTACTGGTGCGTCCGTTGCTGGTTCTCGGTGACGGGGCGCCCCCTGCAGTTTGGGGACCATGTACCATTGGGCTCAATGGTAACTTGGTCGACCGACTTCGGTGTCGATTTCAAGATATCGGCTACATACCTGCATATTCGTGTTAGCCACAATCCATCGACAAGTCCAGAAAGGGTCACTGACTGGTCGACTTGTAGATGTTCGTAAGCAGCGGCTTTATTACAGACAGGGCAGGTCCAAGTGGGGGCTTGCTCTTGGAGTTGAAGGAAAGACGAGGCATCGAAACACTGATTGTGACTGCAGACCGATGAACGGCAGGGCACATCGATCCTCAGCGTCGACAATGGACATTTCAATGACATTATTGAGGATGTTGCTACGATTTCCGTGTCTTCCGATCTGCTTATCACTGAAAATCGATGGTCAATATTGTCAAGGTTGATTCCTGGAGTTGAGACTACCTACTCTCACGTACGACTTGCTCTTTCGCTATTGTTTTACCAGACTTGAGCTTCGCAACCAGTTCTTCCACGGGATGACGCTTAACAAGATTGACCACTATCAGAAATCTCTGTAAGTGACCATTAGCTAGTACTCTTGACTCTTAGGATTTCATTACGGGACTGCATCTCATCGTCGTCCAAAAAGACTCACCTTCTTGGTGAGTGCGTATGTAACTATCATGTGGTTATCGTAACCTGGTTTGGGCCGCAGCATTGTGGTGACATCCACAGGTCTCGTTGTCCCCGGCTTGTTTTTGAGGCCCCTGAAATTGGCTTTTACTTCATCTTGATTGATCTTAATCTCAAGCTGATAGGGGAACTCAATGTCGACTTTTGAGAATGGCGACATGGGTTCTGAAGCAGAGTATATCATGGCTCTTGTAGAACCATCCTCACTGAGTCTCTCCGCAATGTCGGCACGAAGATTGATTATCAAATTGACTGTATCTCTTGTCTGCTCTCGGGCTGGAACTTTGTGATTAATCACAGACGTCAAAAAAACACGGACCACTGAATATGAGCATCGGGAACCTAACCTAACGCACCTTTACAATCTAATACTGGCGACAGAGGTTCCAGTATCGAGTAGAAAGGACTGGCTTTGAATTGGGGAGGTCCTAAACTTATGTGAGCACTGTGACTGTAAAAACGCATCAAGGCCGTACATACTCGGCCCTGTTCCATTTATGCTTGGTGCCATATTGTGCGATCCAGGTCTGATAGAGCTGCTGAAAGAGTGCTGGTAATGGTTTGGTGTTGGTACCGAATTATTCGGATACGTGCGAGCAGCAGACGGCGAGGGGGATAGGCGGATTGGATCTAGATCCGGGTTGTTAACGAGGCTCCGGAGACGACTGAAGCCTTCTATGTCGTTATTGTTTCCGTAGCTGTAGAGTTCTGGAAATGGAGTAGGCACGGTCAGCTTATCGGATGGCCTATAACGTTGTTTAAAGTACTGGCCACAGAAGTCTCATATCCACAGTGCTTTTTTGGATAGACCAATTTGATTGTGAAGCCGTGCTGTATGAGACTCACTATTGATGATCCGCGTTTGCATAGCAGCTTTGGCGCCTGAGACTGGAAGGCTTTCCTTTTTCAATATTGTCTTCAGTTGATTGTTCATCAGTGTCTTCACCTTGGCAGACACAATATCGGGGTTGAGGGCGCCTGCGGAAGCCATCTTGGAGCGACGTGAGCGTTTTGGAAATGATCAGTAAGAAGGGCTTCTCGGCCTGAGAAGGCGAAGACGTGGGGTGTTGTAACCCAATTTTGACATGTAGGAAGAGAGAGGATTTAAGAGGGAATACCAAATCTTCTTGAACTCCAATTGCTGCAGGTTTGGGCTAAGTGCTGAGACAATGACGCTGAGACGGTTCTGTAGTGTAGAGGTTGAGAGAGTGATGTGAAAGTGCGGTGGAAATTCCGCGCATAAAAAAACACTTCACTTACTCCACAACCCCCCAAAACAGCCTTCCTTTCAAACGTCTACTTCATGCCAGAACCGTCAACGCGCAGATAGCTCGGACTTCCCTAATATTCCAAATAATGGTTTAGATTCTTCGCCAACTGCACACGGAAGAAAACAATCTTTCCACCCAGGCATTACAGCATCGCCCACTCCACTCCTTCACTGCTGCAGCAGAACAGAGTCGTCCCACACAGAGCATACAACGCCACTTTGAATACCGAGATCTACACTTTCCACGGGCATGGCTAAGGGTCTAAGATCAAGCCGAAACAAGGCAAACAAATCAAAGCTGCGATCCAATGTCTTTGGACCCGCGGAAAGTGCAAGGAAGGAGCGGTTGTCAGCCAAACTGATTGAGCTCGCCTCAAAGATCCAGTCAAATCCTGAGGAGGACCTGAAGATGGTGGATAGAGAAAAAGGTTGGCGTCTCCATGAACAGTCGCTACGGACCCAAGAGTTCTCTGACTTTGTGGACGCCTAGTGACAGAGCAGGAGATCGCTAAGGAACCAGAGGCACACGTCCCTGCAAGCGAAGAGGGTAGGCTTCCCTTTCCGGAGCCTTCACTTGTAGCTCGACGTGCTAACGCATCTCATTACATCTACAGAGATGGATAACGATCAAGCAAAACAACCCAGCTCTACAACGGAGTTGGTATCCAGAAGCACTAGCCGGGTACAGAAACGAGGACGAGGCAAAGCAAGAGCTTCGATGGTTTTTCCTATCTACAAAAAAGGAAAGAGGGTTGGACCACGCTTGAGCGCGAGGGACAGAAAGAAAAGTCTAAGACCTTGAATTGTGTGGGTTTGCCCCAGTTGGACTGTATGCTATGACTTGTGCACCGGCGCCCCATAGATGAGTAGCACAGATGAGTAGCACAAACTATGAAGGTTGCTGTTCTGTCTCAATGTTCTGGAAGCGTGCCCTGTCGGAGTATTTCGTCTTTCACCCAGACTGTAGAGCCAGACCGAGCGAGATACGACCAAGCACGACCAAGCACGATCAAGCACGACCAAGCGATCAAGCGATAAAGCGAAAAGCTTTAAAGCGATACAAGTAGAGTAACTGGGGCTCTGGCTAAGGCTGACGGGAGATCTTCGCCGGCGTAGAGGTGCATGAGCGCCATGAGGCTTCCCGGACCGCATAATAGCAGACTCGAAACATTGAGAAGATACAAACTTATGCTTGGGAAATCACTAAAAGTGGTCAGCATTACTTAACCTTGTCTACTGGCAATGCCCGTAAGAAGTATATGCCTTCTTTGGTCAGCAGCCACAAAATGATCAAGGTCATCAAGCATGCTTCTGTCATGTCGCGAAGCCTTTCCTTACTGCTCTTGACCCTCGCAAATCTACTGATACCCATATCTATCTTTATCTTTGCAACCGGTTTCTTTCCTTACAAACCTTTTATACCAGGCAGGGCCACCTTCCAGGACCCGAACAATGGCGGCCAACTTGCATCAGCACCGTTCGACAAGGTCATATTCATGGTGGTCGATGCGCTCAGAAGGTTGCCTCCCATTCTACATCAGCGTCAATCAATCACACTAATTCTCCTAGTGACTTCGTCTACTCTCCCGAGTCGGGCTTCAAATTTACTCAAGCGTGAGCTATCAGTGTGGTGCATCTAGTGTCTCTAGACGCTAATTTACTTTCCCAGCCTCATAAGATCCGGCGCTGCCATGCCTTTCACCGCCCATGCAACTTCGCCTACCATTACCATGCCCAGAGTCAAAGCAATCACCACCGGATCCATCCCCTCCTTCCTTGATGTAATTCTCAACTTTGCCGAGTCGGACACGACTTCCAATCTTGCAAGTCAGGATACTTGGCTCGCTCAATTGAAGGACAAGCAAGGAGGAAAGCTGGTCATGTATGGGGACGATACCTGGCTGAAGTTGTTTCCCGATACCTTTCTTCGTGTCGATGGTACTTCAAGCTTTTTCGTATCGGTCAGTGGTTGTTCTTTTAAGGAAATGTACAGTAGAAATAGCAGTACTAAGAGTCAATTGCCAGGATTTTACCGAAGTAGATCATAATGTGACGAGGAACATTCCGTCAGAGTTGAAGCGGAGCGACTGGAATGGCATGATCATGCATTATCTAGGCCTTGATCACATTGGGCATAAATCCGGACCACGAAGGTAGCCCTCATACGAGATCATGTTTGACCAGGAGCACTAATTCACCCAGTCCTCACATGGTTCCGAAGCAGTCAGAAATGGATGGCATTGTCGAACAGATATACAGAGCAATTGAGACGGAGGAACATCTCCACTCCACGCTCTTTGTCCTGTGCGGCGATCATGGCATGAACGACGCTGGGAACCATGGGGGCTCGGCAGAAGGCGAGACCTCTCCAGCACTGGTATTCATGTCCCCGAAGCTTCAAACCATTTCCCAAGGCTCCGAATCCCCGGTCGCCTTGCCCGAAGCCACGTTCAGCTACTACAACACGGTAGAACAGTCCGATATCGCCCCCACTCTTGCTGGCTTACTGGGCTTTCCAATACCGCTCAATAACTTGGGCGTGTTCATACCAGATCTCCTGGGCTTTTGGGAAAAAGGTTGGTGAGATCTAAAGAGCAATGTCCGCAAGGGGACTTCGGCTGATGACCCTTGTAGACGTAAGAGTAGGCCTTCTCTTGCAGAACGCTCGACAAATCTTAAATATTGTCCGCGGCGCTTTCCCCAGACTATCATTCAGCGAAGCCGAAACGCTGGATGACTGTACTTTGGCAATGTCCGCTGGAGAGACGCTGAGCTGTCTTTGGTTCGACGCAGCAAGCCTAGTAGATGTTCCCAGTCACATCGACACGGCTGCAGCGCTGCATGCGTTGACAAGGGTCAGTAACAGGGTGGGCCTTCATCTATTCGACTGCTGAATGATCGCAGTTCTCCAAACACGCTCAAGATGTCATGAGCAGCACTGCGAGTAACTACAATCTGTCGAGACTCGGTATTGGTATTGGTCTAGCCGCACTGGCAACGGTTGCAGGGACAGCGACTGTCTCTACAGCCTTGCTCGAAACCCAAGCGACCGGACTGTGGATCTCACTCGTTTTCACTGCATATGGAATCATGATGTTTGCAACCAGCTACGTTGAAGAAGAACAGCACTTCTGGTACTGGGCTTCTTCCAGCTGGCTTGGATGGCTGCTTTTGAAACGGTAGGACTTGCATTCGATCGTAAAGTGTGACTTGTTAATGTCGTACAGGCGCAATGCTGCGACGCTGCCAGGCTCGTGGGAGCTCTGGTTTGCAGCTTCGCTGCTGGTACTATTGCGAATCGTTCGCGCCTGGAATCAGACAGGTCAAAAGCATGCCGGGGAGCCAGACATCGCAAGAACTTTCCTCCCAGCACACAACATATTACTGTGGCTTCTTGTGCTCGTAACATATCTTGATGTTATCCAACGCCTCTCGAGGAGGGCCTTACCATGGGCCTCTCGCCACCTCGCTACAGCAGCTTCCCTAGCTTTAGGCATTGCAGCACTGGGATTCAAAGTTGCGTTTACGAAAGCTGATGCTCCAGAACTCCTCGAAGGCCTCGGATATCTTTGTGTAAGACCTTTCGAACAGGCATCGTTAGTAGCTCAGGCAAGAGCCATATTCACAGGTATTGCTATCATGACGGTGCTGACCAGCTTTCCTGCGGTATACCAAAGGGTACGGGGAGGGCGAGAAAGCAAAGGTAGAGGTCAACTCAAGCCCATTGGGAAGTCCGCTCACTGAAATCACTCCAGATATCTCGCGGCCTGTCCACGACCTCTTCACACTTTTTTTCCTCACCCAATCCCGAGCCACCAACGTCCCCCTTTTTCTTTTGTTCGAAGTTCAATACCAAGCGCTGGATTCCCTTCGACTCTCGGGTATCGATTTGACATTGACATCTCTGCTTTTTCAACACGTATCATTCTTTGCCTTTGGCGGCTCGAACGCCATCTCCTCGATTGATCTTTCCAACGCTTACAACGGTATCGATGGATACAACGTAGTGGCTGTGGGTGTGTTGACTTTCTGCGGTAATTGGGCGGGTCCCTTGTGGTGGACGTCCGCAACAGCGCTGCTTTTGTCCAGGCGAGATAAGCAGCATCAGAAATGGATTCGGCATCTGTCCTTGCTCTCTACTTTTGTCTCGAGTAGCCTTCTGTTTGTAATGCTTGCATGTACAGCTTTGCGAGCGCATTTGTTCATCTGGACGGTCTTTTCGCCCAAGTATCTCTACAGCATAGCGTGGAGCATGGGGCAACATCTCTGTATTAATATTGGCTATGGTAGCCTGCTTTTCTGGATAAGCTCCTGGCAGATTGGAGCTCAATAATAGACCACATGTATAATCAATCATTGCAAGTCTTGGATAGCTCAGAATTCAGAGATGGGCTCTCAAAGTTCAGTTCAAACCTTGGAAAAGGTCATCAATAGCATTGACTGGCTTCCTCTGCCTCTGCCTCTTAGTAGGCGCTGACGATGCACACGGCTTGAAGCCAGCAATGGCGTTGCCGGGTTCTGGTTGCGGTGATTCAATCTCACCGTTTGCTGTTTTTTTAACTCCTGGGCCAGCTCCTTCCCTTTCACGAAGGCGCTTTTCCGCACCCCTACCGCGTTCTGGTCCGGTGAGAATGTCGAACGCAAGGGCGGAATATACCCCCACATCAGTCGCGTGGCTCGAAGTAGTTCTCCGCACAGCTTCACCAAAATCCTCAGACAGATTCAAAGGAAAATTGTCTTTGCTGTCCACAAGCTCCATTGCAGGATCCATTCGGTCTTCGGCTTGGTCAGTATAAGGGGCCACAAGTCTCCGAATTCTAGAAAGCTCTGCAACAAGTGTCAGGCCAAGCGATGAAAATTGACTATCTTGGATTAGTTGAGTGAAACACCTGAGGAGAGATTAGACCGGAGTCAAAGAGGCAACCACATTAACCCCTTCTAACTTACGCGTAGCACCTCGGCAGCAAGACTTGATACATGTGTTTCACGCGGGCTTGAGCACGCAAAATGTCTCTCGCTTGAATTTCGTGTATCAACTTGCTCAAGCAGTGCTTCAGCATGGAAAACCATTTCCACCACTTGGAGTGCCGATGCTGGTTCTTGTTTCGATGATGTAGCAGATGGAAGGTATGAGTCGCTACCTGCATTTGGGTAATTTCCAAGTCCATTTTTTCAGAGATGGCCGTCACAATGATATCATTTGCGTAAGCCGATGCCCGATTCCCTCATTATTCTAATTATGGCGCTGACAGAGATGATGGACAGCAGGTCGAGAAAACTGTCTCGCCTGTCCTTTAAAAATTCTGATTATTCTGGTTAGGTCACGTGCTTCCAATCCGACTATGGCGAGCTACCTACGCTTTGATGGAACAGGCAATTCAGGAACTCCGTCAGGAGTCATAATGTGACTGGCTGCTCTGAGGTGTTGAACAGCTACGAGTAAAATATAGTGACGAAGCTACTCAAGCGACGAGATGCCTCTATGTCTCTCCCCTCCAGCCACAAGCCATCGAACATCACGAAAAAATCCCCCTAGAACAAAATAGAACCAGCGAAAGAAGCGAAATTTAATACCACATCACCGATAGCTGCACACTCGTGTATACAGCCCCTCTCAAACACATCAAGGCCTCCAATTCGATCCCTTATACAATTGAGATTTCTTTCTTTCTTGTTCGACGACACCAACAGGCCATTATTCTAGGGCAAAATGAAGCGACTGGTGATGACGGCAACGCTAGCTGTGACTGTCTCTGACGGCGTTCAAGGAAGCTACGGATGATGCAAGTCCGATAACATGATCCTTGGCATCGGGCGATATTCTCGAGCTAAGCGGATCTGCGCCAGACGCTTCTCCTCTCCCAGCTACAATGGAGTCCCTCCATAGTCTGGGTAGCACGGACCTCTGGAGCTCCCATAGGGACCAACGGCATAAAAAGCATTTGGCTCGGTTCTATAGTCGTGATGATGGGTTTCGTATGAATCCTCCATCTCGGCAAGCCGAGTGCCGCGATCATACTGGGACCGACGTCGTCGTTGCTCGTCGCGAAAGTTTTGACCGGCTCTGGGCGCGAAAAGCCCTGCAATCGAGCAGTCAGTTTGCAGAAGAGGCTGAACAGGTTTCATGCAACTGACCAACATGCTCTGCATTTTCAACACTCCGACGCATCTTTGATGGATTGTCTGGGCCTGGAAATTTGTCTTCGGTGCCAGCCTTGGGACCAGTGCCAGTGTGGTAGATCTTTCAAGACTTAGTCAAACTGGTCTCTCGATCGCAACAGGGTGAGTGTACCTTTGGGCGAAAAGACGGAAGCTCGAGCATGACGGAGCTATTGCGGAATTTCTGAACTAGGCAGTCTCTGCCTTGGATAGCTGCTACATGTCAGAATGAAACCTAGGAAAGCATACTTGTAGAGCGAGCGTACTGGCATAGGAGACCTCGGCGACCTTGTCACTATTGTAGCAATTCCTAAGCCCATATCAGTGATTGTGCCGGTTAAAAAGATGTTGATAGATCGTTCTCTCACCAACGGTGGCCGGCTCTAGCATTCACGAACTGTATTTGGGTGAGCCTTCTATCTTTCATGTGGTTGTAACAACTACTAACATCGATGATGGAGTAAGGCTGTTCAACAATTAGCGTTCTGGAAGTTGATTTCCTAAAATTTCTACTTACGTCCTCAAAATTGATGAAAGCATAGCCAACACTGCAAAGGCCAAAGATTAGACCATTTAATAACATTGACTGCCCCAGCAGATTATAGAAAACTTACTTGCAGTTGTTTGCAAAATCTACGTTAATTTGATTAGCGGCAAGCGTCGAAGGACGAGCAAGAGAGCATACCAATCCGTAGATACATGAAGTCGTACTTGCCGAAGCTGCTTTCATCCACGATGTCCTTGAGCAGAGCCTAAGTAATGTAAGTTCAAGCGCGAGTATAGAGCTGTTCCACGATGTACTTGATCAATCTTGTTGGGGATATTTCTCAGCATGATCTGCCATTGATGGTCAGCTTGTCTTGGAGATCGAGTAAGGAAGGAGTAAGTATTATACGGTTGTGCGAACATCGATTCCCCGGCGAATACGATCAATATCTACGATGTTATGGTGCCCTGACCCATAGTCGTGGGATTGACGCCCACCAATCTTGCTTTGGCCCCTATTTTGTGGGGGATAGTATCCTTGACGCTGATGTACTCGTAGAAGTGTGGGTGTTCCACGCTCTTGTCCAATAGCACCGGGGTTGAACGGGGACCAGATCGGCGATTGAAACCCTGAGTTCAAGAAAGGGCTGTAGTTTGGATTTGGACTCCAAATAGGACTCTGATTAGAGGTTCCGCCCACGTAGCCTTGGCCGTGACTGTGGTGAGACGATGGTGTATGCTGCTCATTGAAGTCTTTGCGATATGCAAGAGGCCGACTAGCGGGGGCCGAGTGAGGATGCTGAGAATTCGATGAAGAGCTTGAGGTCTCTGGACCATAGGTGTCCAGGCGATCAAACGGGCTCATGCTAGCAAAATCACTCTCCAAGCTCGTCTCCTGTCCTATAATAAGAGGACCAGGTGACTTTGACAGGCTTTGTGTTAGTTCTTCCAGGTCAGGCTGGTAGGGAGCTATGCTCAAGGTACACATCTGCGTGAGTCAGCCATCTGCAAGTACCCGGTTTTGGGGGCAAATCTCACGGCGAAATTCGAACCATTCATACGCAACAAAGCGTTGTCGATTGTGTTGACGTTAGAGTACTCTGCTCGATAAGCCGCTACCGAGGCCTTTACTATGCCTAGTTCGAAGGCTATTATAGAGCCATACTTTTCAAGCGCCTCTTTGATGCGATGTCCAATCGCCACGACATCAAAGTTTTGAGGCAGTCCTGCGTACTCGGCCTTCACCAGGACTTGTCCCTCGTACTCTGAAACAGGAGAGAGCCGGAACTTCTCTGGATGAAATTTCAGGGCAAAATGCTTTGGTAAGATGTACTGAACGTCCCATTCACGGCGGTATGTTTTGATGGTTGAAAACGCTTTGTCACTGTCACGAATATCCGCAAATTTGACGTAGAATAGGCCAGTGACAGCCAACTCAGCAAACACGACATCATTCGGGGGTGAGGTGACATTGTGCTATGCCCCTGTCAGTCGTCTCACAGGAATGGGATTTCGACAAAAACTTACACCCAAAAGCTTTTCGATCTCCTTCGCGGAAGTAGCCTTACTCACTGGGCCCGCCATCAACGACCTCGATTTTGGGACATCGGTAGAGAATTGCCCCAGCCTGATGGATCCCACATTGGTGACCAGAGTGCCGAAAGCAGAGCCTGCCGGCTGAGTTGTGGGGGAAATGGTAGTGTTATTTGAACCAGATAAGAAACTCTTCTTGCCAATCGGACCGTATTGGAGGTTGTTTGAGCGAGACATGGGCGAAAGGAAATCCAGACCTTGTATACCGATACCGCAGATTGGAGCCGAGAGGGGATACTGGAATGTGCTAGAGCTTGAGGTGCCATTGCTAGAGACACTCTCGATCAAGCTCGTAGGAGTGAACGTGGAAGCATTGGGCGATAGCTTGGACCCATCGCCAGAGCTTTGAGTGTTTGAGCTCAAACTTGGAACCGAGAGGAAGGGATCTTGCGATCCAGGCAACGTGGAGTTGCCAGCTTTGCCATTCGGGCCGAAATTGGACTGTTCACGAGCAAGAACAAAGGGTGGTGGTACCCTCGCTCTCACGATACCCTGGTTAACGTGCTTGAGATCCTCAAGGACCTGATCTGGGGAGAAAGGAGAAAGCTTCGTTGCTGGGGTACCGTGGTGTGACTCGACCTCTTCGGACGAATTTGGGCTAGCAGAGGGGGCATTACGGTCATGAGTGCATGCCATGATTGTAAAGTGGGCCTGTTTGAGGGCAGGAACAGTATCTGTCTGGCAAATGGCAGCAACGCCAGGACAGGAAAGAAGGAGGTATAAACCGTCGTGGTCGTTTGAACGATGACAGAGACAAAGGTGTGCTAAGAGAAGCTTCTCACAGCTGGAGTCGTTTTTGGATATGTCCAAGGGAGAAGGCAACAATAGTTGCAAGCATTCAGTTGGCAGACGAAGAGTGTGCAAGAATGTGCATTAGGGGACACAAAGATGTATGGCAGAAGAGGGGCCAAGGGGGAAGGAAGGTTGTTCATCGATACGATACGGTACTAAAGAAGGCTGATACGGGATGGTGACAATCTCCATTCGGAGAGCCATCGAGTTAAAGCATGACAAATAAGGTAGCTAAGATACCTTGTCGTCTTACTTGTCATCGAACAAATCCGAGTCTCGGGCCATCACTGAAGAGGGGTTCTGGTTGAGGTGCACAAGCAAGACCCTGCTGCGTCTGGGCTCTCTCATTGCCCCAGGACAGTCTACAAGATTCAGGAAAGATCCGCATCACTGGAACGCTTTGATGCTTTAGCAGCCTCAATTCAGTCGGAAGCCCATTTTCCACCGACCATGAGGGCAAGCGTCGCGTTCAGTATTGCATTCACTGCACCGACGGAAGCCTGCTCTCAGGTGACACAGGAGAAGGCATGTGTAGTGTTTACCTGCAGTTGGAGTTTTAGAATGCCGGAATCAAGTCAAAAGCAAAGCGTTGAAGTGAACGCATAGCTTGGTTTCGGATGAGTATCAGATGCGTTGGTTAAAGACTACGAGTAGTGACATCAATCGGAGATTGAGAAGAGAGAGGCAGGCTTGGTTGCGTATATGTACGGACGGAGGAAAGTACTAAAGGACGCAGGGAACTTCGGCTAGGATACTAGCTTTTTCTAAGCGCTGCGCCCGCCATCATCGGGATCGCTAAAGTAAAGTAAGTACCTTAGGGCAGCCCGGGCAATTCGTGCCGAATCGATGTCCGCGTACTCTGTACCTTAGGTACCTACATTGTTAGGCTACTGTACTTTACTTACCTACTTCACCAGCTTGATAGTTAGTTGAGACCGAGGGCCGCCTGCGCTTCTTAGACAGTGAAGGACTCCATTCGCGGAGTCCTTCAAAAATATTGGTGATGAGAATTCATGATCACATTGACAACGATATGCCCCATTTCCTATCCCTGCCAGTGTCAACCTAGCACCCCTTGGTGGCTGAAAGCAAGCCGATGTAATGCATCCAACGTTCATTAAAATGCCGTCTGTAATTGATCCTCGAATGGAGCTGGATTATGCTGTGCAGCAGGTAAGTAGACATGCTATATCATTGATGAATGTTGTAGCCTGACTAACACCTACGCCTTACAGATTGTGCAAGCACCCTCCGACAACGAATACTTCAACCAGCTTCTTCCCGCAATCAAGGACGCAAGCAAAGGCGGCCAAAGTCATCAGCTTCTGCGATCCTTGACACAATACTCCGCAAACCGCGAGTCGGAAATTGAACGAATATGCAACACGAACCACCAAGGCTTCGTCAGCTCAGTCAATCAGTTGCTCCACGTACGCGAGGGGACCATCGGCCTAACCTCCGAGATCCTCGCTCTTAACCATTCCATTCAATCAAGCACCGAGAAGCTGGCTGAGCAGAAGAAGGCTCTTGTTGACTCGCGCGGGGTGCGACAAAATATAGACGAAGCTACCCAAGCTCTGCGTGATTGCTTGGATGTCCTTCGATTAGCCAATCAGGTTCACGATCTTCTGAGTAGAAAAAGTCGTTATTCGGCATTGAGAGCTCTTGATGAGCTTCAGAGTGTCCATCTCAAGGAGATAACGCAGTACAAAATTGCGGAGATGATCCAGAAATCAGTTCCTGCCACCAAGAAGCTCATCGCGGAGGCTGTGATGACGGATTTGAACACATGGCTCTTCCGGATCAGAGAGACCTCGCAATTCCTGGGTGAGGTGGCCTTTTACCATACTGAACAGAGAAGGACCCGGCAGAAGGACCGAGCGGAGGCACTACCCGACCTCAGCAATTTCAAGCTGAACTTTGCCATCGAGCTAGTTTCTGATGAGACCGAGGAGTTTGACATCCTAGACAATGAAGATGTCCAAGTTGACTTCACGCCTTTGTTTGAGTGCCTTCATATTCACAATGCCCTTGGCCAGATTGACAGGTTCCGCGCCGAATACGCTGCCACTCGAAAGCAGCAGAAAGAGCTGCTAATGCCTTCTTCCGTGACCTTGATCGACGCAGAAAGCGCAAGCCTGAGCGAGCTGTTGGAAGGCATTGCCGGCTTCGCGATCGTCGAGAAGGCGACGATGAAAAAGACGCCGGAATTGCGCTCTGCTGTTGATGTTGACGAACTTTGGGACTCGATGTGCCAAACAGCCATCACGCTTATCTCCAAGGCATTGCACGAGGTCACCAATGCTGAGGTGCTACTTAAGATTAAAGGCGTCATCGCGCTCTTCATCCAGACTATGGAAGTACGTGAAAACTTGGGCCGCAATTCTTTTTCTTGTCACGTTGCTGATGAGGCATAGTCTTGGAGTTACCCTGTGGCCGCTCTTGATGCTTTTCTTCTAAAGCTCTTCGAGAAGTATGCCGAACTCCTGAAAAGACGTTTCAGTGATGACTTTCAAGAGATTGTCTCGACGGATGACTACATGCCAATGCCAATAAGCAAACTAGATGAGTATGACAAGGTTGTCAACGTAAGCTGGTACACACCGGACAAGCCACGCGAAGACATACGCTTCCCGTGCGTTCTTCCCTTCTCTCAGATGTATCCCCTGTGCTGCATCGACATCCGAAATTTTCTAAATCAATTCTACTTCTTCTCCGACGATCACTTTCAGCATCCAAGGGTTATCGACGAGACTCTCAAGACTTCTCTAGATGAGCTTCTCTCGGAAAGCGTCTGTCGACTACTGGTGGAAAGGCTCAATTCGCAGTATCTTGGACAAATCGTCCAAATCCTGATCAACTTAGAGCATTTCGAGATTGCTTGCCGTGAACTCGAGCCATTGCTTGCTGCTGCTAGGTCTAACGCTTCTGTTGAGGGAAGCGTTAGCCTTAGTGCTACAGAAGAGTTCCGTGGCAACAAGAAAACCGCAGAAAAACGAATATTCGAGCTCGTCAATTCAAAGATCGATGATCTTATCGGTACGGCAGAATATGACTGGATGGCACCCACGCTCGAGAAGGAGCCCAGCAATTACATGCAAACATTGACGAGATATTTGTCGAACATCATGAACTCCGTGCTCTTAGGACTACCTACAGAGATCAAAGAATTGATCTACTTCGATGCACTGAGCCACGCAGCAACTATGATACTGTCTCTTCCTCTGTCAACGGAAGTAAGGCGGATCAATCCTAACGGCGTGGCTGCGCTCGCGAAAGACGTTCAGTATCTTACTGAATTCGTGGATACGCTTGGAAATCCAATATTGCGAGAGAATCTGGACGAGCTTCAGCAAACTATCATGTTGATGCAAGCCGAGAACTCCGATGAATTTTACGACATTGCCACGAGAAATAAGAAATATGGAAGAGTCGATGCAATGAACGGCCCCATTCTACTCGAGAAGTAAGTGTCGGCAGAGCTACGACAATGGGCCGATGGTCGCGCAATATGCTAATATTCGATAGACTCACCCACACGGTGCAGAGTCCAGCTCTTCTGAAAACAGACAAATTCCAGGCCCTGTCCTCGCGCTTTGGCATGAAGTCTTGATAGCGAGTAAGGCCAGGCTGAAGACTTCAAAGTCTAATGCTAGCCAGCTTTTGCCACATACGAGGTGAAGGATCCACGCCAACTACAATCGATTTCACAGGGCTCTTGTGACTGTTTTCGAACCCCCCGGATTCATCAAGCTGCATCCGGAAAAGCCTAAACGAGTTTCCAAGAGGCTACAATAGCTGTACCAAAAACAAGTTTGGACTCACCCCGACTCAAAATAGAACTCCATGCACATAGCCGCACCATAGTCCATAAGATTCAGGAGCGCAGGCCTTGCTTCAGTGATGTTTTCATTACATGGTACATCTAGGCAGACTTTGAGACCTGACCGTCTTTAGATGCTCACATTTAGTATTTCATGCTGGCACAATATGATCGCTACGCCCTTCCACACCGTCGCTACAGTGATTTGACTCTCTTTTCATTCCCAGTGAAATCAGTTTGCCAAAGACACGGAGATACATGGCCTGCCCCGAAAAGGCGATTAACCGACTTCGTAATCTCGTTCACCTTCTGCATCTGCATCCCCTTCGCCTCCCTCGTGTCTTTGATATTGATGGCTCGTATTCTGTCCACCTGAAGGGTCCTGGCCCCTCTGATTAACTGGATACATCTTTCAGACGGTCAGCAATTATCTAGATCAAGGGCTAGGCAGCAGTTGACTTACTGGCTGTGTAGGAAGAGAGTAACTGTACAAACCCTCGAACATCTGTTGTGGTGGGTGGCCATAAGCGTTGGTAGGATCAGGTGGTACTTGAGGAGCGTATATTCCGGGCTGTGGCCTATACTCCTGCTCCTGTGCCATCTGGGCGTTCCCTAGCGAAGAATAGTCCGCATGGCCCATTTGCTGTGACGCTTGCTGAGGGTGGCCGGGTGGAGGTTGCTGTTGAACGTTGTTCGGGGGGGGAATGATTTGGCCGCCTGAAGAGGCTTGCGCTGCAGCAGAGGCCGCGCTTCCCCCTGCGCCTCCCTGACCTCCAGATCTTTTGGCGTGACTTGCGGCTTCTTCTCGGGGAACGATATCGATAAGAAAGTCAAACATGTCGGATTTTGCCAGTGCTGAAGCAATATCTGAACGCTGCAGCGTTCTACGCTTGTTTTCTTCAGCGTGAATCCATGCGCGCATCGTGAGCTCGGTAATGAAGATGTCGCATCCTTTAGCGAACAATATCGGCGCTTCAGCTGAAATCATTTTTACGTCCGGATCAGCCTTCATGACCTTCTTGATTCTGGCTAATGGAAGCTGATGGAGCTTGTAGTCATGGCTCTCATTCTCGAGGCTGTTGATGGTTTGCTGCCAGTAGGTTGTCAAAATATCGCGGTAGTTGCCACTGAGGCCTTGGCTGACCTAGAAGCTTGTCAGCTTTTGATTTGCTAGCCATTTTACTCTCCCAGATCGTTCACATTCGCCCACGTCCCCGTATAGAATTCTGGGGATGTGAAGCCTGTTTGCGCTGCCACCTGTAGCAACGATGAGCCATGTGACGAGAGCTCATCTGGCAGATTTCGTTGTACGTACCGAAGCACTCGCGCCTATTGTAAAATGACAGGATTAGCTTGGAGATTCGAGTCTAGTGAATGGATTTTCCGTTCCTACTTGCACACAGAGAATGATGTGTGCCTGTGGACAGCACGAGAGGTAGGTCACATACCGTAATGTCCCCCATTGGCGGGATCATACCGTGGAAGTGGTGGCTGGTGCTGCTGTTGCTGCCCGGAGCCCGGTGGGTTCTGATCCATGGTTGACTCCGATTGTCGGGAAGTAGTGAAGAAATTGTGAGAGGAGCTGTGATGGGCGCGCAATCGCTGCGCAAGCCTGATTGGTAGAAGGCCGAATGCTGGGGGTTATCTTTCACGAGTAATTGGAACGTGTTTTTAGATAGGTAGAGACTCGGAGAGCAAGCGAGCACGACGTGAGCACTGAGCAGCGGGCACAAAGTCGCGCTTGCGCTGTCGAGGCGGACAACGAGCGGCCGGAGGTATGAGTGTTGTTTATTAGGATCTGTGTGAGCGAATCTTTTGGAGTGGATGAGGCGTTTTGTCTTTTAAACAAGTCAGTCGGAGACAGCAAATAGACGCTCGAGGATCAACCGATCAAGCGTAAGTATACTCTAAGCTTTCTAATTTCTAGGCTCTACCTTACTCTACCTACTTAGTAAGGTGCTTACCTATGCTGTAGCTTCTCAACGACTAAAAGGTTGAACCGTAGATGTACGTATCCCTGTTGGCGGCTAGAAGAGACAGGCGGGGTAAGGTTTTTAAGGTTTCAGCCTTTAGGGGGCAGACAATGACAATAAGGTAAAGTAGGTAGGTAATATATTTAAGGTAACCCCCCGCTGCACGTTGAAGTCATTCGTTGATTATTCTAGAAGCGCATGTGAGTGTACCCAACCATTGATACTACCTACCTACGGTACTATTGTCACTTATCCGGACTCTACTTTATCATCACTGACACTCGATTCTTTTGGGCATGATGAGAAGCCTTCTTATTCTTCCCTAGTCTATCGAATCCAATGAGACTTCGACTTCGTAATTGGAAAGCTTGCTTTCTCCCTGGCTCGAGAATAAAATCACTTCTGTGCCAAGCCTCGCTGTGAGACCATTCTGGGAAACTCTTACCTTATTAGGAAGTAACTAAGAATGATCAAGAACATCAAATTTTTCTCTGATTTTCTCCATTTCTCTCTGTCTCTATCCCTAACATGTCTTAATTAATTCTTAACTTTGGCCTCGCATCCTCTGCAGCTCGACGTACTGCAAATCGACATTAAAAGAATCATCAAAAACAAAATACCGAGCGCGCTCTCTCACAGTTACACTCTCAAAATTAACTACGATCTTAGAGAAAAGCCTAAAGTCGATAGCAACGTCAATTACCTTCGTGCGATATCGCATTATAATCTCAATCTTAGCCTACGACACCTTAAAATCTTTCTTAAACTACTCTCGAAGGTATTAATTCTCTACATATTATCGAGACGTAAATGGATATCTTCAAGCCCGGTACTCCAGACCCCGATATCAAACACCCTACATTCGATGTTTACAATATATATCTACGGAAAAATTAAGGTCTCGACGCTCTAAAACGCGCTTACAGAAAAGCCGAAATAAGTTATTTTCATCTTTAACGAGAGGTTGCCGAGGATTTATATGGTGATCTCGTATATTAAATACGTCTTCAAGAAGAGCGATTCTTATAAGGGCCTATTAGTATCGAATTATAAGACGTCTTAGATTACGTATTTCACGTTGTGGAAGATTAGTGTATGGCGGTCGGTTAGCCTCAAATTAAGGATCAACTTAACTTCGTATTAGCAACTCAGCTAAAAAAGCTGGTTCCGGGGGTGTCTGCGCTTGACAGTTAGACACCTCTATTTGGACCTAAATAGGGCCCCGTAGGGCCCCCGTAGGGACGTCGCTCCTAACACTTCGAGACTTTGTTATGTACGGCGATTCGATATAGAGATCTTAAGGCTATTTATAAGCAACTTCGGATTTATAATTGATGATCGTTGTAAGGAATTTCTTCAGGGGGATTATAGTTATGATCTTGACGAAGCGGACGACCTTATATCGATCTCAAAATGGGCTTTATGTAAATAATTTCGAGCTTGCGAGGACGGCCCCTCCGGCAGGAGCCCCCGGAGGGCCCTCGGAGAGCCCCCGGAGAGTAGGGGGGTTTAGGGGGTCTCCCCTTAATAGAATTGGTATTATGCAGTAGTAATCTTCTCAGTCTTCTCAGTCTTCTCACCTCCTCGGCAAGTTTTCCACTACTGGGTAGCCCCGCGCCCCAGCACATATTACTCAACGTCTCTTGTTTCGAGTCCCCTATCCTGATGGCGCCGGTTCATCCGCTTCCGAGGAGCAAGCGACGTGGCGACGTGTTGTTGACCCACAGATACTAAAGTAAATCATTAATTCTACTCCTAGTGATTTCATTCTGGCGTATGAATAGGATGTCTCTGTGGCACCAACGGAGTCAAATTTTCGAGAGAGAGTAGGCACGTAGCCACGTACTCGAGGTACTTTAATCGCGAAGCCACGCGCGTATTCTAGCTCGTTAAGTAGCGTGCCAAGCAAAACAGTGCGCAAATATTTCAGAAAGTGACCAGGTACCTACTTGATTGACTGACTCTACCCAAGGCGGAGCAACGTGGTCTGATCCAACACGTCATGGCTGCTCTCGCAGCTGAAGGTGTACTCGAAAGCGATGGCTGGGATCAAGACGAGCTCTCCGAAATGAAGGGTTTGCTTCAGCGAGCGGAACGACGCATGAGAAAGCTAGATCCAGCCGGCAAGCATACTATGAAAGCTACAAACTCGTACAGGTATGCTACTGCGGCTCATCTTCCCATGCTACAAATCTAATCTTCCGCCTAGATTACCCAAGTTGATTCCAGGCCCCATAGCGCAACCATACACAACCTCGAACGATGGCATTGCTCGAGCAGACCGGACCCGACTCGTTAATGACAAAGACAGGCAGATTACCGCCCGCCAAGTTGAAGATCTCGTCAAGGTGAAAGAGAGAACCAAGAAGGTGGGCAGCCATGCGTGTCTTCCCTTTTTCCGCCTATGACGAAAAAGTATATTTCCAAATTTTCTTGACGCAGAATCATCAGTCCCGTCTTGGGTACCTGCTCTGCACTCCTGAGAGTCTTTTCATAGTTACTCGGATGGCCTTCTACTCAAAAATCTCGTTATGTACACTCGGGGTGGAAAGCATGGTTAACGCATTTTCCAGGAGCTGCCAACCGCGGGACCAGGCTGGTTCGACATGCCGCGGACAAGATTAAGCTCAGAATTGAAATCCGATATGAAACTCCTCAAGCTACGCAATGTGCTAGATCCACATCGGCACTATCGTTCTGACAATATCAGGGCTTTGGCGCCAGAATTCTCCCAAATAGGTCAAATCATCGAAGGTCCAACCGAATACTACAGCTCGCGGCTACCCAACAAGGAGCGTAAGAGGACACTTGTTGGGGAGATACTGGCCAATGAGAAATACACGGGTCGCTTCAAGAAAAAGTACAATGAGATTCAAGCATCGAAGACGAGTGGGAAAAGAGCGTACTACAAGAAGTTGAAGGAGAAGAGATCTGGGGGCATACGCAAACTCTGAGGGTGACTGTACTCAGGGACTCAAAGATCACATTGAGAAAATTTCAGCTGATGGGTGAACGGGTGCTTCTGGGCGATCTAGCACCCTGATCAAGGCAAAGACCTTCAAGTCAAAGCGCTGGGGTTCTGTGTTCAGTGCGCATGGTATGCGTGTAGTATGTCTCGCACCAGCAGGCTCACCAGTTGCTGTGGTGCACCATCCTTAGCTTATGACGCCTTGGTTGAAAGATCTTCTCCTCACCTGAACTTCTCTTGCTGCTTTCTCACCGGCATCTAGCACCTCATCATGATTTGCTTTACCCTTCTCTATGGCTTCTCTCAAGTATTGACGACTAGAGCCCTGGATGTGAACATTATCCCCTCGTGGTCCGGCTTCGAGCAATGCCTTGTTGGTTACAAGACTGATTGCTAGTACTCTCATATCGCAGTGCCGTGCAACAATGACCTCTGGAACGGTCGACATCCCGACTACATCGGCGCCCAAGCTACGCAACATGCGGCATTCAGATCTTGTCTCATAACTGGTGCCAATTAACCATGGAGTGGTATCATTAGTGGGAAGTCAATCTTACCTGGGACCTCCGACGAAAGCATAGGTACCCTCCTGTAGGCGCCTAGTGCTCCCTGCGTCGCGATTCAGTTCCTTCCACAAATGGTGTGCGCGTCTTCTCAGATCAAGGTCATAAGCATCCGATAAAGCCGGAAAACGAACTCCAAAGTCGTCCGCGTTTGGCCCACGCAGCGGGTGTATGCCAGCAAGGCCAGCAAGGTTGATATGCTTACATGGGTTAGATGGCGGTGTAAAGAAGATGCTTGAGCCTCACGTCGTTCAAGACCACGAGGTCTCCTACTGCATAGTCTTCATTCAAACCACCAGCGGCGTTCGTGACTTGGACAACCTATCAATAATGACAAACACACTTTGATGAGCTGCTTTACCAATGATCGTGTCTACGCCCAGACGTTTCATGAGCCGGATAGGAAATGTAATACTCTGAATTGAGTGCCCTTCATAGAAACTACGCAAACATCAAAATGAGCGGACTTTACAGAGCGAGGGTCGGAACAGGTAATGACGAACTGAACCCTGCCAACCATCAAAACAACCGGTAAAGCACCAGGCTCGAGTATCCCGAACAAGAGCTTGCTAGCATGGCCATGGACTATCCCAATCAGCACGTTGTGCAAAATCGTATTTCCTTCTAAGTTCAGCGCATACCAGTACTTTGTGGAAAGTGGGGAATATCCGCATATGGGATTTCAAATCGTGGCTCCGGCAACACAACATCGGCCAGACCCTTCAGACCAGATCCACATATTATACCAATGACAGGCTGATGTAAGAGGGGGGGGTACCTTGACTTGCAAGTAGCGTAGAGCCTCTGCAGTTTGCTGAGAAGTAGCGCTATCCATGGCTAAATATAAGGCGACAGGCAGTGCTAGGAAAATAGTCAAAGACTGGTTTACAGCATCATAACGCTGAAGCCATCTAATTGCAATGTTTCCCATGCAATCTGATGAACTTTCCAAAGGTGTCTTGGTGAGTATGAGAAATTCGGACCCTTTATTTTTCATACCATTTTTCATAATCGTATCTACCCTTATTTGCGCCATCTTAAATCCGATAAATTCGATATAGATAGCTATTACTATTATAGCTATTACTATTACTAAATTAATAATCTACTATTCTAATCTATTATAATAGTTTTTAATAAGCGATCTTTAATAAGCGATATTTGAGTATCTTGTCTTTTAATAATTATAAGACTAAATTTTAAAAAAATTAAAGCATTTAAAAGCGCAATCTACGTTCTATAATTTAAAAAAAAATCTTAAAATTTTAATAGAAAATAATAAAGTTATTAGATGATTAAAAGTAGAATAAGAGATTTTAATAATTATAGACGCTAATTTATTTACTCGCGATAATTTAATTAATTTAATTAAAGAGCGTAGTAACTCTAAATTTATAATTAGCTATATATATAAATTTAAGATTTTTAAAATTAACTCTATCTTATTCTTTTATATATATTAATAAAATTAATTATAAAAATATCTTCTTTATAGAGTTTTCGTCGAAGTCTTTTATAGATAAATCTATTATAAGTAATTAAATTAAGAAAATAATTATTTTTATTATAATAGTATTAATAAGTATAATTAATAGTCTTTTATAACTTATTTATAACGCTATTATATCTTAATTAAATCTTATTAAAAAGATTAAATTATTAAGCGATATTATAATTTATAATAATAAATATAATATCTAAATTCTAATAAATCTAATTAATAAATTTTCTATTATAAATTATACTTAGTAGATAGAAGCTAATAATTAATAGCTTAATATAATATATATTTAATAGCTTAATATATCGAATATATTTAAATAACTAGATCTTATAGAATAAGAAATTATTCTTTTATTATTTAAGAATATTACGGAAATATAGATAGCCTCGAAAATATAAATAGTCTTAATAAGATACTTACTTTATTAAGTAAATAGATCTATTAAGTAGATATCTCGCTAAGTTTACTAGCTTACTATTATAAATAGTAGATTTCTAAATAGAAATAATTAAGCTTATTATATATTATAATTATAGATTTTTATTATTATTATAATATAGTAATAATATTATTTCTTAATATTAATTAATTATTAAGAAATTTTAAAAGTTTTTCTATTAGACTAATTAAAGAAAGCTTATTCTTAAAAAAAGCTTATTCTTTAAAAAAGCTTATTTTTTAAAAAAGCTTATTCTTAAAAAAAGCTTATTCTTTAAATTTTATCTTAAACTTTTACTACGTAAATTCTTCGAGTATATTATTACTATCTAAAATTATTTTTAATAGCGAATTTCTTATATCTATTATAATTTTAGCTAAGAATTTATAAGAGATAAAAATCTTTTTTTTAGAAATTTTAATTTCTTATAAGATTTCTTAATCTTTCTCTACTTTCTTTTAAGAATTATTAATATTATTAATTAATAGCTAAGCTAACTTTCTTAAATTATTTAATATTTAATCTAATCGCTTATAATATCGTTATTTTTATATTTTAATTATAAGAGTTTTTTAAAAATAATTATATATTTATAAATCTATTTAATAAAAAGAATTATTAATTTATTAAGAATATCGTTAAAAGTAATTTCTATTTATTCTCGATAATTTAAAAACTCTTAATAAGAAACGATTATTCGCGTATTAGATTTAATTTAATTAAAATATTATTCTAGCTATTATAATACTAGCCCCTTCGACTATCGTATAATATATCGCGTATTATTAGAGCTAGTAATTACTAGCTACTATTAGTCATCTATTTTATATATATAAATATTCGTATATTTTATAAATTAATAATTAGTCTTTCAGTTATAATTATTCAATTTCTAATATATCTAATATTCTACTTTTAATAGGTTATGAGTCTGGAAGCGAGTAGAATAATATCGAATATTCTTATACTTTCTAATATGGATATTAAACTAAGTCTTCGATAATTATTTATAAATAGATATATCTTATAGCGATAGCTCATTTTTTTAACTCGTATCTATCGACGAGAGAGCTGTCGTCATTTAATTTCTATATAAAAAATATCGAATTAAAATTCTTATTTCTATTAAAAGTAGTAGATAAAATACTTAATTAATTAGATCTAATCGTAGTTTAACTATTCGCTTCGCTTATAGTAGTTCGTAACTCAAAGACGTACTAGTCTTAAAGACGCCTTTTTTCGCGATTTAACACTCTATATTATAATCTATTATTATTTTATTACATTATATCTATATCTTATTCTAAGTAAGAGAAACTCGTTTAGAAGGCTATTAATAAGTATAAGGACGATTATTTTCGCAGCGCTATAGCGGTCGTAGAGTATTATAGTCTTAAACCGCGATGAATATAAAGACGACTTTAGAGATAAGCTTTTAGAAGTACTCGAATATTCACCTATATATATCTAACTATAACTTAAAAATAGTCGCTATATAACTATATTAATCCTCTAAATAATATTAAGTATTTACTTCGACTAAATTATATTTAGAGTACTACTAAGTATATTCTAAAAATCGCTTTAAATTCGTATTATTCTCTTAAATTACTCGATAAAGATTAAGCTATATAATTTATAAAACGATATTCTAAATACTATAAATAAAAGTAAAAACCTCTTAGTGCTGAGCGTAAGAATATATATAATATTAAGAGTATACGCGTAATGTACAAAAAAATTAGAAATCTAATACCTCGCGTTATAACTCTAGACGAGTCTATATCTCTTATACTTATTAGAATCTCTTATAAAGCCGAAGACGTTATTAAATACGATTAATAGTTTAAAGAATTACTTACTACTTAGGCTTTTATTATTTTAAAGAATATATAATAGTTATTAGCTTAATTTATAAAAGGATCTATTACTAATAGCTACTCGAGATAAATTATCGAGCGAGATATTAAGACTATTTATAAAGAGGCCGTAGTTAAGCGAGCACGTAAGATACTTTCTAGAACGATTATCTAGAAGAGAGAATAAATATTAATAGATTAAATACGTAAATCTCTAACTATAATAAAAGAAACAGCTATAGAAAAGGCGGAGAAGGCTCTAAAGCGAGCTACTCGAGCTAAGAAAATTTAGTAAAAAAAAGCCGATAAGATCATTAAGGCTTATATTCGAAAGCTGAATTATAGTTTATAAAAGCTAGTATATATATATTAGAATATATTTATTAGAATTCGAGTTATAGAACGAGATCTATATAGAATTAGAAAGGAATAATAAATTTTCGCGTCTTTGAAACTAATACGTCTTTGAGTTGAGAACTACTATAAGCGAAGCGAATAGTCGAACTACGATTAACTGCAGAGAGCATCACAAATACATATGTCGCCAAGCCTCGACAAACCTTCCTCGCCTCGACTAACCTTCCAATTCAGTTAGATAATACATTTCGATACTCTTATATACTCGAAATAGAATTATATAACTATTATATAAGAACTTTCATATAACGCTTATACTATATTATTAAGCTATAGAAAGTAGATATACGTATTTAAAGTACTTAATAAGGCTAGTATCTCTTTAATTAGCTTTAGAGAACATTTATATCTTTATAACTATATCGAATAAGACTAGCTAATCTTAATAGAATTATAATAATTACGATTTTAAGAAGTACGCATTTATATTAAAGTTATCGATAAATATTATATTAAAAATAATAGATAAAGACTAGAAATAATTAATAAACGAAGTAGTTACTACTCTTAAGATAATAATAATATTTATAAAAAGAGCGAATAATAAATTTAAAATCTAGATAATCTTAGATAAAGTATATAAACTAGCTATTAACTTAAGTAATCGAGATAGTAATATAAAGAAAAAGATTATATATATTAAATATTAGATAGCTAGTCTAAAAAGTAATATATTAATAACTAGCTATATTAGCGTATTAAGCTAATCCTCGATATTCTTCTCTATTATTAAAGAAATCTCTATTATATTACTAGTAATATTAAAATAAAATTAAGTATTATATAATAAGCTAAATAAGATTATTATAAAGTTATAAGATAAAATAGTAAATAAGATATTAAAGAAAAAGATATCGAGCGAGATAATTATAATAATTAATAAATATATAAAGAGTATAAATATTATAAGAAAATCTATTAAAACGGCTAGAAGGCTAGCGAGTAATAATATATATATTATAGTTATAAATAAGAAGAAGGCGAATAAATTAAGAGAAAGTAAGAATTAAATTTTTAAGATAAGTGATAGTATAAGAGTAATTATTAAAACGTATAGCCTTCTACTCTATAGAGTAAGAATTAATATATTTAATATTAAAGATATAATCGCGATAATTAAAAGAATTTAAAATAACATCTACAAATCTGAAAAGTAAATTTCCGTACGATTTCCGTCGGGTTCGTACTATAAGTACGATTTAGTACGATTTAGTCTATTAAGTAAACTTTATCTATATTTAACTCTTTTCATTAATTCTACTAGTTTAGTAACTTTAAAAAAAATTTAGTAACTTTAAAAATTTTATGTAATGCACTCTAATATACTCTAAGTACTATTCTATATATATATAATATTAATATATATTATTATTAATATACGTATTATTATACGCTATATTAGAGTATTATCTATACGATTAATTTTATTAAATTATCTAATTTTGTAGCTAAATTTAAGTTAACGTTAATACTTATCGTTATAGAATCTTATCATCGTAACGTCGATTATTAAAACTTTTCTTTTTTTATATATATTACTGCTAAATTGATAGAACTAATAGAAAAGATTAGAATAGTTATTGAATCGGCGGAATTTAAGTAAATTCTAATCAGATTTACTAATCCGACGAATTTTGTAATTTCCGCGATAAACGCGCGATTAGCAATTTCAAATTTTATAGAAACTTTTCAGATTTGCAGATGAAGAATATTAATACGCTAAGTCTCGATATAGTATAGCTAAGCTAATTCGGCGCGAATAAAAAATATTATAATAAGAGTTTATTAAT